GCGCCTGTTAGGGGTCTGTAACAGGAACTGCAGCTGCAAATAGCACCTCAGGTGGCCATCTCTTAGCGCTAACTACTAGATAGGTAGCCCGTCCCTCCACGTATCATGCGTCACCGCCTGCCAAATCAGCCCATGCAGCGCCCAACAGCCCCGCGGCAATTTAGCTGCTGCAACGATGCGGCTTGTGACGTGGAAGCACTAGATTTCGCATCTCGCAGCTCGGCTCCACAGACAACAAGCTTCTGCTCGTACATATTGGCGCCTGAACTGCTCGATAGATACCCTGGAACTCGCTGCTTGAGGACATGGCCTCGAGGTAACCTTGGCTGAACAACCGGCATTGTCTTGAGAGCTTGCGCGATGCCTACCGCAGGTAAGAACTTGATCCGGCCTGCTTCCCGGCCGTACTCCGAAGGCTCATGGGAATCATGATGCTTGGAGAGTCTACGGAACTGAACTGGAGCTGACTTGATGGGTTATTCGCTCAGTGAGAATTTGCGTATGTGGCGATGAGAGCACGGGCAAGTCAAGCCTGATTGCGTCTCTCGTCAAGGACCAGTTTATGACCAACAAGATCCAACCCGTCCTGCCTCAAATTACCATTCCGCCGAGCATTGGAACGCCGGAGAATGTCACTACGACAATTGTTGACACTTCGGCTCGACCTCAAGACCGAACGACGCTACGTAAGGAGATTCGGAAATGCAATGTCATTCTGCTTGTGTACGCCGATCATTACAGCTACGAGCGCGTTGCCCTGTTCTGGATGCCCTACTTTAGATCACTGGGTGTCAATGTCCCAGTGGTTTTATGTGCAAACAAGTCGGATTTAGTGGGCCAGAGCAGCACATCACAGGTAGTGGAAGAGGAGATGCTGCCCGTCATGGCTGAGTTTAGAGAAATCGACTCGTGTATCAGAACCAGCGCAAGGGAGCATCGCAACGTCAACGAAGTCTTCTTTCTATGCCAAAAGGCTGTGACCCACCCAATTGCGCCCCTCTTCGACTACAAGGAAGGCAATCTCAAGCCCTCATGCGTTGAGGCCTTGAAGCGAATCTTCTATCTCTGCGACAAAAACCAGGATGGTTATCTGGATAACCAGGAAATGCGAGACTTTCAATCTCGGTGCTTCGACAAGCCCCTTACGGACGATGACCTGGAGAACATCAAGCTTTCCATATCGAAATCCCTTCGGGGCGATGTAGACCTATCAAAGGGTATCAACCTAAAAGGCTTTGTGCAGCTGAACAAAATGTATGCCGAAAAAGGTCGACACGAAACTATCTGGATCATCTTGCGCAAGTACCATCACACAGATAGCTTGAGTCTAGAGGAAAACTTCCTGCACCCCAAATTCGAGGTTCCAGAGTTTTGCTCGGCCGAGCTCAGCCCTGCCGGGTACCGATTCTTTGTGGATCTATTCCTACTATTCGACAAAGACAACGATGGTGGTCTCAATGACCAAGAGCTTGAGGCGCTCTTCGCCCCGACCCCTGGGCTGCCCACTTCTTGGGCTGATTCCTTCCCATCCTCAACAGTTAGAAATGAAGGTGGATATATCACCTTGCAAGGTTGGCTGGCTCAATGGAGCATGACGACGTTTCTAGAACCCAAGACAACTCTAGAGTACCTAGCGTACCTCGGCTTTGAGCCTCCCAACCCAAAGGAACCCATCACATCAGCACTCAAAGTCACAAAACCGCGTAAGAGGCGGAGGCGACCAGGGCGTGTTGAAAGGAACGTCTTCCATTGTTATATACTCGGCGCGTCGGGAGCCGGTAAATCATCTCTTTTGGAAGCTTTCCTGAACCGTCCGTTTGACGACTTGTACCATCCCACAATCAAGCCGCGTCGGGCCGTCAACAGTGTGGAGCTTCCTGGTGGAAAGCAAGTCTATCTCATTTTCGAGGAGCTCGGTGAGCTTGAGCCGGCTATTCTGGAAAACCAGGCAAAATTGGACGCTTGCGATCTCCTTTGTTATGCATACGATTCGTCCGACCCCGATTCGTTTTCTCACATTGTGGACATACGGAAAAAGCACCCTCAGCTAGACGAGCTACCATCTGTATACACTGCACTCAAGGCAGACAGGGACAAAACCATGCAGCGGAGCGAGTTGCAGCCTGACCAGTATACGTCGTCTCTAAACATGAGCTCGCCTTTGCATGTCAGTGTCACTTGGAACAGCATCAGTGAACTGTTTGTCTCTCTTGCTGAGGCGGCGGCGAACCCAAGCACTGCATTCCCCAAGAGTGACGACGACACACCTGATCGGACAAGTTTGTATCTTACCCTGGGAGCAACAGCGTGTGCGGCTATAGCAGCTGTTATGATTTGGAGGCGGTCTACAAACGCCATGTAGGATCTTGGTACAAGTTTGGGCAACCTGACGGATTCATAACGTTTCTATAACCCTATACGATGGTCCGAGAATACGGGTAGTGTTGATAATTTATACGTAGGACGGCGTTTCGTCTTGGTGGTTCCTGGGAAGCAAGCAGAAATTAGATTGGAGCTCATGATACCCGGTTTACATTCATGTTAGGTACGGTCTCATTTAATAGTAGTTTTATTGAATTCAAATATGTAGAAGAAAGAACACTTGCATTAATTCCACGGCATTAAAAAAAAGTGAGCTCAAAATGCATCGATATTTAGCAAAAACAAGCAACGAACTATACTTTGTAAAAGCAAAAGCCAACGTAAAAGCTTGCGGCCTCCATCTCGTCGTCCGAGACGAGAAGTCTTCCACCGCCTCTCTCACGAACTCCCATTCTCTCGCTCAGCGGCCCAAGCTCCGGGTCGTCCTTCTCTGTCTCCCAAATCTCCAAAAAGGGTCTTTGGAATTGCAGTTCCAGGTTAAAGTCCTCGGCCAATGCACGGAACGCCTCCCATGGGACGACGTATTCGGGGACTTCTTCGACGGCCTCGTCCAGGAAGAAGTTGTACTTCCAGCCAAACGCGGGACGGAAGACGCCATCATCGGGGGTCTTGCCCGGGAACCTCACACGGTAGATTGAGTTTCCCCATTCAGCGGTTGGTTCTGCTTCGCCCTCTTCAAGCTCTCCATCCTCGGGCTCTGCTGCGGGAGGTGGTGTAGAAGTGGGAGTTGTAGAGCCGTCGCCATTTTCCTTTGCGGCCTTATCTTCGGCCTCCTTGGCCTCGCGTTTGGCAGCCATTTTAGCGTTGAAAGCGCGGACTCGCTCGCCAAGCACATCGGAGTTGGGGATGCAGCCGATGAAGCGGCCGCCCTTCTTGAGCGCGCCGGCGACATTGCGAAGCATGGTGCGAGCGTTGTTTTCGGACTCAAAGGCGTAGTGCATGCAAAACATCATGCTGACGACGTCGAAGCCGCGGCGGTTCATGGTGGACGGGTCGAAGCCGACCTGTCGGACGATTTCCACGTCTTCGATGCTCTCTGTGTAGCAGTCCTTGACGTGGAACCGCGCATCAAAGAGACGAGGCGGAGGTCTGTTGTGTCGTCCACCACGACCGCCTCGGCCTCCGCGAGAACCCATTTGCCTGTATCGGTCTCTCGCCTGCTCGATACTGACGTTGGCTGGGTCCAGGCCGACGTAGAGCTGGATGGGCTGCGGTGCTTGCTGCCATTTGCTCAGGTCACCGCCCTTTCCACACCCAATGTCGAGAACAAGGAGCTCTCTGCCACTTGAACGGCCCATTTCTCGCGATCCGGGCGTGTGGTCTTCATCGGGCGAGTAGCGCTGAATCAGGCAGCTCTTGACCCAGTTGTTGAAGACGCGCAGGCCCTTGATCTTGCTCTCGCGGGTCCGCCAGTCGCGTCCTCGCTCGGGCACGCTGTTGTAGTGTTCTCTTACGACATCATTGATACCTCGCATCTTGTTTTCCTCTGCAGCCTGGGAGGCGGCGGCCTCGGCGGCCTGACGATCGCGTTCGATCTGGCGCAAGCGGATGGCTTCTCGCTCGGCCTCGGAGAAGCGAGCGCGCGCTCCTGGTCGCTTCAATTTCCTCGGCTGCTCGGATGGAGATATGGCACGTCGCTTGGGCGCCTGGAGGGAGTGGGCATTGTATGCCTGGGGCAGATCGTCGTTCAGGTCGTCTTCGGCTGATCGTTTGAAGCTTCTCCTCGCAGGGGGAGAAGAATCGGGATCGGAGTGGCGGTTCGACATTGCAAAATGCAATACTGCGGTGGGTTGTTGTTGTTGTTTTGTAGATGAAAGCGTTTGTTTGTGAGGTTCTGGTTCGATTGAAGGAGTAAACAGTGGTTTTGTGGATGATGAAGCAAATTTTAAAAGGTTTGTTGAGTCACTGGATAGAGTTGGAAGGGCGCTGTTGAGGCTCTGCCGCCAAGTCTGCACGATAAGCGGCTGATAGCGGGAGCTCAGCTGTCGCCCGCACTCCACTATCACCTCCTGTAATTGTCTACGATGGCTCAACTCAAACTTCACGCAGCCACAAATAGCAAAGATCAATGTAATGTCAAAATCAAAAAACCTCAATTCCTATTGGCGCATCCTGTGATAGAATAAAGCAAATTCATGTTCCCACCTTACCAATCTGATATGTCCACACCGTCGCTGCAAAACGTCATTTGGTTCTCGCAAACTACCAGTGAGTGAGAACAACTGTTGCAACCGTGCTGCCCGGCCGACATTTGTAGCTCTCCATCTCCATCGATTTTCCACTTGCTTTGTCGACAAGTTTCATGAGTTCGCCTAATGTCCTGTCTCCAGACATATACAATTGTCTCATGGTCATATCGCGACATTGCCACACTCTATTCATCATTGATGTCCTCTCGCCTGGATTAGGCAATATTGAATCGACAATAACAATCCGCGAGTAGTCATCCATAACTTTAAAGATATGCCGTAGGAGGTCATAGACCTCCTTGTCAGACTTTCCATGAATCACCCCAGCCAAGAGATAGACCGCGGCTTCACGAGTCATCTGCTCATCTTGAGAACAAAAATTGAATCTGGTCAAGAGAGCAGGGTCTTTCAATTTCCCAAAATCCGCCATCAATTTGACCTTGTCTTGAGGACCATGAACTTCAAACTGGAGGTGAGGGAATCGCTCAGCCAACTCCCAGCAACAGGGGCTACATGAGCCGAGCTGCAAGTTACTGTAAGTATTATAGGTATATATCAAGGATGGCTGCCCATACTATTCCAGTGGGAAACAATATCAAGGGAGAAATACTTACATCCACAACAAGAGACCCTTCCTTAAATAAGACCAGTTAATTACACCATGAACCACATCCGTCGAATAAGTCAGGCTGCGGCTAGTACCGAGTAGGCCCGTTAAATGAGCATACCCATTCGTCTCATCAAGCTGGCTTAAAAATTGTTCTTTGGTAGTGCCAAAGACGAGAAAGGGTTTCTCGTTTTCCTCTTTTGAGCCCTGCCATTTGTTTGTTGTGTCCACTATCTTTGCTGAAGCTGGCATAACTGTATTGCAGAAAAAAGGAAGGCCGTGCAGAAAATCTTCATCTTTAGCAAGAACTGTTGAAAAATAATTATGACAACATTTCCCTTTATAGTCCCTGAAAATATGATGCACCATAACCATTCGCAACATCCGCTTGAGCTCAGAAGCTGGAACATTAGCTTCTTTCGCCAAGTCTTCGTATGACACCGGGTCGCATTCCGGAACGAGATCAAATATTTTGAAATGGAGGAGCCACTGAAGAGCCGATACAAACTGGACCTGGAGGTTGACATTAGCACTGAGCATGGTAGCATTCCACCTTATTTTGGAGAAGGAGAGCAATTTCTGGACTTACCTGCGACAATGCGATTGAAATCATCTTGGATGGTCCGGCTACCAGGTCAAGTAGTTTGGATGCCGAATCCAATATCTTCTCTCTGGCATCAAGAACATGGAGCGGCATTGGAGGTAACAGAACTGGGTGATATTGGTCGAAATCGAAGGGCGTGAGTGGAGCGCCCACCTCTTTGTGATATTTCTCCCACAACCCAACCTGTGTAGTGATTGTTTGGGCAAGGAGATTCATGCTGACCTTGTCATCCACCGTATCTTGGGGATTTATTAGCATGTCTAAACATGTTGAGCTTCCTGAATCCGAGGCGCTGTCTACATCCGTGTCTACATCCGTGTCTAAATCCATGATGTATAGTTGCTGATGAGAGTGTGCTCGAATGATGAGAGAGCAAAAGGATGTCTTGGAGGTTTTTCTTGAGCATCTACAGATAGTCGGGGCAATGGCTGGATATATACTTTTGGCACCAAACAGTCACATTCGTCTTGATGTCGAAGTTGAATCATTGGCCTAGTAAAGGGATCTCAATAACCATATTCACATACCAATCCATGATGTTCTTCGCTTTCAATGATTTATTTGGTATCTACATTGTGCTTTGATCTTTCACACGAGACTCGGCATCTAGATTAAGCGGCTTACACGCCTGTGTTACATCCGCACATGTATGCAGCCTCACCGGTGGTTAGAATAGCGGTAACTGAGGTCATCTTGCAATCGTAGAGGTATCTCAACGTCAGTTAATTACCTTTCACATCAAGAGATGCCGCCGCAGCATTGAAAGCTAAACCTCTACCTGCTCCTCCATCTCATTTCGCACACCAGACACAGCATCATTCACCATACAACCTTATGCGCCACCAGCCAAGCTGCCCGAACGGGATAAAATATTGAACTCTAATTTAGCGCTCCCCCTATTAGCAAATTGGAGTAGAATTAGAATTCAAGACAGCCAATTTGCCGCACTGCCTCTTTTTACTTTGCTTAGAGCAACAAGCTGTGTAGGGTGGGAGGGGGGATGGAGAGAGCGGTTACATAATACGCAGAGAGCCCAGTCCGCGCACCAAAGCACATGCAGTATACTTCGTAAATTAAAAGGAAAAAAAAAAAAAAAAGACGGGATGGACAGACGGAAAAGAGCTTTCCTGACTGGCCCAGAGCTGGGCTCCCCCATGGGGATTTGGGATATCCACACCTCCAAGGCCCCCACATGCAAACGGCGGGCCATGAGCTAGAGGCAATCGATTCCGCTACATGATGTGTGCCTGTCTGTAATCGTTTTGTATAAGAGAAAGAGATGGAAGATAAGGTGTTGAAGGGGGGAGATATACAAAGCACTAAGCCTAGGTAGCTTAATCTATCGCCTCTATCTAGATTGATTGACGCTGCTCCGGGTTGTTACTGTACAGGCTCTGTCATGTAATTTGCAACAGCATCCTTCGTGCTACCTAGATTCATTACTAGTCCCCATGCCACGGTGGGCCAGCAAGCACGCAGATATTACTACATGGCCTCACTAGCTGGACGCCTTGTCAAGCTTGAGATCGCAGGCTTGCCGAGGCCGGCCTAGCACGCGCACCAGGCAAAATCCGCTGGCTGAAAGCTGGGCTTGGGCTTCTCTTAGCAAATACCTTGCAGTACGACGAATCAATACTCAATACACGTCAGGGCCAAAAGTGCCTAGCCCGTCGCCGCGTCCTGTCGTTGTGTCATATCCGGTACTCTGGCTTGTCCCATCGCAACACTTTTTGCCTTCTCTCCGCTTTCTCCCCAACTACATGTGGATTCCCCCGCTTCCCCCTCAGCCAGCTAAGAGCCCTGGTCCTTGTACATCCCGTATCCCAAGACACTCCGGGTTTGCTTCTTCCTGTCCATCAACGTGCCCGTCCTTAGCATTGGCATTAGCATGAGCATGAGCATGAGCATCGACATTGCCAGTGTCACTCATTGTCGCCATTGCCTCGGCCACCGCTCGTTTTCTGCCGGCCAAAAAAAAAGCACATGCCGCTTGACAGCCCTGGGGCCGATATCCAAAGCGACGCCCGGCCTGGCATTATTTTTTTTTTATTTTTTTTTTTCGCTGCCATCTCCAACCCCAACGGATGACGGCACGCGACCGATGAGCCAAACACAACGCCGTTGAGCTGGCCCTTTGCCCCGATACTACGGACTACTGTACTTGGCCTGCCTCCAACTCGGGGGAGCTGTCCCTTGTGCCGGCTCCACGTTATAGCCGCCTGGGGTCCTGGTTCATCCAGTGTATCGCTCGTTTTGCCTGGCCGGATCAAATCGCCGGGCCCTTTTCTTGTCGCCCGTGCTCCATCACATCTCGCCTCGCTCCTTCATCTGCAAAACAAACACCCGCGGCCAGCCGAACCTTGCTGAGCACGCCAGCGGCTCGCCTCGACTGACTCGACTCGTCTCTGATGAGCCAGCCTCGATTGCTGCGTGCTGCTTGTCCATTGTTGATTGGGCTCGGCGTCTCTCCCTCTCCCCAGCCGGCTACATAGTTGGTCACCTCTGCCTCCTCCTTGGCCACTGTGGTTGCAGATAGCAGACCGAGTGCGAATCCGGCTGACCCCACACTGCTGTTTCCTCTGGGCCGTGTCTCTCATCTCTGTCGAGGTTGGACGGATCCTGTTGATACTCTATCTGTTGTTCATTCGAGCTGCCGTCTCTTGATTGCTTCCCATTCCCCCATCCCCCACATCCTCCACCCCCAACTCCCGACACTGTTGCTCTGCTGCTACTCCTTGTCACTTATACCTTACCTTGACGGCCTCGCTTCTGCTCGTAATGCTCCCGCTCCAGGCCATCGACGGCCCAGCCGTTCTTCCACCGCCAGACCAATCCAGTGCCCTCGCAATTGCCGAGGTGGGCGAGAATCGCAACCAGAAGCCCAAGACATTGCCTTGCAAGTACTGTAGCAAGCGATTCAGGTCAGTCTAGCCCGCTCCGCTCCGCTTCTGTCCAACTCTGCTGCTTCGTGCTGTGTTGCTCACATGACCTCTTCTCGAGTTACAGACGCGTCGAACATGTCCAGAGACATGAGAGGACACATACCAAAGAGAAGCCCTTCTCCTGCGGCTGGGACCGCTGTGGGAAAACCTTTGGGCGCCGGTAAGGACAACTTGCTCCCCCCATGTCCCTGTTTGCCATGTCCCTTGCCCTTTCTACGAATCCCCCATCTGCCTTATGTCCGTAAGTACCTACACAACCCATGGCGTGGTCCGGCATGATGTGATGCGATGCCGTGTCTTTTTATGTGGTGCTTGTACCCATACCGGTACCCGCGCCTCCTCATTGCATTACATATCCCCCCTTTCCCCTCTTCCAAAGTGTCACCTCTAGCCTCACCCTAAGCTTCATGCCTAAGCTTCAACTCTGCTATTTTTCTCGCCTTGATCCACTTTCCACCTCCCACCTCCTCGTTGCACTTACACGGTCCCCGCCTTGCGTTGGGTTATACTGACTTATATGGACATCAGTGATCTTCTCGTCCGGCACGAGAAGCTTGTTCACCTAAATGAAGGGCATAAAGATGCCTCCAGACCAAGGAAGCTCTCTGGCACGTCTTTGCACAAGCCATCTCTCTCTGATAGCCATGTCGAACTCGATGTCATGGGGATTCACAGGCTGCGGCCGCCCCCTCCCCCTCCTCCTACCACCACTACGTTGCTTCCTCCACAACCATCGCCGCCGCAACAACAGCAGCAGCAGCATCAGCATCAGCCCCAGGCGCCTCCCCCGCCATATCATCATGGGCCCATGGGTTCAGATGCTGGAAGCCATCTAGGCCAGCAAGACCCGCAAGCAGCGGCCCGAACCGCAGCTTGCAACCTTGATCTCCTTTCTGATGCTGCGTTGGCCAGCGAGGTCAACACCATGCAACCCTTGCTGAACGGCATATCCCAGCAGCCCCCAACTCACTCTAGAGTCAAGAGCTATCCAGATACGATTGAGGGATATGCTGAGCGTGCGCGAGCAGATCCGCCAATTCTGGCAGCTGGATTTGGCCCTCAGCCTCAACAGCCGGCGTACGAGGACTATAACCTGTTCCTTGACGACTACACGACGCCGCAGCACTTCCTCCCTCCGCACTTTGAGCCTGATCAGCAAATGAACTTTTTTGCTCGATCTCCGGCCGTGTTTCAGCGTGGCGGCTCAAAGCCGAGTTCACAACTTCCCTCTCGCTTCGGGTCTCTTGCCCCTGATGTACAGGAGCCCAGCTCTCGAATACACGAGGAGACATCGCGATCCCCTCTTCGCATCTCTGTGGTTGACCACGGCATCATTAAGAACCGTCTAGAAGAGTTCTCGGCCGTGCTGCCGACTGATTTCGTCTTCCCTTCTCGCTATACACTCACCCGCTTCTTGGAAGGATATATTGGGGGTTTTCATGAACAGCTGCCCTTTTTGCATTTGCCTACGTTGTCCCCCACAGAGCTCGCACCCGAGCTGCTTCTGGCCATCCTGTCCGTTGGAGCACAGTACAGGTTCGAGAGTAAGAGGGGGTATGCCCTCTGGTATGCCGCCAAAGCGGTTGCAATGGAGCAGATACGACGACGACATAGCTCGGAAATCCATGCTCTCTTGCCAAATGCGTCCTCTTATAGTCCTCACTCGACACGGCCTTCTCCCAGCACTTCTTACAGACATTCATTTGCTTCTGCCCAGTCAGAGAGGCCGATAACTCAAGACACTCACCGGGAGCCTTAGTAAGCATATGCATTTCTATAATTGCTGTTTTGTATAAGTTGCTAATGCATGAGTCTTCAATTACAGTTCTCCAAACACGCCCCAGTCTCGGCTGGAAACAATCCAGGCTGTTCTGCTGCTCTTCTCTGTTGGACTTTGGGGAGCCAAGACAATTCTGAACGAGGCACTCTCTCTGCAGAGCACCCTGGCTATCCTGATTCGAGAAGAGGGGCTTACTGAAGACATCAGCCAAGCAAGCGTCACGGACTGGGATGCTTGGATTAAGCGCGAAGGGGCTACTAGGACTAAGCTGATTGCCTACTCTTTCTTTAACCTTTGTAGCATTGCATATGACTTGCCACCTCTGTTGGTCACGTCGGAACTCAGACTCTCTTTGCCTCTTCCTGCTAGACTTTGGAGGGCTGAGACTGCCTGGCAATGGCAAGAGCTGCGGCAGTCTACACCAATGGTGGAGATTACGGTTCACGAGGCCATTGCTCGGTTGTTTGGCCGGACAAACCAGGGGCTGCCGAACCACCTATCGTCGCTGGGCTTTTACGTCCTCATCCATGTGCTCATCCAGCACGTGTATTTCTTGAAGCAAACTTCACTGGCAGCCGGCTTGCCGTTTGAAACACAACGCACCTTGAAGCCGGAGGATGTGGAAGAAGTCACTCAGGCGCTGCGGGTATGGCATACCACGGTTGAGCAGCACCACTATCTTCTTGCCACAGGATCAGGGCCTTTTGCCAGCACAGACTTTTCTCCTGGTGGCCTGTTGGCCTACAACGCGACAGCCCTTCTGCGCCTCGCATACATCCGGCTATACAGCGACACCCCTCCAAGCAGAGAGCTGCAGACAAGGGATTCGATGTTGATGGCATCGGCTATGATTTCCACCCCATTGGTTGTGCGCAGCGTGCGACTCCATGGGGCGGTATTTCAGGCCGTTCACGCATTGTCTATGCTGGTCAAGGCTGGTGTCAACTATGTCGCGAGGACCAAGTCTACAGAATGGAGCATTCAGCATTCGCGTAAGTTTTCTTCTTCTTTTCTTCCCTAGTGCTTTGTTTTTATTCATGCTTCCCCTTTGACTGAGTATGAAGACTGACCTCATGGCTATAACAGTATGTAATTTTGAGTGCGCCCTGCTTCTAGCCAAGTGGCTCTTGACGCTGGCGTCCCTTACGCCGTCTGATGCTCCCATTAGCCTCGACGAGAGGAATCTCTTGGAGACGGTGAGGAGAATGTTGGACGAAACTGAATTCGCCGTCCCTGTTGATCCATCTTTGTCTGGCGCAAATGCGAACCCGCAGATGGAAACAGCAACTACAGACCCGATGAAGTTGAGACAGCTGGCGAGCGCGGTAGTACGCCTCTGGGCGGAAACCTTCAAGGGCACGCACATCTTTGATATGATCAAGACAATGGGCGCCAGCTTGGACGGATACGCTGATTTGGTGGACAAGCCGAGGGATCGCGTAGCTTTGGCACCCACTGCGAGCATAAACTAAGGCTAAAGATCAGCCGAAGATTCGCTGGACGGATCTTGATTGGGTGCTTTGAGGATGAGTGACGGGTCTTGCATCACCACGTCGGGCGTTATTGGAGCACACAAGATACCATGCTGGAGCACACTAGCGGGCGAGCAACGGCTTGCAGTATGTTGGAATACGGGACATTTGATTTTGAAATACAGGGACAAAATTGTACACATTGGATGGTTTAGGCAGATATTGGACACTTGTCGGATCTGGAACAACGGTGCTTGGGCGAGGTTACGGGAGAAGGAGGAGTTTGTACATGTGTAACCCACAGTTTGTTGAGAGCAAATGAACGGAATACCCCCTCCTCTGTAACACGCTCAGGATTTGAAATTGCACCGTAACAAGTGGGAACGCCGCCCCGTCGAATTGCGGGGGGATCTCGATACTGTTCGGACTCGGTTACGATACCGAGTTGGGGAGAGGCTGATGAATAGTAAAGTAAGCATGCACTATTATGGACACTCCACTACTAAGAGATACCGAATGCGAGTGCCTAGTACTCCATAGCAAGGACAAAGTACAGGTAAGGTAGTACACGAGAAAGACAAGAAATGGGCAGTGCTAGCACCGATTCATGCTGGACGCGTACAAGAACCGAGGAAAGATGATACACACCCACTCAACGGGAACGAGGATTCGGGATTACTCATCCCCCGGAAAACGAAAGCACGACATCTCATGATCTTGACTTTGGACATCCGGACGATCCATTTGGATGACGAGGCTCTGGATGACGAAGCGTATCTGCACCCAAAAGTGAGCTTTGACCTACTAAGGCAATAAGGGTACAGCTGAAAGTGGCACAGAAAGAGCACAAAAAGCTACTGTATGCTGTGCCTGTCTTGTCTGTCCGTTTGTAGGTAGTTTTAGCATGTGAAGCTTGAAGCCCAGCCTAACCTACAGCAGAGGGAAAAATACGGGGCCGAGCCAACATGCAAGGGAACCGTCGGAGGTGGGGCTTCAGTCAGCGTCCATGTTAGACTTGCCTCGGCATAAGGCTATTTGTTCGGGAGCGGAAATCTGGGGGTCCTTGAAGGGGTCTGACTTCTGACGTTATAAGAATGCTGCTTGGGTTCGTGCTGATTTGCTGTTTTTATTTTTGCGATTGACAAGCGATACAGATAAAGGAAGACGGCGATTTGATTAGATATTATAGACATAGAAGCAGGCGCAAGAACAAGAGCAAGAACAAGAACAAGATCGCGGCTTGTCACAAGACACTCGACCCTCCCACGATGCCTTTCAACACAGAGCTCACTCGCCGTCTGGGCATTCGCGGTACGTGCTGTTCTCTTCTCACTCCTCTCCGCCCCTTCTCACGTTGATACTGACCTCTGCCCTCTAGTCCCCGTCATCCAGGGCGGCCTGATGCACGTCGGCACCGCTGACCTCGCGTCGGCCGTGTCCAACGCCGGCGGCCTGGGCATCATCACGGCCCTCATCTCCCCCTCGCCCGAGGCCCTGCGCGCCGAGATCCAGCGCTGCCGCACGCTGACCGACAAGCCCTTTGGCGTCAACCTGACGCTGCTGCCGTCCCTTCTTCCCCCCGACTACCCGGCCTACGCCCAGGCCATCATCGACGAGGGCGTCAAGATTGTCGAGACGGCCGGAAACTCGCCCGGCCCCGTCATCCGCCAGCTCAAGGCCGCGGGCATCACGGTGCTGCACAAGTGCACGACGATTCGACACGCTCAGAGCGCGATCAAGCTGGGCGTCGATTTCCTTAGCATCGACGGCTTCGAGTGCGCGGGCCACGTTGGCGAGAGCGACATTACAAACTTCATTCTGCTGAGCCGTGCGCGCCAGACGCTGACCATTCCTTTTATTGCTTCGGGAGGATTCGCGGACGGTCAGGGACTTGCGGCGGCGCTGGTTCTGGGTGCTTGTGGTATCAACATGGGTACACGGTAAGCTTCAACTTCGCAGGGAAGGAGATTGCTGTTGGGAAGAAACCGTCACTAATGAAATGTTTTTGCAGGTTCCTCGCCACTGAAGAAGCGCCGGTACACCGAAATATCAAAGAGGCCATTGTCAAGTCTCAGGAGACGGACACAACGCTGTTGCTGCGACGCTGGACGAACACCACCCGACTATTCAAGAACAAGGTCGCTATGGATGCGCTAAAGATTGAGAAGGAGAGCAGCACAGGCGAGTTCTCAGAGGTAGCGCCCTTCGTCAGCGGAAAGAGAGGCAAGGAGGTGTTCACAACCGGTGATCCGGAACATGGTGTAAGTTTTTTTACCTTATTTGTTTGCTCTTTGACTTTTGGTTACTGACGACGGATGGGATGTAGGTCTGGACGACGGGTCAGGTCATGGGTCTTATTCACGATATTCCTACGTGCGGTGTGTTGGTTGCTCGTATTGAGAAGGAGGCTGAGAGTGCGCTGCGGGAGAAGCTGGCTTTGATTGTGTCGGACTCGAAGCTGTGAGGGGTGGAAATAAGGGTATGGGCCAAGTTGATATAATAATGAATGAAATATGCCTTCTTTTTTGGAATCTTAACATACTGCTGCCCCGAACAACTCCTTGTATGATGATATCCTTTATCCTTCTAATAGGGAGAGGCTATTAAGCTGGTAGCTTAGAATGGCAACTATACTGCGCCTCAACGACTATCAGGATTAAGCACGTCATGATAAGATGCAGAATCAGTGCCTTGAATCTCCTTAGTTCTTTGAGTATCTGCTACAATCGATACTCCATTTGGGATATGAGATACTTGATGGTTTGGGGCGTTAGCTAGCAAATCCCTTCACTATAGTGTGATATGACGTATCAGGAGATACATCTATGCTTATCAAGACCTTCAGGTGGTCTATCAGGCTCTTCTTATAAATCCCATGGTACCGATTATCTCGTGGTGTCTTGTACTCCCTTGAGCTATTCTACAGTAGTAATTATGCTGCTTCCCGATGTAGATTGCGCAGCATTCAGGAACATTACCTAGCCAGTGGCTAACCTCGACTACATCGATTCACGACAAACACTGTCGATTTTTAAACCTGGTCTTGGAGGATTATCCTGACGTACTGCGACTGCTGCACGAATTCAAGGCCTGACTACTGTGACAGCCGCTGGCAGCCGCCGAAGAGCGTCAACCCCTTTTCAATCATATTTCACCTGTTAATTCAAAGCTGACAAGTCACACTGGGGATTAAGATGCATTAACTTCCCCATATCTTGCCCACGTTTGCTTCATTCTTCCAACTTTATCTTTTCCTCATCTCCATACAGGGTTTCGCTCGCATCTTGACAGCCCTCGACCGATCTCAGCAATGGCAAAGCTGAAAATTAAGATGCCGAAGAAGACTGAAAAACCCATCAAATTCGGCGAGGAAGATCTTGGACTGGAACCTGATGATCCATTGTACGAAGATGGAATGAAATGTGTGCGCACGTATTGGGCACAGGCAACCAGGCTCACAGCTCGCCAGCAAGAGCAAATGATCGGATACATGCAGAGACGTGAATACGCTATCATTCCTTCTGCGAAGAATGACGCTACTTTGCATAAAATATACATCGAAAACACTGAATGGCTATCGTGGCCAGCATATCTCATCCTGGCATCGATATATGATAAATTGCCTGAAAAGTACAACAGCTTGATTCTACAGCTTTATGGCACCCTGACTATCAAAGACTACACGAAAGAGTATCTGGAGGCAATCGACGACAGGCAGAGGCCGACCAACGAGCTGTACGCACCTAAGAAAGGCGCAGTGACCTTGAGTGTGGCCGACGATGACGTCGCCTCTGTAGAAGAGGAACTGGCGGATGTCTTTGGTCAAGCCAGCGTCGCCTCTATAGCAGAGGAACTGGCGGCTATCTTTTCTCCAGTTAGCCGGGCGAGGCAGAGTGCAGTTCCTGAGGGAGCCAAACGCCCTCGAACGTTTTCTGACAATCCACCCATCGAACCAAAACGCGTGCGGAGATCAGTTAATAAAGATGATTTTGACATAGACAAAGTTGTCTCTGGCGTTATGTCTTCTCACGCAATCCGGCGATTGGCTGAAGCAACCAGAAAGCCGCAAATGACGAACCCTGACCTCTTCGAGATGGAGGATGTGAAAGTTGCCAAAGAAATTTCCAAGAGAAACGAAGCCAAGATTGATGAAGTCAACACCAAACTTGATAAATTCGTCTCGGAGATGCACCAGTTTATGACTGCTTTCGCGAACACGGCGAGTATTCCGCTGCCAATTGAAGTCATCGAAGACGACGATGATGTCGAAGCATCTATCTGATAATCGCGAATGATGGCTTTCACTAGAATGGATGAGGACATTCGCGACTTTTTTTTGGTAGTAGACGTGGAATTTGTATCAACATAACGTAAGTTTCACTTTTTTCACCCTATCGCTTCTATTTGCTGACCATATTTGTGATGTATAGGGCTGGAAAACGGGCCAGGTTTTGGCCCATCCACATTCAGAACTGTTCTGAACTGACTAATTGTATCGTGAAAATGGCAAGCCGGAGGCGATTAAGATGAGCTATGAGCTGAACGAGACAGTGCAATGATTCCGTCCGCCTTTGGTTGGATCAGCCATGACTTGGACTAACCAGCGTCTTGATGCTATTGTAACTACACGTAGGTAGAATCTACTCCGATGTCGAGACTATGTAGACAACAATGAAGGGAAATCAATATTTATCAACCACTTGTCCCTCTTCAAATGATTATATGCTTTTATACTACTGCTGGGGTCAGCTTTTGTCTTTATATCATCACCTCATTCACTTTTACCTTGGCAACTTTGCCTTCAGCTTTCATCGCCATTAAACTCGGGGCTTGGGGTACTCGACATTGCCCTGAACAGAACTCCTTGTATTAAGAACTTTTCTATGCATATTGTAGTCATTCGAAACTCTATCCTAAGCCTCGTAAATCGTGATAATGTTGAAATTCATCCTCTGCTCCTCCGGCTAGGTACCAACGCCGGATCCAACCGCCGTCCCTGCTCTCTCACATACTCGGTTTCTCCCTCCGGAATCCTCCACCGCTCGTAGTAATACAGCTCCGGCATTCTCGTCTGCGTCTGCTCCTCCAGCTGCGACTCTCCATCACGCAGACCAATCCCCGTCTCTATCAACGAAGCTCTTCCCTCGGGGTCGACAGCTTGCCATCCTTCCGACGCTGACCGACGAGATACAATCGAGTCTATATCCTCAGCGAGGGCATATGTCGCCTCCACGAGAGCCCCTCTGACGCCGCAGTAGAACGACGTCGACAAGTCGGATGCCTTGGCCAGGCTGTGGACTCGGTCCATCGATGCGCTGTAGATGTGCATGACTGCGTCTGGCCGCCAGCTATCTTGTCTTGATAGATGATGCCACGTGCAGCTCCGACCAGATGCGGAATCGCACTCTTCGACCGGATTGATCTGAAGCTCATCGACTTCGTTGATGGCGCCATACTGGTGGGGCCGTCCCGGAAGAGGCGTCTTTGCAGAACAAGGCATGGCGCTGGTGTGATGGTACGCCTTTGGGAACCGAAAGTCAAAGAATCGGAGATCGGGGCTGCAGTTGTTGCCGGCTACAAATCGTTCAGATCCATATACTAGCATTGAGCTGCTGGCTTGATACGGCTGGAAGCCATCTCGATATAGGACGTCATGGGCAGAGGGAGTCCGTAAATCCGAAAGTCTAAGTTGTGTCTTTAAGTTAGCTGGCTGATAGGGGGGTCTGACTTTTTGAGCATATTATCGCCTTCCGTCTTACCTATGGCTTCCGTCGTCCCAGGCGCTGAGGAGTAGGTTGTCATTCATCCTTGTAACTGGCTGAATATCACGAACTGTCGTCTTCTCAGCTGCTGTCTCGGAATCTGCCGCAGCATTGTCCTTGCTCATCCTGGAGTTCCTTGCCGCATCGAAAAACTCAATTCCCGTGGGTCGAATCTTGGCCAATCTCAAAGGCTCACGGCTACCACCAATTCCACACGCAATCACGTCCTGGCCCATGAACTTGACGCTGCGTAAAAGCGAAACCTCATCGGGGGAGCTGTCTTTGGATACATCATAGTAGAGGACAGGTTTCAGTGTTGCTTCTTCTGTGTTGGAAAGGTTGTACAGCGTCAAGATGGAGCTTCTGCAACTAGCCAGCAACTTGGCGTCGGATTGCCACTCAGTCCATGAAATCGCTCTCTGTCCAGGAGACATTCGGGGAGGAAGTCTGGACTGGTTGCTAGTGTCGTGTGTAGTAAGGAAGCTCTGAGATGAGTCTGATATTGTCTCATCTCCGACGTCCAAGAGTTGAAGGCCTCCATCGGCCCTTCCAACAACCACCTCTGGAAACTGCTGGCGCTCGATGATGCTGATTGCTGTTACGTCTCCCGTCCCAGCCGCATATCCGGTTTCACGGCCTCCCAGCTTGCTCCAATTGTCTGATGCCTTGCTATTCACCCCCCTTCGTCGAAATATCAGGTTCTCTCCCGCGCCATGCGCCAACAGCTCTTCTTGCGTGGACAAGAGCGTCGTAGCATCAATGACAGAGTGAAAGTTGACAGACTGTCTGCTCCTGGCAAACTCCCTCCTCTTGGCCCGCGCCGGCGACTTCTCCCCATACACCGTCAGATAGAGTCCGCGACTGTTCCAGCACCGGTCCAGATACGTCAAGCGGTCTGCCACGGCATTCCATCCCGTCAAACCCCCTGATGGGACGTTGATGGAAGGGAATTTGGTCCTCACGAAGCTGCGCCACCCGCTCCGGTTGATGACGGCATGCGCGTGTCGAGATGCGCTCCCCAGATGAGCCACATCGCGAGCCGTGTCCAGATGTTGGACAATGTCGAGAACGAGTTCGTCTGGGAGACTTCCCAGCGACGCCACGTCCATTATGATTACTGTTCAAGTGGTCTCATAGAGCTCATAGAGAGGTCTATGTGATAGTGTTTGGTGAATGCAGAAAGTAGGAAAGAGAAGAAGGAATATGCCGCAAAATTATCCAGCCGACCATCTACCGCATCTTTAACGTCGTCCATTTGCTATCAGCTTCAATTCTCACAGCCAGCATGGACGCATTTTACAGCCCTTGCCGCGATGATGATTCATCCACTAAAACTTACTAAAACTTGACGGTGGCGCAACGAGTATCTCCAAAACGCCGCAGCCAAAGTCTGACTCACGCCCAGGCTTCTATTCTCTCCAGGGTATGCAGATTCTCAAGCCAAAGCCTCCATTGTGACTGGTTCAGTGAAGGCGAAGGAGGGGGAGAGAGTCATGGGGAGATTGCATTACTTTGGTAATAGCGTGACGGGAGGGAAGGCTGCCTGCAAGGCTTATATGCATCTAGCGGGTCTCAGTCAGCGCGATGGACTGCCTAAACTGAAGGCTCTTCCAAATCAAGAGTCAGGAATAACCACACCATAATACTGTGCGGTTGGTACTGTAAATACTAGGTATCAAATATCAAATACCTAGGTTGGTTGTAAGATAGGTAGTTGTAGGACTCATGGGCTGTAGTACCCAAATCATATCCGTCGTCGTCGTTCTCACGCAAAACAGAAAAAGGCCACTGTTTATGTACCCCAAGTATCATCCCCGTTTGCTATACTATATGATGAACCTATCTACAGCCCGTAAACATCATCGCCAATCCCTATGCATATGCTGAAAAGAAAATCCACATGCTGGTTTGCTTCCCTCCCCTTTCTATCACCCCTGGATCGGAAATGAACACCGCCTCCGCCTAACCATTTCCAACGCCAACAGCAAAAACGCCTTATAAAGTATGGTTTTCCAACGTGCCTCGTTGCAAAGGTATCACCAAAATGGACCCCCTTCCGCCATCTCCACCCCCCTCTCTTCAAGCAAGACAAAAGAAAAAAAAAATATCACATTAACAGATACAACGCACGCGCAGCTTTTTCGGCCGCCGCAACATGCCAGGGCCGCACATCTGCTTCCCTATCGACCACTCCACGGGCGCGGGCCAGGGTGCCCAACCCTCTGAAGTATCCCAACATCTCTCGGAAAAGGGGCTCGTGCACTCGCGGCATGGCCTCTGTGTACACTAGATTAACCTCCATTACAGTGGGAGCGTCTTCCACTCTGATTCCTGTCCGCTTGATCAGATAACCACTGATTAATGCAGGATGCACTTCAAGAATGCTCATAGAGTTGCTGAGTCGGTGGCCAGCGATAGCTCCCCAGGTCTGATCAGTGACATCGGTCAGAATGGCGTCCAGATCCGCATCACCGGCACCAGCATTAGAAGCGCCACCATCGCCAGATGGGGTAGCGGCCGTCATGTTGGCTTCGCGAGCAGGGGTTGCGGGGGTTGGAGGCTCCGGAGAAAATGCACTCGGCTGCGGCGTAGATGCTGGTGTATGAAGAGCAGCCGAGGGCGGCGGGAGCCTCACAACCGGCGGTAAAAGCTGAAGTGACGGATTCGTATCGACCGTGAGCAAAGCCACAGTAACCTTGGCGTTAATCTCGGTGCGCGCAAGGTCGACCCAAAAATCCATCTCATGCTGCGGCATCGGTCCGCATTTGGTAATGATGACTCTCCAAAGCACTTTCCAGGCAGATATCAATTCGAGCGTAGTCTCCCATATCTCATTGGCAATCTCGTTCATGTTCCGAGATGGTGATTTCCCCTTTCTTCCCATGCAATATGAAGCCGTGGCTTGCTGGTTCCCCCTGTCGTCAGTCCATGCCGCGGTGATCCATCGCTCGTCGACACTTTGGGCGTATGCTACATGGATGCAAGAGTTTTCGCGAATGAGCGACGCTGACGGGTTAGTAGTCAGTTTAAAATCGATAATGCGTGGTAGGAGCTGCTCGAGTCTGATTGCTGGGGCAGGCATTGGCCCCCCAAATAGAGTACAGCGATCATAGGTTTCGATGCAGAGTCTGACCAGATCTGAAGTCGGAGTGACGACCAAGGCCGAGGGAGAGGACAGCAGGTCTGCTGATACCAGCTGCAAAACTAGTTCATTCTGAGGAGGCTCCTTTCGGGTTGCCAGAATCTTTTGATAAGTTTCAAAGAATCGCTGAAACGCCGTACAAGACTCAATAATGGTCCCGGGATTGTCTGGCGAGTAGACGAAATAAATAACAAAGTTTGTCTCGGTGATTGCAAGGTTGGTGAATACCCCACGCAGCACTTCCATGCTCTCAATCATGGCCGAGCCGTGTCCCGTCACGGTGGCGTCGGGTGAAGTGGTAATCCTATCAATCTCGTATGGTAAAAGTCCTGCTTCCATATCTGCGCCAAGATGCATGACTTCAAACGTGCCCAATTTCAAAAACTCGTAAACACTTTTGATTCGGTCCAGAAAGGTCTTGACATTGTCTCCCATTCCGGGCCATCCAGGAAAGACGCAAATCGCATTGATGTTTTTGCTTCCTGAGGAAGGGGAGAGACCCAAACTCTCCCAAAATGAAACTGCCGACGGCAGTACAGACAGCTTCGTGTCTGCTCTCTGTACTTCCAAATGCGGGCTAGGAATCTGATATAGGTTGCTGGGCCGTATGGCTTCGGGGTTTCCTTCACGGCCAGGGATCTGCCTTGGCTGAAAGTGACTCAAAAGCGGTACGTCTTGAATATCCAACAAGCCTTTCAAGCGCATCGGCATGGTGTCTCCAAAAAATTGCGCAACAATTTCTTCAAGTGTATGAAAGGAATCTCGACTATGAGTTAATAGCTCTTGACGCTTTTGGCTAGCCGAAAGAGTGGCCGTCTCGAAATCCGAGGCTCTGAAGATATCCAGCCCGCCCGTTGCTGCTTGCTCAGTCACAATTTGTGCAATCTGGATCAGATCGTCGTCATTCAAGGCCATGTCTAGCAACAACGGTTCTGGGTCTGAGAACAACGCAGAGAGGGGCACTCCTGTCATATCAGACTTGGATAGCCGTGGCAACTCCATGGCAAGTTGATGATCAGGCTCTTCAATATCGCAATCCCTTAGTGATGTGATTTGAGATAGGATATCGTCATCTGCATTTATCAACCTAATGCTGGCCTTGTGCGGAGAACCAGGCTCATCTGAAGTGTAGCTCGAGTCGTCCTGGTCTGATTCGACGCTGCTGTCCTCTCCTGATATCGATCCATCTAGTTTCATTGGACTAGTTGTCGACATTTGCGGCTCCAGTACGGAATATTGCTTGGCCATGGTGCTTCGGGTGATGGGTCGCTCCCTTGGCTTCCTGTTGAGTTTCCCATGCCGTTTCAGATAGTCAGTTTCGGGAACGGCCCGAAGATCGATGTTTGGCTTCTCCATCTTTTCCACCTTTGAAAGAGCACTAAGGTCGAATAGCCCTCCCCGTTCATATTTCTTATTAATCATCGGCAACGCTGGGTCGAAGTCGAGGCTCTCAAAGATCTTGGCTTTTCTCCACGCGGGTTGAGAAGATGTGGTGGAATCATATTTCGGTATTTTAAGAGATGCCTTGACGCGCTTAAACACCGCATGGGGGTCAAAAGGGCTGGATTCGCGTTTTATAGGCGTGACTCGTATCTCCCCTCGGCTGCGACGGGTTGGGTCTTCATTCTGGCTTCTAGCATGCTTGAGCTCAGGCTTGGCAAATACTACCCTCTCTGGCTGAGGAGGAGGAAGGGGAGGAGGAAGAAGAGGAGCAGAGGACGGTGGCGGTAGCGAAGGAATAGGAGCAAGAGTGGGAGCAAGAGTCGCAGCCTGAGCCGGAGTTGGAACTGACGGAGTGACGGGAGGATGAAGAGGTAAGGATGTAGGCGTTGGCGCCAGGGGTGGCGGTGCAGTCTCGACGGGAATTACAGTCTCTTCAACGGGTTGGGGTGGTGGAGGAAGTGCCATTTCTGAGCTAGGCATATCAGCCATGGGAATATCGGCATCCATGTCGCCAGGCTTCTCATCAAAGAAGTTAAAGTCGGCCTCAGTAATGGCATTGTCGTCAAACATGTCTCTCCCTATATCTCCTCCAAAGATGTTCTCACCATCACCACTGAGAAGATTACTATCACTCCGTTGTCTCTTAGAATCTGCAAACTCCGGAGACTGGTCGACGCTGTCCCCCCCTGTTGGCTCATTCTGGATAGAAGCATCGGCTTCTGCAACGACTGGTGCAGATAGTGGATTGCCCGGGCTGGAAAGCGTACCGTCAATGGATGGGGTCACGCCATTTGCTTGATGAACTCCATCTGGTGGCGTTGGGTACATAATACCAGCCGTTGCTGTATTGGGACGCTGCAAGGCCACAGGTGAAAGTCCACTCGGTTTAGGTGTTTTTGACTCCACGCTTTGCGGCTGTGGATCCTTGGGGATATTGGCAGCACGCTCCATAGCTCGTTTAAGCTTCTCTTCCCTGTCCGTAATAGAGGAATACCATCCTTTAGCATTGCCAAGTGGATCGTGACTTTCTTCATGGCCGCTCAGTACAGCGTCCACTACACGGCTTGTAGAAGATGCATCGACATTTTTCTTGCGGAAACATAGACGCCTTGGCCATGGCAGCGTGAATGAAGAGCTCGCGCTGGAGGATCGGTGATCGCCCCTGGTATCTGCGGTCTTCGGCTTAGGGACCAGGAGATTCACCCAAAGACAGCCCCCGAGTGTTGACGCAGTTATGCCCCGGAAATTCAAGAACCGGAGGCAAGCCTGTTTCCACGACGACTCTTGTCCATCGAGTCCGCCGCGGAAACTAAAAAATTGGGTCATGGGTGTCTGAGCTAAGCTTGTCAAGCCGCCGTCACCAGGAACAAAATTCTGGGTAGCAGTCATGATGCCAAAAGGAGCAGCAAGGACAGAATAGCCCGAGGGGGCCAGACTTGAGGGAACAGCGTCATCTAGTGATAAAATCCCTCTACATTTTGTCAGAGCCAGGCTTATCATCAGTGCTCCCGTTGTCGTCAGATATGCCCTAAAAGTGCCCAGTATCTGCGGTTTGCCGATGGCAACTCCGTGCGGTTGTGCGTTGTATGCAGTCGGAGACAGTAAAACAGTCCTATAGTTGAGAGGAACTGCCCCAACTCGGCGACAGAATGTGGTCGATATCGTCAACAGGACAGAAGCAATGAATTTTTCGTATAGAGGCCTCTGCGCTGTCGATGTGGTCTTGGGCTTTTCGGCCTTTGGGTCTGGGTCTTGCGAGATGGGCGCGGTGGTCTGCAGAGGTGATGAGAGAGCAGGACGGTAGGCCTGTTCCAGAGTAGAAGTAGTCGACAAGAGGCTCGTGGGCGTGCCGCTGGACTGAAGTCCTTGAGAACGGGGTTTTTGTATTATTGGAGGCTCTATGACACCATGCTCCCTTACGATGAGGCCATGTCCAGTCACATCAGGGAGCAGCTCGAGGCTGTCGCCCAAATCATCCAAATTTTCATCTTTGGGGAGAAATTGGAAATGCCACAGAGCCCTTTTGGTCGCATCGTATAAAACGATGTGTCCTTTTTCCCTTAGTGAGTCCTCAACCTCAAGAGCGACCGAGGCGAAGTTTTGCGACAGGTTGGATGACGGTTCGTACAAACGATAAGCGATCGACGAGACATTATTCTAGAACCTGGGGTCAGCCGAAGAGGGGAGAGCCATCAAGCGAGGGGCCAGGCTCACAATTAACAATGTATTAGTTTCATATTCCCCAGTATCCATATCGACTGCTTATAGAGTAATCGGCCCGTGGCAGCCGGTGACAGCGCAGTTGGCCGTCGTCGACACGAAGCCACGGCGTCCTGGAATCTATCGCGCAAACGGTCGGACCAGAGGCCGGGGAGCAAAGCTGTGATGGTCGAGTTCAAGAAGCCCTGATGAGGAGGATAAGTGATTTTGATGCTCTGTGCTGCCCGAGCTCCATCTCAACGAGGGTTTCCGCCGGTCGATGAGGTTGTCGAGGAGCGTCGCCTCGATAGGCGCGCGAGCTCGAAGAACCGGTTATGGAGTCACGAGGCGTCCGAGGATCGGGGATTAGGGGGGAAGCAGAGTCTTCAGCAACTCATCAGCCACATGCCTATGATTGCCAGCATGCGCAGCCTCAGGCCAAGCAAATGAGGAGACGAGGATCAAGCAATGTTGGAAATGCACCGCATCGCGGAACTGACAGGGCTCAGACGTCTCCAGGGAGTCCGAAGCGTGCTGGATCCAGCGCGTGGCGGCGATTGGCTGGGCCAGCGCTCGGTCAGGCGAATCCATACAAAGCATAGTGCTTGTGTGGGGGCGGCTCACCGCTGACCGACGTGGGGCTGGAATTTTTCTTCACCTTGATTTTTCTGGTAGCCGCAAAATTGTCTAGCATTGGATCTTATCTTTGTCTCTGCATTTGCGACTGCAGATATTTTCAGCTGGAACCCAGAAGGGAGACCTGATACTCTGCATCCGCCATGAAGCTCTCCAATCCGGGGACAGTCCCCGTCTACACAATCTCGGGCGCATCTACTGCCCGTCCTCTTCCAGATTGGCTGGCCCGCCGTCGGAAGCGCAGTCTGAAGAACGATGCCGAGTACCAGAATCGCGTCGAACTTCTGCAGGACTTTGAGTTTGAAGAAGCCAGTCAGTGTATCCGCATCAGTGAGGATGGCGAATGGATCATGAGCACGGGTACCTATAAACCCCAGCTGCATGTACACAATCTTCCACAGCTCTCTCTTTCATTCGCAAGGCACACGACCTCGCTCAACGAGACCTTTGTCCTGCTTTCCACCGACTACTCAAAATCCCTACACCTCCAGAATGATCGAAAACTCGAATTCCATACCCCCATGGGCTGCCACTATGAAGCGCGCATTCCCAGATACGGTCGAGATCTTGTATACGATCGGCAATCCACCGAGGCTCTCATTCCTGCCGTTGGAATTGACGCTGATGGCAAGGGAGAGGTTTTCCGCATGAACCTCGAGCTCGGAAGATTTATGAAGTCATATCAGATCGAGGTAGGAGGAGATGATGAGCTGGGTGGCGGTCTGCAAGGAGGCATCAACATTGGCAGCGTGAACTGTGCTGCTATCGCCGAGGATACACACAACCTGCTTGCATTTGGTACATCAATAGGCACAGTAGAGTTTTGGGATCCCCGATCAAGATCACGAGTCGCGCTGCTTGCCGGCCACGATGGCGGCGTCACGGCATTGGACTTTCATTCGTCTGGTTTGTCGCTGGCGACTGGCAGCTCAACTGGTATGATTCAGCTGTTTGATCTCCGTCGGCCTACGCCATTGCTCAAGAAGGATCACGGCTATGGCTTCGCCGTGAAAAAGTTGATTCACATGACAACAGCTTCACAAGAGAAGAAGGTTCTGTCTGCCGATAAGCGCATCATTAAAATCTGGGACGAGGTGACGGGCGATCCATGGACATCCGTTGAACCTGTAGTCGATCTCAACGACGTGGCTTGGTGCAAAAACAGTGGTATGCTTCTGACAGCAAATGAAGGCAAGCAGCAGCACGCATTCTTCATACCACAGCTCGGCCCCGCTCCCAAATGGTGCTCCTTCTTGGACAACATGGTGGAGGAAATGGCAGAAGAAGTCCGCACCGAAACTTACGACAACTACAAGTTCCTGACCCTACCAGAGCTGAAGCAGCTCAGTCTTGCACACTTGATCGGAAAAACCAATCTACTGCGACCATATATGCACGGATACTTTGTCGCATCTAAGCTTTACGAGCAAGCCAAACTCATCGCGAACCCCTATGCATTCGAGGACGAGAGGCAGAAGCGCGTCAAGGAGAGGGTTGAAAAGGAGCGTTCTAGCCGCATTAGAGGCACAAAGAAGGTCAAGGTCAACCAGAGACTTGTCGACAAGCTTCTCAAGAGGCAGGAGAACAGAGGCCAGGTTGATACCGATGCCGGTCTTCTGGGAGATCAGCGATTCAACCAGCTGTTCGAAGACGAAGACTTTGCAGTGGATGAAGCCAGTGGTGAATTCAAGGCTCTTAACCCCAGCACAGCAGTTCAGCAGGCTCTGGAGGCCAAGCATGGAACGGTTACATACCAAGGCAAGGACTCTGATGAAGAGTCTAGCGATGATGAGCCTATCTCTAAGCCTAAAGATGACGTGGTGATGAGGGTATCATCAACACAAAATGAGGGCCGACAGCTAAAGGATTCTGCACTGGGTTCAAGACAGCAGAAGTCTACACGAGTCAACAAGTCAATGAGCGGCGAGGTTCGTGGAGAGAGACAAGTCACATTTGTGCCAGAGTCAAGGAAAAAGAAGCAACAGCAGGAGGAAGAGGAAGAGGCACCACCTCCGCAAAGACGTTCTACAAAGGGTAGGCGAAGCGCCAGCTCAAACACATTTAGAAAGATGTGATACCCATAAACATTTGAAATACCAAAAAAAAGAAAGAAGCAAAGGATATATTGTATATACATTCGGACACCGATGAGCGAAATCATAATTTCATCCATAAAAAAGCACACAAAAGCAAACACTCGCCATTAGCCGTTCTTAATCATGTCCTTTACGCCTTTACTACCCATTCGCACGCACATCCACGAACACTCTGCGTCGTTACTTGCTGCTAGACTTCGATTGGATAGATTTGCTGTCGCTCCGAGCCAAGCCCTTCTCCAAATCTTCAGGTCGAAGTCGAGGGGTTGGGGGCACCTCGTCGATCTTGGTTCGTCCACGTCGATTGGAGCGCGTTGAACCTTTGACAGAACGGGGAAATTCAGATCGCCTTGGAGTAAGAGCAGTAGCAACTTTTTTCGTTGATCTTCTGATAGTCTCTTTGATGGTCCATTCGCGCTTTTTGGCAATGAAGAAGAGAGTAGCGGTTGTAACTGGAGGGTGTCAGCATGCTGGGAAATGGGATGTGCTGAGGACTGCGGATTTTGCTTACTGCCTATCAAGATGACAACCACAACCACGATAATGATGGCAACCAGAGCTCCAGTCGAGAGGGTTATGGAATTAGCTGAGCTGTCGCCCGCGGCACCGGCGTCGGTTCCATCCTGCGCAGTGATGCTGCCGGACTGGCCCTGCCATGAATCGTCCGTCGCCAGAGGGAAATACGCAGAGGTCTGCGACATGATGATATGCCTTGATTGGGATCTGGCGTCTTTACTCGTATGTGTATGTACTTTGTATATCAATGCACAGCCAGGAAGCTTGTTTGAGAAGTCGAAATATCATACGAGATATCTCGTGGTAGGCAGCAAGCAGAATAAGAATAAAACCACAACATCCAAAAGCTCACCCGCTGGACCGGAGATATACTGTGCCATAGCCCACTCTTTATTGTAATATCCCTTCTTTGTTTCTCACCTCCTCTCCATTGTCGACAAGTGCCTGCATACAAATGCCGGCGGCGAGCCATGTATCAGTAAACGCCCTGGGCATCTCATCGGCCCTGTTTGGCGTGGCCCTGGACTAGTTCTTTGTGACGCTTGTGCCTGGATATGACCGAATGTCGGTGGCGCGCCCTCATGATTGGCCTCGTCTCACCCAACAAGCGCCGACGCCAACGGCGCATGCAGGGGTGTTGGCCAATGAGGCGTACAGGACGCAGCTCTGTCGTCCTTTGCATCACTTGAGCGAGCCAAACAGCTAAAGCATCACTGCGCGCCCGCAGGTTCTGTCTGTGACGGCTCCGTGACGACGTGAGACTAAAAGATCCTATTTTTGTGACTGGGGAGGGCCGGTGCATCGCGCTTATTGCGATTGAGAAGGCTCAAGGGTGCATCACTGTGATATTGGTGATTCCGATTTTGGAGGGGCAGTTCCACGCAGCCTTGGAGTCGGCCATTCGCATCAATGATTGTGCGATGTAGGGGCTCGAGACGGTGAAGGTTCGTTTAATGCCGATGCTAAGGATTGGATGGAAAGGAGTGTGGTTTCTGACTGCAATGGAGGGTCTGCAAGGCGGACACCGCACGGCATTACTCGCAGTGTCTCAAGATTGTGAGATGATGCGCCCAAGGCATTTCGAGGGTATCCACGACTGTTGATCTGTCTCAATGATGTTTGCATTGTGATAGCAAGAGATAATGGGTAGCCACGTATATTTGCCGTGGAGTCTGTTTTATGTTTATTTTTATCATTGTTTTTCGGTTCAAGAGAATGATTATTGGCCACTTGAATCTCCTTGTACCTACCCACTACTGTCGCTGCATTTTCTATCTTGGTAGTATCTGCTATTTGATACTTTTACCTCAGCTACTTATGAAATTTGGAACAGACTCTGAATGATGTATAACCATATCAGAGTGCACCGCTTTTGCTGTGTTAAGTCCTGCTACTTCAGTACCTACGCAGCAGTCGGCCTCTTTTCACATGGCCACAGAAAGCGAAGATGAACTTGGCTGCATGATGGAATAATTGAGAAATACAAAAATAAAATAAAATGATATAATGCACTCATCGTATTTTTGTTCTATTCTCATGCTCTTTCTGAATCTCCATTTCCTGAGACGTATCTGCTATGTTGAGAACGTGTCTTTCCAGATGCAGATGCAGCCATGGAAGGAGCATCATGCCTCCTTCCACAGTTACTTCCTAGATGGACTCGCTTACCACAGACTGACCGCCTTCTTTGTAGAAAACCCACAATCGTATGGCCAAAACTTAATTGCAACATCTCCCAAAAGCTGTTCTCGTAAGGACGGTGATGACTTTGGAATTCACACACACATTGCTTCCACCTAATCACGACAAAAGGCACATTCACAATCCACAATCTCGCATCATACATGCACGAAGATGCCTCTCCAGATGAGCTTTACTATGAAGCCCCCAAACTCTGGTACTGGACTTGGCGGTGCATCTCTCGCTGACGAAACCCCTGACTATGGATGGGCAAAAAAGGAAAAAGGCATCAGTAACATGCCATCACTGATCCCTGAACTGGCCTCTCCGAAAATAATGCAGGGTCGTCGTACACTTAACAAGCAAGATATATGCGAAGCATCGCTATCAGAGGGCTACAAGTTTTCACACAGAGATCCACCTCGCCCTGGCCAATTTACCAATATTCCGCAGCACAGTCTGTTTACAAAGCCCCTGAGTTCTCCGCCTCCAGAGCCAAGTCGAGATCTACCCGGCTCACCACCAAAGGACAGAATCACGGATTGGATGGCCAGAGCCTCACCTTTGGACTTGCCAGAGATATGCCTCCCAGACAAATCAAGAAGCATAGATGCTGCTCATAAGCATGGAGGCGAAACGGAGGTCTGTCAACGAGATATAATTGTACGTTGGAGTTGGTTCAGCAATTCTTTTTTTTTTTTTTTGAGCTACTCATACTCTTTTGAATAGGAGGATCAAAGAACTAATGATTTACAGGAGTCGAGATTATTCATGTCCCCTGGTATTACCAAGCCCAAAGACCTACCTGGCTCTAAGAGTTGCTCACCAAAAGACGCCGGCAAGACGGATAAGAACACCAGGCTGATATCGCCACCAAAGCTTGCACCTTTGCCCACACAAAGTCACCACAATAGTCTATCGAAAGCCATTGATCACAAATTGGTCACTGGTGAACAAGATGATGTGCATAGTGCGCCGCGGAAGCAACCAACGGTGAACAAGACAAAGAGCCCAAGTCCAGTACGCCAATCAACTCCTAGCATCTGTGGCGATCTGGAAGTTCCTACATACCGCAGTCCCGCGAGATCTCGGCCTCAACACTCAACAGATTTTGCATGCAGGCCGATGATTTCCAGTTCTACCAGAGCACATAAGCAGCGATCCCACCGGCGATCCGGCTCCAACACGAGTAGCAACATATCCAAGAAACGGTCGCGCACTTACAAATCCCCATCCAAAGTCGACCTAAGACTCAGAAGATTGGTAATGGAAAAGGTTGCCCAAAATTGGAACGAATGTATCCAAGCTGTGCAGGACGAAGCTTACGAAATGGTTAAAGGGCTCAAACATGAGCTCCAACTTCAAGAGGCGGAACATAAACAGACATGCAATCTGCTGAACGAGAAAGATGTGAAGCTATGTGAGATCGAGAAGCTTTACAATACGCTGGTTGAAGATAATACCCGAGTGACCAGGGAGAATGAGGGTTTGGCTTCTGACCTCACATCTCTGCGCGAACAATTGTCTGAAGAGAAGAAGCAAGAGAAACTTGCTCATGATAAGTGTGATACTTACCGGCACAAGCTTAATGAAACTATCAGGGAGCAAGGGGTTCTCTATCGGCGTGCACAAACGTACTACCAAGACACGATGAATCAACTGCGAGATGAAATTGCCCACAAAACAGCGTCATCGGAGGCCATCGATGAGGCTTTGAAAAACAGCCTCAAGATACGAGAGGAGATGAAAAGATGCACGGAGGAGTACCGTATGAAAATGGAGAAGGATGTTGAAAAGAGTAAGGTCTCAGTCATGGCTATGAAAGTGATGCTTAGCTGACCACAGCGCAGGGGACCAAGTTATATCGGAGCTGAAGGAAAAGCTGGCGCTCCAAGAAGCTTTGCTGGCTCAGGAGAAATCATTTGCCGATAAGCTGCGAGCTCAAACTGAAGATAAGGGTGCAACACAGCAGTGCGTTCGGACGTTGGAGGCCAAGGTGGATTCTTTGATGGCGCATCATGCCATACAAAACGAACAACGCGAATCGGATGCCCAACATTGTGCACAGATGATGAGCACGCTGAATTTGAAGTGGTTTATTTCTCTTTCTTGTTTTGCAGAGCGATCTCTTCTGACATTTGGACAGATTAGACTCTCTGCTCGCAGGCGGAAATCTGCTCGCGTCCAAGATGCTTTCACCGGACACTCTTGACCTCAAACTGGCTGTCGCCGAAAAAAACATCATTGATAGGTGAAAATTATGTACACTCATTTAACCTGCCCTAGCTAACACTAGACCAGCATGCTGCCCGCGGTTCTTTCGCTGAAAAATGGGCAAAGTGATGTTGCAATTGCAATGTCGCAGTTGGAGGCATCAATCAGACAAGATCTTGACCACTTCAAAGACGAGGCAAGCAAGATAATAAGTGCATTGGAAGAAAATAAGGAAGGGAGTAATTTGCGAAACCGTGAGCTTCTAAGCCACGCACAAGCCTTTGACAGCAATCTGAAGAAAGCAGAGGGCTGTTATGAACATATGGGCCAAAAACTTGATGTCATATCGGCCAATGGACAAAGCAACCAGCGCGAGACAATCAGTATGCTGCAAGACTTCTTGCAGAAGGTTTCAGCGCGTGAGATTAACCCTGAGGACCTGGAGCGCCAGCTTCAAAAAGGGCATGAAGACTTCATGAAAAAGGCTGAGGCACTGATATCCGAGGCACTGAACAATAGAAAAGAAACAACAGATGTTGTAAGGCGCGCTACTGACGAGCTTCGAGCCACTTTGGAGCAGGGATTTGGACAGGAGAGAGAGAAGACAGCCCAAATGCTCCAAGGAAGCGAAAGTTTGTTGAAGGTCTTGACAGCTCATATCGACGAACAGAAGCAACTCGCGACGCAAACTGACCATAAATCTTCCGAGTTACAAGCGACATTGGAAAGCGAGCGCGAGGCAGCCGCTGAACTAGGACGCAAAATTCAGGAACTTGAGCAGAAATCTCAAGAGACCGAAAATCTCCGTGACCGGTGGCTTAAAGATGTCAAAATGATTGACAAAGTGCGGCCACAGATCAAGGCCATCGAGATGCGAATTCCGCAGGTCGAAAATTACGACAAAAAACTAGACAGGATTGTGGAGATCAGCAGATCTATACAATCATCCGCCAGCTATTTGGCAACAGAAGAGGAATGGGTTCAATTAGAGCTCGCAGGCATTATCCCGAAGCCAGATGCCTCAGAGCCAGTGGCATCTTGTGAAATTACCACAGCGCCACTACCTCATTTCGTCGAATCCAACGTCGTGGCAGAAAAGCAGGCATCGATCAAGGAAGATGCCATAAGCCGCAAAGTTACTGTTCACAGTCCTGATCCAGGTGAGGTCTCACCTTCACCTCCACTAACTGTGATTCAAGAGCAAAAGCGTCGTCGTGAAGTCACTCAACTCAGATCGATTCTTAAGAGCCATGCCCTTCATAGTGCCGTCGAACCAGACAGCCTGGAAGGCCAATATACTCGACCACCGGCCAATCATGGCAAGGCCAACCAAGCCTCGAGCGACTCTCTCAACAAGCCGGCATCTGCTTCGGCGAAGGAAGTTGTTGCTGAAATTCGCTCGAGGATGATTCAGCATGACTGGAGTTTCCCGACTGTAGCTGACTTCGAGCGGGACATTGAATTAAGCAGCAAGAAAAGACACGCGCCTCAGGGCAACCCAGTGTCTTTGGAATCCATTGACGCTGACCATCGGGATATGAAGAAGCTCAGAACCGAGTATTTCATCGAGTAATGCAGTTCGGCAAGGAAGTGTGGTGGGGTGGTTCGTCCGCAGATACTCATGGTATATCCTGCTATAGTTTGAAGGAGCCGGTACTTTTAATTCGCTTACTTTTTGTGGTTGCTCACTTTTTCGGCAGCTAGAATGTGAAATAATCAAGTGTGGAAATATTTGGGAGTGAATTTTTATTCCAATCAGACCAGATATCTTGCTTGACCTGTCAACGCTTCGAGCGTAGTGCCAGCCCATCCCCAAACTCCAGAAATGCTCTTCATATTGATACATGTACATAGGCTGTCGCAGGTTCGAATAACCAGACCACCCGCAACCAAATCATTATTTCCCGTCCCTGAGGTGTATAGTTGGAATTTACATTGCTCGGAAATCTTCTTATTTGGATCGCTTTTTCGTTTCCAGGAACAAGACCTTTTTGCGGACTGAGTGGCAGTTAGACATGGGCATCGGCATTGGAAGAAAATATGAGTATCCAGCGGAGGACAGTTCGTACCTATCGGATCGTACTTGAGCATTCCCATCATGGGAGCTGTTCTAGGCCGCTTGAAGGTGTAGAAGAAGCCGGTCATGGCCATGGAGATGAGCCGGACGTTGATCAATCTTGCCTTTGCTGCGAGGAGGTTAGCGTCTGTTCATTGCGCACATGCATATGGTTGGAATTCTACTGGGCTCGGAAGCAGTAGCTCACCTTTCTTGGCCATTGTGTCGATATCTCCGGCGCTCGAAAGATGTCGTTCGATGGATCCATACTCGCGATAGCATCGTAAATTCCTAGCATGGCGGGATGTCCATCCGGGTAAAGGTACTGCCGAATTCCGAAGCCAAAGTGGGGGGGGCCTCTTTGTCCTCATCAGACTAAGACAAACCCCTGCAGACGGATTGAATTACGTTATACCGGGGCCGCGCCGATAGCGGCTTGCCCATGCTCTGAACCCCTACCAATATCACAGCTAAGCTTGCTGCTGGGGTCCATTCAGTCACCAACGGCGCAAGTATTATCACCGGTGAAGGAGGAAATTAGCATCAGCCTTGCGCCGACGAGACACCGCACCCCAGGAATTGTCTCTTTTTTTTCTCTCTCCGTGTCCATCTAGCGGCTGCTGCATCCTATTCTGGCAGCGGTGTTAGGGATAGGGAGTATGTAAGCCTGTAGTCTGCGATAAAGGGTGCGCGGCCAAAGTGAAGTAGGGGAAAAGCCACGACGTCTCAAGCCAACAAAAACCATCCACAATCCTTTTGGCATCTGGTAGCGCTCCAGCTACACCTGCCGGCGCCTTGCATCGGCGATTTGCCATATTACGTTTCTTTTTCTCTTCTTTTTTCTTCTTCTTTCTATTGTCCTTGATTCTCATCATTCGTCTTGTAATTCGGCATCATGTCAAGGGCGCTGCTGACGAGCAGCAAGGCGCTGCCTCCTGCAACCACTGGGAGGCTGTTGGGTGTGTCGCGGATAGCTGGTAGGTGTCTGAGTTTCCTTTTTTCGCCATCCAGTTTGCCCTGATTGTGTCGCTTGGATTTCCCTTTCACCTCTTTCGTACGTCATTATCATGCTTCAGGCGGCCATTGGAGTGAGGCATTACGACAATTACACGGGCCAAGGGAGCAGCCAGCTTCAGCTCATGCCTGCATCTCGCGGAGAAGCTTCTCTTTTGGCCGCACTCAACATGCAACAAACACCACGAGCTAGGCGCAAACATCCAATGCCGCAACTATCCCCCCAGATCCACCAATCTCGATAGGGCGCACCAGATGATGCGTGGAGCGACCGATGCGCTGATTTTCTTTTCTGCCTGTCATGGATACTGGATGAGGTGTGGTGGTTGAATCCCTTCTGGGCCATGGCTTGGGCCTAACAGCCTAACAGCAGCCAAAGGAGGCGCGCAGATCCCGTGGATTCCCTAACCATCAGCCGAGAGTTTCCATGGCCTGCCGATTGTGTTTGGGGAATCTTGGGGTCCAGACGCAGAGCATGAAGCAGCTCCACCCGCCTCCATCCCCTCTAGCAAACGCTTCCCCTGTGATTTTTCTTTTCTTTTTTTTTTTTTTTTTTTTTTTTCTTTTTTTCCTTTTTTTTATATCTCCGTTATTTTGAACTTGTCTTTTTGTTGGAAGAATTCTTTTGCCAACTTACCAAAAAAAAGATCTAGAAGCCGCCGGTCATCGGCGATCGCTACTCACGTTTTCTGCCCCGCCATCTAGAAGACTTCAACCCCACCATTGCAGATTCGTCCCTCGATCATTCTCAACTACCGCGAAAATGGGCCGCCTCAACCTCAACAACATCAACCCGCACGTCCGCGCGGCGGAATACGCCGTCCGTGGCGAGCTCGCCGTCAAGTCGGAGGAGCTGCGTGCCCAGCTGAGCAAGGGCACCACCAGCCTGCCCTTTGACCAGGTCATCTCGGCCAACATTGGCAACCCGCAGCAGCTGGACCAGAAGCCCATCACCTTCTTCCGCCAGGTCCTCAGTCTGCTGGAGAACCCCCAGCTCCTCGAGAAGGAGGATGTCTTGATCAATGGCCTGGGATACAAGACGGACGTTGTTGAGCGTGCCAAGTGGCTGCTCAAGCACTGCGGCTCTGTTGGTGCCTACAGTGCTAGCAGCGGTGTATACGCCATCAAGGAGAGCATTGCCAAGTTCCTCGAGAGTGAGTAGCGTTTCTTTCGGAGATGGAGATGAGTCGGCTTACTGACACAATGCGCTGCTTTCCAGGAAGAGACGGCTTCCCCGCCAACCCTGCCAACATCTACCTCTCTGCCGGTGCCTCGTCCGGAGTCAACACCCTTCTTCACGTCCTCGCCGAGTCCCCCAAGTCCGGCGTGCTTGTTCCTATTCCTCAATACCCTCTTTACACCGCCACCCTCTCCGTCCTCAACGCCACCTGCGTTCCCTACTACCTCGACGAGTCCAAGGCCTGGGGCACCGACCTTGAGGCCATCCGTGCATCATACGAAAAGGCCAAGTCTGAGGGCGTCGATGTTCGCTGCATCGTCATCATCAACCCCGGTAACCCCACCGGAGCCTCTCTGTCTGAGGCGGATGTGCGCGCCGTGATCGACTTCGCCAGCAAGGAGAAGCTGGTCATCATGGCTGATGAGGTCTACCAGACCAACGTCTTCATTGGCCAATTCCACAGCTTCAAGGGCGTTCTGCGTAAGCTGCAGCAGGAGAACCCCGGCAAGTACGACGATGTCGAGCTGGCCTCTCTTCACAGTATCTCCAAGGGCATGGTTGGCGAGTGTGGTCACCGTGGTGGCTACTTTGAACTTGTCGGATTCGATGCCGAGGTCGAAGCCCAGATTTACAAGTTCGTCTCCATCATGCTGTGCGCTCCCGTCATTGGCCAGTGCCTCGTCGAGCTCATGGTCAACCCGCCCCAGCCTGGCGAGCCCTCATTCGAGCTCTACGACAAGGAGTACAACGGCATTGCCAACGGCCTCCGTGAGCGCGCCAACGCCCTCCACAAGGCATTTGAGCAGATGGAGGGCGTCGAGTGCGGCGAGCCCCAGGGCGCCATGTACCTCTTCCCCACCATCACCCTTCCCCAGAAGGCCATTGAGGCTGCCGGTGCCGAGGGCCGCAAGCCTGACGAGTTCTACTGCATGAGACTGCTCGAGGCTACCGGTGTCTGCGTCGTTCCCGGCAGCGGCTTCGGCCAACGCGAGGGCACGCTGCACTTCCGCACTACCTTCCTTGCCCCTGGAACGGAGTGGGTTAGCCGGATCATCAAGTTCCACCAGGAGTTCATGGACAAGTACAGGTAAATGCCATGTACAGAGTAATACTGCTTCATAGGGTAGAGGTGTTTTTTTAAAAGGAATGTGAGCGAGATTTGGAATTATTTTGCGTGGGTGGATAGAGAATAATTCAGTAGAAAATGATAGAACGTCTATAAAAAAGAATAGGGAGACGTGCATTTGTTGGCAAAACATTTCACAGCATCAAACCAGCCTCTTTGTTGTTTCTAATTCTTTTTTGGTGTTTATTTGTTTTATCTGCTATATCATCGCTCCGTCGCTCCGTCTAAGCGAGTACGATACAACAACATGGGTAATTTGCAGTTTTTTGCATTTTTCCCTATGACATATTGGGGGAGAGGCGAAACTTCGCCTCCCATCCTACACTTTCTCCTTCTATCCCTTCAAGCCATCATCATGCTACGCTTATGCTCTCTCGCTACCCCTTAGTCTGACAGCCTGGCCGTACTTTTGCAGCTTCGTAATCAACTGGTCACCCTGGCGGACAACGTCCTGGTACTGCTTGTTCTTGTCATCGGGACGGTTGGTCTCGATGACGCCCTTGCCGGAGACGCGGTCAATGGTGCAAGGGATACGACCGGCAGCGATGAATCGGGCGAGGTCACTGCGTCCAACGTGCATTAGTAAAACTCTCCCAAGACTGTAAATCGCAAGATTATCAAAAACTCACCGGTCCAGAAAGTCGACCGTAACGCCAAAGTCGTTGGCCATGCTTTCTAGTCCGACAACGCGGTAGCTCTGCAGCAGCTGCTGATAGGCGCGGAGGCGCATCTCGCGGATGAACCAGCTCTTGTGCTCATGCAGGTAGCGGTCGTGGTTGAGGAACTGCTCCTCGACGGAAGCGAGGGACTGGAAGAAGGTCTTGTAGTTGCCATTGTACAGGCTGCTGACCAGCAGGGCGAGCGGGCTGAAGTCGATGGCCATCTCCGCCTCGGGCTGGTCGGTGCTGGTGCCCAGGGTCGTCAGGTTGACTGCCGTGGTGGCCGCCTTGGGGAGCTTATCGCCCGTAGAGTCGTCCGCACCAGGGCCGGCGCTCAGGGCGCCGCTGAGAGCTAGCAGCTTGTCTTCACCGTCGCCCATGATGGCCTTGATCTCGGGGGCATCGACGACCTTGGACTTGAAATCGACTCGCTTTAGGGAGACGGATCCGGTGAGGACCGAGTAGACGACGAGGTTGGAGTAGGTGCAGAGTTCGTAGCTGGTGAATGTGGAGAGGGAGTCGAGCAGTAAGGGCGCGGCGGTGTTGTATGCGCGGACGGTGATGAGGTGCAGGCCCTCGTAGGCCTTTAGGCGGTTGCGGCGGTCCCAGTCGCCGCCCGTCTCGACGAGCGTCTTGGCTCGTTCGACCTGCTTCTTGACGAGGGGCTTGTCGCCGTAGAAGAGCCCCATGCGTATTATGGCCAGCACCAGGTCGATCTTGGTGCCCAGGATGCCCGTCTTTTCGAACAAGCTCTCAAACTCGGCAATTGCTTTGTCCTACATGGAACAACGTTAGGGTCAGCTCAGCTCGACAGCCCCATCAATGGGAAGCATCATCATGATAGAGATAGAATCGCACCTTGTCGCCCACCCGAGCCCAAAAGTCGGCTCGCTTGCCCTTGGCCGCCATGACCTCTGTGTCGCCGGCCTGCTCCTCGGCCTCGTCCTGCTCCTTCTGGAAGTCGGCCAGCTCCTTGTCGTTGTCCTCCTTCAGCTTGTTGTATAGATCCTCGTCCCACGGCAGGTTGACGGCGCCCGTCGCAGCCTTGGTCGCCACCATGCTGGATTTCCGGCTGGGAGGCTTGCCCGGTGCTGAGGAGCTGCTCTCGCCAACGGCATTCAGGATGCCCTCGATGGGGTGGGCCAGGTAGCGGTAGAAGGGCGCCATCTTGTCCTGGGCGATGGCATCTTGCAGGGCCTTGACGGCGGCCAGCTGGGATTGCTTGGACGCATAGCCGTTTGTGAGGGTGAAGACGTGCTGGGACAGCGGCAGCAAAGGCCACTTGACGTACTGGGGATCTGCGCCCATGGTGACGGCAGCTCTATCGGGGGGGGATTATGGATTGGGGTCGGGCTGTCGGGGAATTCGGACGTCGAGGTCGAGAGGCAGTGGCTTTGGTATGGTCGAGAACGAGGATGGATGACGAAGTTGGTGATGGGCTTCCACCTTGGTCGAGCTTCCACAAGACAAGGCCAGCACTAAAGCGCTTGAAGCCTAGCGGGCCGCTGGTCTGGGCGCAAGGCTTCAGCAGGACACGCACCACTGAGTTGTTGTGCTGCTGTCTACGGAGTACCTACGGCTGGATTACCTCATCTGCCCCTCGATCGATGGAATGGCCTACCCTGGAGCCCGCCCAAAAAATAAAACCGGGGACCATCATGTTCAGCTGCTAACTGAACTGATTGCCTGGCAGCAACTTCATCCTTTTCAACTTGGCAAATGAACAGATACTCATATCAATCTCATGCGCTGGCAAGATGCCTTACATGACCAATTCGTGGGTCATCAGCTTCCAAAGCATCTACTTTTAGCTCTTCCCCTCCATGCAAGGCGCCTCGCCGTTCAGCCTCACTCCAGCATCCCTGCCAACCCGTCAGCTTCTTACATCCTCCAGCCACTCCATTGGCCCAGAAATATTATCCTTTATCATTAATCAAGCATATATCCTTGGCCTGGCCTGACCTGACCTGATCCTTGTATCCCATGCTTGCCGCCTAGTCTCCAACATCTGTCCTTGTTTGGTCGGTTACACCCGTCGATATCGTATATATACGAGGGTTTACTCCGCACTACATCATCGTGTCCTACTATCTTCATTCCTTAATCCATTGCCCTTACCAAAGCCGCAAACAACATGGTCAAATTTTCCCAACTTCCCTATGAGCTCCGTGAGAAGATATGGCTGGATACCATAGAGCCTCGCCTTGTTGGCCTCGTTCCCCATCGAGATAAGAGAGGCCGATGGAGTGTGAAAAGCACTGCTCGTCCTCCTGTGGCCATGCATGTCAACGCCGAGTCTCGCCATATCCTGAGCAAATATTACAAAAACCTGGAAACCCGCAGCGTTATGAATCACAAGCCCACTGGTATCTATGAGGAGTGGCCCGTTGTCCTGGATGTATCGCCGCGCATCTTGTTCAACTTTGACATCGACACCCTCCACTTTGCCGACACGACGCCTCCCGAGAAGCCTCTGCCAGATCAGGAGGCTCAGAGGAGAAAGTCAAAGGTTCCCACAAATGCCCTGGATCTTCTCATTCTCAAAGAGTCCATGGACGCGTTCCAAGGGCCTGGGTTTAGGCTAATGATTAACGCATCCGCACGCACCCAGGACTGGCCTTATCTTCTGGAAACGCAAGATGTTAGCCATGATTACATTCATAGCGGCGATCCAAGGCTGCTCAACTGGACTCACATCCATTATGTACGCTTTGACTTTAACGTGTTTCTGTCGGACCTCGCCCTTTGGTGGGGACTCATGCATCCGTTTGTAAAATGGATGCAACAGGCGGCAACGCGCGTCGAAGTCGCGGATGACCCAATAAGGAGCTACGAGCTCGTGATGGTGAACGGCCGAGGCAACAAGCGGAAGCTGCAGAAAATATTGCGGCTTGCGCTTCGTCCAGAGAAAGAAGCCGATGCAGCATATCAGTCCCTCTCTCCTATTGAGCGGCTTCAGCAGTATGGCGCAGTGGTATTCGAAGAGGTACTGCCTACACCTGAAGGCAAGGCCATTCTCTTCGAAGTTGTCGATCCACTCATTGGAGCCGATGCCATCTCCAAATGGAAGCAATTCTCTATAGATAAGAGGGTTGTACCGCCACCACGTCCTAGTATTCTTCCCAGAGCGACGGCTTTTGGAGCGGACATGGAAGTGTTGTGGCAGATGGCCAGCCAAAAACGGGGATTGGCTCACGGAGAGATGTCTCCTGTTCATGGTTTGTGTCTTGCAGACTATGGGATAGACGGTGGCTTTCGCGGCAGAATCTAATTTTCCTTTTTTCCATTATTCCCTTTTTCTTTTCTTTTCCTACTGTTATAGCAATTATTGGATAGGTTCTGGGAATTCAACGGGAGCGGGTTATCTGGTTTACATGCAAAATTTGAGAATAAGCTGATGCCCTCGGCTTTTCAGCTTAATGACTGTTACGACAAGAATGCCTATTATCTAGATAATTGAATATGATCGAATAATCACATTGTTTCGTCGTGTTTCCTCCAACATCGCGACAAACGTTGCCGCATCATCAAGCAAGGCTGCCGGAGCTGGACATGAGGACTGAGCCGGTGGTGACCAGTCGAGTGGTATATATTAAGGCGTATGCCATGCCGAGCCTGGCACGACTTACTCCGCCTTAATCTAGTCATATCTAACTTACCGATACCATCCACATGGATATAGTTAATCTAATGGCCTCAGTAGCTTAATTCACTCTCATTCTATGGAATGTGACATCCAGCTCGGAACACAGAGTCGCCACCCTGCAGACTTTTATGTAGGATTCCGTATACGGCCAGCTTTAACTACAAATACACCCGCAAGTTTTTTAAATCTCTAGGGTACTCCTCCTGTACCTCTACACATACCGCCGCTTAAAGCGGATCAACCTCTATGCTCCCCGAGCCCCTCAGCCCAGAGGCCAGTTTTTCGGTCACTTTGACCCGATCACTCAGAAGCCTACGCCAGGCAGAGGCATAAATTTGACGGCTATGCGGCACGCCACCGCCAGACTTCTCGACAATTCGACAAATAGTTCTTGGACGTCGGATTGTAGTAAGAGCTGCGCCAACTGGGATTGCGGCTAACGCTGTCAATGTTGTTATCCTCTATTCTCTACCGAGACTTCCAATCTCAAAGACTTTGACAGAATATACGAATATGATTTCCACGAACCGAACTACGCCAGAGAGATATCCAACTGCCGCAAAGACGCTTTGAACAGCTCTGGCTTTGGCTGCGAAGGCTTACGACGATAGATGTTAAAGTAACAATACTAATAGCCCCAAACCTGTAAGTTTGCTTTTGGCTCTGTGCTGAATCACGTTTCTCTTTCTAATCGCATGCCTACAGTATTGGTTACCTCTCCTTTATATCACCTTTTCTTCTACCTACCCTTCCTAAACTGCTTAATTTACTATAGCAGCCATAATGAACAGCCACACCTCTCAGACAGAGGCACACTCCCAGGTTCGCAACCCCGAATCTATTATACCTACCCAGCAATATCTAACATCTTCCTTTCTGGCCATCAGGTCTCGCCAGACCCCATCCCTCCGCCCATCAAGCTCAAATATCTAGTTCCACCCCCCTTGCGCCAAGCCAGGCCGGTACGCAAGGTAACAACCACAAGCCCGTACTTGAGTTTGACCCCAACTGGTGCCGCGCATTGGAGAGATTCTCTTACAACCTCACCTCTTAACTCCCGGAGGGTGTGTGCCTTCTCTTAAACTTCCTGACCGAGAAGCCCGGCGGCGACGGACAACTCTTCCTTGCCGACCACGGCCTCAAGTTCACGCGCAAGCCGGCCTACCCTACCATCTATGAATTTGGCTTGGACCTGTACTGCCGTGCTGAAGGCAGCGAGGTGGAAGAGATTTCGCCCATGCACAGACATGGCCTGACGGCATTTGTCTTTAAGCAATAGATCCAGCGGCAATTTAGTTATGCTATCCCCAAAAGCCAGCTCAAGAAGCTTGTCATACTGGTGCCCTCCTTTTAATGGCCTGCATAGCTCTGGAATTCTCGCTGTTTTGCTAGAGTAGCATCTGGCCCTGGGTCAACATTATGGGCACTGAACGCAAAAATGGCCATATATTTGACAAGAAATGACACAAACCCGTCGATTGATGAGAAGGACCTTTCTGACATATTTATGGGTTGATTCACCTATGCGGCTCTACCTCGATGAGATGCATCTCCTGTGGGTGGCGGAATTTATCTACAGATAACACTCCTATTATACCACGGAAATACCAGAAAATGGGCAATATGTTTACAATTTGGCTTGCTTCAACCTCTCGACGCTTGTGTTAGACGACAGCGCGAGACAGAACTTCTGGGACAAGTGGGTATTCAAGAACCAATGGAACACGAACAACACTGTTAAGGGCCTTCCGGGTTTGCGCCAAGGCTGTGGAATCAGACTTGCAGCATTTTCTTATCAGTGTCGACCCCTCCTCCATCGATGAAGAGAAGTTCTTTAACCTCTCGCAAAAGGTGGGATCGAGCGTGCCAGGAGTGCACGTCTTTGACAGATTGGAGATCTGGCCGTGGATGATTCCAGGGTCCAAGATCCCGAAGGTCCACGGACCTGACACCCCCGAGCAACCCTTGCCCATCCCTATGGCTCTCACAGGCCTCACCCACATTAACTACTATAGTCTACCTCATTACAGCCCCTACCCTCCTTTTAGTAGATCTCCGCTTCATTTTCATAGAAATGCGGGTACTCCGTAAGGCCTGTCCGTTCAACCCAGCGAAGCATGTGGCCGAAGTACACGAGGGCGACTACCAAAGGTATCTTGGGGACGGGATCGAACCACCGACTTTTCGATTTACAGTCGAACACTAATTTATATGGGAAGAGTAAACAGAACAAAAAGAAGCATCTGAACACAGGCTCCAAGGAAGCCGCTATATTCTGAGCGGGAAGAGAACTATTTTATATAGGAAAGGTCTAAGGATTACTTATTGGCATGTTAGAGCCTGTTTACTTTTGTTTCTGATTCAGGCTTGTTTGTTATTTCGGATGGTTATCCGCTGAGTTTTTCATGATGAGGACATCATGCTTTTTTCCGTCCGGGAGATGTTGGGTGATCATCACACTCTTCACATACTCAGTCACCTTGCTTGCTTTCGCAATTAAGCTCAGTGCCTTCGGTTCTCTAGTTATGTTGTTTTGTCTTTTTGCCTTCGTCGTTTGCTCGTGATACCACCGTGATCCCTTACAATATATATGTAAACTGTCAACACAATACGTCCAATCCATGAGACGTGCCTTTGGCATGTCATTAATGAACGATCATACAGACCAGTAACTGGAAATCGAGAAAGTCGTGAGGCCAACTAAATGGGGGTATCTACAAACTACTACCTGAGTTCTACAACAACCCCCGATTTTCTTCCCTGCAAGTCATGAATAGATTTCCGGCTCCTTCTACCCAAGATACCATGCCATGAAGCCGCATGTTTACAATCATGTCTTGGCTGGAGCAGACACTAAATACCTCCATTGTTGACTTTTGAGTTTTTCCACTTTTCAAGTTGGAATGCCAAGGTTCCAGCCAAGTCATTCCGTTGCAGGTGAGACTGTGGACGGATACAGCAGCTGAATTATATTTTGAAGCCCCACTGATGACCATGATACCACAAAAGGGAACTTAAGAAAATGGGGCAACACTAATAGGACGGATATGAGCAAACGAACGTGGCCAAACGTGGTCAACACATTCTGTCCAAGCCGTTGTCTCACATTATTTGATGACTACTAAAGCCAAATCGAGAGACTATGAAAGATGTCTCCAAAGAGAGATTTCAGAAACTGATCCGAGAGGTTCAGACGGCTAAAGATGTGATTCAGAGTGTGTCGGCTCCTCATTTCACTATGTCTAGAGTAGGAGGTTCACATGCGACGAGATCATCGTGATTGGCACCGGTGAGGCTCTCATGAGCAAGTTCAACATTAATCGTTACGTGCCTACATGTCTAGTCATTTACTTGACTTGCACCTCGAACACCATGGTGAGATGGGATATGTCAGAGTGCAATAGAAGTCACCCATCATAACACCAACTAAGCCGCAGGTTATGGGAGGTGTCACTCGGATAAGTAATTTACTGAATTGTGTCGTATTCACTATGGAAGATTGGTATCTCCCTAAGCGCGTAATCAAGCGTGGAGTTCAACAAATAATCGTGCTGCCCATCTCCTACAGGTGAAGATACAGACTAGGGATTTGCAGGCAGTCTCAATTTCCAGGGTCGCGACCAGCTACATGGAAGATTCTTCTAGACACTCGAGCCATAAATCAAGGCTTTAGAGTCATCTGGAACCGCAATCAATTGCATAATGATTGGCCTTACATGATGGTGGAAGAAACGATATTCTATGGTAGAATAGAGGGGATGTAGGAGGTAGATAACCAGTAACCTAAAGGCTATATAGAGATATAATTTCAAGCACACCAGAGATACAGAATAAGCGTAGTCTACTTTATTTTAACCATGCGTTGCTATTCTAGAGGCTCTATCTATATGTACTAGACAGAGTAGACAGAGTAGACAGAGTAGACAGAGTAGACAGAGTAGACAGAGTAGACAGAGTAGACAGAGTAGACAGAGTAGACAGAGTAGACAGAGTAGACAGAGTAGACAGAGTAGACAGAGTAGACAGAGTAGACAGAGTAGATAGAGTAGACAGAGTAGACAGAGTAGACAGAGTAGACAGAGTAGATAGAGTAGATAGGGTTAATATTTATATTAATATATTGCTTCTTAAAGCATTAGTCTGCTATACGAATACTTATATTAACTGAAGAATATTTCTCCTTACTATTCTCTTCTGCTTGCTGCTTCATCCTCCCCTGTGTTTCATGTCGCTCAATAAGCCCTCGAATAAACATCCGCGGTAACCTCAGCAAATGTCCCTTGCCTTCTCTCAGGATAATGTCCGCTGCCATGATGTAATTGCTCACAAAAGCATTCCATGCCTGTTTTTCAAATTGAGAATCCCCGAGAGGCCTTGGAAGATATGGGTCATTGACCCAAACCGCCTCAACAGCCTTTGCCACCCCGACTTCATCCATCGTAATCGACTGGACTTGGTTAAAGTCTAAGACCCAGAGTTCTGTGCTCCTCAAGGTAGGTGCAGCCCTCTCCGGATGACTGCCGAGAACAAATTCAACATCACGGGCGTCTGTTTCAGCCGCCCAGTGCATAAGAGCCATGGCAACCCCCATCCTGCTGGCCATCGTGTTGACGTATAACTGGAGGTCTACCATTTGGTTGAGATGCATCTTAATGTTTCGCAAAGAGAAAAAAAGCCTTTCGCCTTTGCCTTCCAATGAACCGAGGTATACTCTCACTAAGCAATCTCTGTTCGACGCATCTCCATGGGCAGCTTCTTTGATCCGTGGCAGACAATACTTGTCGATCAACAAAGTCCGGGCTCGTTTACACAACGGATCGATTCTCTGGGTGACTAGGGCGCTGGTAGGCAGATGGCATACAGCCTTGGCTGCCGCGACTAGATCTGGACGTTGGCTGAAATGTAGGCTGCCTTCGTCTTCTCTCGGGATAAATAGAAAACAGTCTGGGATTCTGACTTCCGTAAAGCCCCATTTGCGGAATTGTTGTTCGATCAACTCGTGTTTGTGATACTCGTTCTCGAGTGCCATCTGATCGTCCGTCTTGGCTAATTTGATAGCCAGGGGCCTCGCCTCTTGTGCAAAAACGGCACCACAAGCGCCAGCACCAATCTTCCGGAAAGGATTCTCTTTAGGGTTGATAACAGGTTCCGCGTAGGACATCTTTAATGAAAGAAGCCCGCGAAGCTCCAAATCATCCGCGCTGAGATGACCGGGTTCGGGGCTGGCTGCCCCTGAACCGTCGGTAACGCCCTCTAACAGAGAGCTGAGAGTCAGGTCGGTTGGCATCCCTTGCTCTTTCTCCCGTAATAACAACGGAGGGTAGCTGCTTGTACTGGTGAGCCATCGCTTGCTGAGTGCCATGGTGTGTGATATTTGAAGAATCTTTGATAGCTAGATATTAACGATTTTATTGGTGATAGAATGAAATCAGCATGCCAGGATTGCTGGGGGCGGCTGGACAATGGGTTTATATAGCCTTGAAGAAGGGGGTATCGCGTTAGGTTCTGGTCTGTGGACAGGATACGAATCTTATTTTCACTTATAAAGCATATATATGTTTTCCTCTGGAGATGATAGGCAAAAGTAAGTCAAGAAGGTATTTCTGAGTGGCGCTTAAAGGAGTCATCGTGGAAGCTGAAGACACCAAATATTTACACATCTACTGCTTCTACCACTTCTTCCACTTATACATCCACTCCTTCTACCAGTTATAGTAAACTTAGATTATCATCTCTTTTTTTATAGTTTAATTTGCGCCTACCATTATCGGGTTACCAGTCACCTACTAGGGAGCAAGCCAATACACTCATGTTCAGCATCTAATATACTTCACCACCACCTGCTCATCTCACCCCTGAATACATGTAACCTCCCTCACCCCTGCAGCGAATATCCAACATCACCACTCACACTCCCCAACTTCACCAACCTCTCCCTCATCCCCTCCGCCCTCCTCCTCTCCCCCTCATCCTCCAACCCGGAGAAATCCACATTGTCAACCCAGCCCCCAATCCCATGCTGCAGCACGTTTCTCGCCCGCAACTTGCTCCCCCCAACATGTCCCACCGACCCATGCAGCGTCACCCTCTCCTTCTTCGAATCATACACCCCCCGGTGCAAAATGTTGTTGTTGTAAAACGCAATGTCGCCCGCCTCAAGCTTCACCACAATCTGGCCCGGAATCTCCTTTTCAAACGGCCCGGCACTCCGCTCCGCCTCCGTCCTCGCCCTCTTGTGCGATCCCGGCACCAAAACAAGCGATTCATCCTCCCACAGCGCAAAATTATACTGCGCGTGAAACGCCGGCCTCCCCAACCTCTCCATCTCCTCCTCCGGCGAAGCCTCCGCCGGAATGTCGTCCCGATGCCACCGCAGCTCAAAGTCCGTGTCCGGCCTCACCAGCATGTTGAACAGCTCCATCACCAAGTCCTCATCCTCGCACTGCAGCAGCTCCCTCACAATGCTCAGAATCTCCTCCGAAAAGTACAGCGCCGTGAACGTCTCGTGGCCGGGCATCTGCGGCTTCATCAGGTGCTGCACGCCCCAGATGCCCTTCTCGAGAGCCTCCTCGTGGTTCCACGGCGGGAACTGCTTTCCTACGGTCCGGACGTGAGGCCATTGGCCGCTGCGGGCGAGCTGCTCTGCTTTGCGGCTAGCATTGCGTAGTGCCTCGAGCTTCTCGGGGGAGACGATGGATTTGATGACGACGAAGCCGTCGCGCTGGAGATTGGACAGGTGGGGAGATGTATTTTGCGCCGGCATGATGGCTGTTATTTTGAGTTTCTGGCAGTTTCTTTTCCTTGGTTTTACTGGGGGTGGGAGTAGATCGTGAGGTTTGAGTATGTCTCTAGAGGGCCAAATATATAAGTAGGACAAATGAATATGCCCTTATATCATGGGATGCGGGGCTGGCTAAATCCTTCTACCGTGATCCAAAGGTTTATACGAAGCCCCTCAAGACTTCACATGCATTTCACGACTAGTCCATGCTATGACCACAACTAACTCCATTTCTTCCTTCAGCTCAAGATCGACATCCCAAAAGCAACGCAGCATCTCCGATTCAAACCGAACCGAGGCCACGCAGAAAGCGGCTCGATATAGTGGCCAAGACAAGCAAAAAACCGGGGCAAGCTGCGATCCTCTCCCATCTCCTCTCTCGATTTTCACCCAGTAAATCGTCGTAGTTCGCTATTTCAAACTCCATAATCTGTTCTAAAATAAGTCAAATGCAACGTACCATCATCCCACCCCCTCCCCCAAATTCTCCGCGCTCATACCCCAATCATTCACGCGCTCTCAGGCCACCGCACAACAAATCCATTCACCGTCTTCTGCACATCCAAATCACCCGGATCGTTTTCAAACAGCGGCTTCTCCAGCTTCTTTTCCAAAACCTGCTCCACCTCGAATCCTGCCTCGCGCGCCACATCGAAAAAGCGCATGTCCAAGTCCTTCTTCCACGGCCTGTACGAAGTGAAGAATACGTAGGCCGCGCTGTCCCGCGAAACCTTCATCGTCTCCCTGATCGTCTTGACCAGAGCGCCATGCTCTGAGTGCCGGAAGAGCAGATCTGCTAGAATCAAAACGTCAAAGCGCTTTTCTGTTGCCGCTGAGCTTGGGCCATCTTCATCAGATGGAAGACGAGCGATGAGGGGCACTGCATCTCCGCCCCAGACAAATCCAACCGCATCAATCGTCTTTGCAATATGGCCCTTTGGCTCTGTAGTCTCGTCACATTCATCAATGTTCTTCTGCATGTTCATGACGAGATCCGGATCAGGGAAATCAGTCATGACAACCTTCTTCGCTCCAAGGATACCAGCCACAAGTGAAGGAAGCCCCGACGCTGCCCCAAGCTCCAAGACAGTCTTGCCCCGTGCCCGCGCAGGGTCCTCCTCAAAGTAATCCGAAATGATCTTTGCGCCGTTCCATAAATGATGTGCCTCCGTAGGGCTGTGGCCAACCAAATTCAATACAATCTCCTTGCCGCTTCCCATGGTGAAAATTTGCTTTGTTGGTGGAGGGGTAGAGGGGTAGTAATCTTCGGGGTCGTCCAACAGGCCCCCGGTGCCATAGTCGTCGCCCTCTTCCATGTTGGCAGAGCGAAAGTGATTAGAAAAGTCGGTATATTGCCAAGAGAATTATAAACAGAGAGAGCCGTGTCGACGTTGAGAATAATAAGCTAGTAAAAACAGCCGGTTGTATGCCAAATTCAGCTGTTTGAGTGCGAAGAGCCGGGGAATGTCTCTTTTCCAATGATCTCAGGATTCTTGGTCTTATCCGATATATAATCCAACAGACCTGTTCTGTGATACCCCAACTAGTAAACCATGCGTGTTGTGATCTCTCAATCTTCAAATTTGACGGGTCCAAGTCACAGCTCTCAATTTTTTGGTGTTGGTGGGGTGAGTTTTGCAAGCGCCGCCCTCACAGTGTGAGATTCTATCCAAAGACTCTCAGCCACCTGATTCGATACTTCAGTGGTCGTCGAGTCGCCAGTATCAATAGTTTTCCAGCGGATGTGTTTGGGTGTTTGTAGCCATGCGGATGCCAAAGCCAAGATTGAAAGCGAGTGTGTAGAAAGCGCATGTCCCTAATTCCAGGTCACTGTAGACAGACAGATGGGCGAGAGAACAGCATCCATCTTTACGGCCCAAACCGCTGTCTGGCCAGCTCTCTCAACATACTCACCGTCTGATCCTCCCTCTCCTGCCACGCCCTCCTCTTCTCAGCAATCTCCTCTCTCTTGGCCCTCTCAATCTCTTCTCGCCGAATCTCCCTCTCCGACTTGCGCCTCTGTTCCTTCTCCTTCTCCTTCTTGTACTCTTCCAAGCTGTCGCCTCCTCCCATCAGGTCGCTATCACGCACCTCCCCGCCAGGGCTCTTTTCTCGAAACTGCCGCATCTTGTCATTGACTTCTTGCCGCTTCTCTAGCTTGCGCTCGCGGGTCCCAGCCTCGGCGCGAGGGACCAATTCCTCGAGACGCTCCTTTTGCAGCTTCCGGTCGGCTTTACGGGCGACCCGTAGTTCTTCCCAATCAGCCTCCCTCGATTCCGCAGCAAGCTCATCACGTAGAGCAAGATCTTCCTTGTTGGGAATTCCAACGCCAGCCCGGCGGCCGCTGGTTGATGCACCGGGAAGCACAGGCCCGTAGTCCTCGTCCTCGTCCTCGCTCCCATCGCCGCCAAGTTGCTCGCCTTCCAGCGATTCATCTTGTGATAAATGTTGCCGCTGTTGCTGCTGCTCTGGCTGTCTCTTGGGTAATGGATCCCGCTCAAGGATGCGCTGAAACATCTCGGGATCGTACCACCCCTCAGCCAGCTCTCCACGATTCCACTTGCCCACGAAGCTCTTCCACCGACCCCGAATCTCCCGGTCGTCCATGTCCTCGATGAACCGCTGCTTCTGTAAGCTCAGGTATTCGCCAAAGAGGGCTTCAAACGCTCTCAGGTCGTCCTTTGAAAGTTGTCGGGCCCCAAAAGGCAGCTCTACAGCCGCTTGGCTCGTTTGTTTGCTTGCACGACTCGACGAGCCATGGTATCCATCAGATGAGCGCGGTCTTCGAGGCTCCCTCTCCCTGTCTCTCCTCCCAGGAGACGCCCTTCTCTTGCGCTCACCCGAGTACCTCTGCGGGCTTCCATCTGGCGAGAGAGATCTCTTGTCGCGGTGGCGCCGTGAGCCTCCTTCATGATGTGAAGAGCGATGACGCGATTCATGTCCGTCGCGTGTCGAAATCCTGTGTTCTCTCGAAGACTGAGGCATGTTGGTTACACCATGTAAGCATGTAATATGAGGAACCGCACGCCAATAGGATGCTGACGAGACTCCCAAAAAAGAAGCGCCTAGCAAGTATATCCAAGCTCAGCTGACGGCCTAGTTACAGCAAACCCGAGAGGTAAGAGTTGCAGCGAGGCTTAGCTGGGTATTAAGTATGGATCTTAGCTCTGAAGCATTTCCGAGGCGTGAGAACTTTCCCAATCCGCTTCCTACAACTAGCACAGTGCGCCCCACAGTTCCCGGCCATACCTTTTCCCCTACAGATGTTGGTCCCTTGCATTTTCAGAACCTTGAAGCAACCTTTGAACTTGAACTTTGGTCTTCTATGCAGATGGACAGACAGACAAATACATGCTCATATATATGGAGAGGAGATGCGAGTTGTGATTTTTGATCCACATTTGCTACCGAAAGACAGATATACTATACTAAGGTGTGATCCGGTTCTAACCTCTCCCTTCTAATGTGAATTTAAATGTTGGGTATCTACTTTTGGGAATAAGCAATTCAAACAGAATAGGTTAGTATTTCTCAGCGACCCCAGCTGGGTCCGTAGTTCATGTGATGCCTCCAAGCACTCAGGATCAGGATCAGGCTCATGCTCAATAGTACGTCATAGGTAGGTAGGTAGCTTCTCCTATCGCTCATCTCGTTTCCCACCCATTACAGCCCAAGCTCGACGTTGTCAAAATCGGCCGAGGCGGAACTGTTGTGTATGGCACAGCCGATACACTGACAGGAATCCCCGCACGGGCAGCTGGCCATCTCTCCTTCACATGAGTCGCCAAAGGGGTAGCTGACAAAGAAAAAGTCGTTCGCCGACAAAGTTGGCTCTTCTCCAAGACTCGAGTTGGCATCTGATGGCGTCTGCGCTAATGTGGGTGACACAGCTCCTTCCACCTTGGCCATGACGGGTGTCGAAGCACCATTCGGCGATTGGTTAGCGGGTGTGGCCTCCTCGTAGTTGCCGTTGGGGATGCTTTGGACACTGTCGGAGTGTTTGTGACGCTTGTGAGTATCCTCCGACATGCTATTCCAGGCAGACCGCACGTAGTCCTGCGTCGCCTGGTTATACGGGTGTGTAGCACAGCCAATACACTGGCACGAGTCCCCGCAGGCACACTGATGAGACGTCCACGAATCTGCCTCCAAGTCGTCGGGCTGGGGAAATTGCACCGGGGTGGCCGCATTATACGGCATAGTCTGCATATTCGCCATTTGTTGCGGAAAGTTCAGTGTCACCAACTGTCTATATTGATCCGGTTGAAGAGGTTGAAGATAGGAGCCGTATTGTGGCGGATATGCGAATATGGTCGGTTGGACAAAGTAGGGAAACATCCCATTTGGCATGCCAATCGGTACATTAAACGGCGGCATCACCAGGCCATTAACCTGGCTAGGTGTGTGTTCATGTGTCTTAATCTCTGGCTTTTCTGCCCCAGATGAGCAACAGCTCCCAGGCTCGCTCTTGACGACGGGTTTTCCATTTGGTATAGCTGTCTGCTGTCCATCTGCTTGGGCGGCCGTCGACTTTCCATTCCCACAGCAGCTTCCGGCCGCAGGGGAAGCATTTTGTCCATTCGTGGGGGGAGTGTGGCCATTTGACGCCGTTAATTCGGGTGCAGCGTGGTCGATGATTGGATTCCCTGATGCCACCTCCTGATATGAAGGAAATATGGCCGGGCCAGGGATGAAAGTACCGTTTGGGAGAAATCCCATCATGCCATGGCCAGTGGGTATCGTGGGCATGGCGCCATTGGGCGACTGTGGAGACTTGGATTCAGGAGATGATAAAATGTTGACCTGGCTCGCATCTATCCTCTCCAAATCTGCGGGATCGATAGGCTTTCTGCCAGAGGCAGACTTGGAGCCCGTTTTCTGCACGCGGTACGCTGGTTTTGTTGCGGCTCCTTTCGGGGATGGGCTTGGAGGTGTCACCAATCCGTTTGATGTATCTTGACTCTCCTGGTCTCCTGCCTTGCGGCCAGACGCCTTTTCTGAAGTACCACACCGGCATTTCTGTTTCTTAGGGATAGCAGCCGTAACAGCAGCACAGCCGCAATGCTGCGACGAAGGATGCGGACACGAGCTGAGCGGCCGTCCAGGCTTGCGCACGGGGACCATGAGCCGTTCAGAGGCGTGTGTGCATTTGGTGGAGCGATGGCCTCGGATGCACGGCTCGCTGCATGACGATGGTTAGTCGCAATGAGGTCGAGAAGAGAGGACAAGGATGCATAAACTCTGCTCATCAAGGTGGCGGGCAGAAGAAGAGAGGGAAAGGCACGCACCAGGCCATCTTCTGCCCGTTTATCAAAGGCATGGCGAGATGCAGACGGGATTCTGCGCTTAGAATTGTCGGATCTTAAATCAGCTGTGCGCGTGAGCCAATGCCAAGCGCAAGCGCAGCAACGATGGATGGCGTTCGATGCGCCAGAGTAGAATAGAAAAAAATCCTGTGTATCGCAAACACGCGCTTCAGCGCTTCGAGGTCAACTGTGAGTCGCAGACGGAAAAGCACAACGGCATCGAAAGTCGAATTACTTCGGATGAGCGTGTAGATCGTGTAATGATGAATCAGCCTTTCAGACGTCGGATGGGAAAAGTTGCCGCTGAATACGATAATAACCCCCCCGGCGGAGTCAGCGAATGGCGGGGAGAATGGCCACAAACCATTCGATTTCGACCGAGTCTTGCTCAGCAAAGTGGCTGTCGGCGTTTCGATGAAAAGTGCGAGTCCGTAAACCAAGGCCCGATTGCAGAGTGGTTGTATCCAGCAATCCTTTCACGCGATCGAATCCCAGCCTTGAATGGCTCGCACTTGCCAACCGTCGAAGTCGCAAAAAAAAAAAAAGAGGATGAAAAGGGCAAAGTTTCAGCGCGAATCAACAATGAAGCGGCGTAGGGAACATAGCGCTGGAGCCTTCTGTGGCTTGCGCATCTGAACTGCTGACTTTCCATGGGCTCATTTCCCCAGGCGGCATGCGGGGGCCTCATGGCCATCCCAGGGGCCCCTTTAGCGGCCAGCCTTAGTGACTACAGCGGCTGCATCTACAGATTCAGTGGCCTGCATGCGCTAACCAGGGGCCGCAAGGGTGCGTGGTGAAACGCCGTGCGTCAAACGAAACATTTTGTGGCAATCCGTCTCGATCCTCCAACTTGGGCCTTGACATTGCAGTTGCTGTTGCTATTACTGTGCACGGGAACCTGAGAGGGCCATCACCCTTACGGAAGTGCCCTGAGCTGAGCCCAGGTGAAGCAGCCAGCAATCGGTTACCCGCTAATGATACCCGGTACCCGCCGAAGTCTCCGGCTATCGATGTTTAATTCATCAGTGGATGGAGCTTTTCGGGGGTTCTACTGTATCTAGGTGAAGAATGGACCGCTCCCGGCGTCATCAAGAGACCTCTCCCAACGACACCCTCATATCAACACGGTTACTTGTCGCAGCAACAGCACGAAGCCCCTCAACGAATGTGTAATTTTCCCGGCTCCATATCAAAATCACGTATTTACAAACAGAACAGCCTCTACCAATCCACGCGGGTCAAATCATCGAGTCCGTCACCTGGACTAAACCGGCCGCAAGCCCCATCACGCCGCTCCCGAAATCCCGAGCACGGAGCCGTGCGACTCCAAAATCCCAGGCCCCGGAAGCAGCGCAAAACCGCAACTCTGCTCTGCAACAGAGTTATGTAGGAACGGCTGGTCCTCGCCAATCTCGTAAACCATCATCGTCCCTGACATACCTGTACATACGAGTATACGCACAGCATCATTTATTTTTATCTTGAATCTCCACCGGACAAATCGCCCAAAGGCCAATGTTCGTCCGTCCCGCACATGGTTGAGCAAGTTTCTATTGGCTGTCTCCAGGCCCGCGTTGGCACTCTCACACACTCCGAAAGGGTCTGCCTATCTTATGCTCCTTTGCACCCTTTCAATAATCTTCCTCTTCCTAGTAATAACCGCGCGCATGCTTCTGTAAGTGATAGAGGTGGAATAGCATAGCTGCAGTATATCAGCTGCCGCCCTGACTTCGGTCCTAATATCGTCTCTAATAGTCAGCTGCCCGACTGGGGCAGGCACTCAATCAGTGCGGCCATCGTGCCTTGCTCTGGTCCTGACGCTGGATGTTTGATCCACTGTGCATGGATTTTCGTGATTTTCAACAATCCTTGTGGTAAACTCTGTTGCTTTCATTGGTTACCAGTGCCCATTTACGGCTTGAATATCCACATGTGCGAATTCGAATTCCCGATGCGAAGCTCTATGCGTGGATTCCCCAAGACACCGGGTATCTAACAAGCAGTAGTCTACATAGGCTATCTGCTTTAATCAAAAAAAAATTAGTCATCGTATGGCCTAGAAAGGCTGCGGCTCTTGTACAAGGTGCTCGAAAACATATATCCCATCATACCCTTTCCATACGCCACGGTTCCCACTTGAGGCCATGCTATCCGTAGAATATCTCAAAATCATACACTGCTGTCCGTAAGTTTCGTCCAGCAGCGCCAAATTAGTTCCCGTCCGAATTGTCCGAATCGGCAAACATGTCAGCCGCTCGCATTCGCCTCCTAGGCTGTCCTCGGCTCGTAGAGTGTGACTCTGCTTGAACATCCGTCTCTCCATCATCTGGTGTATCATTAGGCTTTGCATCATCAGCGCCTGGCTGTTCAGGCCCGTTACCTTTACCGGCATCAGACGCGTCCTCATCGTCATCGTCTTCATCCATAGGCTCCCCAATTACGTCGTCGTCATCATCTTCAATCGGTTCTCCATCTAGGTCTTCATCTGCAAGGGGCTCGCCATCAACGTCATCTTCTTCGATGGGCTCGCCCAATGCCTCCTCCTCCGCTTCCTCTTGCTGTTGCTGCACCGGCACCTCGGCATCACCAGTAATAGCAGGCTCAGACGTTGTAGGCGCGGTCTGATTGGCTTCGACAACCTTCCACTTTCCCTTCTTGGAGGAATCGTCGACCTTTTCTTGTGCCTTGAGAGATGGTGGGTTTTCAAATGCACTCACAAATAGGGCATGGCTCTCAACTGGAAAGACGCACCACCCTTCCCACAGATTCAACACAAGGGTAACGCTTCGCTTCCATTTTTCTGCGCGTAGTCGACCCCAGCCCAGTTTCTCAGCCATCATTCCTAGGCGTTCAAACACCTTCCTAGAGCGCAGGGCTGTCTCGAGAAGTTGTCGATAACGCCATGCATGTCGAACACTGCTCGTAGAGGATGATGACAAAATATCGCTAACCACATACAAGCCAACCAAGGTAGCCGCGCTTGCGTCTGTATTTTCACTTGCGGCAGCAGAAGCTTCCTCTGTGCCTGCTGTCTGCTGCTCTCCTTTGCCTTCCTTTTTCTTATCCGGGTTGGTAACCGCCAAGGATAGTGGCCGCTCAAGGTTGGAGACAATCAAGTCGACAACTTCATCTGCACCGCGGCTAACGTGGGTAATGGCAAAGGCCGTTACTCGCGCAATATCCCCCTTGCGAACCTTTGCAATTGTGGTGGGCAGACGGGATAAAAGATGAACGAGCTTGGCCTTTTCCAGTGGGTTGAGAAATGTCTTCTCCTCCTCGCCGGTCGGACCGCCGTCACGGTTTGCGTCCCCGTCAAAGTCTTCATCCTCTGAAGAGTCATACTCCCCATCCGAAACGAACTCATCTAGCTTCGTGGTGTACTCGAAGCGAAGACCCGTTTCTGGCGTTTTCCACGCATGGCCTCCATCAAAGAGCGGGACATATTTGCCCTTCTTCTGCTGCAGATTCGAACCGGTAACCACTCCCCAAAGTGTCCATCGGTACCAAACGCCGCCCTGGCTCCTTGCATCCCATAGCCAAGCCCATCTTTCCTCTCTTTGAACTGATGCGCGAGACATGAGTAGAGCCTCGAAGTCGGGCCCGTGTTCAAGAACACCTTCAATCACCTTGTTGATTAATCGAATCATTCGTATATCCTGAGGCGGCTTGACCGGCACGCATAATAGGCCAGCTCGATTTACACCCCCTTGTCCGTGAGAGTATGAAGGCGGTGGGGCGAATCCCCGTTGAAATCCATGTCGTGAATGATCGTTGTGACCAGCTCCAGAGTCTTGGTCTACCGGCTTTGCCCCAAAAGGCTGAGATGCAGAGGCGGAAGATGCCAGCCCTGATAGCGTAGAGTTGCTAACGGCGGAGGAAAGATGGCGATGAAGAGATAGATAATAGCCGTAGCCCATGTATCTGTTCTGCAACGAGCTTACTGCAGCATCCATATCGGTAGCAGGAGTCTCTTTAGACAAGGTCACGATGGCAACCGTGCACTTCCTCTCAGATCCTCCAGGTCCAGCTGGAGGTTGAATCTTGACATTCTCGACTGTCAGATTCGCAGGCAATAGTGATTTGATCGTGGCGGGGGATATTCCTGGAGGAAGATTGGATAGCCGTAGAGTCGGCCTCGCTATAGCCTTCTCCTCGGCTCGGTCAACCATCTCTTCATCGTCGCTCTTGTCCTCAAACTTCAACGTAGCTCTGCCCTCTGATTCCTTGGAGAAATCATTAAAGGACCGCTTCTTTCCAAAGGGCATAGGCGACATCCCCAAGCTCCCTGGCCCGCTCTTCATCCCCGACGACGTGCCAAAGTGTCGCCGCGATGCGCCGCTGGGACCCGAGGGCGGCGGCCCTCCAAAGTTGCCAAACCCAGGCCGCTGATTCCGCTGCGCCGACGCGCCGTGCTCCCCATCGTCATTGTCATCGTGGTCAAAACTCTTGATAAAGTCTTCGTATACGGCGGCGGTTTCCGCAGCCTCGCGCTTACGCTTGGCTTCAGCCTCGGCCTTTTGCTTCTCGAACACGGATTGCCGGGCAGGTTTTTGGAATTTGGATTCCAACCGCGGAGGATCGGTGGGGTCTTTGGAGGATGACATATCGCGTCGAGAATGTGGGAGTTTAGAGGAGGTTGCTAGGCCATGATATTTGACGAGAAAAGTCTGGAGAAGTAGTTGGACTATGGTTTAGTTGAGCCTGAGCTTAGCAGTAGCAACACAAAGCCATAGCGCTGACGATCAAGCACCAAGGCTTATGCATTTACCAGTTACGGCTCCATCGTTAACGGCGCCAGCCTCGATATAGGCATAATTCCGCCTTGGCTGATAGGAAGGATCAAAGCCCGTAAATCACAACATTCACAAAAATTCGAAAGAGCACAAATAATTTTTCTCCCAACTTCAATTTCTTTTATTACTGCCCGCACCAAATATCTACCAGCCTTTACTCATAGAGGATTCATCAAACCCTGGCTCATCAGAAACGAAATGCTACCACCCCCGGACATGCCGGACAAAGATGACGGCATGTCTTGCCTCATCTCCCGGATAATTCCTCTTGCAATATCAACCCTGGACTCCCTCCCCTGCTCCCGTCCATCGTCACCAGCCCCTTGAACTTCCCACCAATTTCTCGACCTGCGTGGTCTGCTGCCTCCTTCTTCCACTTCCACTTCTCTCCAAGCTTGCCTCCATTCCCTGCCATGCAGTCCACCAGCTTGTCTCCAAGGACGGGCAAGAACTTATACGCGTGGCCGCTATCACCTGTCGCAACGAACAGCCCTTCCCAGCCCGGATGCCAGTCCGCCAGGAAGTTGCCGTCGCTCGTGTCGGAATACCAGCACAATCTCGTTTGCTTCCATGGCCGGCTGTCCAGCCCTTTAACGGGTGACATGTCCCTCAAGGCTTGGCGCAGCGCCTGATCTGCGTCTGGCGGCAGTGAGGTAGCATTCCTGCTCCCATCACGCTGTGTCAGTGGCCTGGACACGACAATGGGCTTGCGTTCCTCTGAGGGCGAGGCAGGCAGGGCTGTCTCAACGAGCACTGGGTTCAGGTATCCAAAGGAGTGTCGCGCAACTTTCAAAACGCGCGACTGCGGCGGAATGATAAACAAGCCAGTGCTGAGATTCAGTGCTACAGGCTGCTTTGCCAGTACCTCAAGCTCTTCCTCTGAGATGTCGATGTAGCCCAAAGGCTGTGCTGTGGCCTCTATCCGCCCTCTCATATCAATCAGGCTGCCAGTCCATGCGCCCGCGGCAACAAATACGACTTCCGCTGTCAGGATTTGAGAATCGCTCAATCTTGCGCCGACAACTCTCTTGCCCTCGGTGATGAGTTCCTCCGCTCGTGCATCCACAAACTTGACTCTGCCTGTGGCCTTGACACGATCGTACATCCATTTCATGCCCTCGCCAGCATTTGCCCATCCGGAAAGCTCATTGACATACCCCCAATCGCCGGGATGACCGTCAACACCTAAGTATTGCTGCAATGCTGCGGGCGTTTCCAGAGATCGAATTTTATGGGGTTGCCCGCTCTCACTGGCGATGCGGGATGCATTCTCCCAACTGGATCTGGTATAGCCCATGCCTGACATCTTGGGCTCCGTCGATTCGTTTGCCGCGAGAAACAAGCCAGACTCGGTATATCGTCCCTGACCACCAAGCTCGTCATCGCCCTGCTTGCGCCATTCCTCCTGTGCAAGAGCCCCTAGCTCGGCATAATCCGGATCCGCATAGTCAGCTCGAATGATCCTTGACGAGTCCACGCTGGCAGAGTCTCCCGGTGGGAAAGATGCTCCACGCACGTCGTCCACGATGGTGATGACAGTGTTATCAAAAGACGACCTCTTGGTGAGCGCCCAGGCGGTTGACAGGCCATATACGCCGGAGCCGATGATGAGAATGGATTGAGGAGAGTCGTTCATCTTGGAGTCGCTGGCTACTTGAGAATGATACTGTCAAAACGAGTATTATGCGCAAAGAGACTCGATCTTCTCGACTGATATATATTCTCTACATACGACTTCCGCATGCTATCGGCTCCCTGTCATTACTGAAAGAGCAAGCAACTCCAATTACGAGGAGGGGTGTCAACTCGTGGGAGGGGCCATCCGATAGTCGGGCTTCTACCGGCTTACCGAACCATGTGGCACACGCAAAAGGCCCCCCACAAAAATTGACGAGCGGAGAGAGAGAATTACGTAGAATCACATCGACACACAAACGCAAGTGGGATCAGGCGATATACGACGATTAGAGGACAGAATCAAGCATTCTTGTGATAATGCTAACTGCAAAAGACCAGTCATAACTAGGCTTTTGTAACAGCTACGCCCTGTGTTAAGGACCAAAAGGGCGTAAACTAATCATATCTCGTCCCTCAAAGGGCGTAAGATGTCCTCATAATTTGTCCAGCCCCACGACCGCTGGCCATGGAGCTGCAACTGCCTCACAACACCAACCAGCCATCACGCCTTGGCTGCTCCCCACTTCATCAGCAACATTCCTTCGGCCCACTTTCAACTTGACCTTTTTCCCCTCGAAAGCATTAAAAAGGCCGCGAAAGACCGACATAGCAGTCTGAAGGCGGCCACGAGCAATCTATGTTGTGTCGCGGGATGGGTAGTCTTTGTTCTTTTTGCCGTGAACCAGATCCATCGTAAGAAGAAAAAAAACGCAATAGAACCTCTTCCTGGCCTTCCCCCCTTTGCCAACGCCAATGCAATGCAAGCAGAAATCAAATGGTACAGGCGGAGCCCTACAAAGACACTTGGTTGTGGCCTACCAAGGTCCCGGGGCGAACGACGTCCTATGAAGTAGTCGTGGTATCATGACCGTAATGGTCTAGTCATATACGTCGGTTTTTTAAAAAAAGGTAATTCGATACTGGTGGTACACGAGATGAAACATCTCTGACCATGCCCATAAAGTGCATTTAGACTTTCCGGAAATCTATGGCGTGTGAGTTAGCAATGTGCTGTCTAAAAGAAGAAAAAAAAAAGTAGTCGTAAAGTGTAAACGAACCTTGAAGCACAGGGTAGATCATTTCAAAAGCTTGGTAAATCTCCTCTCTCACTTTGGCACCCGTCAAGACAATCTTGCCGGAAACGAAAATGAGCAGCACAATCTTGGGCTTGATCATACGGTAAATTAGACCAGGGAACAGTTCAGGCTCGTAAGAGCTGAAGTTGTGGTGACGAGAGGCAAGACCTTCGAGACGGATGGGGAACTTGATGTCACATGAACCGACAATATTCTGGATCTTGAAATCGGTAAACTTGGCGTTGAAGCCAAGCTTTTGGATGATACGGGCGTATTTTCGGGAAGCCAGCTTGGAATCGTCCTCGGACTTGGCACCAGTAACGACCATCTTGCCGGAGGCGAAGATCAGGGCTGTTGTCTTGGGCTCGCGGATACGCATGATGACGGCAGCGAAACGCTACATGCTGTTAGCACCCTTATGCCTCCACGAGAATCTCTGTGGGCCGCCATGTATTCACCTTTGGGTTGTACTCGGCGTTTCTTGCGTGCAGGGCAATCGTCTTCAAGTCCAATCGGCAGTCGAGATTCACGGTTGCCACGATGTTCCTTTGATTGCGAGATAAGTCTCTAGGAGCATAGTCAAAGTGACTCAAGTGTATACATACTGCAGAGTAGGTGTGATACCACTGGGACCCTGAGAGGCTGCAGGCGTGGCAGCGGGAGTTGCAGGAGTCACCCCGTTCCCATTTGCAGCCTGCTGACCATTGGGAGCCATTCGCTGACTGCCATCGGCATTGGTTGATGGTGGTGTGAGCTCGTTAGAGGCACCGGGGAACGACAGCGAACCAGGGGCGGTAAAAGCCTTTGCCTGCGCGGCATTGGCCGGGTGCGTTTGAATGCCCTCCATGATCGCGACTAGAGATCAGAAAGCGTGCGGCGAGGCTGCAACCCTAAACTGAGCAGGTCTATGCAGGAGATGATGTTAGCCACTTGCATATCCTGATGATTAATGGTGCATCGAGGCAGCCCAACAGATGGAAAAAAAGAAGCAAGTGATAATGATGCAGCTGCTGATTGGCACAAAAGCAGAGCTCTGCGCTGCACAGGCTGAAAGCGAGATGAAAGGAAGAGGAAGTTGGATGAAGGGAGGCGAAGTCGTGTTTTTGTTGATGTGGCTGTTGCAGCGCCAGCTGGCAGAACACGTGTTGTGTTTGCCACAGCAGGGCGGCGCAGTGAATGAGGGAATGCAGGGAGGAAACACGCAACACAAAATGTTGTTGCCACCTACCTAAATGCGGGAGATGAACAAGTGAATGTCTCCCCTACAGAATGCTGCTCAAGCAGATATTTTTTTGGAGTCCTTGCGAATGCCGGGTGCAAACAGCAAGGTGGGTAGAATAAGGTGAGAGAACGAAGGTCGAGCCTTGGAAAAAAGCGTTGGTCCAACAACCGAGACTCAGATCGTCTCGTCTTCACTTTCAAGCAATTTTTTTGGAGGTTATTTCTTTTAATTGCGTTCTACAGAACGAGGCAACGACTCGAAGGGCGACGACGACGGGCAGTACTTTGTATCGCTTTGAAGTCTTCGTCGGCGATCAACAAGATCGATTGCACCCGTGGGATTAGGGAGGGAGCGACGGCGTTAAGGAACGTGTTCCAGTTCTCTGTTATTGCCTGGTCGCAGGACGTCGACACCGTGCGACCTAAACGGAGCAGACTCGCTTGTTCCGCTCTGGATTTTCCTGACGCTTTTTAGATAAGGGAGAGGCTGTTCAAGGAACGTTGGCGTCCGATGAAGTAGAGAGCGTGGAGAGTAGGAAAAAAAAGGTGGCAAGCGAGGCCTTTGAGGATAGGTGGGGCGTGACGTCGTTGGAGGGGGGAAAATATTAATGAGAGGTCCGAACGTATGTGGGAGGTACGCAGGGCCGCCGGTCGGGACTTCCTCGCAAGAACGAGGAAACAGCGGATGGGGAAGGGCTGGGTACTTATAATTCTCGCTCCGGAAGGCCCAGGCAGGGCTCCCAGGCAACAACACCACCTGTGGCGTCGCCTCTGGCAGACCCGAGCTCAGCTTAGCGTGTGCACTAGGCCCCGGCGCGGCCAATCACAGCGCCGCGCCGCCGTGCTTTTATCTCCTTTGCCCAGCACGGCTCACAAGGCCCCCTGAAGTATCGCGGTAGCATGCAGAACCTCGCGGTACCAGCGCTGTGGCACCAGGATAACGGGGGGGTGACGAGGGCGAGACAGGGGGGCAGCTGGCGGTCACGGTGTCTGTGCCAGGGCTTTTGAGGCCAGCAAACGCACTTCTTCCAACCCGACCAGCGCTTCATTTCACTTCCCTTTTCTTCCTCTTTCTTCTTCCTTCGGCCTGCATCTCGAGGTGCAGCGCTTTTGCTGCTCTTTTGTCGTCGTCCCTTTTGTGTCGCATGCAGTCCACGGCAGCGCAGGACCCCCCTCGCCACTCGACCATGCGTGCAGCTGCGCTTCGATGCTCGCTGCCGCCCGCGGAAGCAACTGAGCGTGCGATAGAGCGAACATTGGAACCGTCTCGGCCCCGTCGACCTGCTCTGGCCTCGCTGTGCCAGTGCCCGCCCTTCCACCACGACGAAACTTGAGCGCTCATCGTCTCGGATGGCGAATATTGGTCCCGATGGGGTGACGGGGAAATTCGCTTGACTCTGCTTTCCGTGTCCGGGTTTCCAGTCAGTTCTGTTGCTGGGGCGAGCGACGGTCAATCAGCCCCAGGCAAGTCGACGGGGCTGGGCAGTGGACCCGCGGTTGGTCGTGTCGCGCCCATTCGCCCCCCCTTTTATGAGCGTTACCCACCAACCACTCCCTGAAATTGCGTCTTCATCGCCCCCCAAACCCCCCTCACCCGCTGAACCACGTCCTTTCAGCGGCCACACCACAACAAGTTACGGCCATGGAACAACACGAGCTCTGAAACACGCACTTTTGCCCCTGTTGCGTGGCCGGCCAAGATAAGCGACATGTGCTCGCTGCTACAAACAGCATCCGTCTCAGCGTCGTCTCATGTGCGGCGGCAGCGAAACCTCTGTGCTTTGTTGTCTGGGCTGGTGTGTCGTGTCGTGTCCAGGCTGGAAGCGATTACGAGTCGCGTTGCACGGCCGCACACAGCAGACAGCAGACAGAATTTTCGCTGCTGCCAGTGTGGGCAAGTCCGCCTGGGAGGAGGCAAAAATGGCACAAGGCGCATCCTGGCGTTAGTGAGTCATTGCCTGTGAACCAACCATGGGCCCTGAGCCGCATCCACCCAGCAATCTTGCTGTTTGCGGCCTTGTGAGTGGCTCTAGCGCCAAGTACTGGGTACAAGCTCGGCTGTCCGCTTGACGCGCCTTTCTGTCACTGTAACCTGTCTCAGCCCAACGGACGCGAAAACGAGCATCTTGCTGCATGCACGAGAAGATGACCCCCCGATGCCATTTCTACCGTATACTTACTATCACGAGTATGGAGTACTAGTATCGCTCGTTTTCCAGCTTGTCGTTTCTCACTTTTTTTTTTCGCTCTGGATAAGCGAGTTGCAGCTGATGGCCCAGCTGCAGCAGCGCCGCCCCGTCCATCGTAGCTTGCTTGGCTTGATGCGCCGGCGCAATCGCGGAAGTTTTGGATCGTTGTAACTGCTACCTCGCCAGCTCCGGCCAAGTACCCCGTTAACAATTTTCCAACCCGGTGACCCCAGCTGCTCAGCACGTTACACTTTGGACCCTAGCGCCGCATCGCTGCCAGAACTGGATACTTTGGCCGCTTTGGGTCCAGAAAAAATTTGCGTTCTCGCCTGCCCATGCCCGTGCTGGTGTAGCATTGAGCTTGTCCAAGCAAATCTTGTCGTCACGGCGCTATAATTCACGCACAAAGAGGGACAAGATGTGCTAAAACAAGAAAAAAAAAATCCAAGATGGGCGATGGAGAGAAAAAAAACTTTTTTCTTCTTCCCTGCCTCTTTTTTTTTTTTTTTTCTTTCTGTTTCTTCCCTTTCGGCAAGTCCAGCATCGTACTCGTATGTAATGTAATGTATACTCGTACTTGAACGTAGCACTGTCTGTATCCTGCTTCGCGCCGAATCGGTGGCCTCTTTGGGACACAGGTGCAGCAGACCGGAACGAGCCAGAGGAATTCATGTTTCACAGCACAGCCAGAGCATTCTGTCTGCCCTTTGTGCAGCCGTGAAATGCAACAAAAGAATGCAACGCATAAACAGCAAACAAGTGGCCTCTTTCTTTTTCCTCTTTTTCCTCTTTTTTTCCACTCGTACTTCGTAGCTGCACATTTGCTGCAAGGTCCTGACCCAACGCGTGATGCGCAACAACCACCAGCAAAATGTTGCCCATCTCATCACGTATTCTATCCAAAATCCAACACGTATAAACACGCAAAAGACAACCCCCTCCCAAAAACATAATGTTCCCCAGACTTGTATAAAACCCACACAGCCCAGCCCAGCCCAGCCCCGTGAGCGCTAGCCATTGCGGAGCCCAAAGAGCGATACTTTTGACACACGCAAAAAGAGGGAACGCGGGCTATCCACTCTCATATCAGCACTACTATCTGGAGCCAATGCAGAAAGGCGAGATGGCCAGTCCGTGAGAACCCGAGGCGGTGATGAAGTGGACTAATAGCTTTTTCTTTCCTTTGGGGTAAACTTTCGGTGTAGGCTTTCTTGTTTTTCTTGTTAATTTCTTTTACTTTTTTTTTGGTATTCGTCTTTTGATATTGATTGCATATGCTTGAAGACGCGTAACCTGCCACCTATATACTTCTCTCGACTCTCATGATATACGAAAAAAAAAAAAAAAAAAAAAAAAAAAAAAAAAAAAAGCACAAAAAGCAAGATTTCAGCCCGACCGCCCTGTTTGATACTCCCCCCAGCACCTATAAACACAAACCAAAAAAAAGAATACTTTTTTTTCTGGGCGTTTCCTTTCCCAGGACATGCATAACATTGTACATATCAATATGTCATATCAGCCAGACCCCCCAAACGTCGTCGTGTGAATCACCCCCTCCCATCGAATCGAATCGATGTGCCTCATGTCATGTAGTACTTGGGTCCTTCGCCTCCCTGCGGGACTTGCCAGTTGATGTCCTGGTGAGGAGCCTTGATATCGCACGTCTTGCAGTGAATGCAGCTGTTTTTCGGGATGTCACTGTTAGTCACTCACTCTCAAGAGAAGTAAAAGAACAAAGGGAAGGGAAGGGAGATGCTACTCACTTTTGTGCGTTAATCTGGAATCGCACGCCGTGCGGTTTTGACTCGTCCTCCACGTACTCGTACACTCCAGCCGGGCAGAAGCGGTTCTCCACGCCCTTGAAAGTCGGATACGTCGTGTCAGTGTGGGCGTCCCAGTCCTTGACCTGCAGGTGCACGGGCTGGTCCTCCTCGTGGTTTGTGCCGGTGCGAGACACGCTAGTCAGGATGTCAAAGGTAATCTTGCCGTCGGGTTTCTCGTACTCAATCTTGGGGAACTGATCGGCGGGCTTGGTGCATGCATAGTCGGGCTTGCCGTGCTTGAACGTCCACGGAACGCGGCCCTTGAGGACGTACGCCTCCAGGCCCGAGTAGGCGACGCCGCCGTAGACGCCGAGCGGGTTGTGCCACGACGGCCGCATGTTGCGCACCTCCTTGAGCTCCTTCCAGATGGATGACTTACGCAGCGCGTCCTCGTAGTCGTAGAGGAAGACGGTGCCCTCGCTAGAGTCGTTCAGGGCTTTCCATGCAGCGTCTGCGGCGAGCATGCCCGACTTCATGGCGTTGTGCGTGCCCTTGACCTTGGGGACGTTGACGAAGCCAGCGGAATCACCGATCAGGGCGCCGCCGGGGAAGGCAACCTTGGGTATACTCTGGAAGCCGCCTTCAACGAGACCTCGAGCGCCGTACGAGATGCATTTACCGCCCTCGAGCACGTTCTTGAACAGCGGGTGAAGCTTCAGCTTCTGGAACTCCTGGTATGGAGAGAGCCAGGGGTTCTCATAGTCCAATGACACAACCAAGCCCAAGCTCACCAGGTTCTCTCCAAAGTGGTACATGAAAGAGCCGCCGTACACGTCCTTGGGCAGGGGGTAGCCCATAGAGTGGACAATCAGGCCCTTTTCAAACTTGGCAGGATCAATCTCCCACACTTCCTTGATGCCCAAGCCGTAAGTCTGGTGCTCGCTGTCTCGTCGCAAGTCGAATTTGCCAACCACTTTCTTGGTCAAGCTGCCGTGGCAACCCTCGCCGAACATTGTGACTCTTGCGTGAAACTCCATGCCGCGCTCAAAGGAATCCTTGGGCTTGTTATCTCGCCCAATGCCCAGGTCGTTTGTGGCAACGCCCTTGACCGATCCATCGGTGTTGTAGAGAACCTCGGAGGCAGCGAAGCCAGGGTACAGCTCCACGCCCACCTCCTCCGCACGCTCGCCGAGCCACTTGACAAACTGGTTCAAGCTGACAATGTAGTTGCCGTGGTTGTTCATCTGGGGCGGCGCGGGGATCGGAATGGCAGCCGTCTTGGTGAGGAAGCGCATCTTGTCCTTGCCGGCCGGGGTCGCATGCTCGAACCGCGAAGGGTTCGACTCGTCAAGCCAGTCGGGGATCAGCTCGTTGATGGCAGACGGCTGGATGACGGCGCCGGAGAGAATGTGGGCGCCCACCTCGCCGGCCTTTTCCAGCACCAGGACTCGGAAGTCCTCGTTGCCCGCCTCGTTTGCCAGCTGCTTCAGCCGAATGGCGGCACTGAGCCCCGCGGGACCAGCGCCGATGATGCAGACGTCAACCTGGTCCGACTCACGCTCAATGGTGGCAGGGTCGAAGGATTCGTCCTCGGCCGCCATCCGCAGTCGCATAGCGGTGCTGAAAGATCTGACGGCAGCAACCGGCATGCCTATTGACGGCCGTATCATGACAGGAGCTCTTCGAGTAGCTGCCACAGGCCCGAGGAACCTCGCTGCCCGACATCTTGGAAGCGCGCGGGTGGTGCGCAGGGCGCATCTCGACACGGGCGCTGCAGCCGGCATTGTGGTGAGTGGTCTTCAGAATTCCTCGCAGCTCCGGAGCAGGCAATTGGCGAAGAGGGAGCAGCTGGGAGGAAGAAAAGCTGCGACATCGACGTCAAGGACCGGCGGCCGAGTTACTATTATCTGCCCAGCGATTGGCTGCCAAGGTCCGACCCGATACCCGGGTTTATATAGCCGATCGCAGCCGGATGGGCCCTGTACTTGTGTGGTACTTGGGGTAATGGAATCCTGCACCGCGAGGAGGTGGCTAAGCTCGGCTTATGAAGTAGCTCTCAGGTATTTCCTATGGCAGAGCTTCGCTGCTGCCACAAGCCTCTAATAACCGCCCCCAGAAAATCATTTGATAATTGGATAAGGTATATTATTATTACAACATGTCTACAATTCGAAGCAGCTCCCCGTCGTGATGCTGACCGATGCCGCAGACGCCAGATCCTTGTTTGGTGGAAACAAGGGCAAAAATTCTCACATCTCACGCAATGGCTGGCTTCGATATCGGCGACATTGTGCCTTAAAGCTGTGCGGCTAGTCTCATATCCTGCAGCTTCGCAGAGCTGCCTGAGGTACCCACGTACCGACCGGAAGGGGCTCTAGCGGGTACGAGTATTACTACCTATGACAAGTTGCCGAATAAGACGGTGATTAATAGTATTGTTATAAACCCCCAAACAGAAACAAGTGGTGAGCTGGCATCGGACCGGGTGACGCATGACCCGTGATATGTCGATTGACCCGTGGCGAGCTCCCAGTCCAAGGTCCAAGTCCAAAACCCGCTCGTGCCTCGTTGTCAGGCGGGCCGTCTGTCATAACCGCGGTCCGCAACATGCGGTCTGCAGCCCATTCAATACACGGCACCCTTTTAAGCCGAAACTAGTACCTCGTGGTACAAACAGTTCCTAGATAGTTATCTATTGGATTTAAGTAGTGTTATCATATACCTAGGTAGGTAGATATTTGGTCTACGCAGTATGAAGCAGACATCCGGCTATCGAATCCCGAGGTATAGGGTAGGCTATGGGCCTACAGGCGATGTTGTAAAACCACATATCATCTATCTATTATCTGTCTGAGGATACACACTCAGCATTCATTGCTGTGAACGTTTCATCTGACTGAGCAAAGAATCAAGTCCTTGGTTTCTAGCTCACGTAATATGTCTTCATCATAATACAAAACACCCGAAGCAGGGTCCAAAGTGCAACCAGACCATTCTATGCCATCCCGGGACAACATGCTGACTATAACATCTGGTCGTCTCACCATCCCACCCTAGACTTGATGAACAGTTCATGCTTATTATACTGTCCAACACACGTCAGCATCAGAACAGTGCTATTGGAGTCATGTTGACTGTGGTTGGTTGCACACTGTAGAGCTTCTGTTAGCGTAAATAACTCTGTGAAGATCTCCATGCATGCATAAGAAGAGTCATGGTAGAATGTATACACGGCAAGGTAAGGAAATAAGTCATAGGCAGAGCGCAAACGTAATCCAAAATATTAGTCCTGTTCTAATATTGCTATTGAGGTAAAAACCATACACCGACTCCTTGCAATCCAACTCTTTCTCCCGTCTATCATGCTGATAACCTAGCCTTAAAGTTCTAACTCAAATCAAATCCAGCCCCTGCCGTAATCGCGTAGAGCAATTTCTTTCGTAAAGTTGATTCCGACTTGTATATCGGCAGCTTCAATAGATTGACACACGTACTCGCGCTTGGTAGTCGTTCCTGATCCGAGCTACCATCCCGGATGGCAAACTTTGGATTCAGTTGTGCAAAGCCAAGCAGCGGTGCTCTTGGGGTCGACGTAACATATTTGAGAACATCGCGCCTCTGGGCGTCTGTCAAGCTGTTCATGACGTTCCAGAACATCTTGATCGTGGGGTGTTCCTCCCCGTCATCGCCTATGGCATAAAGGCCGCTGTAGACTGTGTTTTGGCGTAGGTTTTCAACATCAATTGCCATCGAGTCACCGCCAACCAGGCGCTGTAGCTCAGACTGGTTAAACATGGACAGCCACGACGGCCGGATAATCTCGCGAAGTCCGCGCAGGAAAGAGGTCGTCTGGGGAGCCGGCTGTACAACTAAGCGATGGCGAGCTGCGTAGGATATGTAAAGTAGGCGATTGTCGTTTGTAACCGGCATCTCGTCGCCACCTGGTACCAACTTCCTTGTGACAATCTCGACGGGCTCGCCCGGTGCCGATATCTGGTCCGTTATGGTAAAGTCTAGCCCCAGGGCGGAAACATCCCCGGAATAATTCTTGAGGTTAAGGAGGCCCCTGTATAGCTCTTCATCCATGTCTTGAAGATCATTGACACTTCCCTTGTAGTTGTTCTCCTCCTTTCGATTGGGTGATGGCCATTTCAGGAGGAAAAACCCGGCAAACGCAAGATCAACAAGAATGCCTTCATACATGCACTTGCCAACAATGCGGCCGAGAAATTCATATCGTCTGAGCAAACCAGACATCGCCTCTCTCCACTCAGGATCGGATTCCGTCAACCCTTGCTTCCGCAGTGATTCACGAAGCACATCCATAGCCGTGGGATTAGGATACAGCAGTTCTTTGCCACTGGATGTGAACATTCCAAGCCCCCCGGCCCCGTTTCCAAAGGCCTCTGACGTAACGCTCGTTAGAAATTCCTTGGTAACACCGCCGCCATCGATACCCGCTTCGGGCGTATCGAACTGATCAACAAAGGTGATCTGAATGGGGTCCTTGAGACCTTCTCCGAGCTGGTAGAACTGCTCAAATGCATCTTCAAACAGCTGACCACGGCGGATCTTTGCGTGATGCCTTCCAACCGGAGCCATCAACATCGAATGATTCCCACCTCTACGAACTCTGTCGAGGTTGACGAATTGCCGAAATATCATTACTCGCGTCTCAAACGGAACAACAAACGGGATGTGCTTTAGCACCTCTAATTTGGGTCCCATCTCGGCGAGCCGTCGTTCCCTTTGGGCGCGCATCTGGTTAGCTTTGATCCTTTCCAGTCTCACATTGCGGGAAAGCCGTTGCGCGGCAAAAGTTGAATGCAGTCCATAACCGTCATCAAACGAAGGATCTTGACTTTCATCAGCCTCTATGTCGCTATCGTCGGCCTGCTCTTGAATCTGCCTCTCTTCTTCTGCTATGACGGCTCCGATGAAGTCTTCCTTCTCCAATTTGCTCGTCATAAGCCAGTGGTTTGCCGATAGAAAATGCTTCCTCGAGTCTCTCTCGTAGAGCATTTTTAATGAAGTTGTGATGATGGCGCGAAGGCTCTCCAGATCGAGCTTCGTGGAGACCTCCGAGGTTGGACTCTTGCTGGGGCCCCTGGATTCCTCTAGGTTCTTTGAAGAATCTCCCCAATATGACTCTAGTCGAGATTTTGATGACGCTTCGAGAGCTGCCTGAGTCTGGGTGATCTCTTGAACGCTGTAATGTAGAGCGAATGCGGTATTCTTGAGGAAAGTGATGAGCGCTTCAACATCCTTCAACGCCAAGCTGCACGATCGGGTGCGTGACTTTGGCACGTCGCTACTCAAAACTTGAGGGTAAATGCCACTTAAAAAATCTTCGTCATCACTGATCCTGAGAATAAAAGTGTAAAGCTCCAGGAATAACAGGATAATTCTCCATTCCTGCTCTTCCGTGTGCAATGAGGGCTGAGAGGAGCTGCCATAGAAATACCTGTGAAGTATCTTTGCTGGTCGCTCAGACTCTGTTCTTAGCTTTTGAAACACTGAGGTCTTGGTCATCATCTGCCAGAGGTATTTGACGATGGGCACCTGCCCCTCTGTAGTGGGTATCTCCTCGAGAAACAGCCTCATGCGGGTATCGTCCGCTCTGCTAGGGAAACTTTGAAGCAAAGCCAAGATATAGCCAGCAAGGAGCTCACTTCCTTCGAGCTCTTGTGTTGAAGACTGTGCCAGGCTAGTGGAGAAATCATGCAGCAGATTGGAGATGCCATTATTGTCCACGAGCCACAATAATTGACGGGAAATGTAAGACGACGAGGAGAATGCAAGAGACCCGGTAGTCACGTCGTCGGGATTTATTCGAATACTGATATCGGATGATAGAGCAGATAGCTGGGTGAAAACAACGCTCAGATGGACCAGATTCTGGGTTGAACTCTTCTGCGCTCTACTCAAATCGATATAATGAGCCAAGAGCCAGAAGAGACGGTCTTTTTCGGGTAAAGCATCGGATTTATAGCTATACGCATTGAGTATTTCGACCGCGAGCTTCTCTGTGTCGATGCTTTGGGCCACCTGATCGATATTCTCCTCAAAGAGATAGAGATCCTGGGCTGTTAGAAATCGAAGCGCCAGTGCCCTATATGCATCCGAATCTGTGGACGGCCAAGTTAGCAACCAGTGTCATGCAACACTTATAAAAATGACGCCGTAATAGGATAACATACTGTTTCCCGCACCTGCGCTCAATGGTGCGGAGAGAGATCTGACCACTATGTCCACCCATTCTCGGTCGCGCCTTGATTGGCAAAACTTGGCCAAGGCTGTATAGAACTCGTCGACCGATCCAAGTATTGTGAAGGGGAAGTTGGTGGCCAGGTGGTTGATCAGTGATAGGAGATACTGTAATTCCAATGACGTATTTCTAAGCAAGCCGAGTTAGTATGCCTGTGATGGATTGCAAGCTCGCAGCAGCTTTCACGAGCTATAGGGCAATTCTAAACATACTCTTTGGAAACAGAAACGCCCAAAGCTTGCACAAGCTTGACCATTAATTTTTGAAGGCGTGAGGGATGACGGCTGGCGTCGCTAAATTGCTGAAGGGAAATACTATTACAGTCGTTGATGAATAAAAACAGACGTTGCATGTCGCCGGCTCGGTTGGGCGAGAAGAAGGACAAAAGGAGAGGGAAAGAAACATATACCCTCCGGGAAACATCACTATCTGGTAGAGATTGGTAGATGAGGTCGAAGTCATGCCGGTGCTGGTCCCTCAGAGTGGACCGCGATCTATATCCTCTCCATGTTCTCTGTATCTGCGACGCCGCCTTCAAACGCCGCCTCTCGGCCTGTCGCTTTTCTCTGTCGGCCTGTGCGTCCGAGACGGTCTTTGTAGCGTTCGAAACGGCCGAGGGGGTCCATGATGTGTTGGAGAACGGGTTGCTGGCCTGGCCGCTTAGGTTCACGTTCCTCGGCCGCCTCGAGTTGCCTGTGAAGGTTGAGAACATGGCGGCGGCTTGAACTTTGCTAGTAGCTACACACAGACATCAAGAGGACATGGACAGAGATGCCTCGCAACAGCTTGCACGATGCTTCCGTTGAGTTTGCGGTTGCTGTGGCGATTCTAGAAGATTCAGCCCTGAAGCTTTCATCAGTCATCAAGCTGGATACGTCCTGCTGCAGGCTTCCCATAGCATAGCATCATCGCTGGTGGGGCAACGTCGGCGGGCTTAGTTACTGCCTAATTGGTAGTGTCGCGTGCTGATAAGATAAGGCCAAGACAAAGAAGAACTCAGCAATCAGGGTCACCGCCTTTGAGCATCCCACCAACACAGTGTCAAGACAAGGGCCAGGCCACTGTTACCCTTGTTTCGTGGGGAGCAAAAACAGAACGCAGAGGCGTTGCAAGTAGCACCAGAACGGCAAATTCCAGCGCGTCCAGATTTCGCACTCGCCGGTGGCCACTTGCGGCTGCAACTAGTCGAGACAAAGCATGGGCACGAGAACGGGCTTCTGCCACCGCCTCTCAGAATTTTCAGAGAGCAGACTTTGCATCACACCCTCTTGCAGATAGGCCGGTTGTTAGCCTCGAGACTTGGCCGAGGCGGGGTTGGAGGTGCTTCTCTAGCGGATGACCACACAAAACGTGAAACGCGCTGTTATCGACTACCTGGCCGCGGGCAGCAGCAAGTACCCTTGGCTCATTCTTGGGTTGATTTAGTGGCAGCTCCGGCAGTGTCCTGCACTGTCCCGCACTGTCCCGCACTGCGATACCCTAATAAATCTGGTAGGAAGTCACAACTCGCCGCTAAGGAGGCACGGAAGGTCACTCCACCGCTAGACAGGTTTAGCAGCCCAGCGAAAAAAAAAATGTCGAGTGGTTGAAAAATCTCTTTTTTCCTCTTCTTCCACACAACGCTCAACTTTATCCAACCAACACAAAACCCATAAAAGGCAGGTTAGTTCAGAGGTACGGTCTTCGACCTAGTTCTCTGTTCTTGCTCTTTTCTTTCAATCAAGAAAACCAAAAAAATTTGAAAAATCCAAAAAACCCTACCCGCCACTTTCAAGTCCCCCGCGACGCCGTCGACGAGCAGTCACCGCAGAAAACAAACAAAAAAAACAAAACAAGACCTATCCTTTGAGACAACTCACCCCAGTTGCCTCCATCCCCAAGTCGCTCAGCCTGCAGATTGTCTACTCTGACTCGCCGAGCACTCTTCTTTCTGCTTCTCTTTCTGAATCAGTAAGTCTCCTCTGCTGATTGCCGGGTATTTTGCTGGCAGACTTCTCCCGGCGAACCACGTTTCCCTCGTTCTCCTTTCAGCCGCTGACCCTGTCTTGCTGCAGCCTTGTTTGATACCCGTGATTTAGTCAACCGTCGCAATGGCCGCCAACACCACCTCGAACGCTGTTGACCAGCTCGCCAGCGATCTCAACAACACATCCCTCAATGGCAGCGGCGATGTCAAGGCTCCTGCCGTCGACACTGCCGTCAGCGCTGGTGCTGAGGATGCCTCTGCTCCTACCCCCACCACCGCTCCCCACCCCCAGAACTCGGCCTCGCTCTACGTTGGAGAGCTTGACCCCTCCGTCACCGAGGCCATGCTCTTTGAGCTCTTCTCTCAGATTGGTGCCGTGGCTTCCATCCGTGTCTGCCGTGACGCTGTCACCCGCCGCTCTCTGGGCTACGCCTATGTGAACTACAACTCCACCCCCGATGGCGAGAAGGCCCTGGAGGAGCTCAACTACACTCTCATCAAGGGTCGCCCTTGCCGTATCATGTGGTCCCAGCGTGACCCCGCTCTGCGCAAGACTGGCCAGGGCAACGTGTTCATCAAGAACTTGGACGTTGCCATTGACAACAAGGCTCTCCACGACACCTTTGCTGCCTTTGGCAACATTCTCAGCTGCAAAGTTGCCCAGGATGAGAACGGAAACTCCAAGGGTTACGGTTTCGTTCACTACGAGACCGATGAGGCTGCTGCTCAGGCCATCAAGCATGTCAACGGCATGCTGCTCAACGAGAAGAAGGTCTACGTCGGCTACCACATCCCCAAGAAGGACCGCCAGAGCAAGTTCGAGGAGATGAAGGCCAACTTCACCAACGTCTACGTGAAGAACATTGGACCTGATGTCACCGACGATGAGTTCCGTGAGCTGTTCGAGAAGTTCGGTGATGTTACCTCATCTTCTCTGGCCCGCGACCAGGAGGGTAAGCCTCGCGGTTTCGGCTTCGTCAACTTCACCACCCACGAGGCTGCTTTCAAGGCTGTTGAGGACCTCAACGGCAAGGACTTCCGCGGCCAGGAGCTCTATGTTGGCCGTGCCCAGAAGAAGCATGAGCGTGAAGAGGAGCTGCGAAAGTCTTATGAGGCCGCGCGCCTTGAGAAGGCCAACAAGTACCAGGGTGTCAACCTGTACATCAAGAACCTTGATGACGACGTTGATGATGAGAAGCTCCGACAGATGTTTGCCGAGTTTGGCCCCATCACCTCTGCCAAGGTCATGAGGGACACCCCTCAGGAGGGCGAGGAGGAGGTCAAGGACCAGGAGAAGGACAAGGAGAACCAGAAGGAGGCCGAAAACGAGGCCGAGTCTGCTGAGAGCGCCGAGAAGAAGGCCGAAAAGAAGTCCGACAAGAAGCTTGGTAAGAGCAAGGGCTTCGGCTTCGTCTGCTTCAGCAACCCAGACGATGCCACCAAGGCTGTCGCCGAGATGAACCAGCGGATGATCAACAACAAGCCTCTGTACGTTGCTCTTGCCCAGCGCAAGGACGTCCGCAAGAGCCAGCTTGAGGCTAGTATCCAAGCTCGCAACCAACTGCGGATGCAGCAGGCTGCGGCGGCAGCTGGTATGCCGCAGCAGTACATGCAGCCCCCCGTTTTCTATGCTCCTGGCCAGCAGCCAGGCTTCATCCCCCAGGGCGGCCGTGGCATGCCTTTCCCCCAGCCCGGAATGCCTCTTCCCAACGTCCAGGGAGGTCGCCCCGGCCAGTTCCCCGGATACCCTCAGCAGGGTGGCCGTAACGTTCCTCAGGGAATCCCCCCCAACATGTACGGCATCCCCGGCCAGTTCCCCCCTCAGTTCGGACAGCCCGGAACTCCTCAGTTCATGGCTGCCATGCAGCAGGCTCAGCAGCAGGCTGCCGCTCTTGCTGGAGGCCGCGGCGGCGCTCCTCAGGGTGGCCGTGGCAACATTGCCGGCATGCCTCCTAATGTCCAGGGTGGAATGCCTGGATACCCTCCCAACAACCGCCAGGGCATGGGCCGCAACAACAACGGCGGCAACAACAACAATGCTGGTCGCAACGGCAACTTCCCTAACCAGCCTGCTCGCGACAACAACGCTTCCTCTATGCTCCAGTCTCAGCTTGCTGCGGCCCAGCCTGCCCAGCAGAAGCAGATTCTTGGAGAGCTGATCTTCCCCAAGATTCAGGCAATCAACGCTGAGCTTGCTGGCAAGATCACTGGTATGCTTTTGGAGATGGATAACTCTGAGCTTGTCAACCTGTAAGCTTCTCCCCCTTTTCAATGATTACTTTGAAGCGAATCTGTGATACTAACTTTTTTACCTTAGCATTGAGGATGAGGCTGCTCTGAAGGCCAAGGTTGACGAGGCGCTGGCCGTCTACGACGAATACGTCAAGTCCCAGGCTGCTGGTTCCGAGAAGAAGGAGGAGGAGACCAAGGCTTAGGTAGAGCCGGTCTTTCCGCCTTTGACACGCAACATCGTTTCCTTTGTCGTTTAAAAATTTGACCACGGTGCGAGATGAACTCGAAGACACCGAATGATACGTGAGATGCAATATGATAGCCACGGGTGCTCAGTCTATTGCATCATGTAAGGATAGACTTATTTGCTATATTTTCTCAAGGATGAACAAAAAGTTGTGTGGTTTGGAAGGTGGTATTTTCGGATGCGGGAAGCCGCCTTGCCCTGGCCGGGACAATTCATGTCGCTGGCAAAAATCAGGCTCACCGGGATGGCGTTGCGGGTTTTATGAAGGCTGCCTCTGGGCTATACCCCCATGAACATGGTCCACTCTCACTGGCAAAAATAACGGAGGCAGGGGCTGAAACGGATAGGATTCTAGGGAATTTTCTAATAGATAACATGATCTTAACCAACTTGTGTTTTTTTATTGTGAAGTTGTGAGCAGTGAGTTTTGAGGTGTGATGTTGTGAATATTTTGTTTTGAGCACACTCTTTTCATCTTCATGATGATTTCTTACAGCTAGATAGGTTGTACAAGCAGCGCTTCCTAACGAACAGCATTTACGCTTTCTTTATATATGAAGACTCTTTTACATACGAAATACTTAAAGGATAAGAAATTGCTTCCAATTGACTCTGCCAAACCTAGGAGGTAGTACTACTAGTTACATACCCAACCAAGCCCAGCGCCCCGATCAAGGCGTCACCTTTCATCTAAGAAAGCTAACCTCGGCACCGAGTAAAAGGAAAGGAAAGAAAAGGAAAGGAAAAAAAAAAAAAAAGAAAACGCCGACACCGTTTGACCGACATTGAAAATACAGCAAAATACCACACATGCCGAGTACATGGGATACTACAATATGTGAGAACAGGGGATGAGAGATAGATGTAAGGAGAGTTTTGTGTGTGAAGAAAGATTCGCTTGCCTGAGAAAAAAAAGAGTATAGAAGAAACGCCATATGAAAAGAGAAGACATTCCACGCCCAAATATAAAGGCAAAAGAAAAGAAAAAGAGAGAACAAAAAAAAAAGGAATAAGGAGAGAGATAGAGAGAGAAGAACAAGAGACAAGGAATGAAGAAGAATAAAAGAAACATCTATGTGAAAAACTTTTTGGTGTGTTCCGGCTTTTCACCTAAATGTGTTGCTCCCTTAATTTCCCCCTCTGAAAATGAAGTCCCCCTCCCCGAAGAAAAAAAAGCAACCCAGATCTCAAAAGAGGAAGAGAATAGAGGGGATGTGAAGATTTGAAAGAAAAAAATGACAAGATTGGATAAATAGTATATACTTACCGTTCCCGTTTGCGAAGCGCCAATGGTTTCCTTGCTTGCCGAACCCACTCCTTTACCCTTTGCCCTTTGCCTGAAAAGCCATGCCTTTGTGTGCCTTTAACCGATAGAAAAGCAGCAGATGTAATTAAAAATAGAAGAAGAATAAAAACTCCACTAGAGCGTGTAAGCGGACAAAAACACGCGCTGTTGGCGATGAGGCCATGCTGTTGTGCCTGACATGGAGAAAATAAAAAAACGGTTAAATAGCAAGGATGTTTTGTATATCCCCCCCAAAAAAACAGAATGATTGATTCAACGCCTTTGGAAAAAGAGAAGAAAACAAACAAACAAAAAAAAAGGGGGGGAAACTACGACTCTCTGAGGATGTCGCCCCGTCCATCATCGAGTCTTAAACTTCTCTGCTGCTGCTTGCTCGGCACGCTGGCGTAAAGCGTTTCCAGGACCTTTCCCTTTTGCTGGCGTCGAATCTCCGACAGGTGGTCTCTCACGCCAGACAAGCTGTCGATCTGGTCCTCAAGAGTCAGGATGGTGGCATTGGTGCCGCGGACGAGCGGCGAGATGAGTTTGGTGCGGAGCCCCTCGAGCGAGGTCTGTAGTGAAAGGAGCTTGCTGTGATGGTTGACCAAGATGCCCTTGTTGCGGACAGTCTTCTCCCTCACGTCGCGGAGGAGCACGCGGTTCTGTTCAAACTTGCGCAGCTCGGCGGCGCGCGTGCCTAGAATGCGCACCCACAAGCTGGCCAGCATGTCGCTGTGGAGCTCTTCCTGGGCGGAGGTCTCGCGCGCGACGGTTCGCGCAAGGTTGAGAAAGTGCTGGTCGATGCTGTTGAAGAGACCATAGAGGTTCATGCTATAGCGAAGCTCCTCTCGAACACTCTCCTCGAGTACCGACAAGAATTCGTTGAACAGTAGCTGGACCATTCGTTGCTCGCGCTGCGGGTTGCTTAGTCCAAAGACGTACGTAGTAATCGTGCCGATCGGCGTAGGAGCGCCCGAGGCGTCCTCGAGGACATGAGCCTCAGAAAGCATATTGTGGATGTTATCGTAAGCGGAGGAGAGGGTGGAAGGAGAAGGAGCGCTCTGGAGGCGATTGAGATGCATCTTGGCCCAATCCATGACATTGAGGATGCTGTTGTACAACGAGGCGCAAACGCCCATGTCAACTTATGCTGTTTGCTTCTCTCGACACACCAGGGTCACACGAGGGAGCAAGGAAAGGGAAAGAACTCAATTGGAAGATGAGGGGGGATGAAAGAAAGATGGGATGATGGAATACGAGGGGATATTTTGAGGGGGGGGGCGATTGTCATTCATCACTTACCCGTCAATGTCGCCATCAACTACGGCAAAGAACTTGGTCATCTCTGTCGCAAGCGTCTTCATTGCGCCGCTGAGAGCATCGAGATCGGAAACGATGAGCGACGCATCCTTCATTCCGCTGGTTCGTACTGTCTCTCCGAGGTCCCAGACGGCGACGCTGGTGGCCTGCAAGTCGTGTACCTGCGTAATGGCATGTTCTGAATAGTAAATGAGGGGTTCAAATGAGCGCGCAATGCCCGCGACCTTGACAAGATCGCCGACGGGCCGCGGCGCAGGCTCCTGGATGAGCGTCTTGAACATTGTGATGCTGAAGACGGCGAGGAGCAGGCTGAACAGGGTAGACGTCCATGACGCAGTGAGAGCGGCGTAGCGTTTACGGACGAAGGCAATGGCTGTTTCAATTGGTTCGGTTCGCTGCTGGACTTCAGCACGCACGGCGAAGCGGATGTCTACAACGAGAAAAGACAACACAGTCAGGCGCCAAGTCCAAGTCCAATGCTAAGACGGAGACGCAGGTGGCTGCGCCAGGCAGAGCAGGCAGCAGCAGCAGCAGCAGGCAAGGAAAATGCGCGGCGCAACTTACAGTTATCCGTCGGCGGCGGCGACTCCAGTATCCTCTCGAGAACGGGCGGGGTTGGTGCCTCGAGTCGCAATGTGCCGCTCCTGTTTCCCTCTGGACTCCGGCTCCTCACCTTGTCCGGGCTCATGCTGCCCGTGGGAAGCCTCGTACGGATCGCCCTCTGCAAAATATCGTTCTGGTTGTCCAGGTCGTGGTCCAAGTCGTCATCGTCATCATCGTCATCGTCGCGCTCACTAAACGGGGTGTTGCGCACGGCCAGGCGCATCGGGGCCATTGCGCCGAGCGCATCATGCGACGGCGGCCTCCAGAAACCGTTGCTTCGACTACCGTTGGCGAGTCTCCGCCACGCTGGAGGAGAATAGGAACCTGCGGACGCGACGTCCAGGTCCGCTAGGAGATCGTCCTCTATCGCCGCTTCGCTGGGGGGGAGAACGGATGAGTTCCTCGTCGTAGACAGCGGGCTTGCTGGCGTCTCGAAATCCCGTAATGAGGCGTCGAGCCTTTCTTGGGGATCGTCCATGATCGGTTTCTTTGGCGTAGTAGTCCCTCTCCTTGTAGTGGTCCTTGGGTTCCTTTCTGAAGCGGTCTTTGAATGATTCCTTCTTGTCGCGGCGGTAGACGGTCAGCGACTGGTCGCGCAGGACAAGCTGGCGGGAGGGCGATGTGGGCGACGGCGGTAGTGCAGGCAGCCTCCTGTTGTCGTTGGAGTCTGGGGCGGATAAGAAGCGCGGCAGGGTGAATCGCGGCAGGTTGAATGAGGGCAGTTGGGGAAGATAGAAGCTGACGAAGACGAGAATAACAAGCAGCGCAGCCAAAAAGGTGCTGGGAGTGACAGTGACGCTGATCAGGGAGACCTGCTGATTCACCGTCAACAGCGAATACATGGGAGAGTCTGAGGGCGGACAAGGTCCAGCGGGATGGGACTAAAGAGAGAAAGGTGTGTCGGTCGGTAGTCGGCCCTGGGCTTGGCTTGCAACTCTTCGCGTTGTCCAGACCCCGGCAGTGCGGTAGGTGTACGCCGTGTGTCTGTCTGGATGGAGTATGTGCGAATGTACTTGGTACGGACGGGGTCGGTAAGGTTAGTAGGCGTGGTTGGAATGACAGGTAGGTTGGGGAAAAGGGTCGACCCAGACAGGCTTTCTTCCCAAGGTCGACGAGCTAAATAGATAGTCCCGCTCGGTCGATTCCGCAGGACCTGCAAGGAGAGACTGGACAAGAGAGAGAGAGGGCAGCGACGTCAGAAACAGCGACAACCCTGGTGCTGGGAAGTGGGCAGCGATCGATGGTGCGGGAGAGCGGCAGCGGGCGATGAATTGTCTTTTGGCGGTCTGTCCTTTTTTTCTTCTTCTTCTTTTCGGCTTGCAAGGGCACAGTAGTCAGCGTCAGTAGTTTCTTTTCCCCCTCTTGTTCGGTTTTTGTTTTGTTCTGGCTTGTTTTCCGAGCAATCCAAGGCCGTCCAGCTCTGCCAAAACCCGGGTCTCTCCCCCCCTTCGTACCCAACTCGAGCTTCTCTCCCAACGCTGGGACTCGACAGCCTAGCCCTGCAGCCGTGACTGGAAGATTGGCGCCGGCCCCGGCAGCGGCCACTCCCCTTCGCGCAATCGCTGACCGTGTTGGGGTGGCAGCAATCGTGAGAGGCTGGGCCGCCCTCGTGGCACGACAGCGACCCAGCCGGCGCGGCCAATCAGACGTGCTGCTCACATCTCCCTCCGCCGTTTCAGACCAGACGGCCATGCTGAACAGGCCACCCCCCTCCTTGGCCGAGTCTTGCTCTTGGCCGCTGCTCGCTCTGCCCTCGCCCATCCCTCACCCATCCCTGGGCCCCCCCCAGCAGTGCCTTGCTTCCCTCGTTGCCCTTCGCCCTCTGTCGGTCATCCAGCTCGAACCCCCCACCTGGATGGCAGTCTGCCTGTCCTTGCTGTCAATCCGCCATGGGCCCCAGAACGGGCAGACTCAGACTACTCAGAATCCCACCATGCCGCCTGCCGCACTACTCGTATGTGCCGTGTCCATGGATGTATCTCCATGCAACCGGCGAAAGAGCCCGATAGCGTGAGAGAGCGCAATCCGCTCATTCGTCGACGCACGCATAGCTTACCTGCAGCATCGCATCAACAATAAAAAGACAAATTCGCTCTGGTTTGCTCTGCTCGTCTCTCGTTCTTCCCGCCTCTGCCCGGCTCCAGCCACTAGGCTGCTCCCGTTATCTTATCACCCCGCAATTAGTGGGCTTTTCTTCTTTCCCACCAGCTTCGCCACCCCTCCATCAACTGAAGCAGCCTGTAGCAGCCTGTAGCAGCCTGTAGCAGCTTGTAGCACTTGTCTTCGCCCTTCATATGCACGCACTTTGCATTTGGTCTCTGCCGCATCGCCCCATTGTTTTTCTATCTCATGGGAAATGCCACACCACCCTCTCCCTTGAGTGGCCGTCTTTTCTTTTTTGGCCTTGTTTCTTTTCCTGTTTCTGAGGAGAGACAAAAGGGAATGGGGGAGCAGCAGGCATCAGATCAGGGCAACTCCCAAGTGGCGGAACCGCAGAATCTAAGCTTTTTTGACGCGAGACGCCCGCAGAAAAAGAAACGAAAGACCACCCACACAAGGTCGATCCTCGTCACCCGCGGATCGTCAACAGCGGAAATGGGTGGTGCGGACCCTTTGAATCCTCATCCTTGCAAGAAGCCGAATGCCTTAGCCTACTTAGTCTATTATATTCGTACTATTCATAGGTGCCATGTACTTTGCCAAGTATCTAATACTTGCCTCGCAGAGACTACTACGGTACGCAGTGCATTCTCCGAGATGCTCCATCGATCGACCAAGCAGGTACTCCATACTTTAGCAGATACCTTAGTATTCCGTGCATCACATCACCATAGTCTCTTCCGCTCGCCCCACCTAGGCGCTGGGAAACCTGAGCTAAACTCAGTCACATGAGAAGTCATCTCTCACCGTCCATGTCCACGCTCACAATGTCTGCGGGCAGTAATACGGAAATACTCGCTGGTCGAGCCCGTCCATACGGCACTTGCTGATATGGCTCATCAAGGGCTCAGCACGTGCATGTTATATGACGCAGTTGCATTAGTTAGTGAGTGTATCAGATGAGAGGCTAGAAAACGAAATCGACGCTATGTTTCCATTTGTGGTTTTATCATCGCCTGTTTGGTCAACTCCTACCCGATTTGCCCATGAAGCAGCACACCTAATACACAACGCATCACACCTTAAAAAAAAAGGCAACTCAAGTCCCTAGGAGAGACCGGAACGAGCAAGAAGGATACTTGGTTAAAAAAAAAAAAGAAGACAACTCCGTCTCGCGCCTTGGCTCCGCTGCTGCTAGTTCGTCCCTTGAACTACCCAGTTTATACAATAGTAGTTTGCGCTTGTCCCCCGTGGTCAACCAACGGAAGATATGGTTGGCTCTCTCTCCCTACCCCCGGTCAGAGATCCCCCAGTGTGGAATGGAGGGGCGTGGGAAAATAAAAGCCGCGATATCAATCTTCTCTGCGTTTGCCCCAGACGGCCAAGATCCATGAACCCTGGCAGGCTCAAGGGCTTTGGAAGTCGTCGGACTCCTAGTCTACTTTGGCGTTGGCCAGACTTCTGGCCGTTGGGTTGCTGATGTTGTTCACCTGCTTCACCGGCGTTCGCTTGTACTTGGACTGCTTGCGTAGCTTCTTGCGTGCAACCATGACGGGCACCGAGCTCTTGGTAACCAGATAGTTGGAGAAGGACCCCAGAATGACACTACGCCTTTGGTTAGCGAACCCTCCTCTTCTCGAAATAAAGCTCAAGCAGGACACATACCCCTTGAGCGCACTTCGGCCCCGGCTCCCGATGACAACTAGAGTGGGATTGACAAGGTCGATTACCTCGGTCACGAGGTGCCGTGGGTTCTTGCAGTGCAGGACTTCTACAATGACCCTGACTTGGAGCCGAGTCTTCCTGAGGAGACGGAGCACCTTATCTGTAATCTCCTGCACGGCGCGATTACGCTCCTGCTCAGCTTTGTAGCGGTCGCCTCTATAGAGCGGCGCGGGTGAGCCGCTTGGCGTGCCAGCGTTGGAATCGCTCCGTAGGTAAAAGCCAGAGCTGCGCTTAAACTCAGAGACCAAGTTCACCTGTGCTGGCACCAGCTTTGTGTTTGCCATCAAGTTGATGGCCGCCGCCTGCTCCTTCATCGCCTTTGACTCATCTGGCACCTGAGACCCCTCTCCCGCGACGATGCCCGTTTCCTCGTCAATGCAGTAGATGGCAACCAAAGTATCGCCGTCTCGGAGAACTGTACCAATCGCCCATTCGAGGGCATGAGTTGATTCATCGCTGAGGTCCGTGGCTACCAGGTATTTCCTCAGCCTGTGGTTCTCTTCTTCGGCGGCCTGAACCATTCTAGTGTAATCCCCACGGTAGATGATTCGGATGGCGCGGTGAGATTCTGGTGTTTCTAGCACGTTGGTCATTGTGAACGACAGGTTTTGTGCCCTCTTGATGTCGTCCATGTCGGCTTCTTCATCCGAGTCCATAACGGATGGTGTCGCCGATGCCGGGCCCTGGTCGTAGCTGGTAACAGGATGAACACCCCTATTGGCCTTGGAGGGCTTTGTGGTGTCTCCAGTGGTAGTTGTTACCTTGATCTCCGGTTCCTCAAACAGGGAGCGGTACTGGTAGTGAGATTGTTGAGATGCCACTTGTGAACCTGTTTACAAAGTCAGCCATCTTTTGGCCACTCGCGTTCGACGAGGCCTTCTCTTCGGTTCGCTTACGTTCTTGTTCCGCCGCCGCGAGCAGGCTCAGTGCCTGCCGGCCCCCTGGTTGAGAGCTGCTGCTGGCTGTGGGTTTCCCACTGTCTGGCTCGGCATCATGTATCAGCGACCGAGGAGACTTCTTGCGCCCTCGGTCCTCGTCTTCGGATGACTCCTCTTCTTCTTCGTCACTCGAACCAAGCTGCTCGCCATCCGGCCCAACATAGTCTTTGACCAGTCTGCCTTCCCCGGCTTCCCCTGATTTTTTCCGCATAGGCAGTTGCGCCAAGCTTCCGCTAGACTGAATGAGATTCGCATCTGACAATTTCCGGTAGGCATTGTTGAGGTTAACAACTTGGCCATCTTTCAAAAGGGCTTTGCCTGGGGGCAGCTGTGGTGTAGAGAACGTCGCCGGTGACCGAGACCTACTCGCCCAACGACGATTTTGAGTCTGGGGCGACTTGGACTGATTGTTAAAAAGACGGGAGCCACCAAACGGAGACCGGCCTCTATCCGTAGGAAGCTGGAGCCCACCTTCCGAGCCTCTCAGGACATCTCCTAGGGATCCCCCGCTCTCTCGCTTGCTGTTCCTCGAGGACGACCATTTTACCGATGATTGAGGACCCGAGCCATGTGATAATATACTAGAGAATTGGTAGTTGGCAATCGGATCGTTCCGGGAGCCACGGCTAGGCTCGGCGAACTTGACGCTAGCATCAGATCTGCTCCGCGGATGTGGCACCAAGCCAGAAGATGGCTGCGGTCTGAAGGGTTCACTGGGGGGAATCAGAGGAGAGCTTGGAGTTGAGCTCCTACCAGTCCGCCTAGGAGATTCCGGCACAGGGCCGCTAATATCGAGCATGCTGCGGACCAGCTGTGGGGAGGGCGGCGCATCAACGTCCAGCATGCTTCTCACTGGGCCCTGGGTGGCAGTGGTAGTTTTGTTGGAAGATGAAGCGGTGCTGCTCGAGGGAACCTCTTCTTCAGCAATGTCCAGCATGCTCCGAACAGGAGAACGCGCGGCATACGGCGAATCTGACCGCCTGGGTGACGGGGCAGGTGCCTCATTGCTGCGCTCCAGCAGAGCGAGAACCTCTTGCCGCTCCATATCGAGCATGGCGTCGATACTCATGGGACGAAATTTGTTATTATTGTTGTTCGCCATGGTGAAGGTTGAAGCCGGCAGGCTTGTATCTTTGTATATAGGATAGGAGACGATTGCTATCGCAGACGTGTCCAGACAATCGCTGATATCAAGGACGGGAGACGGACGGCGATGGCCTGCGTGCAGGCAATGGATAATGACAGATGTGCCGAATTAATTGCTCTCAACGCCGCAGACACGTGCTGCTCGCCGCGGCAGGATCCGACAGTTGATGTTGCGATAGCTTCGATGGGGAGTGTGGTAACGGGAGGCCGCCGCAAAATCCTAGCGGGGCAGCTTTCGATCAAGTCGACGGCGAGTCGATTGGGTCCGAGTTGGAGGCCAGAGGAGCATTGTGCATGAGCAGAAACGCGGCTAAGCAACGGGTGCGCGGCGCCTTTCAGATCATGGCGCAGGCGCGGGCGATGGAACGATGCTCAGGAGCGGACTTGGATCCGTTGATGCACACGATGGAGAGTTGCCGCCAAAAGGGAGAGAAGGGGAGAGACGGGGGAGCTGTTGAGCAAGCGGGATCGGTGGACCGGGCGTTTTCTTGGGGGTGTGATTTTCGAATTTCGACCTGGAACCTTCTCTTTTTCCCTCTCTCTCTCTGGGCGGCTACAGCTGTAGTGATACTATTATCCGCGGCACTTGGTCAAGGGCTGGTTGGTTAAAATGCGCCAATAAATTGTGCTACCTGGTAGATTGTTTGGCCAGGTCTGTTGGAGTCGGTTGCACGTCTGGAAATATTGATGCCGGAGTAGGTCCCAGACGGGAAAAGATGGAGCGCCTGGGGGAGCCTAAAAGCTCCAGCAAGAGGAGGGGCTTGTAGGGCAGTGACGGCCTGGAAGCTCCGTTTAGCGGAACGAGCTGTGCCAGCATGCCCTGAAGCTACTACTGTAATTGCACACTTAGCACTCGGTAGGCGATGATGGCTTTCACTCCTCGTTCGACTCGGCTTTGGCCCCCAAACGCCATCAAACGTGCTAGCCTTTCGTTAGCAGCCTGTGGCTTTTCCTCGCAGGGCCGCACAGCAGCATCGCGATTAAGTTTAATTCGGACGCAAGGGAGAGCAGGCGATTGCATGCCCTCGTGCATACCTGGTCCAGAAAGGGGAGGGGGCTCAGCCAACGCGATTTGCTGGCTCTCTGCTGCTAGCCTCGCCCTCGCCACCCGTTGACGAGCAGAGAAGCTTAACGCTCCTCTTTGTGTAGCCCAAATCCCGCTCCAGGGAATCAATTTGAGCGCTGGCACAGCCCTGTGCTACTCCGCTAAACCGCCGGCCTCGACGCGCTCTCATTGGGTGTTTTGAAATGCTACGTGCGACGGCCGGTTTTGGTCGTATTAACCTTAAAAAAGGGCTTGATCTACCGGGATCGGGGGCCGCCTCAGTGCTCCTTTTTGGGTGTTCTGTATGGATTAGAGCCTGTGGTCACATGCAGGCGATAGAGCAGGCCGTCTTGGAGGGGCGTTGTGATGTGCATTGTGCTGATCCATACTTGATATGGAGCCAGTCTTTTGCTGAGCATGCACATCCATGATATAAAAGGCCTTCAATGGACAATATGTAATACCGTCCTTTATACGGAGTACATTGGATGCATTAAATCTGACACAATCTTGCTTTACTTTAACCTGGCTCTGTGCTGCTTCCTCTACCTCCTAGTGTAACGTATAAGCCGATTGATTGATTGATTCAAATCCTCTCACGAACCCCCCGATTTTTTTTTTTCATCTAGTTCGCTGCCGTAGAATACACATCTAATATACATTCAAATTCCGCCGTCACATCATGTCGTTTATTTCTTCTTCTTGGTCTTGAGCTTGTTGGACCCCACGTTGGCTCTAGCCGCAGTGCCAAGCTTGTGTACTAACTTCCTCTTCTCCCAGACGCTTGATCTGCCCTCCACCACGGCGATAATCTCCTCGGCTATCCGATGAGCGAACTGGTTCCGACCACTGCCTTTCGACGGCTTCTTGTTGATGACGTCCAGGATCCATTGGAACGCCATCCTTCGGCGTTGTCTCACCGCGAGGGGGACTGGAAGTTCGAGGGCACGACCACCTCCACCGGCACCGGCAATGTTCCTTACTTTGAGGAGCGGCGCAACCGAGTCGATGGCGATTGTGATGTAGAGGACGGGGTTAAGGGGAAGGTGGGCGGCGGGAGGAGTCCCTGGTAATAGGGGGAATTTCGGGCTGTAGATGGGGGCGGGCGCTGTTCGTAGAAAGTTCATGACTGCGGCCATGTTCTGATGCTGTCAGTATTCCGAGCTAGCACATGCAGGCCTGTACCATTGACTCACTCTTTGCGCAACACTGAGCTCTCCATGGCGCATCAAGAGCCTGGTGATTTGCTCCAGAACGGGGTGGTATCGCTTCTTGACATGGAACCCATCCGGATAGGGCTTCTGAGGAAGACCAAACTTGTGCCCGGCGTTTTGTACCTCTGTACCAACGGGGACTATTGATTGCGACCCCGCAGCAACAACAGCTTCCGCCTGCTCTGGCGGAGGAATGACACCCTCGCGATACAGAGCCTCCTCCTGCGCTTCTGTCAAACCACCCTCCCGCTGACTTGTTACGGGTCGACCGCCATATAGAATCTGTTCCAACGTCGCATCGTCTAGCGCTTCAATAGGTGACGCCTGTGATGATGAAGTTGTCTATATTCCCAGCGAGTCAGCTCAGCACTTATAGTACCCTCGACTGAGGGGGAAGGAATCATCCCACCTCTTCCGAGGCTTTTTGGGCCAATTTGCCTGAGGAGCTCTCAGTGGCCTTGGAGCTTCTTGGTTCTGATTTGGAAGTCGATCCGGAAGCCTCCTTTTTCGCACCGCTGGGAGGATTGGAGGGCTTGCTGGTCGCATCGTCGGCATAGAATCGAGTCGACGAAATCTGGGCTCGGAATGGCTGGGCTGCAAGGCGAGTGGACTGCGGCCGGACCGCCAAAGTCCTGCATGCACCCCAGATCTTCAATCTTGAAGCCATGGTGGTGCTCCGTGCTACCGAGAGGGCTCCTGAGGCGCAATTCTTCGTCCTCGACTCTTCGCGTGATCGCCTTTCAATGTCCCTCCATGAAAATTACAGCCGCCCACCATCGCCGTCGCTGTGCCGATCGGAACAATTCCGGCCCGAATCCAACTCCAACACGTTTCCTGCTTATGTCATCCTCCATCCCTGGCCTCTATCCTGGCCTCCATCCTTGCATGCTCATCTGAGATGGCTTGACGGATGAATCTGAGCCATCCATGCCATCCTTGCACGATTTGTTCCACAACATCGACTGGCAGCCGCTCATCCCTTGGACGCCAAGGTCGGGGCGCTCATTTCCTCCTTGGCCACATGACCTCGTCCTGCCGTAAATACTCGATCAAGGCTGGGACACGCAGCCTTTTACGGTGTACGAAGCACAAGTATCTGGCAGCTGTGAAGCTACTCACATGCGATCCATCCCATTACTGGGCCAAGAGATTCCAATTCGGAATTTCCTTTCTTTTAATTGACAAACGTAGTAATTATTAGTATCAACTTTCCGCTCTCGTTATTGGGCTATGCGCCAGTCACCATTCTTCCATCAATCTTGAACTCGTCATAATCCTCCTGCATTCGTCCTTTGTGATTCCTGATAAATGCGAAATGAAACAGCCCTCCCAACTGGTAAATCAATACAACCGAATCAAAAAAACCGAATCAAACCCCGAACAATCAAGCAAGCAAACAGACAAATGAACAAACTTGTTAGTCCAGAAACAACAAACTCCATCTTCGCAACCGCGATGCGAACACAACGTGACAAGGATGCTGTGGCTGTGTGCCGCCGTTTTGGTATCTCCCACGTGTAATGCTGATAATTGGGGCGGCTGAGTGGCCACCAAGGGTATTGAGCAATCGAGGTAATGGCCAGAAGAGAATATTCCCAATGGATCAAGAGAGAATCTTCCAAAACATGGCAAAATTGCAAATTGCGCCGTTCCCATAGCCGTCCTCTTTTATGGCCCCACGATGGAAGGCTTTCTTTCTCTGTACTCCAACTCCAAATATGATGAATCCCTACAAAGAAAAAGAAGAGAACGAAAGAGGTAGAAAGAAGAAGAAAAAAAAGAATGAAAAAAAAAAAAAAAGCCAAGTATAGCAAGGCATTGATCTGCATCTTTGACATGGCTAATTGCGGATAGTTAAAATTAGCAGCACCAGCGAACGATGCCGCTGGGCATGGAAGTGGCGGTGACTGCTCACCAAGCCGCCCTGCTCAACCAGTTCAGGGCGCACTCGGCGGCGTCTTCTTTGGCGTTGTTGAGGTTCTTGCCATCGTACCAGTAGCGGGCTGCAAACATCTGACCCCGGATTGTGACTTGGCTAGACCAAGCTGTTCGGCCGCCTGGAAAACAAGAGTCTGTTAGTTCCTAGACGCAAGAAAGATGAGAAGCCGGGGTGAAAGTGTGCCGTACCTCGGCGATCAGACACAATCTGGAAGGTGGGGGGCATGATCTGAGCATCACGGCAAGCCTCTATATAGCACGTTAGTCGAGTCAAGGCGAGGGTCAATGATGAATGTGGCCACTCGTACCTTCAAGGCGCTCTTGCCAGCTTGGGCCGGAGGTGTAGGAAGAAGCAGAAGAGGTGGAAGACATTGTGGGTGTTGTAGGTAAGGTAAGGAATAGGTGTGGTATGGCTGATGCTGTGTAAATGTTCGAGGTCGAGGCGAAGCAAAGAGATTGGAAGGAGACTGCGTATATCAGGGCGTCGAGGGTCGAAACAGTCCAATGGTTGGGGCGAAGAGAGGTGAAGGTGAAGAGTGTCGGACTTGTAGGTCTTATATAGTATGGCAGATGGAGCGAAAGGCTGGAATGAGGGATGGCGGCTGTCAAGGGAGTATCTGTATCCAAAGCAGGAAAAGCGGCGTGTGGGGTGAATCTGAGCACTTTTGTGTTGCTCAAGACAGTCAAAGCTCTCGTCTGGGGATGGCGGGTTGGAAGTGGAAGAGAGAGAGGAGTCTGTGGTTCAGACGGCGCAGACGCGATGTCTTATATCGTGGTGGACTCGGCCTGACGGGGGCTGGTCTTGTTTCTGGAGCTTGGTGGAGGGAACAAGCGGACAAGAATGAATCATCCGAGACGATGGACTAGGGGGCCCCAGCAGATGAGAAGCAGCCGTGTGTGATGTGGCAGCCGGAGAGCAGCTAGTAGGAATTAGATGCAGGCGGGCCGGAGAAAAAAACGAGAGTCTTGGTATCAAATTTAGGCGTCGAGGTGGTGATTGCGCTGTCAATGCTTGCAGCTCAGGGTTGGCGTGTTTGACACGGAGCGGCTGCGGCAGTCTGCATGTAAGAGGGCCTAGACAGCGGCCGAGGCGGAGGTCAAGGCAAAGGGGGAGTACAGATATTACAATGGCCGGCAAGGCGTACAAAGAGGCGTCTCTCTATACAGCATATCCATTGGGTTGCTATTCTGGTCCATCAACGACGTTCAGGGGCAGAGGCAGAGGGCCATTGTCTCTGTTTTTCCCTGACGTTGCTGCTGGATGGGATTTTCTCTGCCACTTGTGCTGTAGCGCAGGACCGGGGGTTAAAAAAAGACGACTACTGTAACTAGCATGGGGAAACACAAGGCGAGCATGGGGCCAAGGAAGCAAGCTTCAATTCAAGCAGCAGCTGTTGGAGGTGGATGAGTGTGATGGAGCCGGGATTATTTGCTGGGGCTGGTCGGTGGATGGTGATTGTCTGCTTTCCTTTTTCTGGTTCGACTCGAGTCCCCTGTACAGGCCGAGCATTGGTGTATGGGATGCCGATGGATGGAGTCCATGTAATTTGAGGTCGAGTCTACCGTCCTAGTAGGAGGGTGGGGTGTGAATTGTCAGTGCGTGTGTGTGGGAGCGATGCGCCGTGCTGCGCTGTCTTGTGCTGAGTTGAGGTAGCATTTGACGTCCATCTGGTCCATCTGGTCCGGATGCTGGCTGATTTCCAGCGCGAGAGCATGGCCACATTCGGAGGGACATGTCTTGGAGTCGCCTTTCTTCGTTCCCCGGGTTCCAGATGAATAATGCTGCTGCTGATACAGGTCTCGGGCAATATCAGGAGAGCACACGATGGAGGAGGACATCTGCTTTCCAGCACCCAGTAGTAAGATGGCACCGCCGAGAGATATCCCAGAGTGCAAATACAGGCACGATGCGTACATAGTACGGTACCTTAGGCATTCTTAGCGCCGTTAGGTCGGATCTCAGCCGCCATGCTAATGGGAAGCTCAACGGTATCCAAAAGTCAATGCCCCTGCCCCTGGCGACGCTGAACAGGTACCTTCCCCGTACTCGATACGCGGCCCAGGCGCAAACCACGCGGCGTGGAAAGCAGCGCTGCGTACGTACCTCGTACTTCTCCATACCCCTTACCCCGTACTTGCCCGTACTACAGAGTACTAAGGTACCTAGATACTTTGGCCTGCTGGGAGTGACAAGGAAGCCACCGCCGAGCAAACGCGGGACTACTGCCGGTGAGCCCCACACCGGGCAGATTAAGGTCTGTGCACTCTTTTTTGTATGGAGGCAGCTGTTCGCCCTTGCCGGCTGTTGCGACCCAGTACTTGCTCTTGACCACAGATCCGTACAAATGGAACGGCGATGCCTTTGGTACCGTGGAGGTACTGGTATCGGCACAGGCTAGATGCCTAAGGTATCGAGAAAAGGGAGGCAGAGACGAGAAGAGAAAGACAGACAGAGAGACAGACAGAGATGTCGTGATAGAGCACCTCCGACTTTAGACGAGTACTCGTACCTACTGACCTACACTCACTCGTACTGCGGCCATGCATACAGGCATATAAAACACCCACACCTAGAAGCATACCCACATACACGTTGCATGCATGGATGGCTAAAAAAACACTTCTTGGGCCACAATGGGCACGATGGCTGATCCGTCGCTCACCAGCTTCAGCGTCCGGCAGCCGTTCAGCAGAGGCTGACAAGGGGGACAAGACGGGGACAAGTCCAGGACAAGACCAGCTCCATTTCTTCGAGTATCGGCGCTGTTCGACTCTGAGTCTTGATACGTCTGCACAACGACAAGGGGCACTCAGTCATCCCCAATACCCTTACCCAGCCGCTACAATTGGCTCGTCCCAACCTGCACTGCTCATCCTCTTACTGCTGTGTCTCTGTCTGCCTATCTTGGTGCCATGGCATCTGTATCAACCAAGGGATATGATACGAGTACATACGACTGTGGCTCTGTGGCACTGCTGCTTTGGGCCAAGATGCTTGGGGGTGTGCAGCCGCCAGAGCCAAGTTTCTGCGCTGTCGCGCAACCAGCCACTCCGTGCTCCGTACTCACTTTTGTTGCCAGCTCGGCCGTGAACCACTGATTCCCCGGTCGACAGTCCGTGTGACGCGGCTCTTATAAGTTTGCTCCCCATTCGCATTCACTGTACTCCGAGGCAATACAGGCAGTGCTAATGCATGTGCGGAGCAGGTCCCATCCACGCTGTCAGCCAAAAATACAGAGTCATACGGAGTACAGCTTTCAAAATTGCTGGCGTTTGGTGGTGCCGGCGTGTCCGCCGGATCCTAATCCGGGCACCAAGCTCATGGCCACGATGAGTTGTCTCGACACCTTGTCGCCAGCTTGCCAGTTGCTTGCAAACACATACATGGCCCCTCCCATCTAAGCAGCAGGGCTGAGTGGGTACGTTTGAAATACGGATGGGGAAGCTAGGAAGGAAAGAGATGGAAACGAAAAAGAAGTGAGAGGAACCGAACCGGCGTTCTGGCTGCGAGACTACCTGAGAGGGACCACTCTCCTGAGCTATGGGTGCATACATGCATGCCTAGTACCAATATGCCGTGAGGTATGGAGGCTGTCTGCAACATCGGCTACTTGTCAACGGACCAAGTGGTATTCTTGAATGCGCTGAGGTGGTGTTGCAAGAACCAGCCACTAGGATGCTTCCCCCTTGGGATGCCGAGATTGCTGGCAGGGCGGCCGTGCATCTATGGGCGTTTGTTACATGTGCATACGCGCACATATACATACAAGTGCGCCTGTACGGAGTACGCATCATGTCTTTTGGCGTGGACGTGTTGGGCGACGAACCAACTGGAGACGTGAGTAGATCGAGGGAGGTCCAGCTGACAATTACTAGTTCCTACTAGGTTGGTCGGTACCTCTCTGGGCAGGGCAAAATTGCGGATGACTTGGTACCGCCAGGTAATATTATCAGCACACGAGTGACAGACGGAAAACAGCGTGCGAATGAATGCCCAGTGCAAGAGTCTCGCATTGTGACCAACTATTGGCGCTGATGATTTTTGAGCACGGCTCTACAAGGAAACGCCCTCTTTCCTCTTCAGCCCGCTTCATTTTGAAGAGATTTTTTCTCCCTGGGTACTCCGTATCCGTTCGGAGGCCATACTACAGGATCTCAATGTCAGCTAAACACGAATGTACTACAGTTCTGTGGTGCAGGTTTGTGGAGCACACGACGACTGCATTAGCGGTGATGCCACTTAATGCGTGTTAAGGCTGAAGTCGCTGTATACCATGTACTACCACCCACTCCAGCAGTATCGCGAATTATGAGCCATTCGACGCCCGCGGATCTAAAAGCAAAGTGCCAACGCATTGCTTCTAGCCCTCCGTTTGGAACTGTGTATCAATACAAGCAACAGTACGTGACTAATGCCTAGGGTCGATATCAGAGACCTGAAAGAAGGGAGGGGAAAAAGCAACGAGACCAACGAGAAAAAAGAAAGCAACCAAAAAAAAAAAAAAAAAAAAGTGAGCACGGGATGACAGCGGGGCATCCTGACGGTGACAACTAAGCACACACGACTGACGATAGGCCGAAAAGGGGCGTGAGTTGGGCACCAGAGCGGGTCTCTTGATCTTGTTTTCCTGCTTCATTCAGTTCAAAAGGACCGGACCTTGATGAGTCTCCCTAAGAGGATCAAGTAAGGCACGAAGGCAGCCTACTAGGTAGTATCTAGGTATGTAAGTGTGTGCGTGACTAAAGTGTGCATACCTAACGACAAGCAGGGAGCTATATGATGGCCGTTGTCGTCCCAAGGCACATAATTCATATATGCTGTGCGACGCTTTAATATCTCTTGCACAGCAATGTGTGGATAGGCAGATTCTGCCTCTCTTGCTCGTTGCGCCAAAGAGTTGACACGACACACGACGACACGACACGACGCAAATTTGCCGCCTCTGCCAAGTACCGTCAAGTACACGGACTACCTACTCCGTAAGTAGCATGGAAAGAAGACGCTGGGGTTGCAAAGGGGTTTTGCTTTTTGGCTTCCTCTTCCAGACCGGTGCGGAGAAGAAAAGGAGATTTGAGACATTGCCCAGTCGCAACCATGTCGCGCTGATTTGACGTTTGGAACCCTCTGTACGTACCTGGTACTGCTACTGAGATGTCACGGTTCTGGCACTAACGGTTGAGTCGTTCAAAGGAGAAGCAGATCTTGAGAGAATTACATTGCTCACCGATCAAAACAATGGGGGAGAATCCGACGCTCTAGAATCACATCACATCGAGATGCTCAGCATGACGGGCCCAGCGAAGTACTGAGTGTCGACGGTACTGCACCCTCTCAGCATCCCTGGCGCAAAGATCTCGCCCCGCAGCCCGTTGCCAGAAATCGAGCCGCTACATAGATTCAGCCCTTTTGTTCCCTCGGAAATGGACGATCCTCATGATATCATCTGCGCAATGCACGACGCAAGACATTGTACAAGTCACGCCTGCTTGAGGTCTCACCTGAGATGACTTGGTACTAGCACATGGGTAGGTTGGCACTTGCGGCCAAGCGCACAGCCACTTGTAATGGCTCTCTTTCCTTTTCCCAGCTTATTCCATCCACGTCCTTGAATCGCCCGTGTTTCCATTCCCTTGTACGGAGTACTGCAAGCCATTCCGCGAAGGAGCCCCCCACTTGACGCAACTGCGCAGATGGCTTTACAAGGCATGATTTTGGCATCCACGTATCTTTGGGTGTAGGTACTTGTACAGGTGTTTGTTAGGCACCAAATTACACACCAACGGGACTCGTGTCCTAGAGTTGCTTCCTTTTTCTCGTTCATTTAAAATAGTCTCCATTTTGATGGCTGCAAAGGGGCAATGCAATTTCCCTGAGCTGTGGGATTCCATCTTCGTCATTGAACTTGTTGTCTCCCTCGGTATCGTGTCTTGACAACAAGCCGCCGTGTACATGACTTGGCGATGCTATTGGCGTCTGGCCCCTCGCTTCCGAATGACGGCTCGCGGCACCGCCATGTGGGCCGGAAGCCTGAGCCGTTTGTTTGCTGCTTGATCTTCTTTGCAGTCGGTGAGCGAGGCGGCAGTGGCTTGGATAGAGTATTTGGTCCCAATCACCTTAAGCGATACGCTACTGTTGCTTCTTGGCCAAACAGTCGGTGATGAAAAGTCGGGACCCTGAAGGCAAGACGTCACGAGCGAACCCAGGACACTCTGCAGGAGGCAACCTGCCGAGACATGCAGAAAAGCGAAATGTCACGACACCATCTGCTTGGTCCCTTGGCGGTTGACCACCGACTTGTACATGCATTGCCCGTACCCGACCAAGTGCTCAAATGAATCACGTAGCTCTCGGAGCTGCTGAGTTTTATTTGTATGCCAGAAGCGGAAGTAAAATCCGGCATATACAGGATCCGTCTCCTGTGACATCTCACACACAAGCAGAGTAGCCTTGAGATGAGGACTTGTCCTATGGCTTCCCTCGCCGCATTGGACTTGTCGCGACGCACACGATTTGGCAATTGCAAATAGTTACACAAGCAAGCTGGATTACGCATTGCCGTTGTTGTTCGCCTCGTCCCAGTCACATGGAATCAACGGCCATTCGGCCTGGTCATGCTGGGGAAGGGGAAGGGGGAAAGGGGGAAGGCACGGCACTATGTCTAACAATAGTTGGTTCCACAGACGAGGTCACACATGATGGTGTTGGCCAAGTTCCTGTACGTGGCATCTTCCGCCATGTTTGACATGGACAATGCCATTTATGCGGCTGCAGGCGGACAAACTACACTCCAACACAGTGATGATACAAAACCCAACGGCAACATGCCTCTCGACTCTCACCAGCAGACATCTCCATCTTCATCCCACCGCTGTTGGGATAGCACAGGATCATGTCTTTGACGAGAATCTAATCTAAATTAACCCACCCTTTTTTTTTCTAGCTCGCTGGCATTTTCTTCTTCGTCGCGTGCTGCCACCCTCTCCCGTCTGGTGCCGTCAGGCCGCTTGATGCCCATCCAATAAACATGGCGACTTCAGCACAGGGAGGGGGGAAGAGAAAAGGTGGCTTGCATAGGCTTGACCGGTTAGCCACTCCTACGAAAAAATTTCATGCGGACAAGTCTGGGAGGCTATTGGATAGGATACACGTGTTGAAGTTATTGCACGATATTACACAAGCTGTGCCGTCGTTGGGCTTCCAAAGCCCTTCCGGTAGTCCACTTTCCATTTCAGATGGACGAGGTCAGTCGGCCGAGCAGGTAATTCCATGACCAGGTATTAGCTCAGCGTAGATTTATCTATCCTTGCAGAATCCAAGTGACATGCTGCATTCCGTGCATAAAAAAACACCTCCCATCTTCAGGGAACCTCACCTGCAGCAGCAGCAACACCAAAGGACAAATGCACGGCATGTGTTGTTGTTGTTAAGCTGGTAAGGCGCAATGAAATCGTAGATGTTTTCCTCGTTCAAAAGGCGATATTGGAGAAAAACACGATCAGCAAGTAGATGATTGATTTATAAAGCACATCAAATCATGTGGAAGAAATACCATGACCAAGATACTGCATGATATAAACACCACTGCCGTCAAACTTGTACAAGAAAGAGACGTAACTTTCCCACCGCCCATCATGCGTAACCTCGCAGCGGAAGCTTAAACCAAACAAACTTCGTCGATTCTGTCCCAACCTTGCATTCTTCTCCAGACCAAAAGTCCAACGTTGAAGCAAAAAAAAAACGGGAATATACATACATGAGGGCATGCGAAAAAGCCGGCCTGGTGCATCAAACCCACGACCAACCACGGCAAGCAACCGTAACAATCTCCCCCCCTTCAATCATAAAATCTTCATGAAATTTTACTCCGTCGTACGAGAGGACTTGGTCCCGAATTCCCGGGTCGGGGCTTCGAACCACCACTCCCCCCCCTTTGTGTCACGGGTATTTCAACCGCCGTGGGCATTAAAGTAAACAAGCATACGACGAAGACGGGAGAAACGGGACGCAGCTCCCCATGTCTGTACCCCGAACTTATCAAATACCCTTCTTTTCATTTCAAGCCCCAACATAACCACAAAAGAGAAAGTTATCCGTTCCCGTATGCATTTATCCACTAGTATCAGGTAGCAAGGCAAGCTTATTGTGAACACGGAGTAACGTCAAATTATACTCCTTTCCAATTGTCAACATAGAGTCACAGGCACGACATATATGAGGCCATCAAATTTCATTCGTCTAATCCAATGTCTCGTCTGAACGTTCATGCTCAAAGCAGAAACTAGTTCAAGCAGATTAAACCCAGCCCTACACTTCGTTCACTTGAGCGTAAAACTATTGCTCGTTCCTACAAACGACGATACACCTCCAAACAGTGCCTTGGAATCACCGTAATACTTGACGCGGTATGTCCCCGGCTGTGCATTGCCGTATGTCTCCCAAGTAATATCCACCTCGCTGTACCCCAAAACGAAGTTGGTTCTTCGCCACGTGTAGACCAGGAACCAATCTGAGTCGTCACGTACCTGCGTCCACGTTCCGCCGCTGCCTTGCTGCTCGATTGCCGCAAAGGTTTGTTCCTGACGGAGGTTGTTACGTGGGTTAGCAGCCTGGAATGTGACGTTGACAATATCACCGACATTATACGTCGGGTTTGGCTGCACCAAAACGCTGCCAAAGCTCTTGCCCAGTGGTGAGTTATCCTGGACAACGTCGGTAATGAATGAGATCATGCTATTACGATTGTCCGGGGGGAGAACACCTTGGGAGGGTTTGCTGGTCGAGCTAGGTTGGAGGTAATGCAAGTTGCTGACGGTGAGATTGATGTAGGCGTTGAGCTCATTACGACCGAAGAGGGTCGAAGCACCCTCGTAGCGCTGAATATCGTACTCCTCAGGAGTTGCGCAATAATGAGAATAGCTGTTTGCTGGACCACCCAAGACGACAATGGGGTCCTCGTCAAGGAATGTGGCCGCTTCCTTTGCAACTGCGGCCTTCCAGCGGCGGCCAGCCATGGTGGTAGCTTCACTGGGACTGACAATGATGACAAGCTGGCCTACGCGGAGCACCTGAATATCCACGATATTGGGGGTCCAGGCGTAAGGCGTCGATATCTCACCAACATCCAAAAGAACAGGTTTGGGCTGTTGGCACGCAACTTGCTGGGGGCCTGGTGCTTTGAGCAGACCTCCAACAAGTGACCAAAAGGGGTTGTTTGGTGCACCGGAGTCTCCCTGAACGAAGTCAAAGGCACCAGGCCAGTCAGAAGTTCCGGCAGCAAAAGAGAAGCCAAGAGCAGCCGGGCAAGTCTGAGCTTTGGTTCCGTCTGGCAGCGTAAAGTTGAAGTACCGCATATCCTGGAAGAAGTGGAAAGCTTTGACTGTAGACCCGGAAACCGCTGTAGTAGATGATTTCAGATTGTTCTACGCCATGTGTAAGTTGCGATTGCTTTTTTAAGAAAAGAAATAGAAGCGAAGGAAGAAACAGCCAAATAAAATGGACATGCCACTTACATAGATAGTCTGGGCTCCAGCAAACTGCCTGCGGCCCATTTCATAGCAGCTCTTGACACCGAGATCCAAGGCTTGGAAGAAGGGTCCTCGACCATGGCAGCTCTGTGACTTGCCATCTGCGCAGGTGCTGTTCTCAAGACTACACTGCTGGCCAGAGCCATCGTCGCACCAAGCACCGCCGACGTTGGGAGTGGTATCGCCAACATTAGCCTGACTGAAACCGGCCACGAAGCCAGGGGCGGCAGTGGGGTCATTCTTCATGGCGCTCTCCAAGAGCCAGGCAGCAACACCTTTGTTGTCACCAGCAGCATGAGTGTTGTTGCCAAGGAGGGAAGTGCCGTGGACAGGGAACCAAGTCAAGACACCAATATTCTTGCCATCAGAGGCACGCTGGAAGCGGAGCAGAGTCATGGTAATATCAGTTTCTGCGTCATACTGAGCTCGCTCCTCCTCTGGGTTGTTCAGGTACGCCCAAATTGAGCGGTTGATGGCACCATCGGCAATTTCAGTTGTACCAACATCGAGATAGCCTTCCTGGAGGCTCTGGTGGGCACGCTGTACGGACAGAACAGCACCATTGACAATGGCTTGGTAGCTCTGCTGGCTCCAGCCAAGGGAGGTGATCTGTGGCAGCAGGTAGTTGAACCAGGCGCCGGGACCAGAGTGGCTGTGAGTTCCCGTCAGAGCAATGTTGTTCTGGCCGTAGACGCTATATTCACTACCTAGAGCCTTCAGGCCGTCTAGGAGACCATTCCGCATGGCCGTGTCCCCGGACTGCGTGTCGAGGACCAGGTAGACAAAGCGGTCGTTGGGGTTGTTCTTGTCCGCAATGATAAAGGCACGGCTGTATAGACGCTGGCGAAGGCCAGATCCCGTCTGGTCCAAGTTGGCATATCCAGCAAAGCCAATCTCGACCACGGGGCCCGTGATATCAGCCTTTCCCACGCCGATGAGATACGACTGACGGTCCGCATCGGCGAGCTTCTGGAACCTGTGTAGCTTTCCGCCGGGCGAGGCTGTGGCTATGGCACCGAAGAGCACCACAGATAGGAGAGCAAAGATGCTAAAGATGGAGAGCGCTGGCCGGGCCTTGCCGGCATTGAACAGCGCCATGGTTGGAGATTCGGGGGCCGGAGCTGGCGACTTTGCTTTCTCCGCAGATGCGAGAGGAGCCAGCTTCTCCAGCTCTCCCAGTGAGTCCGCCATGCAGTATTTATTTCTCCTGGAAGCAGTAAGAGTCTTAGTATAGGTGGTCGATTAATGCCCAAACTCGTGAGCCCGTCAATGCTTGTAGTATCGGCACGGATCACTTGACTGCAAGGGAAGCAGCTTCGTTCCGCTCCTGCCCATTAAGACATGGCGATGCCCTCCAAGGAAAGGGCGGCATGCCCGGCTGCCCTCCAACTTTAAGCTCCGCACCGCTAGTCCCGATCCAGGGCTCTATACTGCCCTTGTGGGGTTAGCGGCAGCGGCAGTCCAGATCCCGCTGGGGAAGGCTGTTCTGGGACAATACAATTGGCGTTGTTAAAAGGGCAACAAGGATACGTATCTGAGATATTTACTGAAATATATTTTAAATTATAGTTTTCCGTATTAATCGAATAACCTTATGCGACTGTGGAGAGGAGCGTGCAGCTCTTTGGATTTCTTTCCCTTATCTCTACCAGTAAATGCTTCCACTCCTTTCTACACTTGGGGCTCGGATTCTCTGTCCATCATGACAAAGACTTGGAGCCACGTCAAAGCCCGCCGTGTCGACGAAAGACGAACCGCGAGCCACTTCAGGCAACACAACCAAAGGTCGTATTGATTGCTATCAATATTCATGCGCCCCGTTCTGCGCGGTGCATACAACTCACGCCTTGCATCCCCGCGGCCACCGATGGGATGGTTAACGTAGCATCGGAACCTCAGCTTCTTCGCTATCATGCATCGCCGAGAGATGGCCAATACGGGTCCGGACGTCTGGTTGAGCACGGCTAGGCAAGCCGACTATCGTCACATCGCGCAGATGCCAGAACGCGACCGCCCTGGTGGCAGATCCAAACAAAGTGCTGCGTGTGCTGAGCTGTGTGACGACAGCCCCTCCATTTGCTAGACGACAATATCATTTCCAGATCAAGGTTCAAAGTGCGGGGAGAGCCGCTAAAATAAATGAACAGGGTCACCCGCCATCCCCGGCTCCATTGGGCAAATGCCAGTCCGAATCCACCTTGTCTGCCGAGACTCGAGCATTTAGAGAGATGGAGCAGGCAGTAAAACCGGCCCAATCTAGTTCCCTTTGAGCGAGTCAAGATCTAGACAGAGGGCTTCAAACATGCGTGCAATGACAGATGACCACGTCATCATGAGTGTCGCATGTCAAATGTGAATCTCTAGTCTAAGAGGCAGGTACAACCTATGCGGGCCGTTGTCTTTGTGTGTGTGCAAGATGAAGCATCGTCATCACCACCACTCCACGAATCGGCGTGATGCCTTAGTCGAGCGGGGGTGTCAACACAGGCATTTCTACCACCGCCTTGAATAGTATCTTGTCCGATTGCCCGTCATGAGCCTCGGTTCTGGATCCGGAATGAAAGGGGAAAATCCTTGTCATTTGGCTTGTGCAAGAACCCAAAGCTGAGATGTGACGGAGTGATGGTTCGTCCGAAGTATGTATTTCAGCAAACTGACATGGGTAGATGTCATGGTCAACGACACCCTTCTGCTCAGGATGGCAAAGATGCAAAGGAGACAAGATCAAGATTGTATTAGTCAATGTATTACTCCTCTCCTCATTGATGCCCAATTTAATATACAACCATTGACAGCGGCTGCCAATCCGAATAGAAGATAGAGACCTCTCTCGTACCCTAAACCCACACAAAACTCGGTGTTACCTAATCCCTCTTCTCCAAACCCACGATCCAAGGCGCATAGTTGTACACGAGATATCCATCCACGGCCAAGCACGTCGCAACTCCGTATGCGATGTACCGACGGGATTGGGGCGATAAATTCCTCCAGCTTCGTGTAGAGGTAGAGATGCTTGCGTCTGCCGGTTTGAGCATGCGTCCCGAAGTGGAAAAGGCGGCTCGGGTGGCTTTTGACACGACAGTGGTAGAGAACATGTTGGTGATTGATCTTTTATCCCTTTCAGAGGAAGAAAAAAAAAAGCAAGAGGAATAGAGTGTTTTGCGTTTGGTTGCGTTGTTTGATTGATGAGTCTATTGTTTTTTGATGTCGATGCTCATTTCATCCAGTTCATCACGGTCTTTATATACGTACGTACTCCGTAGTCGCTCCATGTTTACGCCACTTTTACTCTTAACGTCGTCAGCCGTTATGCTTATTCGTAAGGCTGCCATTATGCCCCCCAACGCCACAATAACACTCCAACGCGCCATCATCCAGGTACAATCAAGTGCTCTAAAACCCGCATACGTAACACATAGAACTAACATGGAAAATCTGCCCCTTTCACTGCGGCTTCGCCGGCCGCGTTATAGTCAATGGCTTAAACGGCCTGCGAAGCCTGTCCAAACCCGGCGGCGGGCCTAAACCCACCGGACGCCTTACGCCGCCCCTGGCCGTCGCAGAAACAAACGTCGTCCTGTGAAAGCTCGAGGCAGGGCGATCAGGGACAGAAGCCTCTTGTGTGGCTGTCTCTTCTTTAACATCTTCGGTTCCAGCTGGTCTTGGCGGTGAGCTGGAGAAGCAGTGATACCGCTTCTTAGAACCGCCTTCCTCGTCTTCCTTCTTTATACTGCTGGGCCGGTTCAGGGCATTGCCGCTGGCGAGTTTGTGCTTCGCCAACGAGGGGTCGACGGCAGGTAGCTTTGGGAGCTCGGGAACCTTAGTCTCGGCCGCCATCCTAGCCGCGGATCGAGATGCTGCAAGCTGATACCGAGCCATGGACGCGTCTGGGCCGCCGAATCCGCCTGTTGGAGCCGCCGTCTTCTTTGATGCGGTCGTTACGAATCCAAGAAGGCTAGTCTGGTCTGCTTTTCGACGAGTTGTCCCCATCTTGACGGCCTTTTTGGCTGCTGCTGCCTTCTCTGCCTCGGCTGCAGCCGCAGAGAGGGCGTTTTGATGCGCTCCGGCCGACACGAACCCGGGTAAGGACGCCATGGTAAAGCTGGACGCTTGCTCCATGGTTGTGCTGTATTCCTTCTGCCATGGTCGCTCCTCAACAGCTTCTTCGTCGTCGTTGTTATAGCCCTGGTTGTTTAAGCGCTGTCGTTTGGTGCCTTTGGGACGATATCCCTCCGAGTCATCTAGGCCTTCCGCATCTCTTGTGTCGACCGGATCTACGGGAAACAGGTTGTCCTCTGGGGAAAACATGGCCGGGAGTTTGGCAAAGATAGCCTTCTCGCTGGGAAGATCTCTTCCAAGGATTTTTGCGACCACTTCTAGGACTGGTCTGTTAAACGAGGTCCCCTGCTTGGCAAAGGCTGCTGAGGCAAATGGTGAGACGAAAGGCGATAGCTCGACCTTTGTGCCCATGCCTTGAGACCCGTACAAGGGACAGCTAAGATAGAGCAGCACTTGCGCTCTGGTCATGGCTACATAGAGTAATCGTCTTTCCTCATCCAAGTCCTCAGCCCTTGAATGGGGAATGGAGCCAGCATAGACGGACGGTACAAACACAATGGGCCACTCGAGCCCTTTCGCGGCGTGGATAGTTGATATAGTTATCAGGGACTTTTTCTCCGCTCCGTCGTCGTTTTTCTGAGCATCTGATGCCAGCGCCACATTTGCCAAGAAGCGGCCCAAGATACTATCATCTTTCACCTGATCGACATTCTCAATTTCAGGTAACAGTTCGTCCTCTAGATTTGCTGAATCGCGTACAAAGTCGTTTGCCAAGCTGAGGAATTCTTGAACACTTTGCCATCTCTGCTCATGGTCTTCAGGATACTCCGACTCGAGGTATTGCTTGAAATTGAGCTGCGACAGCAACTTTTCAATCAGACTAACCAAGTCTTGTTGAGAGTTCTCTGTGATTTGCTGGGCCTGGGTTTGAAGGTTTGATATCAATCTCAGTAGCTCAGTGTTGAGTTTCTGTTCCATCTTAGGCAGTATCTTTGTCGTGGCTTTACGAGTACCCTGGCAATGCTTCCTTAATAGTGACCAGAGACTCATCTTCTGTTGCTCAGCCTCTTCTATAAGTCGCTTGATTGTCGTGTCTCCAATTCCTCGACGCGGGACATTGATGATTCGGGCAATGGCGTCGTTGTTGTCTGGCTGATAGATTGCGCGCAAGTAATCCAGCAAAATCTTGATTTCCTTTCGTTCATAAAACTTGTGGCCTCCAATCATCCGATAAGCCAGCCCCGCCTTTCCCAGTGCCGCCTCGATATGCCTGGAAAGAGAAGCAGACCTCAAAAGAATAGCCACATCTTCATATGTGAGCATGTCCCCAAACATCATGACAGCCCGTTTAATTTCCGACACGATCCAGTCCCCTTCGGCGGCAGAGCTCTTCAACTTTCGCAGAACTGGCCTTGCACCTTTTGTATGGACCGGTAAAAGGACTTTTTGATATCTCTTCTTATCTTGTTGAATTACTGTTAATGAAACGTCGAGAATTGACTGAGATGATCGGTAATTTTCCTCCAAGGATATCTCGTCGGTTTCGGGATAATCTCGTAGTAAACGGTATAAATTTCGGATCTCGGCCGACCGCCAGCCATAGATACTTTGGTCGGGATCACCAACAATTGTTATTCGTTGGCGGGCTTGTGCAAATAATTTCATCAAGTCATACTGGATGCCATTTGTGTCCTGGTACTCATCAATGAGAACTGCTTGGATGTTTGAAACACAGGCGGGATATTCCCTCAAAAGCTCAACACAGCGCACTAGCAGATCATCATAATCCAATAAGTTTGATCGTTCCAAGTGCTCCTGGTACTCCCTGTAGCACTCATTCAGGGATGGATTCTCGGGCTGCTTCTTGTTTGAGGCTGGTTCCGTTGCATGGCCCTTGGCCTTTTTCTTGCTGATCCATGACCTTGCGAACCCTGGATCAATGTTGAAGTCGTGCCGTTTGCATATCCGCTGAATAATTGCCCTAGAATCGCCATCATCCGCGATGCCAAACTTGGAGTCGAGGCCTATATGCTTGCCATAGGCACTGAGGTACCGCCGAGCAATGGAGTGAAAGGTGCCGAGTACAATCTTCCTCTCGCATTCTGGGCCAAGGACCTTGCCAATTCGCTCCTTCATTTCCCGGGCTGCCTTCACCGTGAATGTTGCCACAACGATATCTGACGGCTGGTAGCCAGTTTGTTGCACCAGCCATACGACGCGTGATGTTAGAGTATGCGTCTTGCCACTACCCGGGCCTGCTAGAATAGCGACTGTCGATGCATTGGAAGTAACAGCACGGCGCTGAGCCGCATTTAACGACCGTAGGATTGGATTTTCAGCCTGGGCCGTTGACATGGTGGTGGCTAAGGCAAAAACAGGCGAAGATTGTGCTTAAACAAGGGAGCAAGGCTAAACATCGAGAGCTGACACCGAAGATCTAAGCGAATGACTATGCTTGAAATTTCCAATACAGCACATGTAGAAAATTCACACTCAATTCAGCAAAGATCTGTGATTTCGTCTCATCATATCAGCCTCGTCCGTATCTGGCGCCGTTATCGACACGACACGCGTCGGGACAACCAACAAGGGACAGAGCATCGCGAAGTCATGTGACCGTGATAATGCATCTTAGTAAGCATGTCGACACGCAAGAATTTACGATTCTAGAGCTGCATCCTATTTTTACCACTTTGAGAGTTGAGATTTGGGATTTTAGGATGCGAATGGGAAAATGGAAGAATGAAGGGAAAGGAGAGCCATCAATCATCCTTCGTGCCTGTTCATACTCGACGCGCCCATCTGTGATCTGTGATCTGTGATGAGTGATGAGTGATGAGAGCTGCAAAATGCTTCACATCACACGACTATTGAAGTTATCACAAATCCTGGATCCAAAGATGGCGTGACTCCATCGTTCAAAAGCGAGGCCGTCCATCAGCACGATTGGTGTATATGTTGATCATCACTGCAGACGACATTTCAGTCCGGATCCGCTCCGGCGGTGTGCCTGAGGATGTGACGAGACATACAGAACGGGCATTTCGTTGGTCAAATCGGGGTGACCCGGCTTTGGAGCTCAGGGCGCCCATCACCGCTAGCAGGAGTGGCTGAAGGAGCGATGCTATTCTAAGCAGCCATCCCTCGCTGCGGCACTCGTGCTCGCGCTCTAATTGGGAGGCATTTGGACGAATCGTCTCGGGTGTCACTGCGAAGAAGCAGGGATAAGTCCCGATGTCCTGTTTGAGCGAGCAACGGCGCCGGCGGCTATTTAGCAGGGTGCCCGCTTTGGGTAGCCTGTGATGATGATGAGGAGAACAAGAGGTTAGTGAAATAGCGAGAGGGATCAATGGGAATTGGACAAAGACAAAGAAGAGGCAGCGAGATACCAAGTTTATCATATCATTGATATTAAATCCAATAGTAACCTACATGCACGTTGGTAGCGCCTTGATTGAAAATAAAGGTTCAGCATCCAGTTCGCATCCTCCAGGGCCTCCCCCCTCCCTGTGGGCGGCCTGCGGGGCGCTGCAGGGAGCAAGCTTTAGTGCCTTGCATCGATATTGCCAGCCGTCCAATCAGCAGCCGGTGGCGCCCGTCACAGAGCAGGTCGGCGCTTAACCACCAGCTTTGGCCCAACCACAGGCCCGAGATGGCCTCTCGCCGTGCTCTTTGTGCCTTGAGTTCGTCGACGCCATGTAACCGCCAGAATGCATCACCCAGCCAGTCACAGAGCCGCAAGCTGGGGAGCCCGGGCAAGTCCTTGCCCAGCCCCACGGCCCAGCGCCAATGTTGCTGCCGGCCAGCATCGCCAGCCGCTGTGACGACTCTATATACCCTTTACGTGCCGCATATTTCTCCTCATTCATGTCACATCTCTCTTGGGTCATGTTTCGCATTTCAACGCCAGGAGGTCCCATCACGCAGCGATCGCCTTCATAAGAGCAAGGCCGGTCTCCATCATGCCCTTTGGCACTCGTCCTCCATCATCATCTCTCGCCCTCTTGTCCTCTGTGCTTCTGTGGTCTTTGGCCTCTTCAACGCCGATCCGGGACACCAAGTATCTACCGGCACAGATTGGCGGTATTATAGGAGCGTACGGACTCTCTTTGGTGCTGGTCGCCCTCCTTTTGCTTGCGCTTTCCAAACGACGAAGAGAACATCTCAGCGGCAACGACGTGCCCAGCTACGTGCTTCAACTTCCGGTAGATCCAAAGTTCCAGCAGCAGTTCGACTTCACAGCTCAGCCTGAGGGCCACCCTGTTCCTCCTCTGATCATTCCCAAGTCCGAGTACTACCACACCGGTCCTTACAGTGCCCGAATCTTCGATCCCAAGGCGGCACCCGCATACATCTTACCATCGCCCTCTTCGTCTGCCATCCCGTCCACCCTCGGAGTCTCACCCCTTGTAGATCCGTCCGTCGTTGCAGCAGACAGAGCCATGGCGCAGGACGAGCTTGAACAAATGTACAAGCATGTCTTGGAACATGATGAGGCCAAGGCAAGAGGCATCGTGCTTGAGTCTCCAGTTGTGTCTCCGAACCCCCAGCGCGACTCAACAAACTCAAAGACCGGTCTCTTGTCAAAGAAGAACAAGGCCAAGCCAGCTGGTCTGAACCTGACCGCGGCCAAAGAGGAAAAGTCCCAGTCCAAGACTTCGGCTCTCTTCTCCTCGCTCCTCTCACCGAAGAAGAAGGCGCCCAAGGGCATCAACATCTCGTCCCCCATCTTGACGCCCATGTCGGGAACTTTCCCTCAGCATGAATCCCGCGAGATGAGTGCCATTCCGCCAAGGCATTATGCTCCTGCCCCTCCGCCACCTATCCCGACAGACCAAGTGCCTTTCGGTGCCTCCAACTCTAGGACTGGTGCTCCCTTGACCCCGGATATGTCGCCCGAAAGCATTCAAACCATCGACGAGCGTATTGGGGCTTCTCTCGACCGCGCCAATCGATCGAGGACTACGTTGGCATACACCGAGAGAGAGCCCGATTCGGCCACCACAGAGAGCTCCCAGGCTCCCTTGGTTGGCCTTCCATCATCTCCCAGGCCCGGAAGCTCGTTTCCTTCGCTGCCGTCGTCACCTCGGCCTGGTGCCACCTTCTCCCGCCCCAACGCACCTACTGCGGTCCGAACCGGTGGAACTCTCCCCCTTCGTGCTTACGAAGAACAGCTCGGCTCGCCTTTCATTGCTTCCCAGACGACCAAGCAGACCGTCTTTGAGAGAACCGGCCCTCTATCACCGGGTGGCGGCAGGACTCCCTTTACCGGAACTGCCGTGCCGTACTCTCCGTATCAGCCATATACTCCTTGCGTCCCGATAACCCCTGGCTTGGTTACCAAGGAAGACCGCAAGCGCATGAAGCGAATGGTGCCCAAGACACCAACCTTGGAGATGGTCAAGAATTCTGAGGATGTCTGGTAAATGGGATGGATAAGAGTAACTTTTTTCATACATTAACTCTTCTTCTTTTTCTCACATCTTTTTCTTTTTTTCAAGCTTCTACTGTTAGATAATTTGCTGGGGCTGCCCCAAGGAGGGCGCCTTGATCATGTCGCCGTGATTTTCTTCTCGTTTTCTTCAGACATGCCCTATTCATTTTTCATTTTTTTGCAAACATATATCCAATGACTTGGGCCAGGAGCGCAGGATTGAGGAAAGAAGGAAATTTCATACCCGCATATTCACGACTGACGAGATTTTTTGTACTTGATAAGCCTATAACATCTAAAAATCCATCATCTTTAATTGAATGTTTGGTATTTTGGAAAGAAGGAAAAGATTGTGTGTCTAAAGTGTGATGTTTTCGTGAAAGTCTAAGGAAGGCAGCTCGTCGTGAATGTATTGTTGAAATGATATTCCGGATTGTTTGCCTGTGATATCTTGAGATGGATATTCATCCATAGAGTCGATGGCCAAAGGGAGGGCTGTTCTATTGTCTTGGCTGGCAAGGTAAAAAGGATAAACTCGTCTCAGTCGTTAGTCGTCATCCAGGCCGTGACGTTCATATATATGGTCCTAACGGAGTTTACATGAAACAGTGTCAGAAAATCCACCATGCTTGGTTTCTTTTTCTTTGTTTCCTCTTTCCTCTTTCCTCATCCCCCCCTTGCCTCTTCTGGTTTTCTCCCCCAGGAATGATCCCAAAACAGCCATCTTTCGTTATGTGGGCACCCGAAAAAGCAATGTTGATATATGCAGTCTAGAACCACGGCGGCCTTGAAGCGGCAAGCATTAATTAAGCTTGAGCCCAGCTCCAGCGATTTTAGCTAGCCGCTCTGCATAAAAGACTAATGCCAAAGAGATTGGCAGCATATCAGTCAGCAGCAAAAGCAATGTGATATGTATCATTAACATGTCGTTTCTGACAGTCTGCTGGGAGACAGCTTTATCACACTAACTGTCCTCGATCCATGCTACGGATCTGTTCCGCGTCGATTTGAGATTAGAATGCTCCGTAAGGAATGCTACCTATGTCTTTCTCTGAGGTCATAGTGAATGTTAGGCAATCCTACTAGTTAAGATAGGCATGAATTGATGCCCGTCGGGAATGGCCAATCCTGGTAGACACAATACGATGGACCTCAGCCGAGCACAAGTACGAGAAGCCCTACATTAGTGTGCTGTAGTAGTACCACACAGCTATTGGCCACCATCTCGAATCTCCCATCAAGCTCCAGCGAGTTAAACCCGTTAGCCCGGGGACCCGATCCTGCAGGTGTCGCTTCCGCAGTGATGGGCGCGCAATAGGCGCAAAGGGCAACGGCTGAAGGGGCTATTGAGGCAAGTTTTACGCCCGCGTGGGCAAACTCCCTGTTCCCACGGGCTGAGCGAGGAATATATGATGCAGCCAATATCGATCGACCCGCTCGCGGCAGGCGGGGAATATGCACGGGAGACAGGTTATGATGTATGAGGACTACCTAGTATGGCAGGCTATCAAAGGGAGAAGAATGGGAGGTCCAAAGTCTTGGACAAGCTGGGTACTCCGTACTGGTACATGAATTGATACAACTCGGGAACGGTATTAGCGAGCAGCCCGAAGCGAGGGAGAGGTCGAGGTATGGCATGGAAGCATAGGCTTAGTCAGAAGGTGATAGGTAACATGTCAGGAGTGACGATTGTTGCCCCTCTCGTGTGCCATTTGAGCTTGTGCTAGCCGAGCGGCGATATCTCAGTCAACGGCCGTTGGAGGAGCGGGACGTTGTGTGAGAGGCCATGAGGTTACGACGGCGCCGGCTCCGACACGAGTGTGATTGGCCGCGGTACGAAGAAGTTGACACACAAGTCTCTGACAGATACCGTACCGAGCTGGCGTGCCACCAGTGGCCGGTACTTGTCCTACTGGTGCTACTGGTGATGGTTGAATGAGTGAGTTGAGTGGACATTGAGTAGTTATCCGGATTCCGGATTTCGGACCGCATCGCGGTTAGGTGCCTACCAAGCCTACCAAGCCTACTTGGGGAATCGCCTATTGATGGCCCGTATTGTCCGTGCTATTGTTCTCCTTGATAGGGTTAATGGTAGGGCCACATGACGTTGGTAATACGTACCATGTAATACATCAATATTAATTAATACTTGATGGTACATAAAACAGGAAAAGAATCAAATTGAAACATCAATGCAACGCGTACCACTGTTCGTATACTGTATGCTGCATACCTGGTAGGTACTGTGCTGCACTCACAGGCACATGCAAAATTACAGGGAGGACGCTGCAGCTGCACATGAAAACCGCAAGGGTGCTGCAGCGACCAGAGCGCTGCAAATTCTGGGCGCCGGAGTCACCTGGGAGTCCGAGCAGCCACTCACAGGCCCCGGCAATGCTGTGGCTGAGAGGCTAGAATGTCTGGAATGGCGGCATTGGCCCTCGATGAGTGTCTCAGGCGGCAAGTGTCTTGTTCTGTGCCACGATTGAGGAGACACCAAGACTGTGCTCAGCCAAGACGGCTGAAGACACCAACGGCCACGCAGGGGTGAAGAAAGCAGAGACACTGATGAAACTGTACGCGCACAGTGTGTAGTACGGAGCACGGGGGTCGAGTTGGCGTGCGGCAAACCGCTGCGGCGATGGCGGCCAAACGAGAGCGGCACGAGTTCGCTCCAGTTGCATTGTTTTGTCTGCTCAAGTTCCGTGGAGATTATTTGCTTAGAGCATTCGCTGCTGTACTCGTAGTTGCTCGGAGAAGCTGAATTCGTCAAATAGTACGGAGTAGACTATTACCAATACCAATACCAATACCAACACTAACACCAGCCCCTGATCAATGCTCGGTATTCGGCAGGTCGTGATCGAATTTGACTGAATCGTGGCGCCTTGCAACCAGAGCCACGAAAGGCAAAAGCCAGTTTGCGCGCGTACAGGCCGAGGGGCGCTAGGGGCTTATTTTCGCCGTGGAGGCTCAGCTTGCACGCCTTGCGTCGCTTGGCCTTGTTGATGCCACGAGAGCATCGAGATCGCAATGACGGGTTGTTATACTGAAGCATGGACGGACGGGCATTAATTTCGCTGGTCCATACAGTACAAGTACAGTACGGAACGGGCTGTTGGGAGGGGGGGCCGCTGTCAGTTGAATGCAGGTGGCATGTCGGTCTATTCCCGAGCATTGCTGCGGTTGAAATTGGGTCGGGTATCGCGTCGTGAACATGGACAGACAGGATTGCTACAGTACAGGTACAGGTATGGATACAGCCAGTCGATTTTCTCAGCCACCTGCCGTGGCATGTGGTACTTTGCGTAGGTACCGACGAAAATGCCACGGGCGCTAGTCCCGTCCTGGTGCATGCAGACGACCCTCTCCCTTGCGGCATCTCGTGTGGACGTGCCAAGTTGCCAAGGTGCGCTTTAGTGTGTACCCGGTACCTCTTGACAGGACGCGTACCCACCGGCGCCCACCAGCCTCGTTTGTACCAGTACCCGGAGCATCTGCACAAGCACCTCACTGTCTTACAGCAGTAGGGCTCTGCAGTGGCCGATGTCGATATGCGCGTGCTTTCAATGGGCTAGTCCGCACGAAGACCCCCTCTAGTGTATGCACATGCGTCACTTGTGCATCCGTCGACGAAACAAGAGAGAGGGAAAGTGGGAAGTGGGAAGTGGGAAGTGGAAAGGGAAAATCCTGCACAGCGCAGCACAGCACAGCACTGGACAGCACAGGACAACTCAGCGCAGTAGCACAGCAGCGCAGCATCGCAGGCGGTGGAGCCCGTCAATCCAGTACCAGTACCAGTACCAGCACCACTACGGGACTCGTACAGTGCTGTTACAGTACAGTGGAAGAGGCAAAGGCTTCAAGCAGCAGCTAACAGGCCCAGCCGTCAAGGGAGGTGGGGGCTCTTCGGGTAGGCCTGTTCACCTTTTAGCTTTTTCCCTTGCTCGTTGCGGCGTAGCCTCGCCTGATATCGGTTCCGGATCGTACGATGTTCCTACCTCAGTCTCATCTTGCACCTCTTCTCAGTTTTCCGGCTGTCCGTACCGCATTGCCGCGACCCAAGGCAGAAGCTCGACTCTCGGCGCCCGAGTCCAACCAAGAAACGCAATCAATCCCATCGATCTGCCACTGTCACAGTCCCGACGATCCAGCCATCGATCCATCCATCCTCGTACGGTGGACGAGCCTAGCCCGTGCAATCCCGCCCAACCCCATCCACGAGTGCCTGAGGGACTGGACTGGACTGGAGAACATAGCAAGGGAATACCCAGCAGAAAAGGGAAACCGGAAAAATTAAGAGAAGCCAGAGCTAGAAAAGGGAAAAAAAAGGAAAGAGGCGAAAAAAGAGAATTCCCAGCTGGGCTGAGCCCGCCCCCTGCCTGATTCAGTCATCGTCACCTCTCAGCTTTTTTCCCTTCCAAGGTTCTCTCTCCTTGCCGCCTCAACGGAACAAGCTCCAAGTACCGGCCCATTTCGTATGTCTTTCGGTCTGTAGCACGCGCTTCCTGATTGACCGTCAAGAATCCATCGTCGCCTGCGCGCAGCCATCCCTGGCCATCCCACACCCTCGGCAAGCTCCCACTGGGCGTCTGTCTCAGCAGATCCCGCTTTAAGCTGTCCACCCACCAGGGAAGCAGGAGAAAAAAACAGCTGATCTCATCGTGCTATCGTCTGGTGAGAGCGTCCACAGCTTCTGCACCACTCAGTCCACTTTGGTCCGTCGACCGCACGATTCTCTGCCAACAATCGAGTCACCTTTCCCCTTAGACCCTGACGCACGCCCGCCTGGTCTCAGTCTCTCCATTCTCGTCCTGTCGAGCCCGGCTGCCGCTGCATGAGCTGATCCGCGAGCTTCCCCCGGTCTTTGCAGCCGCCAATCCCCTCCCATGGCCGATGAGGATGGCACCAACGGGCTTGGGTTTGACGACCCAAGCTTCGGCTTCATAGGCGGTGGCCCCGTGCCTCTGGATGGAATCTCAGATGCTCCCAATTTCAGCGGCGATCCCTCGGCTGCTTTCCTTGACGCTGGAGTCTGGCCTCTGGACGCCTCACCTCAGCCCAACTCGTACGACATCAGCAGCAACACCACCCTCTCTTCAGCCCAGCCAGGATACTTGTCCCCGTCCTGGCCAACCCCGACCTTTGACCCGCGACAGCAGCAGCACCAGCAGCAGCAGCCCGACTCTGTCGCCTTTGGCCTACCCAACATCGACCCTACAGCAGTCTTCCTTTCCGGTGTAGCGCCCACCAAGCGGGGCGCCCCGGTATCCAAACCCTCTCTACGATCTGTAACTGCCCTGAGTCCTGCTCTGCAGGAACAGCTGCGAAACATTGCGATGCCCCCTCACCTTCAGTACGGCTCGCCCAAGAGCGCCTCCAGTCCTGAGTCGGCCAAGACTGGAGCTGCCTCATCGCCAGACGTCTCTGGCAGCTCTCTAAAGGATTCCAGGAAGCGCAAGATCTCGGCTGACGATCTGGACGATGACGATCTTCTCGAAGAGGGCGGTAAGCCCATCAAGAAGACAGCTCACAACATGATTGAGAAGCGCTACCGGACCAACATTAACGATAAGATTGCTGCCTTGAGAGACAGCGTTCCCAGCCTGCGCATCATGAGCAAGAGCGCTAGGGGAGAAGACACTACTGAGGACCGCGAGGAACTACACGGCCTTACGCCCGCACACAAGCTCAACAAAGCGACTGTAGGAATTCCCACTCTGACGTTTTATGGATAACAAGGAATCAATGGGCCCGGTGTCCCTGGTGGCTAACTGGTGATGCAGGTTTTAAGCAAAGCGACGGAATACATACGACATCTGGAAAAGAGAAATAATCGATTGCTGGACGAAAACAGCGCCATGCACCAGAGAATCGCCGCCTTCGAGAAGCTGTTCATGGCTGGAGCTATGAACGGCTCCATGCCTCCAATGCAACAACCCACACCGATGCAGTATCCCCAGGATAGCCAAGCGCAGCAACAATCACAGCAGCAGCAACAGCAGCAGCAACAGCAACAAATGACACAATCTCCGCTGGACCCTTCTGGCCAGGAAGCAAATGGAATGCCTGCTGGTATGATTGATGTTCCTGAGGACATGAAGCGAATCCTCTCCCAGATGCCCGGCCAGCCATACCCTGTTCCCCAGCAGCTATTTCGTCCCAACCCGAACGTGGTTGGCCAACAACAGATTCGGCCAATGCAGCAACAGCAACAGGGCCAGCAGACTGGATGGAGTGCCGCAAGCCCCTACCTTGGTAAGCTGATGGTTGGCTCGCTCGCTGGCCTGATGATATTGGAGGCGGTTCGGGAAGAGGAAACCAGTAACGAAGAGCCCCAAGGTCGCGGACTGTTTGCTCTACCCTTACAGCTTCTCAAGCACATGCCATCTCATCTCAATGTGGGTTTGGCGGGATATCAGGCCGATCTTTCTATCAAGTTTATGCTCCTTTTCGGCCTCATCCTGTGGGTTTTCATCCCGTCGCTGTTTTCATCAATAGACCGAAAACCTAAGAAGCAGCAATCCGCCGCTCTACATCCCGTCCCTTCACTGGCTTCTCCCATCAGTGTGCGCCGCCGCGCGTGGGAGACGGCAATCCAGACTGTTTGGGTGCCTCACCACAACTTCTTCCTTGAAGCCGCTGCGCTGATGCTCAAGACGCTCAAGCTTAGCGTGCGCAACGTTTTTGGCGTCCACGCCTATCAGCTGTTGACCGGATTGACTCCCGAACAGGAGGTAGCCCGAGTTCGTGCCTGGGCCACCGCTCTCGATGCACAGCTTACTGGAGGAGATGCAGAGATTTGCATGAGCCGCCTCATCCTGACACTGTTGGCGTCCGGAACCGTGCCCAATACCCCGAGCGGTCTGATGCTTAAGGCACTTCACGTCCGTGTGCTCTTGTGGGACTTGAGCCAGAAATGGTATCAGCTAGGTCTGGTCAACTTTTTTGCCACCAAGATTGCACAACAGCAGTGGAACGCAGCTCGCGACCTAAATCACAAACTAATCAGCAGCCTACCAGAAGAGGAGAAGTCGGAGATGCAGCGAGCAGGATACTTATTACCCGATCATCTGGCTGCCTTGGTCGAACAGGAATGCGACCAAGTTCTCACCCCTACCGTCATTCAACGAGCCCATAACCTGGCCTTCAACTTGGAAACGACATACAACTCGGACCCGATTGATGGTATGGACACGGTAGTCGATGACACAGCCATTGGGTCTCCGATGGATGCTCTCGCAGCCTGGTGGTCAACAGCCAAGGTGCACGATGTGTTGACAACAACGTTGTACGGTGACGGAGAGGCATCGGAGGATGAGCAAGTAATGGAACTGGCCGTTCAAGTCGCTCCCTTGGGCTCTCATGCTCGAGCACGGGCAATCATGGCCCGTTCCGTCCTCGCTCAACAGTTGCGTGGACAAAATATTGCTGCTGCTGTTCAGGTCCTTCGGGTTGACACTGATAGCAGCTGTCTGATGGAGCCCATATCCCTGACTTCTGCCGATCCGAATCCTTTTGCCGGCCTGGCACCGGCTGCGCCTCCTCACTCAGATACTCCCGACCCCGACCTTCAGCTTTGCCTCCGCTGTGCGACAGCTACAGCCCATCTCAAGCGATTAGGCGGCGAGGTTGCTAGTAAGAAACAATACGTCCGCACCTCGATCGAAAAGGTGATTGACTTGACAACGGAAACACCAATGACGCTTTTGAGCTTTACGTCGGTCATGGAGGTTTTGGAGCAGATTCTAGCTCATAAAGATACCACAAACAACTTTGCGCCCCTGGTAGAGAGACTGGCTGCCATCCTGCGTCTTTGGATGGGTAGTTCTCTAGCACTAAACTGCGGTGTATCACGCGACCTTCAGGATAGAGTCATCAATAAATGCCTGAGCGTTACAAAGAGGATAGTGGGCATGGAGGTGGATACAGGCTACGACAGCATGACAGACGACGAAGGATTCCGATGATTGTTAAAGAGGAGAGAAGAGAGAATGAAGACTATGCGCAACTGCATTTCGAAATCTGCTTTACGATACTCCACTTCTTTTGGCTTTTGTCAATATTTTTTCCCTAATATTTCTCCCCCCATTTCCCGCTTTTCTGGGCGAAACAGGTGTACAATGGAGGACGACAGCTCTTTTCAGGCAAGACGACGGCCCCTCAGACCTGGGAAATGTATGTATATAAGAAAGAATTTGTATCAGGAGTGAACTCAGCCTCATTACGACGTATTATGCAACAAAGGCAGGACAAAAAAATTATTCTAGAGGGAAATTGGGAGAGGCGATTAGGGAACCTACTACCATTGTATTTTCATGGCAGGACATGTTTTCATTTTATTACTGTTTTTTCTGAGCTATTTGGGACATTGCTAGCTGTTTGCTTTGTTGTTCTCTTTTCTCTACGTCGTTCTTATTCTTTCCCACAACCTTTTTTTTTTTTCACATTGTTTTCTTTTGTTGCTGCGGTTCGATACCTGGCGGGGCGTAGTGATTGGGCCTCATATACGGAGTAGGCTTTCGTGAAAGACAGGATAGGAAAATTCCTGAGTGAAAAAAAACGATTTTTCTTGTTCAAATTTTGATGAGCTCATTGATGTTTTGTGAATCCTCAAAGTGTGTTACAAAGTGTGTTATGTGTAACGGGATAACGGAGTAATAGCTACCTTTTGGTGTTGCCGTGCGGCATTTCTAGGTTATCGGGAACTTTGTTGATTAGCTGATCTTGATGCAAGAGTCGTGCCGTGGACTGTGGCTTTTCGTATTCACGGTGAGATCCGATCGGATGTGATACGATTTCGGGTGCTAATATTCATTGGGTCCTTTGATAAGGGTCATGGGATATTATGAATAGGTTCTCGAAGTTTGTGTTTCGTATTATCAGGACTATTTTAAGGTCACGAATCTACATTACGATTATGTGTACATAGCGACATAGAGTGATGCATCCAAGAGGGAATATATTGGACATGCATCCGCTACCTCTTGTGACAGCATTTACCAGCAAGTAAGCAAGTAACCAGAAGACTTCAAAGGTCTCACATGCCATAAGTTGCATGCTTCGAAAATCCAAAACCAGGTGCTGAACAGTCCCTTCCAAAACATTCATACATCTAGTACCATATTAGGTATTCATGGTACATAATGCCAAACTATCAGTTCAACGTGAAAGGCCATATCTTGTCTCAAGTATTCGAATCATGCCCCATAAGCTCATATCCCTCTCCAGTTAGGTTTGGATCAGGTTTCTCTTCTGCCTTGTTGGATTATTCTTTTCAGCTTGTATATGCTGTCATTTAACGATTAGATCTGATCCATTTACGGACACTTCCATGATGAGCTTCTTCACAATGCAGGCGTCAATCAAAACTTTGTGACATATTGTGGAATTCGAATACGACAAGCTGGACAAGGTAGACATCAATAGAGATGACATGGGGCGTTGTTATAACTCTAGTGATTGTCCTGGAGGAGATTCCGCCTGATAGCGCGGAGTAGGAAACGCCCTTGATGGTCTTCTTTTGCGGCAGTTGATTCCCGAAGCGGCTGATGGGGAAAACGGGCCTGACACGTCGATGCCGCCCGATTTCACATTGGAGTATGACATGTCCGCTTTTTCTAATACTCTGCTCACAAGATATGGCCTGGAGTTGTATGGTCCGTATAGGAGGTTTTGAATTTCTAAATGATATGGTCCATATTGGAGTGGTCGCCTATGGGAGAATGTATAAGTTGCTAGCCTGTCTATGGCCGTGGCATTTCTAATAGCATGATATCCGCGACACTGACCCATCGATGTAGTTCAAATGAACTCGAATCTGAAGAAACAGTTAATGTGATTCTAAACCTCTTTGTCCTCGTTACCAATCCCTTTAAAGCCAGCGCCTCTCTCCATCTTGTGCAATTTCACCACCCGTCGTTTCCCCCCCTCCAGGGTAAGCGCCGTACCTGGCAGCATTTAGTACGTGGCACAACGTCATCCCGCCTCTCCACGGACCCTTACCTTAGAGTTTCCCTTATCGTCTCCAATTCCTCTCCCACCAACACCAACAAACAACATCTCACCTCCTCCATACTAATCCTCCTCCTCCTTCTCACTCCTCTCTCACGCACGATCAACCATCCATTAAAATGGCAACAACAACAACAGCATCACCTCCACCCCCACAATCCTCATCCTCCTCCTCATTCCCCTTCCCCCGCGAATACTTCTTCCCCGCCTTCTTCACCCGCCAGACAAACCTCACCATCCACCACGCCCAGCTCACAAAGTGGTCCGCCCTCATCCTCGCCTACGCCCGCCACCACCGCCTCTTCCGCATCACCCTCTCCGCTGCCGCAGACTCCGACCTCTTCTTCAACCGCGGCATCGACCGCCGCCTCGCCCCGCCCGACATCCGCGAGGTCCTCGACTTCATGCGCAAGGACGGCCGCGCAGAGTTCGTCCGCTCGGGCTCCAGCAACGGCGCTGCTGATGCCTCGTCTTCCGCTTCTGCCGCGTCGGCTGGCGATGTCGTCTTTTTGTACTGGCGCAAGCCCGAGGAGTGGGCTGCTCTCGTAGAGGCCTTTGTGGAAGAGACGGCGCAGAAGGGAAGCGTCCTGACCGTGTACGAGCTGACAGAGGGAGAAAACACCAGAGGAACAGGTATGTTTAAATAACCAAGAGCCGCTTTGTCACATAAAGTCACGTCCTGTGCTAACAAAGGCTTCACAGAATTCCACGGCATGGACAACCAAGTACTCATGAAGGCGTTGAACATCTTGGTCAAACGGGGCAAAGCCCAAATCTTCGGCTCCGAAGACTCCCTCGGCGTCAAATTCTTCTAAAGTAGGGGATTGCCAACCTACAAGAGGCACTAAGTAACATGCTGCAAACCGCAGCCGGACATACTCCCTCCCCCAGCAAGCCTATTAATAATTGTCCGCCAACACCGACCATGGTTCCGCAATCCGCCCTCCCAAAACTCCGTCATATACGTGCATCATCAGAAGATGTCATCTTTTCCTCCACGTAGCATCGGTCTTCTATTCTGCTTCCAGTAGAAACTTCTTGTCAAATCGCACTTGCTGTGCCATCGCCACGTCGAGAAGCCAGTCTGGCGATACCACCCGCGGCTCCATATGGCCCCTTTCTGCCATGTCCTTGAAGCGTTGCCACAACTGCTTCTCCTCTGCGGTGGTACCGCTAAGAAGATAGACTGGCTCGGGGGGCGCAAAGTTGTCTTGCTCTGCGGTGGTTGGCTTAATGTTCGATCCACTGCGTGCCCGATAAATCATGAAGATGGCGCCGTTGGCTTCTGCTATAGCGCGATAGCTCTCAGGTCCGTTCTTGATTTTGTCAGTGCAGTAGATGGGAATACTTCGGAGGAGCTTGCCGCGGTGAGCCTTGGCCCTGCTGACGGACCTCTCGAGATCAATGTCGTACTTGGATTCGGCTTCGGTATCTTTGAGGATAAAGTCGTCCACATCCTGAAGCTTACCGGTCTCGAGAGTCTTCTCGATAAAGGTAGAGGATATGACCGTGGGGCCGCGAGCCAGGGCACACAGGAATTTGACCGTCCTTACGACGTGCGGCGCGGCTAGATAGTCACAGGGCTGACCCTCTTGGACAATCTGAATACCAAGATCGCGGAGTTTTCTCTGTAGATACGCTGTTAGTGATGCTCTTTGATTGGGTGGGACAAGGGAATTGAACAACAGGAGGGAAACAGTTGAAACTCACCCGATCTTGATCTTCTTTATTCTGGTTGCCCACCCATCTCGTAAACCCTGTTAGGATAATGCGCATTTCGATACCAGGTAGAGATGGCCGTGACTTCTTGGCCGGGCGGTCTTCTTCATCTTCACCGTCTTTATTGCTTGTTGGTTTTTTTGCGCTCTCAGCCTTCTCTTTTTCTACCAGCTCCGCGGCTCGTTTGCCACCAAAGGGAGTTCCTGGTTTGGCATTCCTCTTCTTCTCCTTTTCGTAGAGCGCAATATCCGGTGCGATTGATGAGAGCATGTTCATGGCTTTTGCTTTGGCACTACGTCCACCGGTGGACATGACAACGGGCGTCTCGTTTTCTTTGCCAGGCCGCGGCCTTACTGGAGTAACTAACTGCGCAGTACGCCGGCCCTTCTTTGCAGCAGCAGCTGATGGAATGCTATCCTCCTCGCTGTTGTCTTCCTGCATGGTATCTGAGTCCCCTCCATGCGCGACCTCGCCGATCACCACGCCCTCCGCAGGACCATGCGAGTACGCATTGTCTTCAGCGGCCTCGAGAATCTTTCTCTTTCTCTTTGCCCTCGGGGACATGGTTTCCTCGCCTCCGGGGTAGAACAAATCTCTCAGCCGAGACTCATTGAAAGAGGTCTGACCAATGATTTCGCCCAGATTTGTCCGGGGAGGGAAATGGTTGTACTTTTTAATATTAACCAGCTGAATTTCGCACTTGGCGTAGCTTTCTTCAACCCAGAGGTGATTGACCACCGTGATACCCCACTCAGGAGCAGCTTTGCACTTCTCACTAGAGTTGCGAGCTGTAATAAGATGGGTGTTGTCCGCTTTCATAGTCTTGGTGAATTCGGCGCCGCAAGCTTTGATGAGATTCTCGAGGTAGATGCGGGCCTCGCCGCCGTAATTGGATACGGTGATGCGCAGGTCCTTGAAACCCGGGATGCCATTTCTAGGGATGGGGTAATGAAGCAATCGACGTAGGGGTGATGTCCAGTCGTTGTGAACAATGAGGAAATAGAGCCAGGACAAGTTACCAACTTCTTTGCAAGCCTGAGATGCTCGTACGTACTGCTCGCCATCTCGGTACTGGCAAATGAGAGTATTGCACTCGTCCACATCCTGCACCAACCGACCGCCACCGTAAACGATGATATCTTTTAGGGCGTTCTCGAGACGGGGGGTTATCTTTAGATCTGCGCCGAGCAAGATCAGCTTGTCCTGGAAGACAGTAACGGGCGGTCGACCCGAGTTTCCGTCGGACAAAGATATAAACTCGGGGTTTGCTGATGACGCGCCAACCAAGTTGTTGTTTGACGGAATGTCGAGCTCTTCATCGGGGCCTTTTTTCAGAATTTCGGGGTCAGGAAGAAGGTATGGTCCCTCGTCGATCCTCTTTCCCAGCTTGAAGCAATCATCGAACCTAGCCAGAGGAATTTAGCCTACTGCTATTCCATCAAAGCCCGCCATTAAAACACTTACCAGTGCGGCAAAACTACCTTGCCCTTCCAGCCTTTCTCCAGCGCAATCACAATCTTGGGATGGCTCATGGACAGAGCGCATACGTGTGTGGTCAGCCTGCCTACATCTTTTGATTCCTGCCCGCCCAGCGCCATGGTCGCTCCCAATATGCTCTCTTTGTCCATCTGGGGCAGGTCTGCGCACGTAACAACGACCTCGGAGAAGATCATGCGGGGATCAGGCGAAAACGGCCGCACTTGAGCTTGCTTGCGCCGAGATATTGAAATGGTGATCCAGTGCGTATTCACAACCGGAATCATGTATGCCTGCGAGTCGATATACTGCGGAAAATCAATCGTGTTGGAGACGATGTGCGTGACTCGGTCAATGGGTATGGATCCATCGCGTCGATATTCGACCGTTGTAGCTCCATTCTCTGTTAGAATAGTCGAGAGCTGCCGATGACAAAGATTAGATGCGAACAAGAATCAAGTTGCCGTGGACCACAGGTATCACACGTACACTGCTGATCAGCTTCGGAGCCAGCTGGTTGCTGGGAACGAATGCGATGAAGCAATCGCTGAATATGCCCCCAGCATCAGCCATGGCGCGAAATGCAGCGGCAGCTCCAATAACAAGAGTCAACTCTTCTTCGGGATTTGGAAGCTGCGTAGAGCTTTGATTAAAATCTTCGAATTGCGCCTTTCGTATCTGATCTGCGCAGGCTGTGGCAGTTTGACAAAAGAGAGAGTAGGAAAAGGGAAAAAAAGGCGATCGTGAAGATTGACGTAACTTGAAGCCTTATCCTTGGCGCTTCTCTTTTGTTTGTGGCCAGACGCGCTCCTTAGCCTCTTTACGCGAAGAAGGCAGGCTGTCACATGACTTTGACAGGTACCTGAGGTACATGGTACCTTGCTCAAATGCGGGTTCAGAGGGAGTGTGAGGGTATCGCTACTTTTTGTTTTGGCGCGCGAGCCATGAAACATCCATTTTACACGCCCCGCCGTCGACAGCTGTTAGGAGCTCTCAAAATAGTATCGAGAACAGCAACGCGGGGGGCACACGGAACATGTTGCTTTAATAGGCTCTACTTCCATTTGCATGTCAAGAACCAACGGTTGAGCTCAGATCTTCAACAATGTCGGAGCAACGGCTAGAATAGAAAGACAGCCAACATCTTGTGATTCCCATGTGATGGTATTGTTATTAGGTAGGATGAAATATTAACACCATGGCAGTCGTCGGCATCGTGGTCTAGATTATAATAGAATGCTTTTCTTTTGATCCAGGACATGCAATGCAATATATACCTGTTGTTGCTGTTTGAATCTACATGACGCAACATTCGCTCTTTGCAGCAGCGTACCGTCAAATGCTCCAGACTATAACCATGGCCCACAAAGAAAAAGAAAAAAAAAAGATAAAGAACAGTAGCAGAAAATTACAAGGAATCAAAAACATACAACTGAGAAAAGAAAACAGAATATAAGAGTGTGTGGTGAAAAAAAAAAAAAGAAACAAAAGAAAACACCGGCAGTGGCGCCAGATAGAAAGAAGCAATGCTGAAACCGGCGCCTCTACGTATGCATCACCTTCGCATACCCGTATATCCCAGTAAACATAACACATCATCCCAGGTATCATGTCTTTGCGTACCCACGCACACACGCACACACGCACACACGCGCTTCCTCTTAGACAAGCACGAAAAAGAAGGTTTGGTTTTCGGTTTTGTTGATTTTATTCTCCTTCTCATGAGTCCACACACGCCAGTGCTACAGCAGCTCCTGTCAGTGAGCTCTCCTTGGCGGAAACAAGCTCAATGGACTTTGGCTGGCCGGATGAGTTGCTTTCCATCAAGTCGTTGATGTATCGTTGGCAACTAGCCAAGTAGCCTGGATAGTGCTCAATGACACTGCCATTGAAGGCAACGGTAGTCATCTCCATCTTGATGTCTTCCTGAACCTTGGTTCGAAGAGGAGAGGACTCGGGCAGGGTTGAGAGAAACTTTTCATCGCCTTCTAGGCGAATATCCCAGAGGGCGTAGACGGCAGAGGCGATCAGCGCACTTGAACGCACGGAAACGAACGATGCAATGGCCTTGATGGCGCTCATGTCAATAACACTAGGAGTGTGAGTTGAAGGGTATTTTTGAGTGAAGGCGCTGATGGCCTGTGATAGGTCCGTGGTGGTGTCACTAAATGGGCAAACATGTTAGTTTTGCTACAGGCTGACAAATCATGAATACAACGCAATAGTGACTTACCCCTCTATCAAGGAGATGACTTCGGTGCCCAGGGAATAAAGCTCAGTCAAAGCAGGCGGGACGACGCCGCCAAGAAGACCAGTCGTCTGAATGGCATCTACCAGAATCAACCGCACAATCTCACCGAGGTACATGCCGCTAGTCATGTACTCCAAGGGCTGAAAGTCAGGTCTGGGGTGCTCCTTGAGAAGCTGTCGGTCCCATCGAGTCAGGGGTAGGATCTTGGACCCAAACATGCCGAGTTCTGTGTTGACGATGACGTGAGACGCCTCATCGAACCAGCCGGCCGGTCGCTCGCCGAATTTCACTCGGCCGATAGAGGAGACGGGCAGATAGGCAGCGATGTTGACACCGGTACCCAGGATGAGACCGAATCGTGTCGACGAGTGAGAGTACGCTCGTGATAGCAAACAGGCACTCGAGTCGTTCAGGATGGCCTTGAGCTCGACGTGGAGATTTTGATTCTTGCATGCGGTCCTGACGATGTCTCCCAGGTCTTGTCCAACAAGACCAATATCGGCCAAAAAGCCTTTGCCCATGGCTGCAAGTTTGCCACCACCAAGAGAGGTTTGTCTTTGGTTTTTAATCGTCAGTTTTCTAGGCACGACATTGATAACAAAAAAAAAAAAAAAAAAAAAAAAATACGGGGGACTCACTCGATGGGGAAACTCCACGCCAAAGAAATAGGCAGGGGATCCTCAGCACTGTGTTGTTTATTGAGCGTGCTTTGGATCGTTTCCGTAATGCGCGCAGCCATCCACTCGAAAAAGGCAATTCCCTCGAGATCCTTGACCTCCTTGGTGATTTTGTAGTTTTGCATGCTCACAATTTCTGTGGCATTTCCAGAACCCGCCCCGCGTCCTCGCAGCTCAACCAAGGCAACTCGCAGTGTCGATCCTCCCACGTCCAAGGCCAGGTACTGGCCACGTTCGGATCCTGATGGCAGTTGATGGCTGTATGAAGGAAGCATGCATTGCAAATCCGCGTTGAGCCCCTCCAGGATCTGCCCCTTCAACTTGACTGAAATCTCTTGCAGGCCATCACCGCTGATGGGACCGACCAGTGCAGCCTCGGCATCCTTTAAGAACTGCTGGAGAGTCTTCTTCTGACCGTTTGTTTCCTTGCTCTTCTTGTTTCCTGATAACCAAAAGGCCAAGATGGCCTGTATCAGGGACTTGCCTCGAAGCAAGCTCTTGACGACGGCGGCCATGAACGCTTTCCGGAACTGTGACATTGCTATGCTGAAGTATATTAAGAATCTAGCGTGAGTAGACAAAGCAAAGGAGGAAAGAGGCGAAAGGGACAGGATAGTCGGATGAGGTTAGGACGAGATGAGGCTGATATAAGAAAGTATGGAGACTGTAGGGCATCAAGGATGTGGTATAAGCAAAGGTTACCAGCCAAAGTAACGAGGGTGATGGTGGAGGTGTGATCGCGGCAAAAGAAGCGCCGAGGAATCGAGGTACAGTACAAGCTGGTCGGTACTATGCCACGCCAAGAAGGGGGAGGGCGATGTTGTCTGTGCTGTAGAAGTGGCTTGACAGGTTGGTAATGCAAGACAAGGCGTCAAACACGAGGTCAAGCTGGGACCCGATCGACAGGCACGACTCGGGGGGCGCGGGACTGATGGATCTGTAGCAGCAACAACGACAACAGGAAGCCGTGGACCAACAGAAGGCAAAGAGGACGAGAACCACTAGGTAGTAAAAGAGGCGTGGAAGGGGAAATGGAACCTGCCCCGTGCTGATGCAATCTCGGGCAACGGCCACCTCACAGCTGGCAATGGGGAGAAGAAAGAGGGTCGAGAGAGGGTCGCATGGGGAAAATAGATGCGTGTCGTCCAGCCAGGTCGAGGGTTGGGCACGGAGTAGTCCGTATAGGTGGTAGGTCTCCCTTGAGTTGTCGGATGGATATGCGGAGGGCCGGCGAATGGCAGCGTCCGGATGGCCACAACAAGGTGAGCGAGAGAAAGGTAACCAGCTAGCGGTCCTTGCCAATGTAATGTATGGTGGCAGGTCAGTCAGCAGAAGGCGTGTGCCTCGAAAGGTTACAGGGCATGCCGCGGCCTAGGTAGCAAGTAGGTAGCCAATGCTCCGTGCTTGCGCGACGACAAGGCGATCTGAGCTACTGAGATGGAGCTTCTCGTATGCAGACTGCCGAGAGCCTGTTCGCCGCCCGCGAAGCCAAAATAACGTCGCACGGCACGGTGGAGCCGTCAATGGCACTGGCAGAGGATACTATGTATTGATCCAGCTGGAGTACTGTACAAGTATAGTACCTTGACAAGCACGCTCTGTGCTGCGAAAGGGCGAAAGAAGGGGAGAGAAGTTGACCGGGATGGGGGTCACATCGGGGGCTGTCGTCTGGAAGCAATAATTATCGCAGGGCACGCGCGCACTCGCAACACAATAGCAATACGAAGCAGGTCAAGAGCGCAGTGGCGCATGTACTCCATACTTGCCCGTATTTGGCACAGCAGCGCATGCGACAACAAAACAGCGGCCCAAAGGGACTCGACAACATCAAGCTTCGTAAAGGAGTGGAGGGCTTCTGGTTGCGGGCGACGCTTCCATTCCAGGGGGCTGGCCAAGGGGGGACCGTTAGCGGGTGGAGAGCAGAGGGAGTGGCGCCGCCTGGGCAAGGCAAAACAAGCCAGAGGCAACGCAAGATAGACTGTTGGAAGTCGAGCAGAGAACAAGCAGTTTGAGAGGTTGTGGTGTTGTAACGTTGCGGTGGAGAGTTGGTAGCGTGGAGGTTTTGACGGCGACTAGGAGCGGGATGGACAGGGGGGGCTAGCCAGCTGGCCGGGAAATTTTGCCATTGGGTCCGGCGATTTGGAGGCGTCTTGATTGCCTGAAATTGCATTGATGAGATGCAACGGCCGCTGAGCAATAGTTGCAGGACAGGGCATCTGTAGAATGGGTGTGTTGATCTACTGTACAGTAGGTTAGGTAATGATTGATGTTATGCACACAAAAGCTGGATGCATGAATCAATCAACGAATCAATCAATCACCTCAATCAATCACCTCAATCAATTTGCATCAACCCCCGGCTTGCGACGATCAACAATCAATCAAACGCCAATTGTGAACTGCGGGCCATCAATCCATTAGTGGCGCCCACCAGCCACAGCTCCGCCCGCACACCGTGAAGTTCCCAGTACTCCGTAGATGGATCCATATTGGATCATGGATACCATTCCAAGCTTGTTCCATCTCATTCAATAGTGATTTCCGCGGCCTGTCAGGTCGGGTCAGGTCAGCCCGGGTATCCCAAGAGCCCCATCGTCGTGTTACTATACGGAGCACCGGGTACTAAGGTACTTTCAATAGTACATGCAGTCTGGTCCAAACCTCCCTCCAAATCTCCCTGTGGCGCAGAAACAGCCCCAGCCCAAGGTCTGCGCCCCCATTTCTCTCCAACTCAAATCTCCAAATATTGGTCTCCAATTCAGCGCCTGCCACTACTATGTACGAGTACCGTGCCTCTCTTCCCCCCATTTAGGGGTCCTTCTTTGGGGGCGCGCGTTCTGCCAAGAGACGATTGCGGTGTATGATGCTGTTACTGTTGATTCCCGCGAGGAGCCCAGCTTCGTGGCAAACACCCAAGCAGACAGGCGGGAGACAAGGTAGGTAGGCAGAGCTAGAGGTGTGTGTCCTCCTCGGGGGGTGAGCATCGCGGCCGGCGATAAGATCAATGGAAAAGCTACATGAACAAGGAGTGCCTGTAAGTCTGCGTCCATCCATGCACCCTCGTGACCTCGACGCTTCCGTTCCATTAGTTAGTTATGCGTCCAACAAGAGAAAGTAGTATGGCATATAGCACAAACGCTAAGCCTCGATCTCGAAACACTCGCCCTCGCAATCCCAACTTTAATCCGGCCTCGGCTGCAATCGCCTTCCTATATCGTCTTCGCAGCCCTGGCGCTTGATTAATGTGCAGAGATTGGAGATAGCGAGCCGCGCCTGATAGGATAATTGATGCCAAGTGCAACCTCATCTAACGGCCATGATTGCATTTGGGCCAGTTGGACATTAGATCGCCCCGGATAAGCATGTGCATCAGCTTTGCTCCTACTATATTAGTATGCTCCGGACGGAGCAGCGTCGTATCGGCGGTATACTGCATCCGAAGCCATCTGTGCATTCATAAGATCGACTAACCCTCGTCCATGGAAGCGCTTACTCGTATGCCTGGACGACGAGACATGACATGACGCTCTTTGCTTGTATACCCGAGCACATATTGCAGTGTCTCGGCTAACACAAACGGCCATCGGCTGAGAGGCAACTGTCTCTGGCATGGATCTGGAACCCGGCCAGTGTCGCGGAGATGCATTCAAAATCTCGATGGTACTACCTGGACTGTGCTTCGTATAACGAAGCCACTCGCCAAAAATCCTGTGTTACGGTGCCCGTTGCGGATATCAATGTTGCTTCGACGTCTCGGCGTGGATACATGGCATGGGCACATTGCAGAGCAGAGGCAGAGAGCAACAGGACGACGGGATGAGATGACATGAGACAATACTCGCATCACGATGGAGCAAGAGTTTGCGGACAGGAGACGAGTCGCACGACGGCCTGGGGTCACAACCATGAATGACTGGCCAGTGTTGAATCTCGACGGCCGGGGGGTGACTTGGGCCTAGCAGCTCTGGAACGTTGAAGCCACGAGATGGAGATGCACATACGAGTACAGCACGGAGTAATATCCAGCCAAAAAAAAAAAAATTGGACAAGACGACATCGACATCATCGTTTCGCAGACAGCACGGCCCCGCTGGCTGACTGACTGGCCGAGGGAGACTTGTCCTCACCTATCGTGAACGTCTAACCTCAAACGTTGTACTATGAGCAGTCAATCCTCTGTCACGTACCACCGATCCGGCAGTTGCCACTATTGATGAGACCTTTGAATGATGGAAAATCCACCAGACGGAGTAATAACATAGCCATTTGCATAGGGAGCTTGTTTTAGATGATCAAACGCCTGGTAGACTGGGGCTTGTGATTGGCTGCCCCAGCGGCAAACGGGCATCATCCCGTTATAGACGTCACTAAAGAAGAAGAAGACGCCCCCGTTTGGAGTGCCGCAATGCAACAACTGGACTGGCGTTGAGCAGTAGATGCGTCCTAGGCATGGTTACGGTATAGTCTGTCGAATACGGAGCACGGCAAGCATTGGATATACCGGAGGCTTACTACCTAGTACTACTGCATGTGGACGTGAGAAATCGGACGGCGCCATCTGGGACAAGATTGAACCCTCCCCACCACCACGTCCATCAGTTACGGGGACCCAAAGTGGCGCGCAACCGATGGAAGCATGCAGTGACGTTCCATCGAACCAATTTTTTTTTTTCTCTCACACCCAAACCGACATCATTCAATCGCCGGCCCACTAACATTCCCAGCGCCGCTCACATGGCACCTCCAAAGCGTCCTAGTTTGCCGCTGCGACTTCGATGTTAGTGCAGTACAAGCCCGTCACCTCGGGCAAAACACGCCCCCAGACGCTTTCCCGCAGTCTCCGTCTCCGTTGTGCCAGGCCTTGGGGCTGTAACTCTATTGTATTTGCCCATGTGTCGCCAATGGCCGTACCTATAGGTACCCTCTGATGACTTTTGTGTGTCAAGTGTGTTAAGCGCTCTTCCGATTCAGGAACCTGGGGCGCTTTTGCAAAGTTGCATGTCGCTCACTCGAGGGCCCCTCCTCCCCTCATACAAGCTGGGCTCTCTTAAGCCATGGAGCCATAGTCCTGCCCTCCCTCTTTTCTTTAGAAAAAGTTTCTTCTTTTCCTCTCTCTTAATCTGACAAGCCGCAAGAATCTTCTTATCCTCTTCCCTGATAACTCGGCCAGAAGCAAGCATCATCTCCTCTTACTCCGACCTCCCCGGAGCTTGTATATCCATTATCCCACTCATACCTCATACCCTCACACACATCTTTTATCTCTCTCCCCCACACTAGTCCTCTTCCCTCCCAGTCAACACCATGCGTTTGATTATTCGTGACGATGCCAACGGCGCCAGCGCCTATGTCGCAAACTACATCATCAGCCGTATCAACACCTTCCACCCCACTGCCGAGAATCCCTTTGTGCTCGGCCTGCCCACTGGCTCCAGCCCTCTAGGCGTGTACAAGATCTTGGTTGAGAAGTACAAGGCCGGCCTGGTAAGCAACCAATGCAGCATCTGAGCTTGTTGACACTCAAGCATGAACTGTGCCGTAGCTAAACCATGCTAGGTCTCATTTGAAAATGTCATCACCTTCAACATGGATGAGTACGTGGGCATTCCCCGCGACCACTCCGAGTCGTACCACACCTTTATGTGGAAGCACTTCTTCTCTCACGTAAACATCCACCCCTCCAACGTCCACATCCTCAACGGCAATGCCCCCAACCTGGAGGCCGAGTGCGTCGCCTATGAAGATGCCATTAAGAGGGCTGGCGGCATTGACCTGTTCCTGGCCGGTATTGGCGAGGACGGCCACATTGCCTTCAACGAGCCCGGCTCCAGCTTGGCCAGCCGTACCCGTGTCAAGACTCTTGCCTATGACACCATCCTGGCCAACTCCCGCTTCTTTGACCACGACATCAGCAAGGTGCCCCGCATGGCCTTGACTGTCGGTGTCCAGACCGTCCTCGAGGCCCGAGAGGTTGTCGTCATCATCCTGGGCCAGCGCAAGTCGCTTGCCCTGCAGAAGTGCATTGAGGAGGGTGTCAACCACATGTGGACCCTGTCCAGCTTGCAGCTTCACCCTCACCCCATGATTGTGGTTGATGAGGATGCCACTGCTGAGCTCAAGGTCAAGACCGTCAAGGTAAGGAATATCCTCATATCATCTTCTCTACAAACATAAGCTGACTGTGGGATTTGTATAGTACTTCAAGAGCATTGAAAAGGTGGCCATGGACGCCGGATTCGAGCAGATCCTGCCGTCCAAGGTCCGCACCGGCAACGGCCCTATTCCCCAGACCAAGGTGGACGAGGTCTCCTCCCCTACCATCCACGCTCCTCAGCCCACCACTTCTCGCCTTCTCCGGGCCACTCCGGCCACCGAGTACCCCATCCGCTCCGTGTCGCCGGATCTGGTCCCGGACCGCATGGCCTCCCGCATCCCTGAGCCCCACCTCACCGACAGGCTGACCCCTAACCCTGAGCAGCAGACTGTTCAGCAGAATGCCATTACTGCTTAGACGGGAAAAATGGAATACGAAATCATGGAGTTTTAGAATTGGTTGGCTCTCGCTTTATTATTCTCTCGTTTTCACCTCGTAGGAACTTGGACGCTTTTGGGTTTGAATAGGAGCATTGGAATGATGTATACATATACCACACAGAAATACAAAAAAGGGTTAGCAAAAAGATTTAAAATATCAAAAGACCTAGAGACATTGACTGTTGGCAGTTTGCTAACATGCTGTCTTTCCATCATTTACTTTTTTTTTCTTGTGTCTTTCTTCAGCAATGGCTCAAACATTTGTCGTCATTGAGCTCTAGGGTGGACTGCATGCTCGACGCTCAAGTCTGACAAAGGAGACATGCGCGTCATACATCGTGTAAGGTATTCAATCAGTGGTACTTCCAAGGTACATACATACTTTACGTCAAACGGAATAAAGCGCGTCGTCGACGTTTGATACCAGACAGACAACCGGTTAAAAGGCACCAAGCGCCCCGTTTAGGCAAACCCAATCAGACACCCCCCTCCTATCATCAATAGTCCCAAAACTAGTAGCTGAAGCCATCTCCATCGCTGAGAAGATGACATTCCCGCGGGAGGCCACACACACACACACACACACGCCCCCTTGTATCCTCTTTTTTTTTTCTCTACGTCCAGGGCCACGCTTGGATTCCGATTTGCTGTTTCTTGGGGATTTATTTGGGGGACAGCAGGCAGGGGGGGTTTTACGGGGGGAGGAAACAAACTGTTATTACCGAGGGGTTCCGAAATGGGGGGAGGGGAGGGGAAACGATTTAATACAAGCTTATTTTTGCGTGGCAGATGGGACTTTGTTGCCGTACTGTCGGTCTGGGAAAAGCTGGAGATGGGAATTGTGCGGTTGCCCCCCAATTTGGTTCTCTCTGCTTGTGATTACGTGGGGGGAAGTTGCGTGGGGAGGGATGGAATGATTCAGGCGCGGCGCTTGATTTCTGGCGAGTTTTAAGATTGTTCTTGACGTGCTGCTGCCTTTTTCTTGCTTTGTTTTTATTTTTCTTGTTTTGTTTTGCATCGTGGGCATGTTGTTGCGGTGGCTTTGAATCCTGTGAGCTTTTTTGGAATACATGCCCTGCGAAGATTGGCCGAGGGAACATAGCAGTTTTGCGTGTGTCTGTGGATTGTTTCCTTTGATACTCTTTTTCTTCTCTCAGTCTTGGACACAATGACCCAATGAAACTGGTTCCTGGTTCCTCACGGCGGCTTTCTCTTCTTTACAATCTGAGAGGGAGGGACTCTATCGGTCATGACTGCAATGGATATCCAAATGTCGTGATTCTACCCTAAATTTAGCAATGGCTTTTTTTTTTTTTTTTTTCCATTTTTTATCAGAGGTCTGGAACCATTTCTTCAGAGTGATGTCTCTTACCGAACTGCTACGTTACTTGTCTGTTTTACTTTCTCTCTCTCCCATCTCGCCTCTGCGTCCCATCATTTATCCTACTTCTGTTTCTCATAGCTAATAAGATTTCGCATTTGAAGCTCGGCACACACAACCGGACCGAAACTGGTACAGGTGATGATACGAGAGGCCCGAAATGTGGATACTCTGCCCATGCTTGCCGTCCATCCGAAGCAAGAGGATCATACTATTTTGGCTGCTAATACAACTGCAACTGGAACCACTCCATGAGAGACAGACAAATAAAGAATAGCACCCTTCTATTTCTTCTTCTTCTTCTCTGGAGACAACTCTGAAAAAAATCTGTCGATACGACTCTGATGTCTGACAGACTGCAGCGAGGGTTGCCCCAACGCAGCATCTCTGTTGTAGTAGCATCCACGAGCCGGAAACGCGTCCAAAGGCAGGTAAGCATTCATCTGCAATACAACGATGCAAGGCATATAAACACGCTCGCAATCCATTCGCCGTACGGCCGAGAACAACAAGAGATTGAAGCTCCAAACGAGTGCTACGCTGCCATCCAACAGGGCCATCATCATGCCATACCATCTTCCGATTTCGAATTCCAGTGCATCACAAGGCCAGGAAGAAAAAAAAAAAAGGAAAGTGTCCGATGCAATGCATCCATCAAATGCCCGAGATGCTGCCAGCTAAAAGCGGAACCTAGGGGGGCCCTGGACATGGAGATTTGAGAGACAAAAAAATTGGATCGAGCTTTAGGTGACGGCTACGTTTCATCGCATGTGAGCGTGGTGTGCTCGCACGCGATTCATGTTATCTTTTTCGTATTTCACTTTTTCTTTTCTTGCTTCTCAATGTTGCCCTTTTTCTTCTTTCATCTTTTACTTCACTCCTGGTGTGATCGCCGCGTTGCTGGTGTGATTTCAATCACCTTGTTGCCACTAGATCTGGGGCTTCCTCATCATCTACATTTCCTCCCTTTGCTATACCACTTTCCATTTGCCCATGCCCAAGGGATACATACCATGCTAGGATATCTGGAGTCGAGCTTCTCGCAAAATCCCCCTTTTGGCACATCACAAGGGAGATATCAGCCCCTCTGATGATTGCACGAGGACTTGCACACATCAGCCCTAAAAAAAGGCGGTCACAGAGTCTTGAGGCAAGACGGACTAACATGACGACCAAGATTTAACAAACAGACACAGCGTTTTTCTTTAATCGACCGCCTAGAAATCGACACCGTGATGTTTAACGAATGATTTACAATTTTTTTTTCTCTTCGCCCTTGCAAATCAAACTAGCCATGCATCCACGATTCGAATAAAACAATACCAAGATGGAAAAAAATAATATGAAATAAAACAAAAACACAAGAACCAGAAAGAGCCCCTGGGTATATATATCCCTGCTGTGTCCCAGTCATGTCGTCGCATAATGAAAATAGCCCGCGACTTTAAAAACAAAATATCCCTTGAATACACGGGCTCCCCAACGACAGATGGGAAGAGAAATCCGCACTATGATACAATGAAATGCTGCGATCCGTCGGATGGAGCCTTCGTCATTTCGTTAAAAACATGTCCCCGTTGCAAATTCGCCGTAAATGGTTGCACTTCTTTCTAGCGAGTGCGGTATGTAGCCGGGGATCGATCTCTAATCGGCGGTGAAGTAGCGCTTGACCTTTCGGCCTATCTGCTGAGCTTTGAATTCTGGCGGGGCGATGGTGTGGTGGACTATGTGCGGCCTATATACAGCATCGACTGGTGGCATCCTACAGATCCTGAGTTAGTCTCCTGGCCGCAATGCCGTAGAATTCTTTGTCTCATCTTACCAGTCATCAACACTAAGGGGAAAGTATTCGTAGAGAGGATCTGCTTCCTCAGCCGGACTGTTGCTGGCGTTTTGGCCATTCGCCGGATAGGCTTTGGATAGCTGTGGGCTCTGCAGCTCAGCACTTGATCTGTTGGGGCTCTTTTCGTCCTCTGATAGCGATAGAGTTATGGGGACCGTGGGATTGGGCGGCCTTGAGAAGGAGTTTCGATGGTTCGGGGGAGGGCCTTTGCCCGTGGGGTTTTCTGTCGTCCATGCCGGGACCGGTGGAAGTGAGACTGTAGGAGACAGAGCCATGCGCTTCGCTGGGTGCGGGCTCTGGCTGGGCTGTGGTGCAGCCTGCGGAGTAGTCCATTCATTTCCATTCGACTGGACACGTCACGTTAGCCTCTTGATGGCGAAAATAAAACATGCATGACAGCACACTTCCAGCCAAAGCCAGTGCCCTGCTGATGGGACCGCCACTTACAGATGGGTATCTTGGCAAAGAAGCCAGCAGGTTGTCCCTCTCCGCCTTGGGAGTAGGATTGTCAGTGCTGTTTGTGTTTCTCCTCTCTAGCTTCTTATCACTGGTGAGGTGCACATCCTTTCTACTGTCAAAGTTCCGTGGGCTTCGCCCTCGAACAATGACCGGGCCAGATTGAACCTCGGCGATCTTGATAATCTCTCCCGATTTCGTCTTGCCCAGCAGATTGATCTGGACTACATAATGCTGCTGCAATCCCTTTCGCCGGCCGTTGTTAGCGGTGGCGTGCTTGAACTGCAGTCTCTTCCACGAGACGGGCAGAGAGACTCTGTTGGCATCAATCTCTCGGCCAATGCTCAAGTCAAGAGTCAGATTGGGAGGAGCCGATGCGATCTTTGCCTCTTCTAATTGAGGGTTTGCGCCTTTCCATGGTATTGTGATGATTTCGGCGGCTTTCCCCTCAATCGATTCCAAGCCCGTGATGGACGCCGACAGCTCCGTAATGGCTGTCTGGCGCCCCTGTTCGTCTATAACATTGTTCACGGCTCGAGGCAGCGTGATTTGTCCTGAGCACTGCCACAGGTTCCGACGGTAGCACGTCAACTCCAGCGGACGGCCTGAATTCTCCCCGCCAAACACATCCTCGGCAACGAAGAACATGCCGTATAGCTCCGCCGTCATGTTCAAATCGGTAAACGCCCCCGCCTCATCCACTATAGTCGCATGCATGATCGGGTCAGAGAAGCCCAGGAGCTTGTTGTCCAGCTCCTGGGGAGATGCCTCGTCATTCGCGGCATCCTGATTGGTGATGGGCTCAAACGGGCGAGAGGAATAGGAAAATGGATCTTCAAAGGTGGTGACGAAGTTATCGAACTCATAAGAAGGCGTAAAAGGTAGAGGAGCCAGCGCGCTGCCGTCGCTATATGCATTGCTGAAGAGTCAGTGGCAAATTCTTAGGGGGGGAGGGGGAAAGGCTTAGGTGAGAACGGGAAGCAAAGCGGTGCTCGGCTGCGCCCAGGAAAAGGCCAGCAAAAGGGTCGACGTACAGCAGAGATTCATGAAAGTTTAGATCGGGATCAAAAGAGTCGATGCCCATGGGCGGAGGGGGGCCGTGATTCAGCCCCATCGCATCGCTGGGCGCCGTAGGGGCAGCAGGCATTGCCGGCATGGAGTTGAAGGCGGCCATGGCATCATCCAGCCCAGCACCTACGCATCGAGTCGCAGAGTCGCTGGGAGGGTAGCGAGAGGCGCAGGCCGAGGCAGAGGCAGCTGGAGAGAGAGAAGAGAGGCGAGCAAAGGCCGAGGTCGAGGGTTTGAGGTTCGCAGCGGCGACGATGACGCCAGTTCGCAGCAGTTTCTGGAGAAGCAGTCAATGCAAATGAAGATGGGGAGACGATGGAGTGTCCAGGCACGGGACAGTAGCGATAGGACCGAACCGGACGTTGCTTCGGGGGGGGTCTCCAAGCCTTGCGTCCGCTGGAGGCGCTGAGGCGCAACCACTACAGGACGAGTAGGTACTCCGTACAGGTACCTGTAACTTGTACCGCGCTGGGGGGTGGTTTTGGCTCTGGCTCTGGCTCTCGCTCACGCTCACGCAGGCGTTCAAATGAAAATTCAATCAAATGCCCGCGGCCAGACTTTGACACCGGCCATCATCATTGGGCCGGCCCTGGGCGGTGGAGCGTGGAGCGCACGCGGGCTGGCGTCTTGAGACCCTCCAGAGTCGCTCTAGAGCAAGTGAGAAGCCGGGGCAATGGGGTAAAACGCGTGCAGCGCCATGGTTCAGCGGGGCTGCCCGCTATGAGATGCCCCAAAGCCACTAGAGCCGTCGCACTGCAGGGAAAAATGAGGAGGTTGTCTTGTGTGCCTCTCGACGTTGCCTTTGGTGACATCTGGATTGAGGTGATGCGTCGAGCTTGGCAGCATCGTGGGCACCATGGCGGTTCCTGATGGCCAGTTTCTGGCTGGAACGTTCCGATCAGAATCAGCCCTATCTCTCTCTGCTGCGTGATTTGACGCTGCCCGTCGTTATCATGCGAGCTGCTATCTACGGGCTGTATCAGAGCAGCCGTGCCGTATCCACTGCTATCTTCCGTGTCCATTTGATCCATCAAATCCCATTTGATTGCTGCTGTCAAAGTAGATAGGCACTTTTCAGCTATCTTTAGCTAATGTCGGGCCCTATTATCTATCTATCTCCTTGTATCAATCTACTATCTAGCATTACTAGTACCGTGAGCTTGATTTTATAAAAACGTGCTCTCACCGAAACTTCAATCTCGACGAGCTCTCTCCCCCCAACATGTGCCTCCGACCCCCTACCGGTAAGTACTACATGTGCTCGTACCTTGCCACTCTGACTCCTGGAATCCGCTCAGCTTCTCTTTGAGTCCGGGGTTGGTTGCAAAAGACGGGACGCGCACTAACCAGAACCTGCGGTTGGTCGGCACTCGCCTCTGTCCTCCATGTATCATCCATCGTCTGGCGCCATTTTCCCCATGGGCAGGCCCTGCCAAAGAGGAGGGTGCTATGCTTGGCCCGAGGACTTTGTTCGTTTTGTTTGCTAACAGAAACACGCGCTCGCCTCCTCCACATGTGCCGCCAAGCGGTCATGGGCCTCCGTGCCGCGTCACAGGATCGCAGGTGCAATTTCGAGCTGCCAGAGAGGCAAACGGCGGATTGACGGCGCTGGAGCAGGGAATCGGCGGCAGTGTGAAGCAGAAAGCTGACGGAGGGTCGGCTCGGTAATTTAAGCTCACTTGGCACGGGAGAATTGTGCACAGCGTATTTCGGCATCAACCCGACGAGTAATACTCGACGTGTTCATTACCAGGCACGAATACACGACGGCCTCTTCCACCTTGCACCTTGCACAGACTCCTCCCCGGATCTTCCCTTCTTATATTCATGTTTACACATTTCAAGGATATTTAAATGCTCTTTGCCTAACACGGATTTGCTAATGACGCCCTGCAATTTCCAAGAACCCCCCCAATCTATAGAAGTTGTAAAAGAAAAATATACTTGTCCCTTTTGGTTTTTGGTGTAATGCTTATTGTTGTGTGTTTAATTCTGCAGCTGTCAGATGCATGTGGACTCATTCATTCATTCATCAGCGGCGTCAACCTGGTCGGTGGATTGACAATTAGTGTTCCATCAATTGACTCTACGACTCGTGGACGACGCGGTGAACTCTGGTGCCAAACTTCCACACCTCGTCCAAGACCAGAGTGCTAGGCTTGCCGGGCGTCTTGGCCTCCGAAAATATGACCAGGTCGGCGTCAGCACCAGCGTCAAGCGATCCTTTGACTCCCTGCAAGCCCAGCATGGCCGCGGGGGTGGCCGTGACGGCCTTGAGCGCGTGTGGGATTCCGGTGTCTGTCCACTGCAGGAAGTTGTTGACGCATTCGAGGAGGGTGATGGAGCTGGGAGTTTTGACTCTAGTGTTAGAATACATGTACTCTGCTGTGTATGTGTTGCGATGACTGCCAGGGGGGAGAGGTGGGAGAGGTGGCAAAATATGTAATCAAGAGCTTACCTGCCAGCAATGGTGTCCGAGTTCTCCAGCAGCAGCTTGGATCCCACCTTGACGATATTGCACGTTGTGTCACCGTTGGTCCATGGATATGCGCCGTCGGGTAGTCCGACAAGGTGCATGGCGTCGGTGACAAGAATGAATCCATCGGGATGTGAGTTGAAGGCGATCTTGATGGTGGTTGGGTGTAAGTGGATGCCGTCGGCGATGATGCCAAAGTAGGGCCGCGGGAGGCTCTCAGCAATGCCCAGGACGCCGAAGATGCCTGGGTTTCGGTGATGCAGCGGACGCATGGCGTTGAACAGGTGCGTAATCATTGTTGCTCCCTGGCCCACGGCCTCGGACGCCTCTTCGTAAGTGGCCTCGGAGTGTCCCACCGAGTAGATGATGCCCTTTGCCTTGAGCTCCGGGATCAGCTTCATCATCTGGCCGCGCTCCGGCGCCGCCGTGATGTACTTGATGGGGATCTGCTCGCCCTCGGCCCGGGGAGTGAGGTTGTGCTTGCCGTAGCACGCCTCGAGATCCTCATACGTCTGCGCCTCTATCAACACGTCGACGTTGTGCACGCCATTCTTGGTCGGGCTGAGAAACGGCCCCTCGCAGTGAGCGCCGAGCGACTCGGCCCCATCTTCGGCCTCCTGCAAGTGCCCCGACGGTCCCAGGAACGGGAGAGCCTGTATCGAATGCCACCAGAGTCAGTCCACGGCGCGAGCCAATAACACCAAGTCGAGGCAGACACCCCCTGCCACAATGGAAATGGAAATGGGAAAAATAAAATTATAGCACACAATATGCACGGCGACCCACCTTTTGGTATAGTTCAGGCCTCTGGCTGGTGATGGTGGGATTGTACGATGTGACGCCCGTCTGCACCAGCAGCTTCTGCACCTCCTTGAGCTTCTTGCCGTACTGTGACATGTCGTCGAGCAGCGTCGAGAAGTTGAAGCCAAAGGCGCCATTCAGCTGCACGTCGATCAAGCCCGGCGAGACGATGCGGCCGCCGAGGTCGATGGTCTGGTCGGGGAGAACGAGGTCGTCGAAAAAGGCGGCCTGGCTGTTGACAACCTTGCCGGACAGCGAGCTGACCCAGAGATCCTCCTCGACCAGCCGATCGCCGCGCAGGAGGCGGCAGTTGGTGAACTTGGTCAAGCCATTCCTTGGCCGGAAGGGAGGGGACAGTGCTATGGGCATGGCTCCGGCGCTCCTTGTGAGCAAGTTGATTTTATAGGATCCTGATGCTAGAGATATTCTCAAGCTTCACGGAGGATGCGGCGGGAACAAAGATTCAAGAAAGTGCTCTCTGAGAGAAGAAGGACTGCTTGTCCCGGCACCGTTTGATACTGGCTCCATAGCAAAACAGGAAGCAGCTTCAACGCCCGCGAGCAAGGCCGGTACATGTATATACGGCTTTTACAACACCACACACCACACGCCTCTCACTCCCTTGATCCGGCCGAGTACATAGAGTTCGAAACATGACGCCGATTAGCGTCCGATGGTAGCAAGCGCCTACTGAGAGAAAAAAAATCCTCGCCTATCCGTTGAAGTCACGGTGCCATGTGCCTTCGCGGTGGAGCTGCCTGGCTGGAGTCTGGACGGGGGGCAAAGCCGTTGCACGCAAGATCTGGGAGTTACGGGAGTACATGGGCTGTACTTGGGCCATGACGTGCAGGAAAAGAGACATTGTCTCAAAGTGAGTGGCGCTTGATAGGGCGTGGTGCTAGGAAAATGGGTTTACTGTAAGAGAGGAACTACTTGGCTTTTGCTTGTGTCTTTTGCCTTTCTGGCGAACGCTGCTTACAGGCTGAATGATGCTTTCCAACTATCTAACGGTGGATGAGAAAATATTTTGATACTTTACGCAGTCTTTGTTAATAGTCGAGTCCGTTTTTCTTCATTTATCGTGCATGCATATTGTAACTAACAGCGTCAACTGGCGTCCATATCGACTACGGCGAATTATTGCAGATGCTATGGATGCTAGCACTATAACGAGATGCCGTTGTATGTACATGTATGTGCAGGTCCCCAGTTCTGCTGCTACGTACCTGAGGTGGCCCAACTTACAGTGGCTGCTGAAACGGGCACAAACGCAGTGCGGGTGGCGATCAATGCTTGGGCTGGCATGTAACGTTGACTTGAATGCCCGCTACAAAAAGGGCACCTGCGAGTACGATATTGAGGTACATGCCAATGTACCAGATTCCATGCGCTACGCTACGCTACAGCTGGTCGGCAACAGCCCACTTTGGGGCGACAACGCGCGCTGAATCCTGGAGGAGCCGCTGGAATCGGACGGAGCTCATGAGGAGCGACTCCGCCGAACCCGCCAAGGCTTAGTTGCTAAGGTAGTAAGTAGCCGATTCTCAAATCTGCAGTCTGCAGATGGGACAGTCGACACTTGGCCTGTACTACTTGACTACCACCGACTGTAACGCCACTTAGTGCCCTCGGAGCTGCTAATCGGGCAGTACGTACCTCCCTACATGCCAGTGTTGCCACTGTATTCCGAAAAGCGCAGCGAGCCCAGCCGCTTAGCAGCGCGATTGCAATCACTAATCTTGATAGGTAGTCGAGAGCCTCGACTCTTCCGATGCCCCGCCGCGACTATCTGCTGATTAGCCGACATTAAGCCGGATTTCCAACCGCGACGGGCCTCATGTCATGAGCGATGCTCGAGACATGGCTGGGGCCTTCAGCTAAGACGTAGCAGATGCCTTGTTGTGTTGTGTGATCTCGTATAGCCAGACAGCCCACTATCCAGCGTGGGGAAGCATCTCGTCACTTGTCGTGAGACTCTCGTGCGTTGAGCGTCCTCGGCTCGCCTTGCCTTGCGACCAGCAGCGCCGCCGGTGCTTGCTTGCCATGTCCTGGAGGTGATGACGAGCTCGCGTCCTTATCCATAATGGCCAACTCCATCAGCGGCACTTCTGCCGACAAGTTTGAGCTGGATCCGCTATGGCAGAATCTTGATTGGTATGTGCTCTTCTGTTTCTTTTGATCCTTTTCCATCCCTTCTCCGGCGCAAAGCTTCAATGATGCCTGCTGCTGTTGAAGCTCTCCATCTGGCTGTTTGGTCTGGCTGTTTGGAGTCACTACCTGTTATTAGCTAGCAGATTCGCAACGACAACGGTTAACATGTTTTATCTGGTACAGGGCGATTGGGCAGATGCTGCTCATGGGCTGGGATGGCACCCAAGTGACGCCCCAAATCAGAAGCCTCATTGAGGATCACCACCTCGGCTCCATCATTCTGACGGCCAAGAACCTGAAATGTGCGTGATCCCCTCTGTTTAGTATCATCTTATCCGCATGCTTCTTAATATGCTTCCCCGCGCACTTATACAGACCTCTTGCTGTGGATCCGGCCATCTTGCTAACTGGCCAATCAGCGGCGCATCACACTGCAATGCTCGTTCAAGAGCTTCAGATGATTGCCAAGAATTCCGGTCACCCACAGCCGCTTCTCATCGCCGTAGATCAAGAAAATGGCGGCGTCAACAGTCTGTTCGACGAAGACTTCGTCTGCCAGTTCCCTAGTGCCATGGCCATTGCCGCCACTGGCAGTCTTGAGTTGTCATATGAAGTGAACAAGGCAACTGCCACCGAAATCTCAGCCTGTGGTGTTAATCTCATGCTTGGTCCTGTTTTGGACGTTCTTAATAATGCGCGTTATCAAGTTATTGGAGTACGTGCCTCGGGCGATGACCCCCAAGAAGTATCTCAGTATGGACTGGCTGCCCTGAGCGGCATTCGCGACGCCGGTGTGGCCTCTTGTGGAAAACACTTCCCTTCCTATGGAAATCTCGACTTCCTCGGTTCCAATCTTGACGTTCCAATCATTACTCAGACACTGGAAGAGCTGAGTCTCAGCGCTTTGGTGCCCTTTCGAAACGCCATCTCTTCTGGGAAGCTTGATGGCATGTTCATTGGCGGATGTGGCATCTCCAATCCCTCCATGAACGTCAGCCATGCTTGTCTGTCTGATCAAGTCGTCGACGATCTTCTTCGGAACGAACTTGGATTCAAAGGAGTTGCAATCTCAGAGTGCCTTGAAATGGAGGCACTAAGCCAAGACCTCGGAGTCCAGAACGGTGTCGTCATGGCCGTAGAGGCGGGATGCGATATCGTGCTCCTCTGCCGCGCCTACGACGTTCAGTTAGAGGCTATCAAAGGTCTCAAGCTGGGTTACGAGAATGGCATCGTCACGAAGGAGAGAATCTTCACCTCCCTGAGAAGAATCTTTCACCTAAAGTCGAGCTGCACTTCTTGGGCAAAAGCACTAAACCCTCCGGGCATCAATCTACTTTCACAGATCCGCCCCTCTCACCTTGCCCTATCTCGGCGAGCCTATGATGATTCCATCACCATTGTGCGGGATAAAGAGAAGCTGCTGCCCCTCTCCCTTTCGCTGCACCCCGGTGAGGAGCTGCTGTTGCTCACACCGTTGGTCAAGCCACTACCGGCGTCATCTTTGACTAAAAGCTTGCTCGAGTCAAAGAACGACGCATCTTTGATTACCACTATGCATGACAAATGGAGCCACCAAATCCGAGAAAGAAGCGCCATCATGAGCGGAGAAGGAGTCTTTCGAGAATTCGGAAAAACACTAGCAAGATACCGTAATGAGAAGCTCCTACACACAAGCTACACAGCTAATGGAGTAAGACCAGGTAAGAGATACGCTGACGGTAAAGAGGGTTTCCGAGGCATTCACTGACTCTATTATGCAGTACACGAGAATCTCATCAACAGGGCATCATGCATCATCATTTTTACGGCAGACGCGAACAGAAATCTGTATCAGGCCGGGTTTACCAAACATGTTGACATGATGTGCTCTATGCTTCGTAGTAGAGGACAAAAGAAGCAGCTCATTGTGGTTGCCGTGAGCTCCCCTTACGACTTTGCCATGGATAAGTCCATAGGTACCTACATTTGCACATACGACTTTACGGAGAATGCCATGGCTGCTCTCGTCCGAGCGCTGGTCGGAGACAGCAACCCAGTCGGCACCATGCCAGGAACTCTTCGAAAGAGCAAGAAAGTTCTCAAGTCCCGACAGCATTGGCTGGTGGAAGAGTTTGATAGCAATCGGGATCGAAAAGGGTTGAACGACCTCCTTCGGGCTGTGCACCGGGCCAGTGACCAAGATTTCCGGTATTTGCAGACCACAACCTCGGATACCTTTGTGCTCGACAACCAGAACGTGAAAGAGACCCATTTTGTGGTGCGGAACAGTAGTACACAAGCTCTTTACGGCTTTGTCGCTACGTATTTTATCCAGAACGTGGGCATCCTTGGAGCTCTCATTGTAGATCCAACCAAACGGAACCTGTCAATTGGACGATCTCTTCATCGCCGAGCGCTGAAGAGTTTGACCCAGCAGAGAGGCATCAAGAAAGTGCAGCTAGGATCGTGTTTTCCCGCTCTTTTCCTCGGAATCCCTCTCGACATCGAAGTGACAACGACAAAAGAATGGTTCAGCAACAGCGGGTGGGATACTCAGTTCCCACGAAGACTCACAAACATGATTATCCATGATTTGAGTGCCTGGTATGCTCCTGAGGGCCTATCGCAAAGCATTCAGCGAGCCAATATCAGCTTTGACCTGATTTACGGCGTGGAAAGCGGGGATACCGTGATGCACCACGTGCGAACTCACGCAAACCCGGAAGTTCTCGAACTCTACCGAACTGCATTGGAAGAGAGCAAGGCTTGTGGTATTGTGCGAGCCAAGGATGCAGCAGGAAATCTACTAGGAACTATCATCATCTGTAGGCCAAATAGCCCCCTCGCCAGATATGTTCCCCCATTGGTGTCGCTTGGGCAAGACATTGGCGGTCTCCTGGCTCCAATTGTCCCTCCGGCACCTCTTTCGACTTTAGTGCTGCAAGGTCTTGCTTTGATGGGCGTTCGACAAAACAAGGGCCACAAAGCAACCCAGTCAGTACTAAGCTGGGTATGTTCTTCTTGAGCTCATTTGACTTGCTTACCTCCGAATACTAACACGACGCAGGTTGTCGACGATGCTTTTGAGCCTCTTGTGGCTATGGGATTCGATGTTTTGCAGGCATTCGAGGAGATAACGAATTCCCCTGAAATGTAAGAACTACCGTGACTGCCCAAAGTGGAAATGCTGTATGCTAAGCCATGAACAGGTTTCAAACTTGAAGATGGACGATAATTCGCATTGAGCTATGTTACCACTGATACTTACACGGTATTGCTTTCCCTTTGATATTCTTCATCAAAGATATCTTTCCCTATGCAACGCTGCTTGTTTTCCTTGGTACTGGGGTTTGAATGAGGGGTAGTAGTACTGAGCAACCGTTGCACAAGCTTGTCGCTATTCTTTGGTTTTATTCACTGATTTCATATTGGATGCCTGGGGAGCAGTAAGACTACGATTCTATGTATTTATTAGTTATGACCAGTTCACGTGCACTCTCACGCCTTTAGCTATTGATTGTTGTATACTAGGGCAAATTGAACGAAGAAAGTAGGATTGTATCCCCCATCTGGTTTATTGTGGCACGCTAGATCCATAACACATTATTACCATTCTGTTCTATCAAGGTGTCCTCCTTGAAGTCATTATCTGCAACATCTTGCAGCAGGTTCATGCAGTCTTGTCTTCCATGCCTTCGCGCAGAATGGCAACCTGCTTCTTAATTTCCAACCAAAGCACCAGCTCATCCAGTTCCGGGGTCTCCTCCACCGGCCGATCCAGCACCTTGACCCAGTCCTCATCCGCCAAATCCATCGTCATGACCATGGCGTCGTCCTGGGCGTCGTCCTCGTCGCCGTCGCCGGGCTGCTCGTTGCGCGCAATGGCGAGCAGCGCGGCGACAAAGGCCTCCTGCATGTAGGCGAAGCTAAAGTCGTTTGTGATTTCCGCGATGGCGGCGCAGAGCTTGTCGGGGAAGCTGATGGATTTGTTGTCGGCGAGCTTCTTTTGCCAGAAGTGGCAGTAGGCGACGCGTTGGTCAAAGTCTGGGTCTGGGAAGAGGTATTTCCTGTCGAAGCGAGAGGGGCGTTTCTAAACGGAATAAGCATGTATGAGATTGAAGTGAAAGAATGTAGCAGCATTTAGGGCAACTTACAGCAATGCCTGGATCCAATCGTTCGAGATGATTGGTGCTTCCAATCATGAAAATACCGTCGTTGTTCTTCAGACCATCCACCTCGTTCAGGAAATAGCTTCGCACGTCGTCGGTGATGATGGTATCGAGGTCTTCAAAGACGAGATAGCATGGCGCAAACTCTCTTGCCTTTGCGAAAACCATGGCAATGCTTGCCTCTGGCCCCATGTACTGTTTTATAAGTGCCCTCGTCAGCCTAATTTCTGCGGCATAACTACATGGGGTAACAACATACCGATCTTAGAGACCTCACATACAAGGTAGTCACTGGTTGCTTAAGATGGAAAAGCATGTTCATAGTGGCCTTGATAGAGATCGTCTTGCCATTCCCAGGCGGGCCATAGTAAATGATGCCTCGCTTCCACGGCACCTTGAGCCGGTCATAGGTAGCCCTCGATCGGAAGAAGGACAAATGATCCTCAATGAGAGAATTTTTCATCTGCTCGTCAAGAATGACATTCTCCCACGACGACTTCATCGCACTCTGATACAGCTCCGCGTTCTTGCTCCACCAGCCGCCATCAAATACCCAAAACTCTTCATGCAGCTCGCTGCTCCATCGGCCGGCGGCCAGAATCAGCTGCTCAGCCAGCTCCTCGTGCGTGGAGAGCACGTAGAAGTTTGTGATTTGCGGGTAGGCGCTGGCTCCGTCACGGCCGCTGACCAGGTAGACGATGAAGTCCTTGTCCTTCCACTGGTACAGGTACTTCTCAAACAAGGTTTCATTTGCAATGACGCCTAGATCGCCGTCCATGCGCCTTCTGGGCGGGATGTAGATCTTCCATGATAGCGAGGACGGGACATGAGCGTCGTCGTCGTCGCCTATGGGAGTGAATTTGGCGTGGCCGCTTGATGCGTAGGCCAGCAGATTGCATGAGTCTGCCGGGGCGATGGAGAGCGCGAGATTGGGATATTGTTGGCGCAGCGACTTTGCGATGACGGCGTCGGTGCTGATGCGTTTCGCGCCTGTGTGAGAGAAGAACTGGCGGGTGGTCTCGTCATGGCTCTCATGGCTGGAGACGTGCTCCAGAGAGTCTCGATTTCTACGTGCAGCGCCGTCCATTGTTTGGCTCAATTGACGAGATGATGCTCTTGTTGGCGGAGTTGCGATCCGAGGGATTGAAGGTGTCAGAGATGCCAAGTCAGTAGCACGACGGTGAGAGGAGCGAAGTGACGGTGGCGGACAAGGATTGACGCACCAGCCTCACTTGTTTACGTACCATGAAGGTGGTTGGGCAATACGAAGCCGTGCTTATGAGATGCTACTGCACCCGAAGGTTCAGGGATTAAGCGTACATGTACGGAGTACATTGATTGCTCAGTGGACGTAAATGGATAGCACGGACGCGGGATCGCGGAGATGGACTTGATTGGAGACGGTCGAAAACTAAAAGCAACGTCGTCGGTAGAAGCCATTGGCCCGCGTATAAATACGCTCATCAGCATAAAACTTAAAAAAGATGAATACGGAGACTACATGTAGAACTAAACAACCCTAGAAAAGATACAGGCGGGATCAATCGATTGAAGCATTTTATAGCATGTTCCTTGGTATGGGTTGATGGAATTACCTCTTTCGGGAAACTACATGTACAGATGTAGTGCTACCATACATGGCTTAATATTGCATATACCCTACACGACCAACAACCTCACAAGATTCTACATCTCCCACAAATTTAGATACAGCTCCATTCTCACCAGAAATCAATCAAAGGCATTTCGTGGCCCTCAAAAACGCGCCACGCCTTTTACATCTTCTTTCTCGTCGTCAATCTCACCCTCAGGTCACTGCCCTCCTTGATCGACATGATGCCAATTATCGGCTTACCCTCTTCTGCCGTTGGAATTGGCTGAAAACCGTCCATCTCGATATCAAACCTCTGCAACAGCATAGCAACAAACAATAAGACCGCTCTCTTAGCCATGTGTCGTCCCGGGCACATCGTATTTCCGCCTCCAAACGGTCTCCAATTGTTAGTCTTCGTCAAGGCCGCCTTCTCCAGGAAACGCTCGTGATCAAACGAGTCCGCCGTCTCACCAAAGATGCCCTGGTCAAAGTGCAGTTGGCGGAACGGTATCATGAGCCTGTTGCCTTTGCGCAAAACTTTGCCTCCGATGACGGTATCTTTGGTGATGAAGCGTACCGAGGCTGCATAGCTGGACATGCGGATGGTTTCATTCCACATGGCATTGAGCTGGGGGCATTGATTGTGCAAATATTCGAGATCAATCTTGCCCTCTTCATTGAAGGCGGCTTTTGTTTCGTCGCGGATCACTTGGGTGAGTGAGGGGCCGTGGAGGATGTAGCTGAGCATCCAAAAGGCAACTTTGCGTGTGCTCGTGCTGATTCTATAATGCATGTTAGTCTCGATGAATGAATATTGAATAGCAGTATGACAGGGGCATAGAAAAGAAGATTGGATAGTAAACGTACGCCCAGTATATAGTCATGAACATGGTTGCAATGTCATCCTCGCTAATATCTAAAGCCCGCATCTCGTTCTCCATGGCTTTAGTAAACCAAGCCTCACCAGATCTCTGGCTCTGAGGCAGCTGGATATACTTCTTCAATGCACGCTGGATGACATCCCTGGACCGCTTCATCTCTCCAGCGAGGAAATCGGGATACTGGTAGAGGACTTGCCAACTAAGATCATCAAAAATGACAAATTCTTTGGCAAGAGTATCATCGATTTGGCCGAGCTCATCTCCGAAATACGCCCTCTGGCCCGCACTGGTGAAGATATCGGAGCACCATTCCATAAGAGGGAGCACAATGTCGACGTCGGTCGACTTAATAGCATAAGGACAAGCACTATGCAGTTTTTCAATATCCATGCGCACATCAAACCACTCTAGGAAGGAATTCTCGAGAAAATTCAAACCATCCCCTAGAAGTAACTGCCGAATATGCATATTCCGCGACAATGTCGCCAGCGATTTTCCTCGTGGGTTCGCAAAACCCCCCTTATTCGATGGCAGTGGTGTGTACATTGCTTGGATGCAGGACTCAGTGTTCCCGCAAGCCCGCATCAATGCTTGGACGAACTCATTGAAGGATAGGCTATTCATATTTCGGTACGCATCAGAGACGTCCTTGGGCTTTGTGATGACGTATATTTTCGATCCGGCGATGGTCAATGCAAACGGCTCGTTGTTGTTACCGAAATAAGCCCTGTGGTAAAGGAAGTGCTTAGCTCAATATCATGTGCATTGGATATGGCGTATATCACAATTTCTCACCTGGCTCGAGTTATCAAGGCATTAGAGTTGTTGAAGAAGGCTTGTGCGTGGCCTGAATATGAATTGTGTCAGCCGTTTCTGAAGTTTGCCTCTGGCTAACAACTTGTGCAGCTTACCCAAAACTATAGACAGCAATTAGCAAATGAGTCTTCCTCCGAGTATTAAAAGGACAGAATAAACATGAAGAAAGAAGTAGGGGTAATTGAGTGGCTTACTAGGAATGCAATACGGCAATTCTTGTGGATCGTCTGGGTACATTCGAGGAAAGACAGTGAATCTCCCAAGTCTCCAGAGTAGCCATCCAGACATCAACGCAAAGGCACTTAAAACTAGAACAAAATTGTCCTGAGAGCCCTTCAGAAGAGGGCTAGATGCCGATATCACCTGCCAAGATAGTATAATGAGTAGCATGGTGGTTTGGGGCTTTGGAAGAACACTTGATAGGGAAAGAAGAGAAACTGACTGTCGTATAGGATATATGAGAAGGGGATCTCTTATAAGGAATACAATAGGCCTAGTACTCACCAAATACATGATAGTGCGTGTTATATTTAGCTAATTTTTCTCAACCAGATTGTCAAGGCCACATTTACCAAGAACTGTGCCAGAAGTACGGTGCACATCAGTGTTCTTTTGTCCCCAGGGCCGTAGGCGAAATCACATTTCGGTCCGCCGTAACGGTAGCATGGTTAGAACACTTTCCAATATCTGGCCCGTGAGGAATCCGAACGTACGGGTCGAGCGCACGGGACGGACCACCGGCAGAAGGAGCCGGTTACTTGGCAAAAGAACGCCGCAACGCCACTATCACCAACTAGTTTACAAATTATAGGCATTTGTAGTAGGCAGAAGCTCTTTCATTGACCCAGCTACCCGGCTAGTGGTGTTTGCTGTATGTTGACCAGGGGCTAGATGTCATCTCAGCCGCTAGGCTGTGCCCGAGCAAACAGACAGGGCTGGTCAATATCAAGGTTCTAGCCCCCTGCATCAGATTTTATCTACCGAAGCTTTACTCGAATTAGATATTTTCTCTTTGCACATCATAATGTACCTATGGTGCGGTGATTCAATGATTAAAGCATGGAAAACCGATAGTATACCTGTTTCCAGCCTTCTTAGGCCAAGAAGAAGATAATGGGAGTCTACTGGGCAGCCTATTCAGCTTATCCCCATAGTCCGTGAACTCCCCATAACCAGGTCTCAGCCATGCCAACAAAATACGCCAGTGAATTCATATCAAACATCTCTTCTTACTTTGTGTTTGGAATGATCCAGACTCTCAGCCAGGGCCCTTGCCTGGCTGACGCTCCTCTCCCTCAGCCGCAAATCATGCCATGAGGGATGCCTGGATGTTAACCAATCCGCGCAACTCCTTACTGCGCCTCAAATTTCCCGGTTCGTCTGTGGAGTGATGATGTGTGAGTCTAAGGGCGCTGTGCGCAGCCGGCACTTATGCAGCCTCTTTCTGGGGGATCTAAAGTACAATTGCCGGTATCACAATCTCAACCGATGAACTTGGGCCGTGCTTGCGGGGTATGTGCTATGTAAATGGGTCTTGTAGCAGCAAATGAAGACGATAGGTAAAGTGAAATGGGCAAGTTGTGGGAACATGTAATAACTTGGAAGCTTGTAGTGCCGTAATGGGTAATGAATAAATGTATATGCTGTGCGCACCACGTATCCTGCAATAGTGCCGTTCTTGACTGAAGGATTCGAGCATAGCTCGGCTAGCTCTGTAATAACTGATCTATCATTTGTAACCGAATGGATGGTAATGCCTGTCTCTTTGATTCGTACTGTCAATACCAGGGCTGTGGAATGAGAGTAGGTTAGCGAAGCGAACTATCCCCTTTGGCTGGGGCTATGTATGGGTGTGAATGTTAGATAGAAGCTCCTGACAAGATTGAGAAACTGGTTTGCTCACAGAGACGTGAAAAGTGCCTGTGTGCCAGGATGAGAGCCTGGAAATATGCGTTGATTATGTTGTAATGTAAGGACGATCACTCTTCTTAAAAGGGTTTCCCCTCAAAGAAGCCATTTCCGAAGTCGATGCTTTGTAATTATTTTCTACTTCTTACAACCCTTGAAAGCTCTGTCTCCCACTGAGCTCCTCCAAAAGATCGAAGTGGCAACATGTCTGTCACTGCAGATATCGCCCCTCCTATTTTAAGACTGACCACCCTGATGGCATACAAAGAGAAGCTGCTTGGAGTCACGCTTTTACTTGCAATCTTAATCGTGGTTCAGTTCCAACGGATCAGAACGGTCAGTCAGCACGGCAGATTTCGCGATTAAAGGGATGCTGATTTTACTATATCATGCATATGTAGGCAATTTCGTTCTTGATTCGACGCATTCAAGGCCTCTTGTATCTTTTCTTTGGCCCCGAGATTATCGATCATGCATATAAGCAGGTAAAGAGTTTGCAAGATGGCATATGCAAACATTCACTCGCGATTCTGACACGGCACAGGCCAAGGGGAAAACCTTCAAAGTTTCCACTCCATCCAACGACCATCTTCTCATCACGTCTACCGCTCTTATCAGGGAGCTCATAAATGCGCCACTGCAGCACTTATCGCTACATGCGGTAGCTAAAGAGGTATGCGGTGCAATAATAAGCGTGGCAGCCTGCATGTCTAACAGAGAAAGCAGATTCTGCAGCCCAAGTACACAATGTGCGGTTTTGAGTTGCACGATAACCGTGGAATTGAAGGCACGGGATATGTCCGTGCTCTCCGAAGCCTTCTTACTTCCCACCTCCCGAAATTCCAACCCGATCTAGAGCGTATCATGAAGGATGCTCTGGAAGCTGGGCTGAGCGAGGTCCGACCAGACGGTATTGAAGCTAATAACACCCGTACAAGTTTCCATTGTGTCTAATTTAATATGACAGGCTTTGCGCATGTGAAAATTTTCCCTTTTATGAAGACTCTTGTCACTAGAGTCAACTGCTTCGTCTTCTTTGGTGAAGAGCTCTGTAAGAAATCCGTTTCTTCTTAGTATCAATGGAAAAGTCAGCTACATACTAACGACGGCTACATGAGGATAGCCCAAAACACCGAATTTACCTCAGCAGCTTTAGAGTTACCTCAAGCAGTCGTCTTTGCGGCAGAGCTTTTGCGCATAACCCCGGAATTCATGCGGCCATTGGTAGCATCCATAGCTACAAATCGACACAGAGCCGCGAGAAGGATCTACCACTATCTGGTGCCAATTATTGAGCAGCGACTCGCAGTTAGAGAACTTCAGTCTTCTAACGAGGCTACACCTGTACGTAAAAAAATTGCCAGCCTAATTGGTGTGTGACTGCGTATAACTGACACAACATAGACGGACTGCATGCAGTGGCTGATTGACACGTCGCCTCGCAAAAACCTCTGGACGCCTGCGAAAATAGCAGGAGAAATTATGGCGGTTTGGTTTGGATCAGTTCATCAATTGGCCATAGTATGAGAGACTCCCGCCTCCCATGTTGCGTTTTTTTAGCACGCTGACGCCGTTGATTGTTGGTAAGACGTCAACATATGCAGTTCAAGATCTATGTCTACACACTGAGTTCGTTGAGCCATTGAAGAGGGAGATTCGAGATTGCTTTCATGTGAAGAATTCTCCAAGAGATGTTGATAGACTACCTCTTCTTGACAGCTTTATCAAGGAATCAGTTCGCAGCAGCAACTTCGATGCCAGTAAGTCAGCTACATTACCATTACAAGATGACGGCCACCGTCAAGAATTCTGGCTTACAGTGGTCCATAGTTACGTGTCGACGCAAGGCTCTCGTCCCGTATACTTTTCAAGACGGTTCATCCATCAATAAAGGCGACTGGGTATGTGTCCCCCAACGGGCCATGATGCAAGACAATACAAGATACAGAGATCCGCAGATATTCGATGGCTTCAGATTCGCGCGTGCCAATGTCCAACTACAGCAGCACAGGCAATCTGCTGACGTGCCTGATCAGCGGGAGTCCAAATTTACTGACACCAGCCCCGATTGGCCAATATGGGGAATTGGAAATGCGGCTTGGTGAGTAAAAGATTTCAAGGATAGCGGTTGAGGCGTTATCTTGTGCTAACAAAGGAAATGATTTTTGAAAACAGCCCCGGCCGCTTCTACGCTTCGCTAGTGACCAAGCTCATCTTGATCCACATCTTGGAGGATTGGGAATGCAAGATGCCGGATCCTGAAGCACCAAGATCCATGACCTGGAGGTCGAGCATCGTGCCCCGGAGCAGCACTATCATCATGCTCCGCAAGAAGGAGCTTCAGTGATGAAGGCATCACCATTCTGTGTTATTCTTTTGTCATATTTCATTGTGATGAAGCAATAAGTCGCACTTGATTAGATATGTATCTCACCACATATACTTATCCGTGCTCTGTTAAAACACTTGGACTTCTGTTGTCGAATCTATTTGCATATAGTATTGTAATAATGTTGGCTTCATATGGCCTTCTCCGTACTACTGGTGACATTCTTTCATCCATTCATTCTATCATTGACTCTCCCTTATGGCCATTTGCAAAACGAAGCGCTCGTAACAGCGGTCATGACGTTCTATACAAAGTTTACCGTCTTTATGTCTCACAGCCATATCAGCCTCACTTTAGATACATGACTTCTGATTCGCTGGGATGCTTCGGCGGACATGTGCACAGACTTACACGCAAGGCCAGTCTGGTATCCGTGCCCCCTCCCTGCAGACGATCTCATCCACAACTCCCGAATGTGGCCACTGATCGTTTAGGACAATGAAAGTGAACCAGTGAGGTAACAAATGCGCAAAAGGGTGGCCACGGGAGGGGCCTAATGCAACGCAATTGCCGCTAATAGCATCAATTACCTTTGGAGCGCTGCGCCACGGCTGGCTGGAGCCAATCCCATAGTCACAACCTTCTGGATGAATATGCGAGGGGCTTGTATTCATTTCTATTCTTCTCATGCTGGAGGCGTCTAAGTTGCGGGAATCTGTCTGGTCCATGCCTTTGTCATGTACGACGTGACCTGCCAAGTGAATCAGTTTGGTGTTGTGCTAATGACACTAGCAAGTCGTACCCGGTGCCCCGGTAATGGAAATCTGCAGCAAGGTCTGTGCTTGAATCTATTGTAACGTACAAGGTTCATACGAGACACGATCGAGTACACGTGGAGCATTTATAGGTGAGTCTGATGCTTGATTGATGAGATGAAATAAGCTCTGCGGATCATCCAACGTGAAATTTATGCCCAATTAATCATACCCATATGAGTAGATTGTATTAATTGCTATTATTATTTAGAGGTATGGGGAAAGCTTCTCTGTATATGGTTTCAGCTCCTAGCAACATACCTTTGGCTTACACCAGAGCTGGATTGCTCTTCTATATACTCATATCCTTTGCATTTGATTTTCAGCTTTGATTCTAGCTGAAAACATCCCCGAGTCTGGGCGATTTCCTACTTTTGAGTTTGGCCACTCCATATCTAATCCGGAACATGCACACATACACATCCCCCGCACCAGCTTGCAAGCCACCAACACCAACGTGCGAAGAAGGGAGAAGAAGAAAATGAGAAGGCAAAGCCGATCGCGCTAGGCAGTTTGAAGATCCAAGTCTCAGTTATCTTCATATTTCACTCCCGCCTCATTCGCAGCTCGATGTAGTACCGTTACCAAAGCAAATACCTTATAAATTGTAAGGGAACAGCATCAAAGCGGTCTGTATGAACCACTATGAAAGTTTTCAGTTCTTCAAATATATCAGTCACATGAAAACATTTTTATCGGTGAAAGAAGCTTGAATATAGACGCTCTGGGGGCTTGAGAGTAGCTGAATCGGCTAATACGTAAAACGCCTTCCACACTGTTATTCAACCAACACCACTGCTATTTTTTTTTAACTTTTCATTCAATCTGCCTTGATTCATCAGCTGTAACTCTCCAAAGACTAGCTGCTTCTCTCTGAAGATTTAAAAAGAATGGGATCTCAATGCCTCGGTTCCGGAGGGGCGAACTGGCTGCTTGTCCGCTACATTTACTCTATTCATCAACATTCGCCTATTATTGCCCCGGATGTAACTGCAATATATTTTCTGGCTGGTATCGTCTGATGCTCGGGAAATACTAACCCATCAATCCACCGCTTCAGACCTGCTGCTTCACGACAGCAGACGACAAGCGGGAGACCGCTGCTCTCGAGTAGCCTCAACTAGGGAATAAAAGAAAAGCCGATCAAGACAAACACAGAGGAAGAAACAACCTGTAGACAAAATGAGCAATCTCACAATACCCGCAGGTTCAGATCTCTGCCAACTCCCTGCAGCTATACCTCCTCCCGGTGTCGTCCCTAATTTCGTCAACCCTGAATCACTTGCGGGAGGTATCGTCGCAACCGCGGTGGTCATGCTCACATGGTCGTCAATATTTGTTGCTGTACGGATATGGATGAACTGGCGCAATTTCAAGTTGGTAGACTGTAAGTCTTGGTACTGAGCAATACTTAACAATACAATGCGAGCTGACTACCTCACCACAGACTTTGCCATCATCGGCTGTATTCTCAATGCGGCCTATACAGGACTTCTTCTGTCAGGTATCTTGCACTCATGGCGCAAATTTTGCGGACAAATGCTTACCTTGTTTTAACAGTAAATAGGTATGCACGGCACCAGTGGAATGTCCCTATATGCTGGTACACTGCAACATACATGAAGCTCATCTTCTCATTTGGCATGTTGCTTGGTCCAGCCATCTTCTTCTCCAAGGCTGCCATCTTGCTGCTCTATCTTCAAATCTTCTCCGCGCATAGGGCCATGCGCATATCCGTCTATATTGTTATGGTTCTCCTCGTTCTCGACTACTGGGCCGGCGAATTTCTCGAGATTGCCTTTGCGGCGCCACGACCTGGTGAGAACTGGACAACACTCTTGACCAATGGGAATCCCGGCAAGCTCGTATATTGGGGACCTGTTCAGGGGGGGTTGGCCCTCTTCATCGACATAGCCATCTTCGTACTACCACTACCGATACTGTGGAGGCTCAACATGCCCCTCAGAAGACGCATTGCCTTGTGCGCCGTCTTCTTCACTGCCTTGATGTAGGTGTTCAACTATGACCGTGGTAACAAGTATGTGTGTGTGCGCTAATACAGGGTCAACAGGGGAGTTATCGCCAGTATCATTGCACTTTGGGCTCGTGTTAAGTTGCTTGGTACGCCGGACCTCACCTGGCTAGAAGCCCAACTCTTTATTTGCATGTAAGTAGTGTGACGCCAGCCATTAACATCCCACCGTTCCGTCTAACAAGCGTGTCTGTACAGCATTGTCGAAAACAACGTCGCCTTGATAGGCTGTTGCGTGCCCGCCTTCAAGAATATGTGCAAGAAGCACATCGCCCCAAGTCGTGCATGGAAGGCATTTATATCCATAATACGCCGCAGACACCGCAGCGCAGGCGGCGACGAAGGAGGCGATAGAGACATTGAGAAGGGCGGCAACGGACGTTGTGGTGGCCCTCAACTTGCCCAAGGCAATGTAAACAGGGACAACTCCAAAGAGTCGACCTATGAGAACGAGGTTGCTTCAGAGGGAAATCTCGAGAGCTTCGTATCTCACGGACAAGGTGCCGGCAGTTACGAATCCAGCAGCTATTCGTCACGAGTAGTGCAGATTCAGGGAGGCGTCAAAGACGAGAATGGAGTACCCGAGTTGGCAAATACGGCTGCAAATGGAATCGTCCGAAACGTTGATATTACGCAAGAGGTTCATCCCGAGCATATGGATTAGAAGCGGCTGCATATTGCGACTCAATATCTCTTTGCATTTTAATTATTCCTTTCCCTTTTCATTGTGTGACCCATTCACTTTATTGATGTGATATATTTTGACATTCAGGCGTGGGCTAGATACTATAATAAGAGCTATTGTTACACTTTGAGTGTAGTTTCCTCCATGTGGAAACCATTAACACCTGTACAAGATCCCATCTATGGCACATGGTATGTGCTATTAAGTTGATTTTCAAACCTGAGATGATATTAGCACACACATGGAAGCACCCTACTGGTCACGATAAGGCTGGCCATCTTCATCAAAAAAGCTGGAGCAGATCCAAAAGTTGGAGCAGATCCGTCTCGTCCATGTCAGCGCTAGCGGGAAGATCGTAGTCGCTACTGAGGCACTTACTCGGCCGCTAAGGGCATTGGCAGGTTGATGGTAAATATGGCCTCCTCTCGTCTGTGTCGTTACGGCTGTGGATAAGGGGCGTTGCCTATGGTTAGCTGTACATGTATCTGTTAGTATGGTAAACCACCTTAGCTCCCTTGAAGCCAATCTTTCTCTCAGAGAACGCTGCCTTTGCTGGTTGCATTAAATAATTTATTTGCACCAGATATAGCATGAATGAATGGTTCATGAATCCAACTGTATCTTCATCTAAACTTACAGATGCGTTGAACAACTTATAGATACGATTCATGTACATCGGGTCCAAGACTGCCCAGCCAGAAAACAAGTGAACAAAATCTGAGGAAAATAGCTGAGTCGAACCTTATCGGCAAGGATCTCCCGCTGTTGGTTCTGCTTTACACAAGCGGAACCATCTCGAAGCCAATTGTCATCCAAGGCCGAGAGCACGCACTTCGAGGCCAAGATGCTGACCCTGGTTGGTGTTCCCGCAATCCTGGTTGCCGTCTATGTCGCAGTAGCATGTTTGTTCCAAGCGATCAGGATGTTTATCAACGTGGGGCTATTCATGAAATTGCTTCCTTGCTGCGCTGTCACGTCGCCATTCTAGTCACTTGAATGGTTCCTTGTAGGCTTGTTCCTTTGAATCCTTCAAGCTCGAGATGAAACACGGTCAAGACCACATGAATCTACCTCACGCTGAGCCCAGTTTTAATTGCGGAGAAGTTCCCAACCCCGGCGACAGCTGCGAAATCAAGTAATAATAGCTAAACAATTGAGGGGAATGACACGGGGCGAGCGAGATTCGGTTAGGACATGTCGCGAGCCAACGCCGATGGAGAGTGACGGGAGGATTTCTTGGTAGTCAAAGTGCATTCCCCTGTACCAGTACTGTAACTCTGTAGCGAAATGGGATAAGAATGCGGAAGGATTGAAGATTGAAAATCTCGCATTTATCGCAGCGCAGCACTCTCCTCCCACTATGGCCGCTATCCATCCTCAATTTAGATGCGGTTCATTTTTCTCTTGTTTTGCTTACCCATCATCGCATAGCCATGGCTAAGAAACTCACTATTCTCATCACCGGCTGTTCTGCCGACGGCATTGGTGCCGTTCTCGCGCTCACTCTCGCCAAGCAAGGCCACCACATCTTTGCTACTGCACGCAATACTTCCAAGATCCCCTCTGAGCTCAGCAACCTCCCCAACGTGTCTGTAATAGCCCTGGATGTTTCATCCAATGAGTCCGTTGCAGGGGCCGCAAAGTCAGTCGAGGAGGCTGGACACGGTCTAGACGTGTTGGTGAACAACGCAGGATTTGGATACACGATGCCAATTCTAGACGTGGACATTGACAAGGCGCAAAACCTATACAATGCGAATGTCTGGGGAGTGGTGAGAACTGTTCAGGCATTTGCCGGGCAGTTGATCGAAAGCAAAGGCCGAGTGGTCAACATGAGCTCTGTCGGTTCTGTAGTCAACACTCCGTGGATTGGTAAGCCATCCAGCATAGATGATATCTTGTTACGTTTTCACTCATTTTCCGAATCCGTAACAATAAGGCTACAAATTACAGTGATTAACGCAGCAGCTTCTCTCAGGAACTTATGCCTCCTCTAAAGCTGCCATCAACAGCATATCCGAGACGCTTCGCTTGGAACTTTCCCCCTTTGGCGTGAGCGTTGTAACCATCCTGCTTGGCACCGTCGCCACGCCGTTTCACGCAAATGAGCCGATTCCTGATCTTCCCGCAACGTCTTACTACGCCACTATCCTTGAGACAATCACCAAGTGGGCCAAGAATGAGCTCGGCCCCAAAGGAGGGTCTACACATGAGCTCGTCAATTCTATCGTGCCAGATATCGTGGCGAGTGGCAGAAACGGAATAGTATGGAGAGGGGCGTACAGCGGAATTATTTGGTTTGTGACGCGGTGGCTACCAGTAGGGATACTTGTGAGTTTACATATGATTCCCATCTACATGATACGTCACTTTTAATAGGTATATAGATTTACTCGAACAGCATGCTAATCCGGCCTACCCTTTCAGGATGCGATGATGTCTAATGACCAAGGTTTGGACGTCCTGGCCAAGAACTCAGCCAGGTCCTGAGGAAAGCGAGGTGAGATTACATACTGTGAAAATGGTGTAGCTCACATTTAACGATGTTGAAGGAGACTGGAAGAGAGCAGACGAGGTTTACCGAGGTAGGGTTGCGGAGTTGCGGATTTACTTTGAAGCTTTGTAGTGAAAAGACAAAGGCGTTCTTTTCTAGGACGCACGTCACATTATTCCTAAGTCCGGTATTATAATTTTTAAGGTTAATTCAATTCACCCAAAATACATCCTTCTTACAAGTAAACCCCTATTGGATGACAATTGCACCTCTCCACTCTCTCACAGGAATCCTCCTCAGAAACTCCTCATTCGTAAAACACCTATCCAAGTCGACCTCCGGAATCGTTAACTGCAGGGTCCCAACTCTCTCCCACCGCGTCTCAAACGAATCAGACTCAACCCTCCGCAGCGTCAAAAACCTTGCCCTGCCATGCTCTGCACGGGGCCGTTGAGCTGCAAAAATGAGCACGCTGATGAGCTCCCCAGTATCGTGCTTTCGAGTCCAATCTTCTTCTGTTATTGAAATGGACATGCTGACACAAGCAAGCCTGCCGGCGATGCGGTACCACTTCTTATCCCATTCTTGTCGTTCGGCCTGGTAGCGGCGGGTTTCGCCCGCTCTACCAGCTAAACGTCTCCATTCCCAGCTTCCTTTGACTTCATGCCTCACCGTATACTTCAATACCAGAGGGTTCCGTACTTCAAGTAGCGTAGGGGTTTCCGCCTCCAACACCTCCGTGGAATACAGATTAAGCAGCCGTAAGCACACCGGCTCGCATGCCGATCTTAGATACAGATCTGCCGCCCATACCAGGTGAATCTGCAGTGACTCTGCTGTGATAAGATCGCTCATGAAGACGCTGTGCTCGTCTGAAGGCGGAGCTCGCCATGATACCGTCCCTTGCCACCCTGCCCATGTCCAGGATGGCAGATGCGTTCTGCGAGGACACTCTTCGGCAATGAACATTTGATGCTCTGTGCCGCTGCGATGGTACCATGAACAGACCGAAAGGGCAAACGTGATATAAGAACCCGTCAAGTCACATAGTATGTCGTCCATCCACATTGGAATGCCAAGGTATATACACAGTCTCTTGTCTCTGTACATGCCGGCGATGCCAAGAAATGCTTTGAGTGAATCTCCGCCATGACTCAACTTTCTCGCGGAAAAGGCACGGATGTGATCATCCAGGGCTCGTAGTTGCGATCCAATAGATGCTTCGTCCGGAGCAGGAAACCCATATTCCAGCCGGTATTCATCGGTTTGTATAACGTCTCGATGATGATTGCCAATCTCTAAATCTCCGCCAGACGTCTCACTCTTGAAGATTCCTCCCAAAATATAGTCCTCCATATGTTGTCCATTGGGTATCTGAGGCGGCATCTCTCTCCTTCGCGAACCGGTGGCATTCTCCGCGAAAATGTGATTTTTGTGAACCAAGTCTAAAGGCATCTGAAGGCTCTCCTGGGTAGCCATGCAACGACATTCCCAATACGCCTGGTGGTCAGTAAATACTAGACGTCGGTTCGACAAGACACCTTCCTGGTATGTCCATCCTCTCGTCCAATAATCGGATGCCAGAATCTCTTGGCGGGGATCTTGGAGTGCAGAAACTAAAAGACTCCCACTTTCTAGTAGAATCTTGGGTTGACTTTTCCGAGGCATCGATCGTATCCCAGGGAGACCATCGCTGGCCCCAGACCCAGAGGCTGATACAATAGTGAGTTCGGCATATTCGTAAATCGTAGTCATTCGGGTTATGAGATAGTCCTTTTCCACAGGATCAGACTGGTTGATGCATAATCGATCAACCCACAAGTATCGCAATCCCAATTTACGAGATACCGCAACAGCATCAAGAACTGTTGCGGGCCAGTCAACCAAGTCTTCCGGTCGTTGACCCCAGACATAACTGAGCGCGGCATATTCAACTCCCCAGGGCATTTCCACCACTGCTGGCGGATCCTTCTCGCAGTCAATTACACGAAATCCTCGAGTAAGGGTATCGCCCTTATTCGGTCGACTGCAGGAGTTCAAGTGCCATTTTTGGCAGAATGAGAACCACTCTTGTAAAACAGTGAAATCGGCTGTTTCACTGAGATGCCTCGCTTCTAATAACGCGGGAATATCCTCCTTGGTATTGCCAGGCTGCAAAAGGTAAATTGGTCCAACAGCTGGGATGTCTTTATCCAGCCAATTATCGCCATGACCCGACATTGGTATAGACGGAACATCTGGCACTACACCCATCCATACCGTATCTCGTGCATTGTGCCAAGCAGGACTCTTCTTCAATTTTGAGAGGCCAAATATCCAACTCTCGCTGCTGCAAAACCCAAGAAGCTTGTATTTTGCATGACGCTTATCCGGTTGGATCCTCATTGACCAAAAGAAGCGGCATAAAGGGCAGGTTGCCCTCGCCGATAGGCGACTCCCGAAAGAATGCGCAAAGAAGGCATCTCCGTAAAATAAAGGACCGGCGTCGCGCCCGTGGTAAAGTTTTGAAGGGCGCTTGATTAGACCTTTTCTGGCTCTCTTGAAGTCTTTAGAGGCTTTGCCGAAGAGACCGTCGATGTCAAGCAGCTTGCATTCTTGGCAGAGATTAACGGCGTGATTTGTTTTCCGGCGTTTATGTCCATTTGCAACGTTGAGCGTGTCTGATGAACCAGGATCGCCCTCATCTGAGTTGTCGTCGCGTCGTCTTTTAGAATCCATGGCTTCGAGTTGCTGTAAATATTAAAAGTTATAAAATGAATTAACCACAATAATCTACATCCAAACTAGCGGGAATACAAGGGAATCTCTCATGGTTTTATCGCAAGCAGATGCCAGGATGCCATTGCGACGGTGGTGTGAGTGGTTCTCAGCAATAGCGCGGGAGGCTTACAAGGCATTTTAAGAGAGTCCGATGATAAGTTGCAGGGGTCTTGAGCACAGCCAGCGGCCGTTAAAGAGGCCATCTGGATATTTCGGCAGCACACATAAACTGAATGCAGTGTTGTTGAAAATACATCGACAGCAGTGCCAATACATTAGTAGAGCTTCTACATATACGTAGCCTTGGCGCGGAATATGCGTTATTGGGTAATCGTTCTCTTTTCGATTTTCTCAGGAGCGCGGATGTGCGTAATTGAGGATCTAGATGATGTACAGAGTACATATGTACTTTGGAACGCTTTTGTTTCAATGGACTCAGCCTCAGTTTAGGCAGGGCGCAATCTATTATGCACGATCGCGATGAATCGGGACCAACACCGATTGCTCACAATCCTGTTGGTCGGCATTTGACAGCGCGTATATATTATCACACCATCATTTGAATGTAGGTGTCAGGCAGGCGTTCCATCCAAAGAGGCAGCCCGATAAGTGTTTAACAACTTTATAATAAAACATTATGTGCCACAGTTATCGAAAGCGACATCTAGACGTTCACAATTTCCCACGAAATAGGAAGCTGATGAAGGAATCTTTAATAATAAACAAGGCTTGGCATGGTTGGGAAAACACGGTCAAACGAATGGACAAATAGTCATGCCTCGCGTTGCTTGGTTTCTTTCTGTCATCACAAAGATAAACTATTTACGCTGAATACATGGATTACTACAAAAAGCCCGGTCCTTCAAGAATGACTATGTAGATATCACTGCTGGAACGCCTAGTTCAAGGACCCTTGTACATTCAACCCAAACGCTCAATTCTTTGCAAACTCCTCTATAATCTCCTCCAGCGTCCTCGTCAACTCATCTGGCATCGACAGAAACGGGCTGTGCGAAGAATCCAGAGTCTTTACCGCCCACTCGACTCCCGATCGAGCAACAAGGTGATCTTGTATCTTGACAGGCAGCGCATTATCTTTAAGACAGCGGATGTACGCGCGGCGACCATCATAGGACTTGTCTTGCCATCCTACCGCTGACGGCGCTGACTGCATGGCTCGTACGGAATGTGGCTTTAGCATCGCCGTAGCGCTGCGAGCTATCTCGGCTGAACAGTCGTTGTAAAAGGTCTCTTCTTCATCTAGCGTGTAGAGGAGTCCTTCAGTTTCGGCCTGGGGTTAAAGAAAGTCAGAACTATCAACACAGAGAAAAGAAGAAGAAAAAGGATACTAGTTTTGATCTGCCAAGACGAAAAATATGAAGAGGGAAGCAACAGTAGTTACCACTCACCTTGTCTCTATTAACATATGGCGACAACTGCCCATTTCCAAGTTGAGTGATCGACTCATCCTGCAGAGGCATAAGAGCCGCCAGATACACAATGCCAACGACGCCCCCCTGCAATCCCAGCGCTTCTCTGCTCCTTTTATCTAGACCAGGGTTCGCGACGAGTCCCGATGTCACCATGCCCCCGTACGAATGGGCGACTATGAGGACATTTCTCCCCTCATCGACGAGAAGTGTGAGCACAGCTTTCACTTGTGCTTCGTCGTCTTGCACAGAGATGCCTGCAGTTCCAACACTGCGAAGTGAGACGGCTTCAGCGGAAAATCCTGCTGCCTCCAACGATCGGACAAATGTGTCCAAGGTTGAGCCTGGGTGCCATGCTCCGGGGATGAGGAGAATATGAGGCTTGAGAGGAGAAGAAATGACAGCCATTGTTGCTACACGGGGAGTGCTTGATGAATATGTCTTGTGCGTGCTATCGAGTTCTTGTGGAGAAGAATCAGAATTTGGTGAGTCTTTTGGTTTTCCTCCTTTTCTCCTTCTTCTATTTACTTTTGACGAAATCGACGCTTTATTTATAAGAGTTCGCGGCCAAGCCACCACGACTCACCCGTTGCCCTGCCCACTCTGTAACATCCCCTTTCGTCTGCATCCTAGGAGCGGATTCTATCAATAGAATGATTCAAGTCATCATTCAGGGACTTTTCATCATTATTAATGAGCATTTAGCTTATAAATGAGGCGACTTATGAAAGATAAAGTAGAGCCTTGTTGGTTTGGCTTCAAGGTTGTTGGTATGCATCAAGCGTCCGCGTATCACGACAGGATATTTCATTGGCGGACTACACTTGCCTAATCCGGCAGGGTTCTGAGCCTTCTACTGATGCGGTATATGTACAGTTATTACAGGTCAGCAGGCAGTCAGACTCATGTCGGTAATGATGACAGGGGTTGGAGAAATAAAAAATAAAAGTCAATTAGCTGCCGTCTAGTATAGGGCTGACAGCTAAGGATGGATCAAAGGACACATGGATCTCTGGGTCTCTTTATAGAAATCCATGAAGAGATGAAAGGCTGGATTGACTAGTACTATCTACTCCGTATAGTCTGCAGCAAGTCAGAAGCACTAGTTTTCCAACGTTCCAACAACCACCAACCGAACTATTTCGACCATCATCATGTAAGCACGGTGAAGAGACGCTGATTGGAGCGAATGACACGGACGCCACCTCGGGATATAGCCCATCGATAGTTATCCCGCCATTTGCCAAACCGAACGACTGATTCTCCCCTGACTATCCCACCGTCCCATGCGCTCCAATGACGACATGTGCAGCGGAGTTTCTATGGAGAAATAGTATACGGAGAATCAGGCCGCGGGGCATCGTTGGTGGGGTTATGGACATATATTCGGCCTGGCGATGGACGATGCCCGACTCATTGAAATAGGTGTCCACGGCATAGGAACGAGATCGAGGAGACTCTGTTCTGGAATCTTTTTTCATCAAACTCACTCACAATCACTGAAATGGCACGACCATATGAGGGAAAGCTGGCCATCGTCACCGGTGCCTCGCGAGGTTGGTTCCCCTTGAGACATTACGCTTACACAGAGTCCCACACCGGCGATATGTGACGCCGTCTTCGTCTTCTACAAAACCGCCTACTAATTCATGAGGCAACAGGCATTGGAGCAGCAGTGGCCAGACGACTTGCGGCCAAGGGTAGCAATGTCCTCATCACCTTCACCTCAGACTCATCCAAGGAGATGACGCGGCAGCTGGTCGAGGAGCTCACATCAAAGCACAAGATCCACAGCCAGTCGGTCCAGACAGATCTCGGCCAGGCATCAACCGCAGCGCCCATCATCGTGGAGGCCGCTCGGACGTTGTTCCACAGCTACAACCCGGACGGCAAGTTCCAGGTCGACATTCTGATCAACAACGCCGGCGTGTCGTCCAACCAGTTCATGAACGACGCCGAAAAGGGACCCATTGTCGAGGCCGAATTCACACGGGTCTACGCAATCAACGTCCTGGCGCCCCTGCTCCTGACACAGGCCGTGGCGCCTCACCTGCCCACCGACCGCTCCGGCCGCATCGTCAACGTCTCGAGCGTTTCGGCGTCGATCGGCTACCTGGGCCAGTCCGTCTACGCAGGCAGTAAAGGCGCGCTCGAGGTCATGACCCGGACATGGGCGCGCGAGCTGTCGGAGCGCGCAACCGTCAACTCGATCAACCCGGGCCCGGCCTGGGGCGACATGTACGCCGAGGCTGGCCCGACGTTCTGGAAGCGCAACCAGCCGTACGTGGACACGGCGCCGCTGATGGCGTACGACGGCGAGGCCGAGGTGCTGCGCAAGGCGGGCGACGAGGCGGACAGGTTCGACAAGCTGGTGAGGCAGAGCATGGGCGGGAGGAGGCCCGGGTTTGTCGACGAGATTGCGGGCACGATTGACATGCTGTGCACGGAGGAGAGCGGGTGGACGACGGGCAGCGTCGTGTGCGCCAACGGCGGCATGAGGATGACGATTGCGTAGATCTATCCATAATGATACCTAGACTTTAACAATTACTGACCTGCCGCATGTGAATTGGTGTTGAAAGGCTTAGTTCCCTCGCCTAGCCGCGCTCTTCGTCCTGCTTCTCCCCAGATGCCGTGAGATCGAGCGTCAATTGGCTGGCTCGAACTGAAGCTGTTAGTGCTCGGTATACTCGTTTGTCCTTGAGCCCCTCCAAGGCAAAACACTGCCCCGCCGCAATCAATTTTGGTGACGCAGCGTGTTGATGATGAATGCGCCATTGGATGAGCTCTGCCAAGCTGCCTCTGCGACTGACACGTGGATGTCGCTCGACAACTCGCAGGCAGAGGATTAAATTGTTTCAACCTCCTCCAGACGACACGCACGCCAATAGCAGGCATCAGTTCATCCTTCAAACTGCGTCTCTTCACTTCAACTCCCACTCCCACTTACAACAACAATTCGCCTACAATTGTTTGCGCGCGCGCCTTCACACAGCAAACATGTCCACCTCCCCCATAGACTTCCGCGCCCTCACCACCACTTACAACTTCACCCCAGAAACTCAGTCCCAGCTCGCCGACCTCCTCGATGCCTCCATAAACGGCTCCGCAAGCGCCCAAGCCACAGCCGATGGCCTCGACAAGCTGTGCCCCCGAAACGACGAGGCAGAGGGCTTCCTCTGGTCGCTGTGGACGCTCCTCATCGACGTCGCCAAACGCATCCCCCTCGACGATGCGCGACTCCAGAGCCTCGTCGAGGTCCTCAAGGCGCTCAACGCCAAGCAGAGCGGAAGCGTCGAGATCTGGGGGTCGCAGCACCAACTGTGGGCCGACATGCCGCTGTTTGGCCCCGTCATGAGAGAGGCGTGGAACGGTAAGTTAATCAATAAAAATAAAAAAAATACATAATGAAACAACAGCATTGCTAACTATTGTTATCATTATATCTTTAGGCTCCCCTGAATTCAACGGCTCCTCCGACCAGGCCACCAAAATCGCCCAGTGGCTCTCCCTCAACTCCTTCGCCGCCCGCCTTCTCAGCGCTTCCGTCCAATCTTGGACGAACTTCGCCCTATGGGAGCTTCGCGACGGGCTAGAAGAGCCGCTATCGACTGACGAGGCCAGAGACACATACTTGATCACAACCTCTGAGTGGATTACCCAGGCCGGCAAGGTGTTGTACGACGAGACACAGAAGAGTATCCAGCTTGAGTCACAAGCCACCCAGTCATTAAGACCGGGCAAACTGATTGAAGAAACCAAGCCGGGATTCAACGAGGAGAGGTGGGGCTTTTGGAAGAAAAGATTGGAAGAGCTGAGTGCCAACGCGAGCGCGGAGGCCAAGAAGAGGACAGAGAAGGCATTGCAAGTGATGAAGAGCCTGGAGGCATAGGCTATCTTAGATCAACAAAAAAATATACATGGATATTTCTCTCCTCCTTCTCGCATAGGCCAAATGTGGCAGCCCATAATTATTTCGCTTTCTATGTCATGAGCAGCCATAGCTTCATAAATCCATCCCGCCCCAATAAAGCTTTAACAGAAACTCCAATACGCCCAACTCTACCATGCTCAACGTTATTACGCATACATCATATCACCATCCTCCTCTTCGTCGTCCTCCACAATGGGAACCTCCTTCTTCTTGCCCACCTCCTCCCGACACATGGGGCATGTTCCCTTGCTTCGCAGCCAAGGCCCAACGCACTCCAGATCGAAACGGTGCTTTCCCTTGCACGGCAGCTCTACAACGAGGCAGTACTCGTCTTCCAGATAGGGTACCTTGCAGATGGCGCAGTCGTCCTCCTTGTCAAGCTTCTTCCTGTTGACGCGGTCCAGCATGTCGACAAACTCCTGGCTGGCGCCCTGCAGCCTGGTGGGCGGGTCGTGGATGTCGTCCTCGAGCGAGTTGATGAGCTCCTCGAGAAAGTTGCGGTTGTCCGTCGTCGGGGCCGTCGTCAGCAGCGTCTGCATCTGGCTCTGCAGCAGGCGGAAGAGCGCGGCGGTGTCGACGGGCGTGGGCGTGGCGTGCGGGTTGTTGTGCGGGTTTTGCACGGTCGAGGGCTCGTCGAGCTGGTTCAGCAGGGAGAAGAAGGAGGCCATGTCGACGCGGCGACCTGCGCGGCGAGGCTCGGAGAATTCGACATTGTGCTCGACTGGAGAAGTTGTGGTGTTTTAGCAAACGGCGTGTTCTTCAGATACCTATGGAGATGAGAGGAAGAGGGAGATGGAGGTGGGATTGTGCACATACGTTCGTATTGAGTGGCCATAGTGGGCAAAGCTTGCGTGTGCAGGTGTACACGAGTCGGTGTAATGGTAACTCTCGATTCGCAATGAGGCTGCGCGCATGTAATTTGCTGTGACGCTGGCGGACTTTTGATGCAAAAGCTTCAGTCGTCGCAGGCAGAGATGCTGTCGCAAGCCCACATGCGTCTAGCAGTGATGGAGGGGCACCACCAATAGGGCAGTTGGAGCCTTGGAGGGGCACTGATAGCGCCGAACGATAGGCAGATGTCCCCTGCTGATGGACCGCTGTACTCCGTAGACCAGGGAGCTCGGCTACAGCTCAAGGTTAAGCTCCTGCAGCTCGTGCAGTTCCCCAAAGGGTAAACAGTCCTCGACATCCAATGTAATATAATCCTGACCAGCATCACAAGCACAGCACAGACAAAAGCGGGCGTAATTGGTCCGGCTTTTCCACCAGTTGCAGCGACCCAATGCCTCGAACGTCATCTCCAAATCACGTCACGGAACATCCCGTACCTTTAATACGATGTCTTCAATTAGTAGCAGGCAAATAATAGGTACCCTAATACATGTACCCAGGCTAACCAATTGGTGTAGGTACCTGGGAGTACCTGTAAAACTCCGCTCCGCGTCGAACCAGCCCGAGTATCACATGGTATTAGCTGTTGATTAGATGTTGCCCTTCTCCTTCTCGCTTGGCCGGGCGGAAATCAAACAGATATGGACCCAATCATTCCAGAAGTCCGGGCGTTTCGGGCCGCATTCATTTTTAACTCCATGCCATCATACGCATATCTTAAGGTATATATGATGGGTGCCCAAGCTGCTTTCTCGTCCTCTGCCCACTATAACTCCTAGCTTTCCCTCTCTTCTCGTTGCCACTCCTCCAGGACCTTTCCACACAACCCATCGCCATCAATCAATCCAAAATCTCAACAATGGCTTCCAACTCTGCTGCCGTCTTTGGCTCGACCGGCCTCGTTGGCTCCTACATCCTGTCCAACCTCCTCGCAACCGGCCCCTTCAAGCCCGTCCACACCGTTGGCCGCCGTCCTCCCAAGGCCACCTCGCCCAATCTCAACTCCATCATCGACGCCGACGTCACCAAATGGCCCGCCGCCCTGACCGGCATTTCGCCCGCGCCGCACGTCGCCTTCTCCGCCATCGGCACGACCCGCGCGGCCGCCGGCGGCATCGAGAACCAGTGGAAGATTGACCACGACCTCAACGTCGAGGTGGCCCGGGCAGCCAAGCAGGCCGGCGTCAAGACCTTTGTCTTCATCTCCAGTGTCGGCTCCGACGGCTTCCTGGCGTCGACGTCGCCCTACAGCAAGATGAAGAAGGGCGTTGAGACGACGGTGCGGGAGCTCGAGTTCGACCACGGCATCATCGTGCGGCCGGGCCTCATCCTGGGCGAGCGCGAGGACAAGCGCTTCGCCGAGGGCCTCGCCATGACCTTTGCGCGTGGCCTGGGCTTCCTCGGGCTCAAGGACAGCTTTGCGCAAGATGCCGAGGTGATTGCGCGAGCGGCCATCCGCGCCACGCAGCTGGCCGACGAGGGCAAGGCGCCGAGCAAGTTCTGGGTGCTCGGCCAGGGCGACATTATCAGGCTTGGCCGAACCGAGTGGGAGTCTAAGGAGGAGCCTAAGGAGGAGCAAAAGTAAAAAGGGGAATATGTTTATTTTTCTTATGTTTTGTTTTGTTTTCAAACATGTCACGGCTGCATTGTTGCAGAATCTATCAAGAATCAATACCCTCTTTGCTCTCTTCTTTTCATCTTTTTTTTTTCTCCTTTGACGCTCTTTTGCTATGTATACATACGCAGAGTTTCGTCTAAACTCGCTGACAGAGAGCCATTGTTTGGGCTCGGTTTCGTCAGAATTGGAATTGCAATACCCAATGTTCAGACCCGTTGCGCGTTTTGCTTGGAACAGGGAACAACAGAATGATATGTACACACAATGACGGCAGCTTAATAATTTGCACGGCGTTTGACCTCGGAATTGCTGGGCCATTGGTCAGCAAAGATGGCTTACACGTAGTTTTGAAATTGCATCCAAATGATACCTCCAAAACATCCATCTATTTCAATTGCAAAATAAAGACCTCGTTTTCACTTGTAACTGATAACGAAGACCATTAAACATACCAAAAAAAAAAAAAAAAAAAAAGAGTCACAAGTCTCCTCCAAACCCTTGAATCCTGCGGCAAAGAAACGCCGTGCGCTTACCCGTCTCCGGACTTGCCCCGCGACCGAAGGCCGAACTGAACCAGCCAGAAGACTGAAGAAAGAAAAAAAGCAAAGCCAGAAAAATCCCGGTTCCTTTGGCTTCTGCCCCGCCATCCCATCTGGGCGCCCCCGTCTCGCACGCGATCGTTTTCTCCAGGCAAATCCCGCGCGGCTGATAAGGCATAATTTACGGAAGCCCCTCCAAAGGCGGCGGGACACTTGGATATCTGCCAATTTTAAACAGTCATATATCGGGTCTCTTCCTTTCGCGATCTGGGTTTTGTGCATCCTGTTGGATCTACGCATAGAAGAAGAGCATAGTAGAGGTTCTACAATAGTGTCTTTGAGGAAACTCCGTGTCCGCGAGCTGCCGGCGCATTCACAGTTATCATCTCTCTCATCGGCCATTTGACTCATCCGGCCTCAACTCAACTCAACTCAAACTCACTCACTCACTCACCAACAACACCAACAACAACAACAACACCCATCATCATGTCGTCCCGCCCCGAAATCGTTGGCCCTCAAGCCGGCCCCGAGTCTCCCTACCCCTACAAAATGGAAGGCAAAGTCATTTCCGGCTTCGGCCGCGGCTCCAAAGAGGTAAATAAGAAAAAAGCACCCCCCCCCCTAAAATCCTCATCTCATCTCACACAAACAACCCCCAAAGCTCGGCATCCCAACCGCCAACCTCCCTGTCGACGACAAAATCACCCCCTGGATCGCAAACATCCCCTCCGGCGTCTACTTCGGCTACGCCTCCCTCGCCCTGCCCGACTCCCACCCGGACCAGCCCGCGTCCGCCCCGTCCGGCGCATTCACCGTCTTCCCCATGGTCATGTCCATCGGCTACAACCCGTTCTACAAGAACACCGTGCGCAGCGCAGAGGTGCACATCTTGCACGGCTTCGGGCGCGACTTTTACGATGCCCACATGCGTCTCCTGATCCTGGGCTTTATCCGCGAGGAGAAGGACTACAAGAGCCTGGAGGCGCTCATCGAGGATATCAACGTTGACTGCGAGGTTGCCAAGAAGAGTCTTGCGCGGGAAGGGTGGGCGTGGGATAAGGGGAGCAAGGAGGATGCCGAGTGGTTTGTCAAGCCTTTATAGATGATTTTTTTTGAGTCTTTTTGTTTTTGTTCATTTGGTTTAAATTTATTGTGGTTTGCGTGTCAAGGACAAAGATGGCTACTTTATTACACAAGATGGGAGGGAGAGGATACAAGTTTTGGATGGCATCACTATAGACAGGTCAAATCTGGAGAAAGAGAGAGAGAGAAGCACCGAAAATATTCTTGGATAATAGAAAAAAAAACATAACCAATAGCATCATACCGGCCAAAATAGACAATCCTCCGCTTGGCCAGTCACACCTATATACTAGATGTACGTGTTGTGAGAATGTGTGTAGGTATGCGTTGTGTGTTTTGTGTGTATGTGTGTGTGTTTGCGCACGCGGGTATCATCCAAGTAATCCCCTCTCGTCATTAGAAGTTTCGTGTCATAGCAAAAAAAAGCAAATATCCAAACCAGAAATCATACCCGTCACGAATTGTCTCGTGCTTTCCATGAACGACAATAGAAACAAGAAAGTAGTCCTAAATCTAGCCCATAGCCCACCGATTTTTTGTTTTAGGGGTAAAGACGTATCATGCATTACCTCACCCAGTCCACGGCAAAACGTTGAAAAGAAAAGCAAGAATGTAACAGCAAAGCCAACACCTTATATGCATAAAAGGTTAACGTATAGAGTGTGTGCCCATCAGGGCGACCCGTGGCATCATACAGCGAGCTGATGTGGCTCCTGGTTGGGGTGATATCGGGGCAAGAACTGCAAATCATTAGCATACTGGTTACTGCCAAGCTTTAGGTGTAGGGGGGGATAAGAACTCACATTGATAATGATCATCATGGGAATGTCAAACACGTCCCGCTTAATCGTCCAGCAGTATGTACAATCCACTTTGCCATCCTTTTCGATGCGGGAAATGCCGTGCTCACTGTCAATCATAGTGACACGATTGCTCAGGATGCCTGTCCTAGGATGTCTCTGAGGCCCCAGCATCTCCTTTGCATCCAGCATCTCCTGCGTGCGATACTTCATCAGCCGGCCGCTACGCTGCACCTTGCCTCGGCTGTCTTCAAACGCCAGCTGGGCAAAGTCGCGATAGAATTCGACAAGACTGTCGTCATCCAGTAGCTCGCCCAAGAAGACAGGCTGCGGCCGTGCGTTGACGTTATTGGTGTTGTTATTGGCATGCATCGGCTGGTTCTTGGCAGCGGGCGTCACTTGGCCAGACGATGCTAGGCTGTCGCCATCATCTGTGCTCTCGTCTGAGGATCGGGTATATATGTTGCGGTTAGGCGCCTTGCCCAGGAGCACCTCCTTGGGCCATCCTGTCAACGCCGCAAACTCCTTGTTCACGGCTGCCACCTCTCCGGAGCGTCGACATACAATGGTCGGCGCGCAGCAATGCTGCAAAAAGTCGTCAAACTCAACAAGTGTCCGCTGAAAGCACTTCTCCATAAAAATGAGATCTTCGCGCGTCAAATCCTTGGTACAGGAAATGAACGAGGGTCGGATTTCTCCCAGCGACTGGGCAATCTTCCACAGCTTGCTCAGAGGCAGTCGGTTACGTAGGACAGATATCATGTTGTGGAATCCGGCGACATAAGGATAGGGTTCCTTGACACTTGCGTAGATGGATGCAGAGTCCCGCTGCCTCTTGCCGAGAATCGACTGCACCATCTTGTCCTGCTTCGGCTTGAGACGCGGGGCCCCAGCCATGTTTGGCAAGCCAGGGAATCCCGTTGCCGCCGGGTTTGGAGAACCATCCATTATGGCCTGCGGGCTGGCAGTTGCGTCGGTGCTGGGGCTGGCCAAGCTATTGGGCCCGGCAGCAATGGCAAATGCGTGAGGGAGGCCATGCTGAAGGTTGCCCTGGGTGTATATATTCGAGCCGCCAAGATCCATGCCGGCATATTCACCCATCATGGCGGCGTCATACGAGCCGCTGCCGTTGCCAAACATGGCTGCATAACCCGCCTCAGTCTTTGGAGTTTGTGATATTGAATTTTCTCTTGGGGGTGTCTCGGCACCAAGGCCCATCTTGTTCAGAATGCCAAACTCCCATCCAGCATATTGACTGCCGAAATTTAGGCCTTCGAGATCAAAGTTGTAGAGCGCAGGGTTACTGGGGTCGAACAGCGCGTTAAAGTCCATGGTGTTTCCTTGGAGCATGCTACCCATATGGGCCTGGCCTGCTGCAGAGGCACTGTGGAAGGATGGCGAGATGGGCGATGCCTGAGGATTGAGGTGGATGGCTTCAGGTATGGCCACCGGCGGCTGACTGACGCTTGGATAGACAGGGAACGCGGCGTTGCCCTGCGATAGGAAGCCGTCGCCAGGGGCCGTCCCAAGAACGTTGTTGTCGGAGTGAATAGAATCATGGCGCTGTCCGTTGGCCTTTGCAGAAGGGGGAGGACTGAAATTTGGGCCGAGGACGGGTCGAAGAGCCTCTGGGGGGGCATCGTGCAGGTATTTGGCCTTTTTGCGCACACCATCCTGGCAAGCATCGGCAAGACCACGCTTGATGCACCGCTTACACGGCCTTTCGTCTCCTACATCAAATCAAATGTTAGTCACAGCTAACCAACGGCGGTAAAGGCTAACACAGCCAAGAAAAAAACCAAAGAGTCCAATTGGACTTTCAAGGAATGGGTTGGCAAAGGGGGCAGCCGGGGAAAGGGGGAGGACGGGGCGGGTTTGTTCTCCCAAGAAAGACGCACCACAAGTCAGGTGTGCCCTCTGGCAAGCAAAGCATGCTCTCCTTGCTTTCTTCCGCCGTGGCCTCAAAGGATCTTTAGGATCATACTTCTTCTTATCGTCGTAAGAACCATTGGCCGCCATTGGGTCGGCCATTCTCTCGTCTTCGTCTTTCAGCAGAGTCTCCGAGTCTTCTTCGTTCTCGGATACAGGATCTGAGACGTCTGCCCCGTTATCCTCCATGTCTTGGGGCATTTTGCCGGGCCTTTATATAATAACAAAGCCCCTCCTTGGCGCATACACAGCAGATCAAGCAATCCGCGTTGCTCTTTGTAAATCAGGGCGGCGATCGGGCTCCGTTCCCCAGAAGTCTCGTCTCCCCCAATCCATCCAACTCTTGCGCTGATCAACCACACCAACGCACGGCTTTCGTGGCACGAGCGAACAAGGGCCTAATAGTTACACGGTTGTTACTTTCTTGGGGATGTGCGATTAAAACAAGAGCGATCCACAGTGGCTTGAAGCGTGCCAGGGATATATGCAGCTGGCAAGACCCAGGCGGACGAATGACAGAGAGCCGGGCCAAACTGGGCTGGACCAAGCCGAGCTGAGCAAGAGGGCAGAAAATAGAAGCAAGAAGCAAAGCAGAGCCTCGACGCTGCTCGTGCTTGTATGCGCGGTATGTATGAGACAGTTATGTGTTGACCGGTCGCGGGAGGGACGATCCGTGTGGACTCCCGGGAGTTGATCGGACGGGCGGCCGAAAGCGACAGGCAGGGCCAAATATGTCGGGGTCGGCCAAGTTCGTATTCTTACAGCGGTCGAGGGCCAATGGGCACTTGTGATTCGTGAAGCACACAAGAGGGCGTCTGGTCGTGTGACAAGGCGGCAGAATCAATAGAGCGGCGGCGCCGGTGGCATGGAGGCCAGTGAATTCCAACGCGGAAGCGCAGCCGGGCAGGATCTGTCCTCTCGGATAACGGGGGGGTGTGATCGATCGGCCCAGGTTCGAGAGACAAGATGTAACGCCGCGTCTGCGCAGAGACGGACGAGAAAAGATGGGAGTGAGAGAGGGGGGGTCTGTTCCCCAAGGGAGACTGAGAGTAGGTAGAGAGAGCGAGGAAGATGTAGAAGCAGCTACCCGTTACCCATACGCTTGGCCGCGCCCACCATTGGGGGTTGAGCGATGCGCAGACCAGGACCAGGCGGGAGGCGACACGGCGCTCTGAGGATCGGGCCCGAGGAGTGGAAGCTGAGATGAGGGCGCGCAGCAACGAGGCATGCGAGCAGCAGCGGCTTTGGGCTGGATGACGCCGGAGCGATGGCGGCGATGGCGGCAAAGGGCCCGTTTGCGCCTATGCGGCTGGCCCCCTTTCCGCTGGCAGCGATGCAATGCAGCTGCTGGCCACGGCAACCGACGGTTTGGTGGAAGAGCGACGCCCAGCAAGAAGCAAGACAAAGACAAAGCTGAGGCGCAAGGAGAGGGAGTCAGAGGTGGCCGACGTTTGCTTAGTCGTCGGGTTAAGCTCAGTCAGAATTTCGAGCGAGGTTCGCAACGGCACTGCCCTGGGCATTTCGCAATTGCAGCGGGCGATGGTGGGCGCCAGGGCGGCAGCGCAGCGCGTCTCTTGGGCGCTGGAGCCCGCTGGAGGCACCGCTGCAAGTCCCGCTGGCGACAGGCTGGGTGGCTAGTGGGCAGCTGTGGGCTAGTGGGCTGGACCGCTGGGGATCCCCCGTAACGCAGGCAGGACTGCGGGGTTTTTGCTCCAGGCCTTGGCCCGAACTGGGCCGGTGGCGGCGGCGCTTGGGGCTGTTTGGGAATCAGCTGGACGCTGAGTGGCCACGGCCCAAGGGTGCTACTGCTGCTACTGCTACTAAGCAATGTTGGACTAATGTTGGGTTGGCCGGTAGCTGGTACTTGGGCGCAGCCGCAAGCACGGGTGGTGGGTGGACGAACCAGGTACCGGCTTACAGTATGCCGAATCGACTCAATGGAACTGTAATACATGCTCGTACATAGAACCTACTGCAATCAATGATCCATGCCTTGCTGCATTGAGGCTTGCCGGGCCAATTGCAGGCCGCCCAACAATCCTCGAGTTGCTCAATAGGCATTGGAGGCGTTGGGAGTGTCGCGTGTGGCCGTCGCTTTGATTACAGGCCCTCGCACAGCATCACGGCTGCAGCTCAATCACTAGATTGCGGCAGTGATTTGCCAAGTTTCCAAGAGGGGCGGGCTGTGATCCTTCAAGCCCTTCAAGCCCTTCAAGCCTGGCTCTTCACCTCCATCCTTTACCCACATGCCCTCACCGGTGAGGGTCTGCAAGCACCAACATCTCCAGCAGACGACCACTCCAACAAGCTGCATCCCGGTTGCGAAAAACCCGCCTGTACATGCCGTCTACCTTACATGTACATGGCATGGACGCTCCCCAGCCTCACAAGCACAAGGTACTCCCCTAGTTGCTCTAGTCCCAACCGCGGCCGCCATTCTGGGGTTCGCCGGTGGGTGCGGCCAAGGCGAGGCACCAATCCAGAAGCTCCAAAGCCAGGGGGTGCCATTATTTGCTTTTTGGGCTTGCGAATGCAGGTTCGCTGCATGTGTCAAGCCGGGGGGGACGGGTGGACGGAGGGAGAAATTTTCTTTCTATTCATGAGATGGGAAAACTCTGCCCAACAAGATGGACACGGCGGCTCCTCACCAAGGCTGAAGGGGGGACGTTGGCACTTACAAGAGAGCAGACTCAACCCACGAAAGATGCCAACACAGACAGCCAGGAATACATACCCACAAATAAAACTTAAAGAGAAAAAGAAATGAAAAAAAGTCTTCTTGACGGGCTTCCACCGCTAACACGAAAATCCTCGGAACCCCCTCCCCATGCTCGATCAGCGATAACCGAGTTCCCGAGCCACGCCGCGCCGAGTCCTGAACAAGCACATTCAACGAAACCCCCCCAGGCATGTGTGTCAATGCAAATGCAGCTGCAAATTGTATACGAAATATGGAGTAATGTGCTCCGTAGCTAACCCCCTATTCAGGAGTCGTGCAGGCTGCTAGCATTTTCGAACAACAATGCCCAGCTGCCCTGCCTCCTCATTGTTGTAAAACCTGCATGTCCTTGTCCTGAGAGGGTTGCTCATTGTCTATTTCCAAGCAACCTGCTTTTCAGGCCCATTCTACGCTGTCCACCTGTCTCAAACACGGCATAAACTCTCCAGTCTCTCTCACATGGATAATCCATGTCCCCCTTACATGCAGTCTCACATGCCACGGCATTCCACCGCTCCATGAAGCTCAATTGCATGGGCATTTTGTGCTGCGTAATCCGCAGGCCGTATCACCCGCATCCAGGTTCTAGAGTTGCTGCAACCCACCACCCCCAAAAGGCAAAGACTCGAACAGAGAGAAAAAAAAAGGCCCAGTTCTGCCCTTGCGCATCACAGGAGCGTCTCTATTGGTCCTTTAGTCTCAGCTCCGCACCCTGCCGTGCCATGGGCTGTCAAATCAGGGATAGTAGAAACTAGGACTGTAAATCCAGCGAATCTCGACGAGCGTCACTCACTATATCAAGCACAGTACGTATTTAGTTCTCTTCCTTACATGTACGAGTATGTAGTTACTACTCTTATCTCCTAGAACCCATATTGATTCATCTCTGTGTAAATGTCAAAATGCTATGTCCCTCTTCCAGCTTTTAAACGCCAGCTTCATGTATCCCAAAAAAGCCATTCACGGCTTGGCCACCATTCTCCGCAAGCCACACGACCAGGCCACCACACAGCTCACGAGGTGGTTCCTCTCTTTGGTCTTGGCAAGTCTCGTCCTTCTCTCCATAGTAAACCCCCTTGCGTCCCAACTGACGCGTGCTCACTCTTTTACTTCCAGAGACGCTCATGCAGACGCCCGTGACTCACATCAATCCCTGTTCCCAAGCAGCAACTCTTCTTATTCGATTGGTCGTCCCCTCATCGGTGTGATATATTCCATTTTTCCTCTCTCTTATTAGTATCATTGTCTATAAGTCGTATCCGTCATTTCGCTCATCTCATGTTGCGGCCTCGGGATCAAACCGAGACGAGGTGCCTTATCCGACAGTCCATAGCCCAAACAAATCCAGCATCTCATCTTGTCTCTTTTCTCTTTTCTCCTTTTTTTCATTCTTGCCTTGTCCCATACGCCTCATTAATGAATTATCCCAGAATGTCCTGGTGTTAGTATTACCCTCCCATACAGGTACGATTACGATGCATCGTACACCTCCCCGCTTGTCCTCCCCCTTCAAGCCACCTCCAAATTCACAGGAAGAGCAAGTAGCCGCCTCCTAAGACTTGGCAAATCTGCTCTTGCTCCTAATCTTCTTGCCGTATCTGAAAAAGAGGTACGGGAACGGCATCATGGCCACGGTTAGGAACGCTAGTAGCGACGACGCCCACTGGAATCCAAGCTTGTTATACATTTGTGTACCGAATAGGGGGAACACAGCTGCAAGACCATCAAGTTAGCATCACGTCACAGCTTCCTACAAAGCCTAACAGCTCATTGACTTGGCGTACCTGCGAATGAACAGCGCACAAATGCGTTGGCGGCAAGGGCACTGGCGGCATACATGGGATAGGCGTCGACCTAAACAATCCATCAGTCAGTACGTGTTGCTGAAATTAGTCTGGCATGAGTCAGGAATCCTGCGGATGAAAAAAACTTACCAGAAACGTAAAGACACTGGTGAATACGAGTAGGTTGCTACAAAAGAATATCCAGAGTCAGCCACCGAATCAAGGTCCAATGAGGGGGGTTACTTTTCAAAGGGAAACAGGTACTGCTCCTGCAACTGAGAGCAAAACGGGGAAATGACCGAGGGGGGTAGGAAGAAGGAGGGTGGTTTCAAGAAGCAGGATCCCACTATTCGCAACGCTGCGTCACCGTGGCTTAAGATAGACTCACCCCAATCCAAAGATAGCCGACCCAATGATGGGCACGATCCAATGCACAGAGGAGTACGTCGTCCACCCAAACATGAAGATGCCAATAGGCACCAGAACGGACCCCACGATGGCCGACGGCAGCCGAAACTCGGGCTCGCTGCCGCCCGGCACGCCAGTCTCCTGCTCCAGCTTGGCCATGAGCCTCATGCGGATGCGGAACCACACCGGGTCCGACAGCATGCCGAGGATCATGCCCACGCCGATGCCCAGGAAAGTAAGGCCAATCTGCCACAGGTTGAAGCCGTGATTCGTCGCGAAGACGAGGGGGAATGCGCCAAAGAAGAGGTACAGGATGCCCAGAAGAATGGCGGTGAAGATGCACAGGCTGAGGCACATGGGCTCGAAAATGAGCAGCTGAAAGGGCCGCTGCAAGGAGGTGCTTATGGCTTGGACTACTGTCTTTTGCGTCTTTTCCGAGGGGGCCAACCACCGGTCGTCGCCCGTGTCCTTTCTCATCTTGCGAGCCTTGTTTCTGAGCAATATTGGGTCTATAATTGACAGGTCACAACTCTCGCGTCAGTCATCCAATATTTCCTCTCATGCTGGTGTACTTGCAATACGAAGAAGGGGGGGTATAGCTTACGATATGTCTCCGGCACCAGGAGAACGATTGCAACCCACATGACGCCAGCCCAGATGAGCAGGACATAGTACGTCCACCTCCAATGCGTAAAGTAGTTGATGAAGCCTCCCAAAAGAGGCCCGAGAGCAGGCCCGACAAAGGGCGCAATACTAAATACTGCCATGGGCAGCTGCAACTCGTGTCTCCCAAACAAATCACCCACGGTGCCGCCAGACACCGTAAGAAAGGTGCTGCCCGCCAGGCCGTCGAAGAAGCGAGCTACAATCATGGTGGCGATGTTCTTGGCCACGGCCGAGGGTATCAGCCAGATGAGATACATGCTCCACGACACCAGGTAGATGGGCCGGCGGCCGTAGAACTCGCTCAGGGGACTCAGGAGCATGGGGCCAACGGCAATGCCCAGGACGAATGTCGATAGGCCGAGGTCGGAAACTTCACGCACGTTGTGGAATTCGGCCTCCATCTGCACGTAAGTCGAGGTGTATATCGAGCTAGCGCATGTCCTGGAATGCACAAGAGGTTAACTTCATGTCAGTCAACTATGTTGCCTTTGGTGCTAGTAACTTAAACATAATGTGCCGTGAGTGAGACAAATGCAACGACACAAGCGTCACAATGTTCCACCAAGGCGTGCATGTCTCTGTCTCCTTCTTTCATTCTTCTTCTCATGTCTCACACAATCAAACAACGATATCAATCACATCAACTCGAATCAAAAATCAAAACTTACACGGTAAGACTTCCACACGCACAAATGAGCACAATCAGCCACTTGCGCGCCTTGTTAAAGCTCCGAGGACACAGCGGATCGTTATCCCCATCATCCCAGCCAACTTCATACGGGTCCTTCTCCGGCTGTCCTGCCTCCAACGCCGCCTTCTCGCCGCGCTGCTCGTCCGACACGCCGTAGCCGTTCTGCGACCGTGTGCGGTCCAGCTCTCTGTTCGAGCTCCGTGATGACGGCGTCATGTCCAGCTGCAGATCATCTGCATCATCCCCAAGGCCAGGATTCTCGTAGGCCTTATCGCCCTTCTCGCGGTCAGCCATGTCAGGCGCGAGCGTCGATGCCGTGTCTACGTCTGCAGCCGCCATTATGCCAACGTCTCTTTCAATCGTCTCGAAGTCGGCGACCTGGCAGGCTGCGTGAAAGAGGCCGCGATGAGATTATAGCTTAGTGTGGTGGAGAGAGAGGCCAGGCTGAGAGGTCGGGACGGCAGTGGATCGACGCCCGAGTAATATATAAGAGATTGCGACGATGGTGACCAAGATGCTATGCCGGCATTATCAATCAGGAGGTGACGTGACGTGACGTTGAAGCATTATCAATCGAATCCCACGAGTCTGGCCCCGGGCAAAACGGCAATCTTCGAGATCAAAGTCTCCTCCGAAATTTTCGGAGAAAAGAAAATGATTAGGACGAGCAAACAACCACACACACACGACGACGACGAGGCAGGATTCAATGTTACCAATCAAGCCAGCCAAACTCGAGCAAAAAGCCCTTATTCAGCCGTCGCTCTTTGCCCATCGTCAGTGGATCCCGCGCGGACAGCGTACCTAAAGGCGAAGAGCGAGATCCAACAAATGTCGACATCAAATGAGAGAAAAGACAGAGCCCAGCCCAGCCCAGCTGCGGTCCGCAACTGCCGACCCCCAAATCAGGCTACGCACTTGTCCGGCAGCTCTCGGCGGGAAAACTTGCCCCAAGGGGAAATGGATAATTCCTGGCTTCTTGGCTTTTTACTCGTCCATTTCTCTATTCGCTGCAGTTCTGATCCTGTTATGTGACCCATCGCTTGTTGCTCCTTGGGCCGGTAAACCCTGGTAATTCCCACGCCCAAGGAGAAAGAATCGCAAGCTCCTGTCTCGGCGATTGGGCGCCCTTGTTTCGTCTCGTATTCCGAAGCCCATTCATTCTCTTTCTTCTAGCGTAGAGACGATGCCCCGGTCTTCTTGTTTCTACGTGGGGACCAACAACTCTTAGTGTAAGCAGCTTACTCTAATATGCAAGTCACACTACAACATTACGAATACAGTACAGTAATGAACACCAGAGGAGAAGAACCAAAAAAAGAACAATAAAACTGCCTGACCAAAAAGCTCTGACCTTTAAGTGGTTCAATCACACATCGCCTAAAATTTCGGCGTTACGAGTCGCCATGAGAAAAGAGCGAGGCCGGCTATCGCGGGTATTGCGGCCGGCCCTCGCCCTCGCTTCTCGCGTTTATAAGATTCAACTTTATCCCGTAGATTTTCACGACGCACAGGCGCCCTGCAGGCGCCCATGTGCCTTTCGGAAATAGAAGACTCGCTGACTCGCCAGCGTCTCACGTCTGGGGGCTAAAGAAACTCGTTGAGATAATCAGTTGTCACATTTTCGTATATTCATCTTCAAGCTCGTATACTGTGGCCATCATAACCGCTTTATCTACATCTTCTCCACCGTCAAGCATCACCATCCCCATATCAATATACAATTCTAACCAAGGTCCCAACGCCAGTCGTGAAACTCCCCGACCTGCTCGCAGACAACATGAGCTCTTCGTATGTACACCAGCAGGCATTCTATAAACGCAAAAAAACAACAGGGTATTCTCCAAAGTATATCCACATCCTCCTCCTCCTCCCCTCTTCGCCGATAGCTATCGCCGAAAACCAAAAATCAATACTCAATAATACTCTGGCAATCCGTTCGCCGCAAAGTCCGGCACGTCTGTATCGCAGTTGAAATCCCGCTCCCACGCCTTCTGCGGCAACACGCCCGCCTGCATCCCAGCCTGATAACTCCATTGCGGCGAGCTCTCCGTCTTCCACGTCCAGTACCACCACCCGAGCCCCTTTTCGAAGCTGTACATCTGCGCCTGTGCAAACATGGACAAGAAGTTCTTGTACTCGGAGCTCCATTTGCTAGGATCCGCGTTGGCGTTGGCGCACGAGCATTGGCTATTCTTGGTAGGACAGTCTGGCGACAGAATCGACGTGCTGGCGTTGCCCGTATTGAGCGTGCCCTCCCACCGGTTGCCCTGGCCTACGTTTGTCACAAACTTGGCACAGTCCGTGTCTGCTTGAGACCATTCGGCGAATTGCGTGGGCCCGTAGCCTGTGCTCTTGTCCTGGCTCTGCAGTGCCTGCTCTGTCCACCCCTGGCACGCATACTGCACCTTCTTTTGGTGCGTAAAGTCGATCTGGTTCTGGTTGAAAATTACGTACTGGTGGACGTCGAGGACCAGCCCATCGTAGCCCTGCATGAGTCCCTGCCAGTTGTTCAGGCCCATGAAGCCATCACCAAAGATGACCAGCCCCTTGAAGCCGTTTTTGCGAACCATGGTGAATGCCGTTTCTGTCCAGTTGACCACAGCGCTGGCTTGAAGGAAGGTCATCTTAGGCTCGTTAGCTAGGCCGTAGTGTGTGATGATGTTCTGGTATCTCTTCTGGGAGAAGAACTGAGAGAGGCTGTTGTGAACATCAAGAGACCGTTGTGCGTTTAGTGCCCCGTTGGTGCCGTTGAGCCAGCCGATCGGGCCCTGTCTCCCGCTGTGATTCCATCCGTTCTGGCTCCCCGGTAGGCCGTGTAAGTCGAGGTTGACTCGTAGACCGTATTTCCTGGCCCATTCGATGCCGCGTAGGAGGTATCGCCACGAAGTTCGATAGACGTACTGGTCGCCGTCATAGACCTGGACGGCCCAGTATGAGAACGGAATTCGGACATGATCTAGCCCAGCGTCGGCAATGTCTTTGAACGTGCTCTCAGTAACAAAGGTGTTGTAATGGTTCTCAAGCGTTGATGCAGCCTGCGCCCCGAGATGTGCGCATAGAGTCCACTCGTCCACAACCCCAGAACTGAGAGGGTAATTGAAGAGAGATGGCGTGATGAAAGGCTCAAGTGATAGCCACCCTCCCAAGTTGACACCTCTGGCCGGCGTTTTCGAATAGTCTCCCCAGGACTTATCCAACGGAGGCACATTGCTGTTCGCCTGGGCAGAATCGTCCCATTTCGAGTAAAGGCCCATGACGGGGAGGTTTCCAACCATCTCGTCGGTGAAGGTAGTGTTGAAATCTTCCGTGCTCGCCCAAGTCGAAGGGTCGAGATAAGTATTTATCCACTTGGTCGGTACATCGCTGTTGCTCGCGGGAGGTCCAGAGGACGAACTATCGTTACTATCACCGCCCGATTTGTGCTTTGAGCCCAGCACCGCGGCCACGATAATGATGATGAGGAGAACAAGGGCACAAATGCCTCCAATGATCCCTGGCAACAGGGTTAGTGACTCTTCTAAACAGCCGTCGATGCGCAAACCTACATTTCTTTCTCTTGGACATCTTCGTCTTCTTCTTCTTCTTTGCCGGCTCGCTATACATGTCTTCCTTTCTCAAACTGTCATAGCTATCGTCTCGCGAGAAGCCTCCTATTCTGAACCCCCATCCCTTGGACCTCCCTTCCTCCATCGCCGCCCCGCTGACAACTCTGGACTTTTTCTGCTTGCTCGGCTTACGGTACTTCTTTGGCACAATGATTGGCTCAACCTCTGGATCGGGACTTGGTGATCTCTCTCTTGCTCTTGTCCTTTCCCGCTCCCGCTGCCGCTCCCGCTGCCGTTCGCGCTCGCGTTCTCGCTCTCGCCTTTGCTGCCTCTCTGCGCGCTCCCGGGCTCTGTCGTCATGCGCCTCCCCTCGTTCTCGCTCCCGTTTCCTCCGCTCGCGATCAGCATGTCTCTGCTGCCTCACATTATCCTGGTTCAGTTGCGCCAGCGCCCCTGCGGAAAGCGACTGTGACTGTGACCTGCTGCGCCTGTCGGCTCTGCCTTCATCTGCGCTGCTGGCGCCTCTCCGCGTCCGCGATTCTTTCTTCCGCGGCCTGTCTCTCCTGGATGATTCGCCTCGTGCGCTTCGGTGGCGGTGCGCACGCGGCACGTCGGAGTCGCTCATCGTAACGTCGTGATCGAGCTGCGGCTCGCTAGTATACAAGACGCATCAACTCGAAAATGCATCGATTTCTATGATTCAACGCTGAAAAGGAAGTTCAACAAGCCATTAAAAGAAGAAAAACACAATCCGACATGATCTACAAGGACTCAAAACAATGCCATGGTCCGCTTAACCGATATACACGTCACCGGGCTGAGTTTTGCAGGTCAGGTTGCCAAGTCTTGGCCCGTTGGCTGGGCAACACGCCCCCCAAAACCGGAGATTCGGCCGGGAGGACGGCACCAGACCCGGAAGCGGCACGGCGGAGCGAGTGATGGAGGTTATAATTGGAATGATTGCTGCTGCTGGTTTATTTTGAGCATGTGCATATTGAGCGCAGATTTGAAAAGGCCGCTGTGGGGGTTTTGTAGGTGCAATGAACTGCTGAGTACTCATTCTGGTATAGCGATATGTACGGTGTACTCTATACGGAAGTTTTATGAAGACGATTCTTGGCAGCAACTCAGCCACCAGCCGAGCATTTTGCAAATTAACCGTAAGAGTGATCGAGATTCAATAGGCTGTAGAGCTATTTCAGAGTTTTCAGAGCCATTGTTGGCATCTTTTGCACGAGAATTTCTACACCGTGGGAGCGACGAGTAACAATAACAGCTTCATTAGCTCTGATTTCGTCCTGTATCGAGGGTTTAAACAGGTCTTTGCACTACCATATTATCTACTGCCCGTTACTAAGCTGCGAATAACAGCAATGGAATTCAATTCACTTTTTGCAGCAAACAAATCCAACCTCAAGATTACCTAAGACTTGCACATTCTCCATACTCCATTAATATTACCACTTACCCCATGCTTCTTACTTAGCTTCACCGTCTAAAGACAGACGCCAATTCTGCCGGCTCCAGCCCCGCGACAGGCCGCAGCAAGCCGAGCGCCATCGCCATCCGTCTAAACCGACGACGACCGATGAGAATTACTTTGGTCGCAGGAATCGCAATATCTCGGGCCCCGTATCCCTTCATTCTTCTCTAATCCTAATCCTCACCCACAGCATCAGAATCACCATGAAGCGTCAGGCGGTTCGTCACCTAAAGGGAGCGCTGGCGCATCCCCGAGCTCGATCAGCACCTCTGAATCTGGCACGATGCTATTCCACACACCCCCCGAACGCAAAGCTGAATTTGCCCATTGACTACTCGACAACCCCTCTGCTGGCTCACACGTCGGCGATAGCCAAGCAGAACACGGAGATTGCTGCCGACGTTCTCCATGGCGCGACCAAGAAGATGAACCTGTTCCAGGCCATCAACGATGCTCTGAACATTGCCCTGACCGAGGATGAGACGGTGTCCGTGTTTGGCGAGGATGTTGCCTTTGGCGGTGTTTTCCGATGCACCATGAAGCTCGCAGAGACACACGGCGCCGACCGGGTGTTTAACACGCCTCTGACGGAGCAGGGCATTCTCGGCTTTGCCATTGGCATGGCTGTCGAGGGCATGCGGCCTGTTGCCGAGATCCAGTTCGCCGACTACGTCTTTCCCGCCTTTGACCAGATCGTCAACGAGGCGGCAAAGAAGCGCTACTACGAGGGTGCCAATGGCCGGAGTGCTGGCGGCATGACCGTCCGCATGCCCTGCGGAGTCGTCGGCCACGGTGCCTTGTACCACTCCCAGTCGCCCGAGGCCTTGTTCACGCACGTTCCTGGAATGCGAGTCATCATGCCCCGATCACCTCTGCAAGCCAAGGGACTGTTGCTGGCGGCCATCCGAAGCAACGACCCCTGCATCTTCATGGAGCCCAAGATCTTGTACCGAGCCGCCGTGGAGGAGGTCCCCGTGGCACCATATGAGCTCCCTCTATCCAAGGCGGAAGTCCTCAAGGAGGGCAAGAACGTCACCGTCATCTCATACGGCCAGCCGCTGTACAACTGCATGGAGGCAATCAAGCAGGCAGAGAAGGATTTCGACATTTCCGTCGAGCTGATTGACCTGCGCACCATCTATCCGTGGGACAAGAAGACTGTGTTTGAAAGCGTTCAGAAGACCGGAAGAGTCCTGGTCGTCCACGAATCCATGGTGAACGCGGGTGTCGGTGCCGAGGTGGCCGCCGCCATTCAAGAGAACGCAGATACCTTCAACAGACTCGAGGCCCCTGTGGCTCGTGTTGCTGGATGGAGTGTCCACAACGCACTGATATTCGAAAAGTTCCACGTCCCGGATGTTGCAAGTGAGTATCTCTATCCTCTCGGGTAGCCTTTGCCGATTTGCTAACCGTGTGTGCCCCAGGAATTTACGACAGCATTAAAAAGACGGTTCAGTACTGATGATGAGGAGAGCGGGTAACGGGTGTCTTTATGTATGAATTTCTAGAGCTTCTTCCTAGCATAAGTGTGAATAATAGAGAACAAAGCCTTATATAACATCAATGCTGCGAGGTCTATGCATCAATGCCCCCAGGGGGGCTTAATTGCGCATCAAGAGATCTGGTCAACTCCCCAACTCAAGAAAACAGCACCGCCAGGAACAAGACACAATTCGAGCAGCTCTTCTGCCTATAACAAGAGCATTCTGTAACTGCCTTGATGCCCACTTACGATTAAGGACCAATGCAAGCTGAACTGGTAAAAGAGTACGTGCGCCCACTGCGAAGAACCATAGTCTGGCCGCGTACCCCGCTAGCGGTTGGATATGGAGACCACACTGCCCCTCGTGTCGATGCCCCGCCCATGCTTCATCTCCTGGCCCCTACCCGATTGCGGTGTACGTCAAAGCTCCTAAAGAGCTGTCCGGTTTCCCTCATCCTCCGCCAGCTAAGCATTCGCAATGTCGCATATCGAGACCGTTTCTGCCTTTGTCCAGGGAGCTCCCCCGGGAGAGGTGAGCCTGCGTCTTGTCCTCTACGCGTCATCGTTGGCAAGCTAACCTCTTCACTCCTGACTCTATTAGCTCGCAGATGTCGTTGCCGGTACGATTCACCCCAAGACGGATATTTGTTCAAGCTTCGAAGAGCACCATTGACGCGCGGACTTTGCAGACATCAAGGCCCTGACGGCCTCCGAGCCCAACATTGTTGACGAGCTGGCGCCGGCCTTTGAGCAGTACAACGAGGAGCAGTTCATCACACTCAAGCTGCCGGGAAGCAGCCAGCCGGTACGGTACCTCGAGGAAATACGTGTTACGGGGACGGAAGACATCTAACGTGCTTAAAGGTCTTGATCAGCCCACACAACTCGCTGGGCGGCGGACGATACTACGACGTCGAGAGCTCCTCCAGCTTCGAGGTGGACCATGTGGCTCAGGCATGTTGGGAGAACAAGTAGCTGCAATATGGGTAGTTGGAGCTAACTGGGATACAGAAAGCCAGTGCGGTGCAGAGCTACGTGCTGGAGGGATCACAAGCCGACCTGGTGTGAGTGCTCAGCGGCGGAACCTACCCTGGCATCGTTTTCAGTCCGGCTAACGTCGTGGCAGTAAATCAACATTGAAGAGCCTGGGAACCTATGTCAAGGAACACTTTCCCAACGCTGCCCTTGGCGCATACCCCGTCGAGTCCGACTCAAAGGTTGCTATTGTCATTGTCGCAAACAAATACAGCCCCAACAACTTCTGGTACGAGCACTCGTTAGGGTACGATATGCTACAGATGCTTACAGGCGATAGGAACGGCCGATGGAGATCAGTCTACACCTTTGATCCCAGTTCCGGAAACCTCGAGGGCACCATCATGGTTGACGTACACTACTACGAAGACGGCAATGTGCGACTGCTGACCAACAAGGCCGTCAGTGCATCGATCCCCTCAGGCACCGGTGCTGGAATCGTCAAGGAAATTGCGGCAACGGAGAAGAAGTACCAGGAAGACCTCAACAAGAGCTTCGTGAGCCTGAGCGAGGGAGCATTCAAGGGCCTGCGGCGACAGCTGCCGGTGACGAGGCAAAAGATCGAATGGGACCGAGTGACGGGCTACCGCCTGGGACAGGACATTGGAGGTGGCAGCTCAAAGCGATGATTTCGTGATTTATTGTTTGGGCATTTGGGAAGAAAGGTGCTTCAAGACGAAGACGATGCTTTTTGATGGATTAATAGAGCCAAAGAATGAATATGAGCAATGAACAGAGCAGCAGCTGTTTGATTACTACCTCATCCTCGCACTGCAGAGTCATGAATATCCCGGGCCGGGCACCACGGGAAATTCTGCTTTGGGAATCGTCCATCTGACTGCATGGAAGCGCGGCCTTACAGTACGCGTACTAGAGGTAACCAAGCCCTCTTGGTATATTGGCAAAAGCTTCACGTGGGCGAATGCTGCTCCGTGCTTTGCACAATCACAGTCGTGCCCAAGTTGTACGTGAGCGGGAATTGACCTTGAATATACCCCAGCCTTGTAGACTACTTTGGGAGCCCTTGGGGAGCTCTGCAGACACCAGTCCATGGATTTTCCGCATACTAAGATATGACGTGGGGGGGCGGCTGAGATGAGAGACGAGAGACAAGGCCAGCCAGCGGTTTCCGATTACGAAGTGATGCAGCCACGCCATATCGACGTAGGATTAGTATGTAACAGTACTAGGTAGGTAACATTGCCGCATCTTAAGTACGTAGGCAAGTTGCAATAATATCTCCATGGATATCCTAGTCCGCTGCAGGAAGCGCCCAAGAGAGGCTAGGAGGCTAGACATCTGGACAATAGCCTCCTTTCATACATATCCCGAGGTTCTCGGAATCGGAAGACGATCAACTCAAAACCAAGCCAGCCACAGCACAATTTAAAGAAGCTCAAGGCTCACTACTCAACAACCGTGGACAAGTCCCGTCTGGAGGAGGCGGGAGGAGAGCGGCGGAGGAGGAGGGGAAAAGGCCTAGCAGCAAGGCTAAGATAAGCCCGCTCTTGGGTTCTGAGCTAATGCGACTCTGCCAAATGCGAATAAGAGGATGCCTAGCATGTGCTTCCGATCATATCCCGAGCTCGAGATACTGTACTAATGAGTGCTGTGATACAGTAAGGGTCCAAATGCCGGCAGATTCACCCATTGATACCGACATCATGTCTTTTGTGGTGCCATTGAGTCAGGGCCAGTCTAGGCGAGAGAGCCGGTGGCAACGAGATCATCTTGATGGAATCTCGATCAAGCCGGCTAGAAATTCTTTCCCCAGAGCCTTTTCCCGTTCGTGTAAGACAATGGAACCTACAGTACAGGACAGTAGATGTACTCCGTACAGACACGCCATGCCATGCTCAGAGCCTTGCCATGGGGAATGCGCCGAGTATTACCACTGCTTTCCAAACCCTTCCATTATCAGCGGATGCTACCACACCCTGCCGAGTCCCCGGTTTTTCTTGTTCCTGTAAGATCCGCCAGACGCTGACCCAAAGGCCAGCTAGCAAGATATGAGCAAGAGGATGATGGGATCTGAGACGCGGGATGCGCTTTAAAAACAAGTCCGAAGGCATCGCTGAACAGGTACTGCAGGTGCTGTATGGGCAGGTACCTATAGGTAGTACAGTACGGAGTATACAGGCCTGGTATAGTTGGTTGGGCGCTGTTGGAACATCTTCAGAATCGGACGAGAAGCCCTGGAGCGAGGCGAATCAGAGCAGCCCAGGCGGTAATTTTGCAGCGGCTGATTGGCGGGCTATGGACCCCTGCGGACCCAACGGAATTGATTTGATGGGGCCCGACACGCTAACAAGAGCGAGAGAGCAAAATGGCTAGTTGGCATTTCAGGACTGAGATGGCCATACGCTTAAAGCGATTTTATCGTACTCGCATCCGCGGATTCTCTTCTCTCTCCCACCATCATTTTTGACCGACTTTGCCAACCAAGTCCTTTTGCCTTTTGGGGTCCTCGCCGCCTTTCTCTTCTCTTTCCTCTTGTCTCGCACTCTCTCTTTGACAACTTCGCCGTTTTTTTTTGCTTGCCTTGAGCCCAATTCGCCCGCCATGTCTAAGACGTACTCTTTCCAGGATGTTGCCGAGCACAACACCAAGAAGGACCTCTTCGTCGTGATCCACGAAAAGGTCTACGACTGCACCAAGTTTGTCGATGAGCACCCGTACGTCTTGCAATTCCCGGCCTCGGCAGCGAGCAGTTGAATTCCCCCCTTTTTCGGTCGGCTGGGGAATGATGCAAAAGCTGCATTGAATGACATCTTTTCTCCTTCTTTCTTGCTAACGCCCATCTCTTAGTGGTGGTGAGGAGGTCTTGCTCGATGTCGCCGGCCAGGATGCCACCGAGGCTTTCGAGGATGTCGGCCACAGCGACGAGGCCCGTGAGTCTCTCGCCGCTCTGATTGTCGGTGACCTGAAGCGCGAGGTATGCGCCCCATTACCTTTTGTTTGCGACGCTTTTCCCTTGTTCACAGCTAATGTTTCGTCTCTAGGCCGGCGACCCTGTCCCCCAGGTCACTTCCAGCAGCGTCCCTTCCATCAAGTCTTCCCCCAGCAGCAGCAACGGCGGCTTTGGCCTCTACAGCGTTGTTGCCATTGGCGGTCTCATCGCCTACTTCGCCTACCAGTACATCCAGGCCAATGCCGAGCAGGTTCAGGCTGCTGCCGCCTAATCGCATCCTATTCATGATTGGGTTTCAACAAAAAATATAAAATTTTAAAATAAAAGAGGAGAAAAAAAAGGAGGATCATGCCCGGGCTTTCGCTTCAGCGCACGAGTCCTCAATAAGACGAGACGGATGAATGTGTCGCTGGGGAGAGGATTTGTGTCATGTTGCCTTTTTCACGCAAGCAATTCACACCGGGGAACGGATCTGGGATATTTTTGTTAAGCGTGACAGTATAGATGGCGTGCTGTCTCCAAGTATATTCGGGCACTAGACCATTGGGAGTCATTGTTACAGGGATGAACTAGATGATGCCTTTGACGGAAAATATACAGGGCTAGATATCTACGATAATCAATGTTTTTTTGGTTGACATGATGGGCAATGACGAAATAAAGTGACCTTTCGCATCGGCCTAGTTGCCAAGGCAGTTTCAAAGCACTGCTAGGTAATTGTCTAGGAGACGCATTGACTTGAAAGTCACCTAGAATACGGAGCATTTGAATCAGATTCACCCCCGGCCTCCGTTTCTGCTTGCGTGGCATTCTCAACAAACGATAAGACAGATAAGCTGAAAAAAAAAGTCAAGCCACACACCTTGATTGCCTAATACGCCACACTGTGTCGCATCAGCCTCGTTTTCGAGTCCCCATACAAATGTCCTTGCATCCGCTTCAACCTCTGCTCATCAACCCTCGTCAACCACTTCGCTCACTCTCTTTTCTCCCCCCCCCCCTTCTACGATACTGCTGCCGCCGCTAGGCCATCCACGCCCAACATGTCGTCGTATCTAGAGAAGCAGTCCTCGGTATTCAGAGGCAGTCTCGCCTCGGCCGCGTCCAAACTGTCCAATCCGTCGAGCCTCAAAGCCACGGCCTCTCTCGCTCCGCCATCGCCCTCGCCATCCGCCGCCTCAGACAGCAACACACCGACATCAAAGAGGAAGCGGGATGTCGCTCCAGAGGTGTTTTCGCAGCCGCAGCTGACGGGGTACGGCGCCGAGGTCAAGACGCAGATGACGTTTGCGGTGGAGTATCTGAAGAAGAAGGGCGACGCAAAGACCATCACGGACATCATCGACCACCTGAGTCTGAGGAACTACACGGAGGAGCACAAGAAGGAGCTGACGGAGGGGCTGAGGGGACATCCGCGGGTGGAATGGAGGCCGGATCCAAGCCTGAGCGAGCAGACGTGGAAGACGGGCACGTACAAGCACCGGCCCATCATCCCGGGAGTCAAGGACGCTACATCGCTACTGGCCCATCTGCAGCGCAAGACGGACTCTTCGGGGGTGTCGGTCAAGGACCTCAAGGACGGCTGGCCCGACTGCGAGGACACACTGGCGAAGCTGGAGCACGAGCACAAGATCCTGGTGGTGCGCACCAAGAAGGACAACTTCCCGCGGTACGTGTGGGCTGACGACGCGTCGCTGCACAACTCTGTCGAGCCCGAATTCCAGGCCATGTGGCGCCGCGTGCAGCTGCCCAGCCTGGACGACATGCACCGCAAGCTGGTGAGCGTTGGGCAGAAGCCGACGAGCGACGACCCGCGCAAGGCCGTGGCGGCGGCGGCGAAGCCCAAGCAGCAGAAGAAGAGGGCCGGCAAGCGCATTGGCAAGGCCACCAACACGCACATGACGCACCTGCTCAACGATTACAGCGGCATGAGGCGGTGATGCGGGCGATGAAGCGAATGTGAGGGGGGAACAAGTCAAACTGTACGGGATAACGTGCAAGGACATAATTCACGGGTAACTACTGGCGAAATGTTTTACACTTTCAACTTCTCTTTACTTTTTTTTCACATCTACTTGATTCAGAGAATGATGGCCACACACAAAAAAAGAGACCGCAAAGATTGGTTTTTTCACTTGCAACAGTGGGCTGGCAGGAAGGCACTAGAATGGAGTTTACGGAGTTTTTTTTGCATTGGTTTTTTTTTTTTTTCTTTTCTTTTCTATTCTACGAAAGATGAGACACAAAAAACAACCCCGACATGAATCGACGGCTGCCTATGGGGTGCTGGGGGTATTACTTTTTTTCTTTTCTCCCATGATAGAGCGAGGGAGTGCAGATGATGCTTTACAGATTTTGCTCCTATAGTTTTTTATAACGAAATAGGACTTAATTGGACATTCCATGAAACTAAATCAAACAAAAAGACGGCTAATAAGAGAAAATGATATAGACTCCTGAGCCGCCGCTCGGGACACCCAAGGTATTGACTGACTGTGAAAATACGCCTCCAACACCACAAACCTAATGCTGTGTTTGATACCGTTTACAACCGGCGCTCCCGAGTCCATCCTAGATAGCGCCCAAAACACCGTGACAAGAAAAGCAATGCTGCTATATGAAGACCGCCTACCTGTGACATTTACGCCCAATGAGACAAAAAAGAAAAGAAAAAAAAGCAAAAAAAAGGGGGATATCTCAGAGAAACCAGTTCTAGAAAGCCTCGCCCGCCAGCCGAATCTTCTCAAACAGGCTCTCAAAGACCTGGCTCTCCTGATAGCCTCCCACCTTGTACCGCCCCTGCACCATGACGCACGGCACAGCCTCGACGCCGATGACATCCCGCGCGGCCCCGGCCATGGCATCGACCCTCCTCCCGGCGTCCTCGTCCTCGAGCCCCAGCCGCACCACGGCCTCGGGCATCCCCGCCGCGACGCCGACGCTGACGAGCCAGGCGTCGTCGGAAAGGTCGCGGCCGTCCTCGAAGTGGCCCTGGAAGAGGCTCTCGACGACGCGCGCCTGGGCGGCGGGGCCGAGCTCGTGCAGGGCGAGGGCGATGAGGCGGTGGGCGGGGCGGGTGCTGCCCGTGAGGCCGCGGATGGAGAATGCGATGTCGTATTTTGCGCCGGTGACTTGGATGCGGGTGAGGAAGTTTGGGTACATGTTGTTGAGGCGGTCGTAGACGGAGCGCTTCTCGACGTTGTCTGTGGGAGTTGGTGTCAGCTTGGTGGCATGGTGATGGCGATCATGATGGCGATCATGATGGAATGGTAAAAAAGAATGGGTGTGGGGGATTGGTTGATGATGAAGTGAAGTGAAGTGATTAGGTCATCCCATGTGGGAGCCCGTGTTATGTGATTTGTAAGTTCCAGCAAGCAAGTTGAATCAAGGAACAAAAACACCAAAACAAAGACTCACGCTTTGCCATTGTCTGCGCAATGTAATACGGCTTGTACGTCACCTCAAAGCGCACCTCGGGATGCTCCTCCGTGTACCGCTGCATCAGCGCCTCCAGGCTGTGCTTCTCGATGAAGCACCACGGGCACAGCAGGTCCACGTAAATCTCCAGCCGGATCAGCCCGCCGGCGCCGCGGCTGCCCGTCGCCGCCTTGTCTCGTCGCATCGCCGCCGTTGCCGTTGCCGTCGCCGTCGTCGGTTTCCTTGCGGACGAGGGCAGAGGTTGGCGCGCGGGCTGGGGCGATGCGATAGTGTCGCTGTGGAAGTGGTGGTTGGGTTGGTGTTGTTGCGACGGGACGCCGATGAGTGGTGATGCGCTCATCCTTGCTTGTGTTGTCGCTCGTTGTTGTTGAAGTGCGGAAACGGGAATGGCTAGTATAGATGGATTGGATGGAGGAACAAGAAGTTGTTTCCGTGTGGCGAGGATGTCGTGTTGAGGGTATTTGTGTGATATTAAGAAGAAGAAAATAGAGAAGAAAATAAATGACAGAAACGCCGGGCAACAATGTGGAATAGACGGAAGCAAGGAATTAGAAATCCAAAAAAGGTTTATGTTCCCTCTTTTAGTCCACCAGGCCTTACGGATTGGATGGATTCAAGCTTCTTAAAGATTCCAACTAAGTGACACCACCGGCAGTGCAGTGCTCAGCCTCGGCTCTCGCCGTTGGTAGTCTTTCTTAGTCAGGCTTAGTATTTTTGGAGACGGTCTTCCAAGATTCAAAACGATTTCCAATCGCTGGAAGAGCAGGAGAAACAAGGAAGGATAAAAAAAGGGCGTCAGGGTCACCTAAATAATAAAGTGGACTTGGCCGGAAAGCAGCAAGCAGCACGGAGTTTTTAGAGGCGGACTGGGGTCTGGTCTTTTGCCGTCTGCTGAACGAGATGTGCTAATGAATCGGCGGGCGACCTCTTTGTTTCGTCATTAGATCGTTCCCGGGGGAGAGAAGAGAAGGGAAGACGACAATATATGGGCGCACGCAAATGCTGTGCGGGAATAATTATAATAATAATCCCTAGGCAAATTAAAAAAAAGAGAGGTCCGCTCGGACGAATCCACCTGAACGGAGCTTGTTATTTATTTTTATTTTTCTCTTTTTGCTTGTTTCTCACTTGATTATGCCTTTTTTTTTTTTCGCCTCCTCTTTCGGGCGAGCTGAAATCGAAATATTGATTTGATGAGATTTTTTTCATCCATCCCGCGCAATTCTCGCCGGCGTCGCCAAGCCCCGGCGAGAGAGGGGGCCGCCATGCTCTAACGCCGCTAAAGCTACAGTGCCTTCGGCCTGTATAACCCCCTAGGTCCCCCGAATTGCTGTTCGACGGCAGCGAGTCTACGGTATTAGGTGCTCTGTACAGCGACTGCGCCGGATTGCCGCAAGGGGCAATTCAGAGCACCATGCATTACCTCTTACGGACATGCATCTAATTCATTCCAGGTCACTTAAAACGCTGCGTCGAAATGCAATCACAGGTCCGATCCATACAAACTTCGGAAGAAGACTTCACGCACGCATCACATGGAAAACACATGGAAGGCAGGGTTCTCTCATCTGCACACCCCAATTCCTGCAAAGGGAACCGAAACGAGCAACAAATTCCCCTGATGGAGCCCTCTCTCTCGCGGACTTTGGGCATCACGGATTGAATAGTAATACAAAAATCATCACGATTACTGATCCGATTGCACCCATTGTCCTGATTAGTGCTAGCAAGACACTGGGTCCCAAGATTGAAGTGTTTTGCGAAGCGGAAAGTTCCCTCGTAACAAGAGATTTAGGAACCGGCGATGGGTAGGTAAGTTTCCCGTTTGTGTGTCTTGAGTGTCACTCTCGATAGAGTTCGAATGGGAGGATTATAATTAATAGTAATCGTGTTTATTGGAGATGGAGTTTTGGTGCCGAGGAACTTATTTGTATACTCATGTTCGACGGCACCATTTTCCAGATTTGAGCAATTCTGTAATCAGTCCGCCAGAGGCAAAGAATGTCAGAATACCACAGCGAACGAGGCATGACGAGCAAAGACGAGCATCCTTTGACAATTGAATATAAAGCTTACTTAGACATCCACCTACGCACAGTACATAATCTTATCCGCCTCCATCTCAGCGGAATTACACATTCACTCAGGAACCTCGTAATAACCCCCGTGTTTCCCTCTAAAAACTAAAAAGCATACAGTAAGCATGTCCGTCATCCATCTTTTGCTGCCAAACAACAAGACACAAATCCTCTCGCAAAGCTTGCCTGGAATTCGGTGCCCCCATGTAAGCGCCTCCCGTGGTGTCATGACTAGCCTTCTGCCCTTGGCCGGAAACAATCCTCCCGACTCTTATACCATGAGCAAGCTCCCATCTCACCTCCATTCTATTATAACATTTTACACGTCTATTAATAACGAACAAGCAAGCAGCAAAAACCCTTTTCATCTCGTATACAAGTTCAATATCAACTCCCAAGTGCCCCCAGAATGAAACAAATCACTCCCATGCTCGCCATGCTCTCCTGAACTTGATTACAAAATCCCAGAAAACCAACATCACCACAACGCCACCCATCCAGCCCTTCACAAGGCCCAATTCGGAAAGCTTCCTTGCTTTCTTCTTCCTCTTTTGCCTTCTTCTCCCTTTTCAGAATGCGCTTCTCACTTCGTATGAACGGCCAATCCGCATCCACTCTTGTCAATCTCATTCCCTGCGCAACGGATTGGTTCCTGCTGTCGCCTGACTAGCCTCCACGACTAATCATAAAATATAGCGTCGCGGCCCTTCTTTGACCCTCTCACGCTCCCCCTCGCTCCTCTTCCTTTTCTTGCACGTCATATCGACTCACTTTGGTTCTTTTTTCTCATCACACTTCACACGACTTCTACAACGGCTAATCGGACATGCCAATCGCAAGCTCAAACCTTACCTTGATCACAAAACGAAAAAGAAGAAGAAAGTGGCAAGAAAGAAAAGAGGCTCGTCACGTCTCGTGCACAACCAAGTCACTGCATATTCCGTAAAGTATATCCGTACAATTTCTCGCGAAGAGGTGCGCTTTTGAGCGCCCTTGTCTAAATAATGTGCCAACAGCCAAGGAAAATGTGTCATCGAAGAGAGGTGGACAGCTCTCCCGCCGTCTATATCTTGTTCCGTTCCCAAGCCCATCTTGTATGCCACCCAGAAAAAATAAAAGAGACGAGGCAAGCAAACACACTCGGTGCCCTTCCACCCCTCCTTATAAACTCCAGTCTTTCCTCCCCTGCCGCTCTGCGCGTCGTGTCAAATGAAAAACGCTCAGTCCATAATCGTCAAGATTCCGGTCCGCCAGTCTATCGCCCAAGTCTATATGAAGAAAAGAAAAGTGAATACCAAAGAAAATATGAAAAGAGAGAGATGGAGAGAGATAGAGAAAGGCTGACGCCCAGAGTCAGCCTAGTGCATACAGGCGGCTGATCCCTATGCTGCCAAGCCGGCAAAAACAGTCGTGTACGTGATTTGTGTCGAGTTAGAAAAGTGATTGATATACAGCAATGTACGTGGGAATATCCAGGTCATCATGGCAAAGAGCCATCAGGCAGCAAGCACTCGGCTTTCATCAAGGGCATTTGGCCCCACTAAGCCATGTGTACCAGACCAGGCTCTGTGCTTTGCGGCCGTCGCATCTGCTGTGGTGCGCCGTAGTACATCTGGCTCATGGAAGGATTGGGAGGGTAACCATCGGGGTCGGGGTAGACGTAACTACCAGCGTTGTGAGCTGGCGAATGGGTTTGAGGAGATTGCCAGCCAACCTGGCTCATGTGAGGACTGCCACCTGCGCTTCCAGATCCCGCCGGGTGTTGCTCCAAGTTGGGCTCCAGAGTAGGAGGAGGACCGTAGCCGGTAGGGTGCGAGGTTGGCCGAATTCCGTTGTTGTAGCTGGCGGCCGACGTCGTCGACGTAGGACTGCCCACGCGGAGATGAGGAGGCAGCGTGCCACCCTGTGTCATGTACTGGAAGTCGGCAGGGTGTCGGTTGAGGCCGTTGGATCCCGAAAGGTCCAGGGCGGGAGACATCATGGTATGCTGGCTAGGTGACGGCGTCGTCAGAGGAGAGCCATGATTAGACATGTGGTCACCCTCGGAGCGAGCTTGGCTTCCGTTCTTGGCCCTTGAGGCTGCGAGCGCCGCCGCAGTAGCAGCCGCAGCCTCTTCGATGGTGCCTGTGTGGTGGTTCTGGTGCCGTGTAAGGGTAGTGCGCCTCGTAAATGTCTTTTGGCAATCAGCATAGGGGCACTTGTAAGGACGCTTTCCCGAATGTGTTCTTCGATGCCGAGCCAGAGAACTGCTATCGCTAAACGGCTGCAATATCACGAATTAGCCGTTTTTGCTTTATTTTGCTCGAAGAGCAGAGGAGCTCAACGCTGATGACTAGCTTACCTTGGCGCAAGTCTCACAGTGATGGGGTTTCTCGCCGGTATGCACCCGTTGGTGAACGGTCAAGGCAGATCTTTGGATGAATTGCTTGTTACACTTGGGATAGTCACAGACATGAGGTCTAACACCTGTGTGGATACGCTCTGCATCATGAACATGTTAGAAGTGACTTCCTTGAGATCTCAGTCTCTATATCAGCCGGACTCACCATGACGGGCAAGGTCGCTTCTTCTTGCGAAGCCTTTGCCACAAGTGCTGCAGGGATATGCTTTAACGGGAGCCGTTGGGGTCTGCTGCTGCGGTGGCTGTTGTGGGATATGGTGCATAGCCATGCTGGGCACACTACCCATGCCAGACATGTCGGCGAAGCCGCCCATTTGCATCGCACTGTGCATAGGGTTCTGAATCTGCATAGGGGCTTGCATCGCCGTCGGCGAAGGGTAGGCACGAGATAGGCTGTGGGCGGAGTAGGAAGAATGTTCGGACATGTGGGGAGAAGCTGATCGATCCATTGTAGGCTCATGCTTGACGAGGCCAAGGTGAGGATGCTGGTGGTGATGGTGGTGGTGGTCGGGAATGCCTCCGCCAAGTCCGTGCGTCATGGCGCCTTTGTTGTTCAGCATGTTGGTTATGTCCATAACCTCAGGCGACGCTGAAGACATGACGGCATTCGGCCTTGCGGACGAAGATAGAGTATGGGGTAACATGGTATGGCAGAGTGCCAGCGGGCGACCTATGAGAGCCAGGTTATAAAGCTATTCGGGTTTCAGTCAGCCTTGAGCTCAGTGTCAAGTATATGCACACATGGTAGACTATGTGATATCATCGTTTGAGAATATCCGATCAAGTGCCAAGCCATGAGTCGTTCCGCCAGCCGTTTGAAGCCACCACGGAGACTTTATCCGCCACCCAATCGACTTGGGCAGGAGTTGAAGGTTCCCAAGAGCTTGGGCCACCCACCAACAGCACCCAGCCGACGTCTGATCCATTCCTGGAAAGATGACCTGGAAAATCAACACAGTTTAGACGTACCTTTTGAGATCTGATAAGACGCAGAGAGTGTCAGGGCTTCGGTCCTGCTTTTCTTTGCGCCGCCACCGTTTTCGGGTCGTCGCCTCCAATTTGGGATCGCGGAAACGAAAGTCTTTGCTATGTAGCACGAATCGTGTCGTTGCGCACTACACCCGCTTTTGCGAACGGATGTCTGAGCTCGGAATATGTATTTCGAGAGGAAAAATGCAGCGTTGTAATAACTCGACGTGTGTGGCCACCGCGGGGCAGCGTCGCAGGATATTTGTATGCAGGCACCGGCAAGCGAGAGAACGGTATGAGGCAAGCGACTCGGTAGGACAGAGCGCAAGCTGTTCGAATAGTGGGCGAGGGAGAAACGAGATCCGACAGCGCTTCTTCAAGTCGTAAGGAGATGTCGCATGCGAGACGGAAAGCCCGACGTGATGGCAGCTGAAATTTGGCACCCAAGATTCCAATCAAGCGGAGGAAGAAAAGGAGCCCGTTTGTCACGACGATTCAGAGCGGTCGAGTCAGCCTGCAGAGCGGAAGCAATGAGCTGCTAGCGAGAAAGACTGATCATAAGCCGGACCGGGGCGTCAATATGCAACGGGCGCTTTGTCGAGGGTGTTGCCGGGTGGTCAAGGCTGGGTCCTATTCGGTCAGCCGCGTCGCGGGACAGTGGGCTGATTCAAGGCTAAAGGAGGGCTGGCGAAGAGGAAGAGGAGAGAGAGAGAAGGAAGAAAAAGGAAAATGGAAAAAAAGAAGGAAGAGGCGTCGAAGCAGAAACGGTGCAACGGCCCGTGGGTGAGGTGGGAAAAAAGGGTGGGAAAATGGATTGAAAGTCGGTGCCAAAATGCGGTCGTCCAAAGCAAGTGCTTCTGGAACTGGCGAACGACGTAACTTTTTTTAGGGGCCCAAGCCTTTATGACAGGCCTGCTGGCTGGGTGCAGGGCAGAGTGCAGGGGTGGGCCTGTCGAGAAAAGATGGAACAAAAAATCTCCTGGACCGGCTCACCCTTGCGCCGCGCCAGAGACCCAGGCAAGCAAACAGGGGTGTGGATGTATGGACTCGCAGCGTTGATGTCTTGACAGGTGCAGGAAGACTCACTGAGGGAAGTTGAAGCGATGGGCTCGGTGCTCTGTGCTCTGTGTCGTCTGCAGTTTGCGATCAAAGCATGGGAACACGTGAAGGAGAGGCGAGCCCTGTGCGTGCTCTCAGGAATGCAGCAGCTGGATGCTTCAATGTTGCCTGGGCTGCGTATCATTCACCGGCTGGCCAAGTGCTGTAGGGCTGGGGCTGCAAAGGAGGAGGGCCCGTCGTCTGGAACGCCGACCTGAGGGATGAAACGGAGAGCTGGACGTTCTGATCGCAAAAGGGTCCCGGGCTCAGGACCAAGAGCAAAGCCAGCTGCAGTCTAATATAACCAGACGGCACAAGGCAAACTCTCGTGCTGCCAGCAGGGCAAGAACAAGACTCGGGAGTTAGTTTGATAGAGGTGGGAGGGGGTGTGTGAGGAGAAACGCTGCTCTGGCGTTTGCGAAAGGAGTTGGTTCAGAATAGCAGTACTCGTGCATGCGGCATCTCGATCATGAGAGCTTTCCTTTGTCTGTCTCTGTCCAGACCAGAGGAGAGGAGAGAAGAGAAGCGGGTTGGTGCTCGGGTGGAAATCAGCTGGCGTTGTTGCTAGCGGTACGAGTATCCCTCGGGTCGGCCAGGTAGCAGTACTTACGCGCGTGCGCCGCTCGGGGCCACAGCACCGTACCCAGTACACAAGTACCTCGCTGGGGACCTGGGCAAGACGCAAAAGTCTCACTCCACAGTGTCCCGATGTACTACTAGGTACGTACAAAGAAAGATTCATTGCGGTGGAGCTGCCAGGCTCTGTTAGCCTGGCCCAGCGCTAAAGCCACTACGGGGCAGGGATGCGCTTGAATTGATGCCGTTTTTGGGCATTTGGGGTTTCGCAGCAGCCAGTCCTCGAGTGGCGGCTACATGCGGTGTGAAGGGTGCTGTGTAGTAACATCAAGTACTATGACAAAGGGAGCTGGAGGCGCAGATGAATCAAATTGATGTGTTATTACAGCTCGCCGTGGGTTGTGAACCATGGGTGCGTGCACACATATTCGCCCGCCCCCCTAGGAGATACATCCACGCATCTACTTGGAGAGGACTAGACTATATCCCTCTTGTATCTGCAGAGGTCAGTACGGTAGGTACAAGAGGTACGCAGGCATGCAAGGCCCTCAAATGGGAACTTGGAAGCATCTACCTGGCCGGCTGCAAGGTAATATTGATCCTAGCGGCAGTGCTTGTATCGTCGACGCTAAAACAGCCCTGGCTGGCTGACGTTGAAGCATGCCATGCCAGATTCCGTAGGTGAGGTAATCCGTGGATGGCATGGCATGGCATGGCATGGCATCGCAAGAGAGCGGGAGGACATGCAGGGCATCATCTCAGACACGGTACATAGTACGTGGGCGTTTGAACGTCTCTCGCCGCTGGAAATTAAAGAGCAAACAGCCAGATGGGCCCTCATTTTGCTTTCATTTCATTTCACAACGGGCACAGGAGGAATCTGAGGCGCCCTCCGCAGTGCCTGCTCTCCTCCCCGGCTGCCACTAAGGACTGGCAGTCATCTTACCTTATGTTATGGATTAGCATCTTGGTGCCACATCCGCAACCCACCAGGAGCGGCGTTTCCGGCTGTTGCTTGGGGTCCGCTGGAGCATGCTGACCGGTGAGAATCCATTTCCCTCTTCTATCGATAATACGCCGAGCATTGATGTAACATTGCAGAGCAAACACTTTTGTTTTGTTTCGCGTTGGTGTTTCATGCAGTTGAAACGAGCAACATGTCGATGCGTTCGCCTGCTCATGATGCTTATGATGCGCAGCCGCGGTGACCGCCAGACGATGTTGCCATGTTGGACCCCCCCAAGCCCCTCAACCGCGATCCCCAACAACTACCAGAGATTGGCGTGTGCGTTGTACATCCATACCTGACCTGTGCTTGCGAATATTCCCCGGCTAAGCATCGTCAGGCGTTGCGAGAGCCGGGCATTCTGGGGGCGTGGCGACGGGCAATTTTCCGCCACCTTCTAGACGGTTGGCGGCACGGAAAAGGTAATGTAGTTAGCAGGTCAAGCTTATGTTGATGCTAAGTCTTGCTAGCAGAGGTAGCTGTATTCGTACTTGCGGTCAGCACCAATCTCAGCCGTCCGCTTCCAATGATCGATCAATGGTGTCTCTCCCTTTGGTGCGTTTTCCCATCTTCCCAAGGACTCGTACCGGTGACAAAGCCACCCCCTTTGGTAGGGAGGAGGAGACGGCTTGGCCCAGCCAGTCGTGAACCACTTGGCCTCATGGTGTTAGACAGAAGCACAAGATGCGGCAAATATGCATGCACGAGTACTGCACGAGCACATGTAGTATTGTAATGCACATGCAGCAGCAATTCATTTCCCTCAAACGTGCATGGCGGGCGATCAATAGCGCAGTCCAGAGGGCCTCGGCCGATTGACAACGTCGTGCAGCCAATAAAGAGACTTGCTAGACAACGCCTCTCGCGATCTAATGAACCCATGCACTCTTTTTTTATCTCTCAGGCATGCAATTGTCACTAGACTGGCCGGGTCCAACAATAGAGATGCGAATGATGTAATTCAGATTGACGCTTGTTAGCCGCGACGATGATGGAAATAAGAGGTGGTACGTGCTACATGTCAACGCCAGCAGAGTTAGTACAAACTTACTCGTACTATACTATACGGACTTGTACTCGTGCGTTTTAATGGGCCATCTGAAACAAGTCGGCTGCAAGGTCATCATCACAATCAATCGACCACATAGTAGCATTCATACCACTGCTAGCACTCCGTACTAGTAGTATGGAATAGGCATGGACTAGGAAAAGAATCGGAAGAGCACCCTCAATTGCTGCTAGCCCCAAGGGAGCAGCAAATGCAATGCTACGGGGACGGAGGGGAAATGTATGGATTTCATTACGAGCATCCAAGTTCCAAGTGCTCCGTCAATTCGATTAATCATGCGGATAGGTCATGCTACCGCTGCCGGACAGAGGCGCAGCACACACTGAGCGACGCACCTCAGGTACCAGCGGCATAGCGGCAGGGCTAATGGCGCCACGTTATTTCATCCAAGGGAACGAGGAAATGGGCCACTTGCATTTGTCGCGACAGCTTCATCTCGCAGCTTGGCGATTGCCCACTGATCATTGTCCCTCCGATGCTCACGCGATGCAGATGCAAATGCAGAGCGCACCCATACGCTACGGCCAAGCGCACGTTTCATCTGTGCCCGCCATGACGGTTAGCCATATGGAATCGATCACATCTCTCATCCTAAATGAGATAAGATGGAGCGGCCCGCGCGTGCGGGTAATTGCGTAGGCACTGTGCAATATACAAGCTCAGCTCCCGGATCGCCAGCACAGGATACTTGGGACCCAGACGTCCCGCTAGGAGGGTGACGGTGACCACGCTGGCATCTCGCCACCATGCCGCAGACAACCAGACAAAGAGGTGTTTCGTAAACAGGCTGCATGCACTCGTATGCAACTCGTATGTACGAGAGTAAGCCGCCAAACCGACCGGCTGCCATTGCCTACAGTACTAATGCTAGTAGTGCCCCGTCAGTCGTTCGAGTTCTCGCAGCAAACATTTCATCTGCAGGCGACAGGCTGTTGGGCACCACCATCCTGACAATAGCGACAGGAGAAACGGGTCACGCCTCCAGGCAGCGATGAGACGGCCAGAGAATGACCGCTTTCCCGCAAGGCTTGCATGACACTCCACCCACCGTCATTAGCTCCAGCCAACGGCTCGAGAAACACAAACGTCGTTTCCTAGCCCTTCTCTCCGTTGTCGCCGTTGCGAGCCAGGGGTGCCGCCTCGGTTTCCTTGTCTGTGCATCTGGTTGGCTGCGTGGAGAGGCCGATGGCCAATGCATCCTGGCGGAAATTGCTCTAGCCGTACGTGGCAGGATTCTGGAATTTCTCTCGGCTCTCTCCTCGACTCGGCTCCACCCTCCTGGATCGATCCTTGTCACTGGCGACGAGGGTGCGACAAGGCTTCGCCCAGCCCCATGCATCTCCCTAACTCACTCCAGCTTTCACGCCCCGCCGCCAGTCGCTAGCTGCGCACAAGTACGGAGAGCGAGCATGCACAAACGCACAGCTAGCATAACGAATCCTTCTCGAGGCGTTCCAGAAGCCTGAGCCCCAGCCCGGCCTCCACCAATGAACCGACCGTCGTATGGCTGACGGACCCTAGCGATACGTAACGTGGTGTACAGGTAGTTGTCTGTCCTCCACCCCTCGCTGTCAGTGCCGGTCCAGTATGATCACCATGATCGGCTGCTGGCTTCCGTGATCCGTCGTAGTAGCAAAGCTGGGTAGTCCACAGCGGCGGCCATGCATTGGCTTCCTCTGCAGCCTCGAGTGTCTGTCCGCGCTTTGGCTTTGCACGGCTTAACAGGCGCGCTCCTCAACGCAATTTCTCTTCTGTCCTCTACTCGTATGCGCCCGAAATCAATCCGCAGTATCAGTTTGTGCAATTCCAAAGTGTTAAAAATAGCGAATGATGTAATGAGGGATGATCCTCCCTACTTGAAATGCGCGGCCATAATGAAGGGGCTCCGGTGGTGGATCGGGTACAGTAGAGTAATTCAGCTTGTTGGTTTGCCCACCCCTCAGCAAGTCGTGGGGAAAAAAATGAAATGCACTACTGTAAGGCCATGCTGACAACTGGGCAAGGTCACCTGAACGACGCGTGACCCAACACAGAGCCGCAGAGCCATTATTTCACCCAGTCGGAACAATTCGATGCTTCAATTCCAGTCTGTTTACTCGATCCGCCAATCAAAACTGCAAGCTCGAGTACGCACAAACAATTGTGCGTGTGCATGCAACCTTTCTCCAATACTCGTGGCAAGGATCGCGATATCCGATGAGCCTCCAACGCTATATCCTACCTTGCAGCCAAGAGACGCATGGCGCGCTCAAAGTGGCTGGTGGCATGCAAGGAATCCGTCGCACCACGGCTTTTTAATCTTGAAACCACGCAGGTGAAACAAACGACCGACCATCACGCCCACCCCAGTCACCACGGAATCAGGGACCAGGATATGATATTAAGTGCTGCGACAGCTGATCTACATGTACGCAAAGCTTCAACGGGCAAGTTAATATTAGCGTCATCACCGTTGGATGGGCCGCGGCCCAGATGAGTCCCGAGGCTCGTTTCGCTCCCATTCCCACTCCCAAGGCATAACACGGAATGGCATGGCATGGCAAACAACCAAGAGGGACAATATTCCCACACGTCGAGAGTTTCCAAAACCAGCGCCACCAACAGGGCGCGGCGCCCATGGAGCCTGATCAGGGAGCACATTGCTGTTGGCAGCAGTGTTTTGGGGGCGTGGCTAATATCCAGCATCCCAAGTTGGTTGGCTATCCAACACGCCCCAGCGAATATCCGTCGAGTTCAAGTGTGGTAACAAGGTGCAGAGGAAAGGCCTTTTATCCAATACTGGTTGGTCCCTGGATCCTCAAGCATCTGCTACTATCGCTACTACTCTTTTCTAATATCTGCTATTTTCACTATTAAAATTGGGACGCGAGCAAAGGGGATGCTGGATAGTCACTCCCTATTGGAATTGCAACCTAGGGCTAATCGCTTGGCCAGCTAGGACATAACCTTTGTGGTGCATGGGCACTTATTTAGCGCAAAGTATTCTCGCCGCAAGCTGGGGCGACGGATCAGGATTGTATCTAACAATGGTTTAGGCTTGGTCCAGTGGCCAGTTGTTACTATTGTCAACTGGGTCCCGAATATGGACGACGGATGACGGAGTACTCCGTTCTTTCGGGGACTTCATACGAGTACGAAAACATGCAAACGGATCCTCACCACCCACTCACTCGGAGGGCTGGCTTGATCGCTTAATGAAACTAGGAGCGCCAATGAAAGTCTGCAAGAATGGCCAAGCCCAATGAGAAGAGAGATCGACGCATAGTCTGCTTGTTTACGAGACGCCTCAATCTCTCCGCCTCGAACATCCAGCGACTTGGAACCCAATGAAGCGCTGACTACATTCCTATCCTTGCATCCTACTTACACCGGGCTTATCCTGACCAACAAAGGAAAGCCAGCAATGAGTGCCGGCAACTCCGTGCACCCCCACGCCTTGGAAAACGCCAGAAAGGGGATATCCGATGCCGACTTGGGACTTGGTGAGGAGCACACGACACCATGTGGCAGCTTCAGACACCCTGTTCTGCGGCAACGCTGTGTCTCACAGCGCTTCATCTGGCACCTGAATTTCGGCATCGAGGGAGAATATAGCGGCTTGAAGATTGCCACGAGCTGATGATAATTGCTTGATCCTTTCTCTGTCCTGAGCTCCTTTCTCCCGTCCCGTCCGGGGGAGGCTGCGGCCAAAGCGGTTCCTTGCCTCGTGGTCGTGCTAAACGTGCGTAATTGTCCGGTCCTTGATATAACCAGTGAACTCAGCTTCTCCATTTTCATCATTTAGGAATGAGTTCCAGTAGTTCGTCTTTTCTGATGGTTTCATCATGAGAGCCCCCAGAACTCATGATAGACGGAGGGGGTCTCGATTGCTCTCAACATTCCCCACGGCTATTAGCACAATTTGATTGTTTGCTATTGCGACAATTCACTCAATGCATAGCTGGCGCCATTTGACTGTGGAGGCAAGATTTGACGACTGCCTTGGGCCGTTTTCACATCATTTGATGTAAGTATTCCGATACCATCCGAACCGACACCATCCGCGGCGCTGTCTGTACGGAATTTCGCCTTCTATACACGCCGATCTGGCCCTTCTTGAGGTAATAGTGACATTTTCCAAAAATAAAGAAAGCAAATAATCCGGCATGGCTAGCGTCTTATTCAGGCAGCGAGCAGCAATTGATTTTTTTTCCCTTGCCTTTGCTGACCGTTTTACGGTCCGTCGAGTCCCAGGGGTCGGCCGACGTAAACGCCGGAATGCTACCCCCTCAGGAGCTTTTAGACCGCCCATTGGGGAGGAATGTCTCTAGCAACAAAGCAGAAATCATAAAGACACACACACAAACGAGAAGAGGTTTCCGTGCAAAGTCTCCGGATAACACAAACGGGAAGAGGTTTCCGTGCAAAGTCTCCGAATAACAACGGCACTTTGTGGTGAACGAGGGGGGGGCCTTGGGACCGTGCATATTTTCGGCGCCGTTTTCTGACAAATGGGGAGGTGGCGTGCACCTTGAGGGTCCGATCTTGTTTTCCTCCTCTCTTTGTTCTTGCATCATGTGGGGGGAGGGTGTAGATAGAAATGATATATTCGGTGACGACTTTGACACAAGTTCCACCCTCTTTGTATTGTGGCAGTATTGTGTATGCAAGATCTCGGGATCCTGAATATTGCTTACCCTGAAGCTTGGCTGATAGACTTGAGTAGGATGTGTTTTGGGCCCGTTTGGATGAGAATTTAGTTAATCTTATTCTTAGGACGGTGGTATTTTCATCTATTGTATTAAGATAGATACATCATGAAACTAGCCGTAATGATTGTGGAAATAGTCTATCATGGCAATCAATTTGATTCTAGTAAGGGATCGGTAACAGCACATGAAGTGTAATTCACCCCAGTTCCAAACCCTCGGCATTTGTAAGGTCCTCACGTACCATCACATGAAAACATGTCCCAGGTATTATCCAGTGCCTCATCGTATGATATGCAAGAGGATGAACACGCCACCCCAAGTCGGACCCAAGGACGGACATGACGACATTTCGACTCAGAAAACTTCACTTGAACATCACAAACTAGCCCAAACCAAGCACAACCCTTCTCCAAAATGGGAATAAGACAGCAAGAAAACATTTATTGGAAAAGAAAATAAGAGAAAATAAAAAGAAGAGAAATCTCAACTGCTCGTTTTGGTAATCTTTCAGATGACCCAAGGCACTCAATGAATTGCACACGCGGTATCATGGCCTCATGAATCATTAGATTTGCCCGCTTTCCAGCACGCATTGAACCATCCCATATCAGCATTCCCCCGAGAATAAAATCCAAAACAACTAGGAAAAAAAAAAAAATAAACAAGAGAGACCCGAGAAGTAGGGGAATACCCAAACGATAGATGAACACAAATAAAAACAAGAAATACCAGGCATATCCATCAAATTCACTCAACAATGTTTCTATCAGCAAACGGATCGTCATCATCCTCCTCGTCTGACAAGTACGAGCCCTGTCTCTGCTGGGCCGTAGGTCGGGGGTTCGATGGCAGCGGCGGTGGTATCGGCGGCGCTGAATAGGCAGGCTTCGAGGCAGGCCGAGGGGGCGGGGTCGCTCTTGGGGACGAGTTGATGTTCAGACCGGCGATGTCGGGGTGCTCGGCCCGGGTTGGGGAGGTCGTGGCCTCTTTGGCAGCTAATTCTTCTTTTCCTTTTATAGCAGCCACTAGAAAGGAGAAAAAAAAGACATTAGGGTCAGTCTCAGGGCTTTGACGAATGCGAGGTTTTGGAGTTGCCAGAAGGGGCAGTTCTTACTTCTGTATAAGTGAGCTTGCTCTGCAAGTTCGTCATCCGAGTCACTGTCGGCATCGACGGACTGGTCGAGCTGCTCAAAGGTCATGAGAGCGCGAACAAGTTCGTCGTTGGCGTGGAGGAGTGGACCTAGCCACTGTTCATGGTCGACGTGATGAATCTACTCGAGGGTTAGCTCTCTGGGAATACATGCCAAGGGAGGCTCCCTAAGGGGGGAACATATGTGGTGAGGACATACAAAGCGCAACACCTTTCTACGGAGAAGCTTGCAAGATTCAAATCGTTCGACGGCCAGGTTGTTCTCGGAAATACGCTCCTTTTCACGGTTGATTGTCTGCAGCACGTTGAGCAGGTTCGTTGCTGCCAGCGACGACTCTGCAATGACAGACTTCATCTGCTCCTTTTCGGCTTCTAGGTTGAAGGGCTTCCTCTTGCCCTTGGTCTTGCTGCTGCTGCTGCTCTTCTTTTTCTTGTCGGAGCTGGAGCTGAATATGGACCCGCCGCCACTCGACAACGACAGAGAAGATGCTTGCTGATGCTTAAACGAATCAACCATTGACGATCCGCGGCTATGAGACGAGCGACTGTGGGATGACGACGAGGGCCCGGCGGCGGGAGGGGATGGCGATTTCGGGGACGTTGGCTCTTCATCTTCGTCGTCGCCAAAGGGGTTCTCTGTTTCCTTGAGCACGCGCGATCTCTCCTGCGTGACGCCAACCTTGCGCTTCGGCAGCTCCTTGTGCAACCGGGCAATCCTCTCCAAGCCGGGCTTGTTCGCATACTGGGACCAGCTGCTGAACAGCTCCCTGCACTTCTTCCTGACCTCTGGGTCCGAGAGGTCGGACGTGCCGCACACGCGCAGCCGCTCCAGCAGGGGCTCGTCGGCAAACGTGCGCTGGAAGCGCGGGCCGGCGTTCTGGATCAGGCCGTCGAGCAGGACCAGGGCGCGGATCTGGCGGTGCACGTTGCCGTACTTGAGCTTCTTTCGAATGGCGCGGGCGGCCTCCGTGGGGCCGGAGGCCTGGAGGGTGATGACCTCGACGAGATCGGGGATGCCGCTGAGGTCTTCCTCTTCGTAGGCCTCGGATGTGAGCGTCTCGATGGTGACCGTGACGGCCGAGTACGGCTTCTTCTGTAGGCAGCGTTAGTTATTTGGCTATAGCGATCCGCAAGGCGAGGGGAACATGGAGCCGTCGTACTTGTTGGAACATGTTGGACGGCCGAGGTGAAGCTTAGCTGGCAGATAGAGTATGTAGGTGTATAAGCAGTGACGCCTTGAACCCTCGAGCTACCAGGCTGTAAATGGAGCTTCCAGAAGCTACCTCTCGAGATTTCCGCGGCGCCGATGTATTTGTACAGGCCCTGCGAGGGTTGACGAGCTCGTCTTGTGCCACGATATTCAGCTGGTATTCAGCTCAATCCACGTCCGCAGCGCCACGTTGTCGCAGGCAGCTCAGCTGAGCTAATAAGACAGGTTCTCAAAGAGCTCCTTTTGTACTGTCGCGCAAGCCGAGCGCCCGCCTGATTTCCGGGTCGTTTCGCGTGATGTCTTTGATTCACCGCCCGCTGCAGAAACGATTGGCATCAGCCGATGATGATCCCTTTGTGCGGCTTTTGCGAGGAGATTCGGCAAATGCGTTGCCAGTTTGGAGGGTCCCTTTGGGTGATTAAAACGCGGGGCTGGAGATGATTCGGGGCTTTGGCGGTGGGGGCATGTGGTGACGTCGCTTTTTCGGCCCTGTTTTTATTTTTGGTCTTGCGAACTGCTTTGTTCTTGGCTTTGTTTTGCTCTGTTTCCAGCTGTGGATCGGTTTAATTGGGTAGTTTTATGCACTTTTTCGAGGGTGGATTAATGGCTTGATTTGGAATGCCGTCTAATTGATTCCACTGTCTCTCTCTATTTAGCGGTGATGGCGTGTGAGGCTACGACACAAAAGCAATTCGAGATGGCCTGGGCTGTCACAATTCGGTGCTTTTACAATCGCAATCACCAGACTAACAAGCGAGATATCATGATATTGACTTGCCCAAGATGAAATATCAGAATATAGTATTAGTACTAATATATACATATCGAGTACTGCTCTAATACTATTACGCGTATACACATGCTGAATAGTTGTGAAGGTTTGTAGCTATGCCGCCAACCCCCACGTTCATCCAACTCTAATAGAACCAACGTCTAATTTTAGTATTTGCATCGCAGCGCCATGCAGGAACATAAAAAGAATAAACAGCCAATCATAAAAGAAGCAGAAAAGAAAACAGTAAAGAAAAGGTCATCATGAATTGCCCAACCCCAGCAGCACCAGGTTCGCGACGTTCATCACGGCAATGAGCAGCCAGACGAGGGCGCTGAGAATGATGAGCACCCAGCCGTTGGACATGTCCGTGGCCGGCCCGCCAATCGGGTGGCCATCTTCCCCTTCCCTTGACTCGATCTGGAGCCGAGCTCGGCCAGGCTGCACCATCATGTACCGTGACCGGGCAGTGAAGTAGATGAGCGGGAACGTCACAAATGGCAGTACGGTACTGAGCACGACCTGAGAGGCGTTGAGGGCTGAGTCGAGACCCTTTCGCCCGACTGCACCAGCGATGATGATGGAAGGCGTTATGCTGATGGATCGCGTGATGAGGCGTCGCAGCCAGGGCTTCATTCTCCACCGGAGAGCGCCCTCGCTGACCATCTGACCGGCAATGGTGCATACAATACCGGCAGAGACACCCGAGAGGAGGAGGGCCAGGGCAAAGATGGTTCCCGCGCCAGACGAGATGCTGCTAGAAAGCAGCTGGTGAATGCCAAAGATGTCTGCGGTAAGGGCGTCTGGGTTACCGTAGAGAGAAGCGCCGGCGACGATGAGAATGGCCGAGTTGACGAACAGGGCAAAGGTAAAGAGTGACAGCGCCAGCTCGGTGATGGAGTACTTGAGGCAGTGCTTGATGGCCGCTAGAGAGGGAATGTAGAAGACCTTATCGTAGCTTCCGTCCATGGTCGACGAAGCCGCCGACACGGGTTCCTGGGGCATGAGACCGTGCTTCTCATCGTAGTCCTTGAGGCGCGGCTTGACGATGCCGGATCCCAGGTACAGGCTGTGAGGCATGACGGTGGCGCCGAGGATACCACAGGCTTGGTAGAGGCCGTCGGACTGGACAATGGCCGAGGAGGGGAGGTAGCCCTTGAAGACCTCGCCGACGCTGGTGTGCTTGATGAGCGAGAGCTGGATGCAGAAGCAGATGACGACGCCCAGAACCAAAAGGAGGACGAAGAACTCAAAGATGCGGAGACCTTTCATGGAGCCGTCTGGGCGGTAGAAAATGAGGATGGCCATGACGTCGAGGATAGATAGAGCGCAGCCGGCGACAAGGGGCAGCTTGGGGATGAGGAGGTTGAGCGCAATGGCCGTGCCAATAACCTAAACAAGAACAACAGTCAGCACCAGATAGTTCTAACCAGGGATATCAGTCTTAAATACCTCGGCGATATCAGTGGCAATGATGGCAACTTCAGCCAGCGCATAGAGAAAGTAGTTGAGCCATCGTGGCAGATAGGCGCGACATGCCGATGCCAGATCGAGCCCCGTGACGGTGCCCAGCTGGATGGCGAGGCTCTGGAGGAGGATGGCGAAGAGGTTGCTGAGCAGGACGATGAAGAGGAGCTTGAAGCGGTACGAAGAGCCCGCCGCAATGTCGGTAGAGTAGTTTCCGGGGTCGACTGCGCGATGATATTAAGTCAGCGTTTTTTCAATCCTTTCTCTTCTTCTTCATCTTCTTTCTTCTTGTTTCGTCCATGATGGGAGCTACACCGACTTACTGTATGCAACAGAAACCATGAATCCAGGTCCCACAAACTTTCCAAACGTCATCAAGACATGCTTCAGCCTCGCCAACAGCGTCCTGCGTCTCGTCCTTGAGCTGCGCCCATTCGAAGCCGTGACCGAGTTCTCATCACCAGCACCGCCATCCTCGCCGCTCGTCTCAAGTATCGCCCCCGTTGCAACCTGCGCGCTCTGCGTCTTGCTGTCGGCGGCTCTGTCAAAGGAAACAATCCGCGGCGGCGTCTGACGGGCGATTGAGTCGTCTGCGACATCGCCGGCCTCGGTCCCGGGTATCCTGTCCATTTTTGGCCTTTGTTCAACTGCTGATGTCGTCCCAAGTTGTTTCCTGGTTTCGTCTCCTACCCCCCCTTTTTTGTGCGCTGCTACCTTCCACCTATAAGAGCAAAGCAGGATCCCTGTTTAAGAAATATCCAGTTCTGGGTAAAATATGCCAGTTTTTCACGTCGGATTCGTTTTGTTCTCGCTCAGCTCGAATGTCGTCAAAGCAGAAGCATACATGCACCTCGCTTCAGTCCCCCGTCCATCAATCCGGCACCCCTACCAATCAGAGAATTGCGCAGCGTAAGAACAGTCGTGGCATGCCACAGAAGCAAAATCAGAAACAAGACGGAAGCGATTGGATTTAAGAGGCCACAGCCACACAACGGACGCTGAAAAAAGAAAGTGGAGACCGCTGCGCTGGTTTTGGATGACTGGCGTTTTCGGGAGGAACTCTGTGTGTCTTGGATTATTTTGTCTAAAAATTGCTTGTTTCTTCTTCTTCTCTTCTTCTTTTTCTTCTCCTGCTCTGATCTTTTCTTGGGTGGAGAGAGGAGGCTAATTAATGGCCCTCGGGGATCGACTCCGGAAGAGAGCGTTGACTAACACAGAAGTAGGAGCTGCAAAGTAATTCGTATCTGTTACGGCATCGGGTCAACAAGCCCGAATCTGCCCGGAAGCACTTGGGTCCGGTCTCACTGGCGTGCAAATCTCGAGACGTTCCGACAGGGCTGACTGTCACTGGCTATCCACTCGTATGCGAGGTCTTGTTCTCGTGCGTCTGGAGCAGATGGAACGAAGAAAACTGGAAGATTTGCAGCCCGATTGTGCTCCCAAAGACGATGCAGATGCAGATGGGTTTGTCGTCGAGATAGAGGCCCGGCCGGTATGCTCCGCCTCGGCGATGCAAGCCCGGGGAAATGGAACGGTCTAGGTTTGCGTAAGAGGATTTAATGCAAGGGGTAAAGCCAAAAAAATCTTGTGAATCACGCGGCTAGAAGCGCAAGTTTAAACAAACAGCCGAAAAAGTCAGGGGGGCTTCAGGGTTGGGGTCTTTTGATCACTGCCGGCCAAAGAGAAGCTGGTCCGGGCTGCAGATGACTTTGCTTGTTAGTGGGTGGGAGAGCGCCGGATGTCGATTCTCGTGAAAGGAGGCGAGTCAAGAGAAAGACGTAGATTGTCGTCAGCAGGGGCAGCGGCCTCGGTATTTACAGTTGCAATGTTTTGACTCGTTGAGTAATTCCACCTTGTTGTACGGAGTACGAGAAGCTTCGTGACGATTTGAATCAAAGACCCTGCCACAAGCCCGGAACCTCAGTGCCGTCTACCTCCATAATACAACATCACATCACATCACACACATGCAATCTTCATACCTCTTCACTCGCGGCCCCCTCTCCTAGACCGGGTTTCCCCGGAACCTTTTTCTGGCACCTTTTTTTCTTCTCAAACTCTCTCCAAGTGGAGATGTTCAAGGCTGAGAACAGGTAGTCTTTCGGCTAGCCGGCTGCCGCTCCCATCCGGGTCCTCTAGCCTCTGCGCCGCCTCTTATTTCTCTTTACTCGTATTCTCACCAAGGAACGGTCACATGCTTGGGTTATTTTTCTTACGTGTTCTTGCGCCTTGTGGTTCCCCTTTTCGTTTTCTTCCCCAGATGTTTCCCCGCGTCTGGCCGATTTTCTAGGCCGAGAGGCGTCGACGATCTTGACATCATTGGAGCTGCTCAGGGCGGGATGAGGACTTGCGCATCTGGAACAGAACCTCGTAGAGCAATTGCGGTGCCATGGTTCGGAATAATTGTGACAGATCCATTAATCACTCATAGCTGCAAGCACTTCTTACACCCGGGGCAGTGCAAAAGCAAACCCACAAGCCGCGCAATGCCATCGGTCTTATGCCGGCATTCAATCGGAATACGACACTGGATCCGTCGTGCCGGTATTGAGATTGAAGCTCACAGCATCGCTAGCAAGACATGATAGAAATCGAAAGTCAAAACATCACGAAAAACGTATTCAAAAGAAACCAAAGGTATGATTCTTCTCTCAAAAGCCCAGCCTTTTCAACCCTCATCTAGTGGTATATGTGGAATTCCCAACCATTTACTCAGTTTTTTTTCAATCCTCCTTCCAACAAACCGCATCCGAGTCTGTTGAAAGACTTTGTTATACAGTAATCCCTGGTAGCACAAAAACGCCATGCTAGGTGTTCAACTCGCCCTCTCAATCCCGGCCCTTGTAGCCTCCAGCCCCTCTCCAACACAGCAATATTCATACATCTAAATGGCGTGGCACAATATCGGCTGTCAAATGTAGACCCGAGGGCCATTTTTTATTTCTGCTTCTTGCCAGATTTGGCCGCCTCGCGCTCTCGCTCCCGTTTGGCGTAAATCCCAGCAGTGAACGGGTCCTCGAACCGCAGGGCGATGATGTACACAATGAGCACGCCCACGGTCAAGGCAATACCGGCGGGCTTTCCAAAGACGAGGGCAGTTCCCAAAAAGTTCATCGTTGAGCCCCAGTACATTGGTGCCGACGTGACATTGAAAGGGAATCCAGTCACCATCTCGTCCATCAGAATGCCAAAGTAGTCGCCCAAGAAGGTGCCGGTGATGCCCAGGCGCCACGTCGACGAGACGACAAGGATGTTGCCGATAGCAAGCAGCGCATACCCGGCAGCCTGCGAGTACAGCGTCGTCAGAAGCGGGTGCGATGGCTGCTCAGACAGGGCCACCTTGTACAGCCAATCGCGCACGAGGCCCAGCGAGAAGATGGTCACGGCGAGGGCATAGCAGGCCGGGTAGGGCTTGCCTCCAAACAGCCTTGTCAGGATCTTGTTATGGTATTCTGCAGAACGACATGATGGTCAGCTGCCTGTGACCTGCCAATCGGGAGATCGGAGTATGGGTTCGTACCTTGACGGGCGACAATGCTGCAGCAGAACGATGTGTAAGCAAGCAAACCAAACAATGTCATCACATGTCGGGGGGGTTTCCATCAGATTCTTACTTCCAGAAGAGCGGGTTGAAGATGATTGACCCTACTGAGACTGTTTTCCCACTGATTAGACACCTGTCTCTCAACTCATCTGCCAGGACAGCTTTCGCCGCTTACTCAATAGGCTCTGCTTGTCCAGGTCGATATATTCGGCCAGGTCGGCTACGTTGAATGATGACGCCATCGCGAGCTCTGTGCGTGCAGGTAGTTTCGGGAACTAGAGAGAAGAGGGTAAACAGCAGAAATGGGAAGGGAACCCAAGAAGAGAGAATGGCGATCACAAGCGAGAGAGAAACGTGGCTGCATCTGGTCGGGAATTTGAATCAAATCAAAGTCCAAGGTCACAGGGCATAGCGTCATTGAATGTACCTGCTAACGAAGAGTACATGCAGCTCGAGCTCCTGCGGGTGCGGGGATTGGTCACTCAGATGGGGCCCTCAACAAAATTGGCGTCTGTCACAAGCAAATTTATCAATTCCAATTCCATTCAGCCGCCTCTGCCAGCCTGGAAATGACAGGGCATAAGAAAAAAAAACAGAAGCCTACTCCGTTGAGGATGAAAACTAGTACTAGCTGGTAGTATGGGCACGAACCTGCCAGAATAACCAGGGGAAATGTAACCGCTAATCCTAAAAATACACTGCCCATGTATGAGGTAGCAAAAGCTCGCGTGTCCAAAGAATCCCCCTTCTCCGATGCCCACGGAAATTCCTCACGGCGTCTCCAATGGGGACAAAAGCCTATATGCTGCCGACACTGGCCGGCATTTGGTATCTATAAATCCATTCACGTCCCTCACAATACAGAAATCGTCATCATCAGCTCATCCACGAGTCGTGGCTGGTTTGGATATTCTCCCTCCCTCACAACGCCTTAAAACGCCGCCCATTAGTGACATGTTTACCGCCTGTTTCTCGTCTTCTTTCCTGCCGTTGCAGTGTCTTCCTCTTCTTCGTCTTGGCCCTTCTTGAGGTCCTCTGTCAGGCCCCATTCCTCCTTGTCGTACCAGTCTTCGCCATCTGACATGTCTCGATTTGGGCCGCAGTGTGCCTCTGCTTTTGACCAGTCCAGCACATCTTTACGGAGCCTTTGCGCCCTCAGCAGACCCATGTGCAGTCTCGCAGCCCCTCGACAGACCTCTTCTTGCTTCTGCACATACAAGGCAAGGAGCCGCCTGATGTCTTCGGCTTCAGCGTCTGGTAAGCCGAGGTTCCGATCGAGCGAGGCATTTGAAGGCGGCAGGAACATTGGGTGGATGTATGAAGCCTCCGCGTCCTGCTTGGCTTCTGGGTTTTCTTGGGAAGTCTTGTTTGCTTGTTCAACGCTGTCCTGCATTTGGACGTCTTCGCTAGGTAGCCGGCTTCCCTTTTTGCGACCTTGACTTGTATTTTCGTTTGATGGCTCTCTGCCGTTTGTATTTCTCCCAGTGTCGCCATTAGGTGTGCTTTTGCCGTTTTCTTTTTTCGCGTCTTGTGTTTCATCAGACTGCTCCTTGGGAACTGCGTCATCTGTTTCCATTGCCTCATCCTGCTTGGGAGGTGTTTTTCTCTTCCCAGGTGATTCGGCATCGCCCATGGGCACGTCGGCATCTGCTGAAGCAGCGGCGCACTTCTCGTCTGATTTTGCCGGTTCATTTGTGCCGGCAGTATGAGGCGCGGACGCATCAGGCTTCTTCTCGCCATTCACGTTGGATGGTGAAGACACGTTATCGCCCGCCTTGGAGAGATCTTGAGGCGGGTGAGCCTCGTTGTTTTTAGTATAAAAATCGATGTCGTTGGTGCCGACCATGGTCGAACACGGCACCCAAGTAGAATCGCCGCAGAGCGAGGTCCATAAATGCCGAACCTGCCACAACGACCGGTTTTCCTTTTGCATTATGCCAGAACTTTGTTTGACTAGCTCGGTGAGGGTATGGGAGGTGAAGGGCTTGGAGAAGACGGGATGGGTTGGGAGGTCGGTTGAAGCAGTGAGGGGCGCAAGGATGTCTGTTAAAGTCAGCGCGAGCCCAGCCCAGGCGGGTTGCACGGCAAACGTACGTTCCAAGCGGATGTTTGCATATGGATTCAGCTCTGCAGCTGACAGTATGGCCTCCTCGACGCGGGACTCGTCGTCGTCGCTGTCGAACTCGTAGCCGTCATCGTCGACCAAGGGAGGGTTGCGATGGATAATGGACCTTTGAACACCGGCGTACTCGACAGACTGTGCCAGGTTAGCTGGGTGAGCCATCGCGCCTCACGGGGCGGCGTCGGTGCGTATCGACGGTCGGTCGTACCTCCTTGTAGGCTCCAGGCCCTGCCGTGGGCATCAATTGCCCCTTGTGTGCGAAACGCGCCCTCTTCTTAAGTTTGTTGCCGCGATTAGTGAAGCTGTCGATCTCCGAGTCGGAGTCAGACTCTGTCGACGCCAACGGGTTAGCGTGATCCGGCTCAGCTGAGAGCGTTTGGAGAGCTCACCATAGGCCCTCCGCTTGAAGGCCTTCTTCATGCCGGCGATGGTCTCGGCAAAGATAACCTGCTGCGACGCCATGATGGGCAGATCCAGAACCAGAACCAGACCCCGAGGCCAGCCGACCGACCGATCGAACGAGGGCAGAAGAGCGCTGGGCGAGCCGGTCGAGGGACGGACACGACGAGTTGGAGAGCGGAGAGCAGCCAAGAGCAGAATCCAGAGTCGGCAACGAGGTGGTGATGGAATCGTTTAGCGCACCGAATGCGGCTTCATGCGGTCCTGCAGGGCCTCGTCCAGAAGACCCCAGGGCTTGTGTCATGCACAAAAAGTTGGCTGGAGGAGCAATTTGGCCCACGAACCGACGAGGAGAGCGGCAGAACAGCAGCGAGACTGGACAAGGCTGCTTTGACTCTGCCCACTTTTTTTTCCCGAGCTTCTGCAGCCAACATGGCAGGGCCAATCACAAACCGAAACACGGAAGCTTACTTTTGCCGATGCCGCGCTCGCTGCTTGCGCTGTGACGTAGCATTGCCGGGGTTTGCCGGGGTTTAAGCGGGAGCTTCAGAATGGTTGAGCTTGTCACTGGTCTGAAGACGAAACTCAATTCATTTACTGGAGCTTATTCTTATCATTGATGTCTCAAGAGATCATCTTAGGCACAGGTAGATCACAAATCATTCGTCGTGTCAGGATACCTGCAGTTGAGCCAACTTTGCTTAGCTAGTGCTTGACGATATCCTTGACTTCCTCACCCTACAATAACGGCATTTCTTAATCCAATATCATTATCAATCGTGTCAATTACACTCTTACACAAGATGTCATTGTTCTATATCACCGTGGCAAATCTTTCTTTTTCCCATCACAATGGGTTCGACACTCCATCCATCAAATACGCCTAATCTGGATTCATGTGCACGTTCCTGCAGGATTCGTGGCCACCCATAGCGCACGGTTTCTCCAAGAACCGCGGTGATCGACCCTCGGCACTCGCCATTCTTCGCCTATAATTAGTTCCCTTGTCCAATAGGGTTGCCGTCTGTATCAATTTGACATCAACTTTATATAGAATCCAATGAATTAATCTTTAAGCTCCTGGAGACAGCATCATATTGTACAAGCAGAGTACACATATATCCTTGTGCACTTTACGCCGATCCTCCTGAAGGCTTTCCAACGTCTACGCCATGCCATTCTTTACTAATGAAAGATATTATTTGTCTGGATGCTCGACCCACGTAAAATTTGGTGGGCTATGCGTTGGCGGGTGATTACTCCAGATGGAGGGTGAAAGGTTGTAAATCTAGATCCAAATCATTGTTCAGCGTTGTTGAGGAGAGGGGGCCGGTAAATGTATTTAAGAGACCGAATACTCCGGCAAAGCAGTACAATGAAGCTATACATTAAACAATTACATAGGACGCCCATTGTCTCTCTTCGGATTCTCATCTCAGCAACAGACAGCAAACTCGCCGACATGAGAGCCTCTATCATCCTAGGCATAGTAGTGTCCCAACTATCACTTGTAAGAGGCGAGTGTCTCCCTCAAGTGGACTTGGGATATGAGATCCACGAGGCGCTCAAGTATAACGTATGACCTTTTTGTCTCCTTCCACAACGGAGAAGTAGCTCTGCTAACCCATCATAGGATACAACCGGCCTCTATACCTTTAGCAACATTCGATACGCCCAGCCTCCAGTCGGCGATCTACGCTTCTCTGCTCCAAAGCCACCAACAGGCCGGAATCTTGTGGTGGAGAAGGGCAATGGGTCACTTATCATGTGCCCTCAAGGGTCTCCAGGCTGGAGCATCGCGAATTCGGATTTTGGGCATGCGTTTATAAATGGGGATCTGTCCAATTACAACTACACGGCAGAGCACGCAGCGCAAGAGTTGATCACCAAGAAGAATGCGCAAGCTATCCTGGAGCTTCCCGGGCAGACGGAAGATTGCCTATTTCTCGATGTCGTTGTTCCTCGCGCTGTGTTTGACCGTCGAACGACGACGAAGAAAGCTCCCGTTTTAGTCTGGTTCGTTCCACTCTATTGAAGATGAAAGTTCATGTCAACTTACTGATGCCTTGGATAGGATGCATGGAGGCGGTTACATCCTTGGATACAAGAATAATATCGTTGATGCCACTGACCCGGCTGGCCTGATCAATGCAAGCCGAAGCGATGGCTCAGACGGCTTCGTCTATGTGTCTTTGAACTACCGGCTTGGGGCTTTTGGTTGGCTGGCTGGACCGTCTCTTGGAGCGGCAAATGGTACTGCGAATGCTGGCCTCCATGATCAACGTCTTGCTCTTCAGTGGGTGCAGAAGTATATTCATCTCTTTAGGGGAGATCCAAACAAGGTGACCCTTAGCGGTCGTAGGTACCACCATTTCCTTTTGATATTCAGGTAGCCTCAAGTTAACTTGTATGCTCTTCAGTTTCGGCCGGCGGCGGCAGCACTGTTCACCATATCACGGCACATGGTGGTAAAAAAGGACCGCCTCCCTTTGCAAGGGCCTTCATCAACTCTCCTGGATACTTTCCTATCGATTCCAACTTCCAAGCCGAAAATATCACCCAATATTTCCTCAAGTTTCTTAATGCAAGCACAATCGAGCAAGCTCGCAAACTACCAACCAGGGCACTGATGGAGGCCAATGTTGCTCATATATCCAGCGTTGAGACCAATTTTGCTTATGGACCCGTGGTTGATGGAGACTTCGTGCCTGCTCTACCAGGCCTGTTGCTTTCTTCCGGCAGATTCCACAAGAACGTCGGTTTGTTGCTCAGCCATACACGCTACGAGGGCGGCGAATATTCACAACCTTTTGTACAGACCGATGATGATTTCATATCTCTCCTTCGCCAGCTCTACCCAGGCATTGTGGATGAAGTGGCCAATTATATAGTCAAAGATCTCTATCCTGGGAAAGGTTCAGTGCGGACCCTTGACTTTATAGGCGATAACATTTTTGCGTGCAACACAAACTGGCGGGCCAAGGCATTTGCCAACCGAACATACAACATGCAGTTCAACATCAGCCCCCCTTTCCATGCATATGATGAATCACACATCTGGAACGGATACGGAAGACAGAATTTTGGTACTCCCGTGATAGAATCTCTGGCATCGTTGTGGCAAGGACACATTACCAATTTTATCAAGACTGGCAATCCGAATGGCCATAGCCTACCATCATTCCCTCAGCAGGGACCAAATGCAAGCGCCAACATCTTGACGTCTGAAGGGATTATCACTGCGCAAGATTCCACTGCCGGATACAGATGTGAGTGGCTGCAAAAGGGTCTCTTTACCTAGAGGGAGCATATTAATTATGTATAATGTCACTGTTAGTATCTGTCTCAACCAAGGGTCAAATACACGAGATGAGCTGTATCTTGCGAAATACGGTTGCTATCGATTTAGAGTTACATGGTTAATATGAACTCCATCTACATCACGCAACAAGGAGCCGGGGAATTCCCTCCAGGGAACTCCTTTCCTGACTCAATGAGCATCATCTCATGATGCACCAGTACCTGCGCCGGCTTTCTTCTTTACTTCAGACCTTCAAACTTGGCTCTTAACCAGATTGCAATGTCAAGCCAATTTGCATTAGGAAAATCCGCTTCGTATTCCCTGACGATACGTTCAATTTCGACCTCTGATTCTGCATTATCTGCCGCAGCCCAGGCCATACATAAACTAAGCGGTATATGCATCGCGCCCAAGGGCCTATAACTCGATGCTCTTACAGCAATTTTCGCAATCTCCGAAATGAGAAAGGCAGTCTCTGTCTTGAGAATTTCATTGCTGGGTTCGAATATTCGAAGAATGGTGCCTAGAAGGAGTCCGATGGAGACTAGGATGGATGCCACACTTTGGGTACGTACGTATGCTCTGAAAGAGGAGGCATTAGCTTCAGGCGTTATTGATTCGGCCATGGCTATAACATAAGCACATAAGCTCTTAGACTCGCTGAAGGCGACTTGGTAGCTGCTTCTGAGGTCATGCAAGTGAAGCTCTGGTTCCTGGAAATAGCCTGGCATCCTGACCATGTGCTCCACTGTGATTGTTTGAGTGCCAATCCCCCTGTGGTCATCGACTCCCCAAGGCTTCTCGGGTCCGTAGTACGTCTTCTTCAGGTTAACGAGCCAGGGGCTTAATTTTATACTCGGATTAGCAATACTCTCAAATATCTACAAAGATGAATTGTTAGTATCTTCTTTCTCTTTAGATAGACGAATGCCATACCACCACCATGCACACTGTTACCAGAATCTGACTTTCAAATTCGCCTTGCCAATCCTTGTCTGACACTTTATTTAGGAGGTGCATTATGCCGTTTATGTGGTTGACATTTTGACCTGGCAATTCGGAAAGCCATCCTTGACATAGAAGAAGGAGATATATGACACACAGTGAGTCTACTATTTGATCCTTGTGTCCCATTAATGAGCCCCGTAGAATGTGCAAAGCATTGCCGAATTGTGATAGGTTCTCCACAGATTGCGGTTGTTTAGATTGCACTGCGGAGAGCGTATTCGCAAATGTCTTAGCCGACGCATCAAGCACGTCACTTGTGCCCATACGTTTGGGTATTTCCTTTAGAAAGACGGTCCAACCAGTAACGTCGTACCGTGGATCATCAACCTTTAGGACTGAGAAAAAGGCCCCTGTTGCTAAAGTTATGGCATTACTGGGGGGGGATGATGGGTGGCCGACGGGTATGACTGAGGAGCTATCTTCTTCCTGGTCATGCTTTTCAGAGCCTTTCAACGCCCTCTTCGGTATATTTGCTGTCGTTTGGACCTTGAACATGAACCGGCACTGGCTTGCACCAATGCAAGGGATTTGAAGACGTGTACAGCGAGAGCACGCCGGCTTCAATGAATCGCACTAATACAGACAATTTAGCTACTGAACTTTTACTGGTCTTATCTTGGAAATTGGGTCAAACTCTGAACCATTTTCTTTTGCTTCCGGCAGGCGTCACAGCCACGACTGGATGGGGTCCCGGCCATCTCCTTGAGCGGGAAGGTAAGCGCATGATTCTACCCAAGATGGAGCTTCAACGATGATGTAGAATCCCTTGAAGGATTTGTGGCGGAGTAGATGTATGGCGAAGCGCTAAATAGCTACCGCAAATAGAAGCCATTGTAGACAATGCAACGCATGAGATGACGTAGAACCTGCGTGATAGCTTGAGCTGCGAAGGAGTCGATATCATTATCCTCAGCTGTAGGATTGATTGGATGGCATGAAGAGGAATAGTTTGGTGCGGCTAGTCTCGTCGGGTGATATTTCCTCTAGGGGAAACAATATGTAGATCTCAAATCAAAACTGGTGATGACATAGCCACAGATGAAATAAGCTTAGATTATCAGTGACTGAAACTATGCGCAGGATCAAAAAGGTTATAAGTGATATATATGATTATATTCTGGCGGTCTATTTGATCCTCTCTCCTCATCCGTGGATACTCAAAGCATACAATACTGCCAACATTGATGACTGCGAATACTTTCTATTCTTACTTACATGTAACTAGCTCACGCGTCATCAAGTAACACATACACAATGACAGATTCATTCTCACGATATCTCTTTGGGTCTTCTAGCGACGCTAGTTCTGCTCGTCATGAAACAGACACCAACGTCACCAACACATCTCAAACTCTCTATATCGGTCCATCCACGACAAACCCCAACCTTTCCGTCGTGCAATATGAGGGCACTCCACAAAGTACACCACCGTTATATTCCATTGCCCCCCACGCCATGTTGCCAGGCATGTTCATCGTCTACCGCGGCCTTCCCGATCCCACCGGCCAGACGGGTCCCATTGGCCACATCAAAAGCAGCTCGGAACATTCAGCGGAGCTAAACCTGCGCGGATGTGCCATGAAGCTTAAAATGAGCCAACTAACCGGCGACTATTCCATTACCGGCACGCCGATGGGCAAGCTGAAGTGGAAGGCCAACGCACTCACCGGGTGCTCATCTCTCACACTGTGCGACAGCCATGGCAAGAAGCTGGCCAAGACGAAGACGAAGAAAGCCGGGCTAGGCGATCAGAAGATTGAGATGCTAGTTCTGTATGATGAGATGGTGGTTGAGATTGCCGTGTTGACGGCGTATCAGACTAAGGTCATTGGGGAGCGAGTGGTTAGCACGGTCCTAGAGGTAGTACAAGCCATGGCTGGGACTTAGACGGGCCATGTGTCATGATCCTGGTCAAATTTTAGCGTTTCTTTAGTCTGAAATGATCCCGGTAATCAAAAATATTTTTTCTTTGGGTCATTGAATCTGGCAGGCATGCTCGCTTACAGTAAAAAGAGGTTGAACAAGAATCAAGTCAAACTGCTACGTCCGGCCATTTCTCACACAGATTATTCGACTGCCAACTCGCAAGTCCATGGATTTTGCCTTGTATTCCATTCGTATTTTCGTGTGAGCATTCTACTAATCAACAAGCTTTTCGTTTTTTCTTTCCTTCTCCTTTTCTCAGCTTCATCCGCATAACGGAGCACAATACGGAGCTCTCCGTGATGCATGTGCTCCGGTCTCCACCCCGGTCGACTCCGATACCGCTTCAAATTCCGCTACAATTTCTTTCTTCAAACCCTGGCAGCCACCGAGTCCACATCTAAACTCACGATCCACAGACAGCCCACAATGGACAATTTTGATGCCTTGATGGGCAAATTACGAGCCGGCTTCTTTCACCAACAAATAATCATCGGTCTGGTGGTCTAGTGGTATGATTCTCGCTTAGGGAAAACCCCAAGTTGCTTGCGAGAGGTCCCGGGTTCAATCCCCGGCCAGACCCGTTCTTCGGAGCTTCAGCTCAGGAACTTTCTTTTTTTGGACTTTTGCTTGTGGCTCAAGGTACTAGGAGCCACCTTTTGCTCCATCCTTTGTGGCTGTCCTTCATGTTCGATTGTTTGGTGGATTACATGTAGCCAGCCAGCCAGTCTCTATATTATGGCCGTGTCTACAGGAACTTTCCTATTTTGAACCTACTGCTTGGTTGTCTCTCTTGGAAGACGATCTGACTCGCGGGTGGTGGGGGGTTCAGCAAGTGGATGTTTGACTATGAATATCACTTGGAGCTAGTATTCAGTGATCCAGTGTGGTGATTGATTGCATATAAGAGAATGGTGAGGAAATGAAGGATGCCAAAGTTGATAATATTATATGTACTTCAAACATTAAATTACTTTAATCGATCTTTGAACTGACAACTACATGTTGTACCAATAGCCCTCCATAGCTGGTATGGTACTCGACTACTGGAAAAGATGATAATAGACACGCTTCCAAGCAGGCAGAGAGGCCACATACTCCCTATATGCGTGGATCTGCTCCCAATCCAGCTCACGGCGGCCGGTGTCAACATCAATTTGTGATACCTTCAACCAGCCAGTGCGCTTCCAGAGGTATCCAGCGACCCAGAAGGCAATGACGATGGGGGCGGCAAGGTAGGATTGGAAGAAGCCCTCAGCGTCGTTGAGACCGTCTACACCAGGGGGTGCGATGGCCGTGAAGAACTGGTATATATGTTAGCTTCAGAACGTGGAATCCGTGAGCGTGGAAAGTTGGACTTACTTGAGCAGCAAAGATAATGAAGCAAATGAACAATCCGATCCATGATCCCACCACACCAAAGATTGCCTTGAATGGAATCTCATCCAGAGAGTGCCCGTGGTAAGCCCAGGCCGAACGGAAACGAATGTGTGCGATGCAAATGGCGGCCCAGGCGAAGAGGACGGCAAGACCGGAGAGGGCCTGCAGCCAGTTGAAAACAGTAGGTCCTGAGGCGTTGAGGTTGATGTAGGCCAGTGGTCCTGTGAGAAGCATGACAATGGTAGAGGGGAGAGGGCGGCCGGAGCGATCAATGTAGGTGAAGAGCTTGGGAGCATATCCCTGCTGCGCCATGGCAGTGAGCGTGCGTGAGCCGCCGTAAACACTAGAGACACCAATGGAGATGACAGAGATGAGGATGACGGTGTTCATGAAGTGGTCGAAGCCGCGAAGGCCAGCATAGAGACCGACGAGGACAAATGGCGATGCCTTGACGTCGGTATAAGCCGCGCTAGACAGGAGTCTAGGGTCGTCTGCCGGAATCAAAAGGCCGACAAAGAAGAGACCAAGCACATAGAACAAAGTAATTCGCCAGAACACCTGCTTGATAGAGCTGGGCAGTGACTTGACTGGGTTTTTGCTTTCGGCCGCTGCAAGACCGACCAGCTCAGTTCCAGTAAAGGAGAAGGCAGCGGTAACAAAGACGGAGCAGAAGCCTCGGAAGCCGTGGCGGAACGCGCCAGGATTGTGCCAATAATGAGCTCCGACGTATTCGGAATATTTTCCACTCGAAGGACCGCCACCGAGAACGAGCACAAGGCAAATGATCATGAAGATGATGGTTGCTGCCAGCTTGATGACTGAAGACCAGAACTCCTCTTCGGCATAACCAATGCTTCCAAAGATGTTGATGAGGATAATGGCAACCCAGAAGATTGTGATCCAGACGCCGACGCTTATATCCTGATTCCAATACTGAATGACGAGGGAACAGACTGTTAATTCGAGTGGTAATACGACAAACCAGAGGAAGAAATAATTCCATCCAACTGCAAAGCCAAACGAGGGGTCGATGAAGCGAGTTGCGTATGTGTAGAAACCACCGGAAACTGGGTACATGATGGCGAGCTCACCAAGAGCATAGACTGCATCGCGTATATCAGTACATGTATATGAAAATCGCAAGGTATCGTGGGATATTCATCGTGCGTGGACTTACCGACGTTGAAAACCATGAAGCCGACGACGAGGAAGCAAATAAGAACCGAAGCGGGACCCTGTACGCCGCAAATATCAGCATCTATCGAATAGGCATTTTTCTCTCTTCGTTTTCTTCTTTCAATTTTCACTTACACCTTTGGCCAAAGCACCACCAGAGCCAACGAAAAAGCCAGCGCCAATCGAGCCTCCGATGGCAATCATCTGTACGTGCCGCGTCGACATCGCCCGGTCCAGCTCCACCAATCCCAGTCCATAGTGTTTCTTCTGGAACGACTTGGCATTCAAGCCGTTTCTCGTCCAGAAATCCTCATGTTCGTATTCATTTGTGAAAGCAGCGTCCGACTGTGGCACCACAGCAGTGTCCTGCACGGTCTTGCCCGCATTGCCCTTCTCTTCTGCTCCCACGGACGGCGAGTCGCCCGAACTAGCCCGCCGGGACATATTGGGGCTGATTTTTTTTTTCTCTTTTTGGAGAATCTCAGAAATTGGGGTATAGTATGCCAACACACACACAAAAAAAAAAGTCCGTAGCGCGGGCTTGTAATTGGTGCCGGCACTTGGAGATCTTGGGCGCAGAATACAGCCTGCCCGAGTCTTCGGGTATCTAATGCAGGGCGGAGGCTAGAAAAATTCCAGAAGCCTACAAAAAGCACGTCACGCGAAGCAGGACAACAAGGGGGGAACGGGAGGGCTCAACACTTTTATATGTTTTTTTTCTTCCTCTGGTGATACTGACACTAATACGCCAATGCTGCACTGCTTGCAGGGCCAACACCAAGCTGAACCGCAGGAACCAAGGAAGCAGGAAACCCTGAGTCAGTGGACAAAGCTTCCGATAGCCGGGACCGGAGAGACGAGTGAAGACCGGTTGTATGATCTGATGCCATTTCGAGAGTCCATGCGCAGGCTGATGGGGCAGAGCACGGAGCCGTTCTCCTCGTAACATACAAAAGCAGTAACATGGTCTGGCTTAGCTCCATACACCAAGGCCGTCCGTCCTGGCAAGTATTCCGACGCAGTGTGTTTCTCTCAGCCCAGCGGAACCGTCGAGTCCGCCACTCAGAAAGGCTCGTGGGTCGCCAAGGCAGCGGCGCCATCCTAGGGACCCAGGTTGACATGTTAATCCCGGCAGATGTGTAGGGCGCAAACGACAGGAGCCCACTCTTGGTGGTGCGGCTGGCCAGTCTGTTAGGTAATTGTCATGCTAGAGCGGGATGCTGAGATGCGGTTTTATGAGAGAACGCAGCGCTTGTTTGTCAAACGCTGGATTTGTATTGGTGGTGGAAGAGAGTTTTGGTGGGTTTTGTGATTTGAACTCCCTCCCCACTTGGTTTGGTGGATGACTCCAATATTTGCAAACATGCTTTCAACGGCGAGGCTTGGAAAACTCATCAGATGCTTGCTCGTGGGGGCAAAATTCGGGGATCTCCAGGTTTCCAAAGAAAAGAAAACGTAAAAGTCTTTGGGGAAATGGGCTGTGATCTCTTGGCAAGCGGTTACCCCGGATCTCTGAGTTGGTTTCCAGAGTTGTTCTCGAAGACGGGCAGTTTTGGATATCAGCTTTATGGATCCAACTATCCATCACGGACTCGCGTGTGTAGTGCTATGCATCTTCCCTTGTAAGTGCTCCGTAGTGTGCATGGACGATACGAAAGGAAATGAGAAAATATCAGCTGCATGCAGCAGCCCATCCCTTCAACCCATGCCCACACCAACCGTTTCACAGCCCAAAAGCCAAGCAAAAAGAGGGCTCAATTAGAGTTGTTCCTCCGCCCTCGCTAGAAGGCAAAAAGAAAAACAAGCCCTTGGCCACTAAAAAGCCCTGTCCGCGAGTCATGTCGTGGGAAGACCCCCAAAATGGCCCGCTTCCCCGACCTCCCCCAGACCCCGCGACGGCCGCCGGTCTCTTATGTCTCTCCTCCCCAAGATTGCCGATGCTGCCCTTTTTCCGGACCTGGTTTTGATTCCGCCTGCACCATAATTGGTGTCGTGGTGCTCACTTGGCTTCTAGAACTTCGCAAACCATCGGGTAGTTAGCCTTGCCAGAGGCTGATTAACGTTAAGGCGGCGCCACGTTTAGGGGCTCCGAGAGGTGATTGGTTTGGGTGCTCTGATACTGGCTTTAGGTCGGGATGGATGGCCTCATTTCAACAACTTAGAAATATAGCTGACTTATTAGCATAAGGGCGTAATGTCGACGAACGATGGTGGCTTCAGCTCATTGATATCAGCTACGTGGTGAGCTAGCTTCGTGTTGAGCGACTCTGGTTTTACTGTCAGGAGATTCTCTCATGTTGGACAACATCACACCATCTCTCGTACTACAAGAGCATTATAGGTACTATATTCGAGAAATAAAAATAAAAATAATGCAGATAGTAGAGTGAAGATAGCCGTGCCGTGCTTTATGCTGATAAACGAAAGTGGTCATCCTTCATCTATCTGAAATTATATGAATGCGAGTTGTGCTAAATCCACATTTTGTTACATAGAAACGACTGCTCAGTAGCTGCCGCATTATCCGAATGAAAGAGGATTTCAAAGACGAAATAATTGGCCAATGATTCATCTGCTCTCTCACTTATCAATCGTGGAGTCATCATCGAGGTCAACCCAGTTCTAATAGCGCCTCCACCGCGATCAACACTCTTGCTACACTTGTTAAAAATAAGCGCCAAAGGCGCCTTCTCCAGATCATACCGTTCATTAGCTTCGGATACACAACGCCTGAATCTCAACAAGGCTTATCAATCCATCCATCGTGGTCTCACCGTTGGCGCTGAGTGGAACTGGAGGCACGGGATAGGTAGTGCCACCTCCGCATCGTCAGTCCGATGTCACGGGCATAGCCTCGGGTAGTTCGGTTAATTTCGTATTCCCAAACGATGGCATTTATCTTGTGATATCCATTTTAAGCCTCGCCGCGATGGAGCTGAAGGATATGCTCCTACTAGCACTGATTGAGGACATCCGTAGCGAGGTAACCCAACATAGAGTCTTGGCCACCTGATTAACATGCTAGAAGTTCTCCATACCAACAAAGGGGTCAAACGTTAATAGCTCCCTAGCAGACACCTGCATAAGTCCAAGATATACTTGTGGGGTTTGTTCATCATGCATTACAAGTAGTATGTTTGCCAAGGGCGTCGCAGCTCAATGTCAGCTACCCTGCTTGCACCCAGCTCAAAAAACTTGCGCAGTCTTCAACGACAACCCTCTACAGCTGCGACATAATCGATCGCCAGCCCAGATGATACTTTCAAGTGTGTTTTGTCTTTATGACCGACAATATGAACTCTATCTATTTGAGAATCCAAGTGCCTGTTTGGGGAGACAAGAGCCGAAAGAAAAAATCTCGGCCCCAATATGCAGAGATGTGAGCTCCGGAACTGCTTGAGAAGGAGTGAACTGGGAGTCAACCAAAGTTATATGCACTTTGAATAAATACGGCAATTGCGAACAATGGCATCACCAATGCCCGTCAAATGCTTGAGAAATACCTGGTGAAGGGAATGAAAGTTACATATACTCTGCATACAGCAATTACGAACAATCCCATCACCGCTCTCCACTCAATAACTTCATCTCAAGAGTAGGAGAATACGGGTATCGCATTTTCGCCGATATTTATATCACACTTGCATCGTGATGGACCCAAATCGCTTATCAGAAAATAAAACCCTGTGCATTTTGCGAGCAGCCCACTCAGGCAACTACAGCGTCATCGCCGCCGTTGGGTAAGACACTCTGCAACTCAACCCCCAACACAACAAGAGACTGCAAACTAAGACGGCGTACCCGTCATTAGATACAACCTTGAGCAAATCCTAGGCCTCGTCAAAGCCGCAGAGCGCGAGAAATCGCCCCTCATCATCCAGCTCCTCCCCTGGGCCATCACCCACTCCGACGGTGTCCTCGTCTACGCCGCCGCACAGGCCGCGCGTCAAGCCTCTGTCCCTATTGCTTTGCATCTCAGCCATTGCCAAGATGAAGACATGGTTAGACGGGGTTGCGGGCTACCGTTTGACTCCATCATGGTGGACTCTTCGGACCACGCCGAAGTGAGAGACTTTGCCAAGACGAAGGAGCTGGTGGCGTATTGCCACTCCCACGGCAAAGCCACGACAGTCGAGCCGCAGGCCATTGAGGAAATATAGGATGAAGTCTCGAATACGCTGAAATGGGAAAAGCTGGCGACGACTGCTCAGGAGAAACAACAGCTTGGGGTTGCGGGGGTGGATGTGGTGGTCCCGGTTATGCCGTCTTTCTCTAGATTTGCGCAGAGAGAAATCCCCGTAGATTCCAGGAGGTATGATTTATTTTGGTGTCAATTTTCTCAAGCCACGATTCATTAACAGTCGTATTTATAGGCTTGGCGAAATCTACGGAGATTCCACGAATACTGGCAGCGTTTCAGACTACAGTAATTTTGCTCTTTAGGAAGGCATAAAACTTGGCATGTGCAAAATCAACGTCGATAAGAGTTTACTCGCGGGATACTGTTCGCTGGTGGAGCAGAGAATCAACAAAATTCCGCTCATGCAAGTCGTAGATGAGGCAATTGAGAAGATGGCAGAAGCATTAGCGGAGAGGATGATATATGTAGGCTCGAGTGGCAAGGCGAAGCAACTTGAGACTTATTAAATTTGTTGAAGGCTACATGTACTTTTCTTGCTTTGTATAATTACCAAGTTTCAGCTTCTCAATATTATTAAAGTCATGGAGCCTTCTTATACATGCTATATCAGTGTTCCAGCGATCAACGTATCATCTGAAAACCGACGATATCTATGTAATAAGTAACTCAAGATACCGTTCATGTCCATCCACCATCGATCCTCATGCTCTGGTTTGTTACCGCAGCACTATCATCCGCAATCAACCACATGGCCATCCTCGCCACCTCCACGGGCTCAATCAGCCTCTTGATCGCCTGGCTCCCTAGAACCTTGGCCTCGTACTCGGGCGTCATCACCACTGTCCTCTCCCGCTCCGTTGCAATAGACCCCGGCATGATGCTATTCACCCTGATGCCCCGCGGTCCGAACTCATGTGCCAGCGTTCTCGTCAGTCCCACAACCGCGGCTTTGCTCGTCGTGTAGGGCGCCTGACCCGTTGCAGAGACGACCCAGTTGATGCTCCCCATGTTGATCACCGAGGCGTTTCCAGCGGCAAGGAGAAGCCCCGGCAGCAAAGCCTGCGTCAAGAAGAAATGATGCCGCAGATTCACCGCAACACTCTCATCCCACCACTCGGTCGTGATCTCCTGCGTCGGTTTCACCATTGCCCTCGCAGCACTGTTCACGAGTCCATCAATCTTGGGGTGCTCTTTCAGGATCTTGGCGGCCGTGGGTTTGAGCTCCTCGTCGATCTTGACGACATCGCAGTGGTGGTATATGGGCTTGTGCTTGACGCCTTGATCAGACACCTTTTGGACCAAGGCCGCGGCAAGCTCATCCTCGACGTCGAGAAATATGACCTGCGAGCCCTGCAGGGAGAATTGCTCGACCATGTCGGCGGCAATGCCCTGCGCACCGCCCGTGATGACGACGGTGCGGTCCACGAGGCTGGGATAAATGGCGAACTTGGCTTGAGCCATGGTGGCGTCTCTCTGCCGTGTTTGTTTTGGTGTCCTTCTGTTTGTCTTCTCCTGAGGCCGTTTTTCTACTCGAGCTGTCAGATTTGAATCGGGAAAAATTGAAAGAGGGCCTCGTATATAACTTGCCGATCAGACGATTACGATCGATTGATTGCATCGTACCCCGCCTTCAGCTCTTTGGTCTGTCATGTCCGAGCTAAGGCGTGTGTAACGTTACTGGGTTTTCCCCAGAATGTGGCTGTTCAAAAGCCTATCAAAAGCTTCAAGAACAATACATTGCATGATTTGACATAAGCAGCTGTCCCATTTTTGACTCAATTGCCTGGTTTTCTGTGTACACAATGAAGCTACATATGTATCAAGCGATGTTGTTGAGCTGGACTATCACCCGTAAGATATACATGCCAAATGTTTTAGAATCGAGTATATGTACCTTAGCAAGACCAAAAAAAAAAAAAATGCGTGATGATTTTTAATTGTTGCATAGTTGCCAGACCACTCATTTAACCCCCTTCTTCAACCTCCCCCAGGTGGCTTCCCATGCTTCGGCGGACTCCCTTTACCACTCTTCCCCCCTTTCCTCGTCTCCTTGCCCGGCCCCGTATCGTGCGCCGTCTTTCCCTCTCCCATCGGCTTGCTAAACTCTTGATTCGCGCCGCTTGCATTCAATGGGTTCGTCTCGTTGCCGCGGCCCGCCGCCTCCAGTTCCGATTCCGGAGTCGGATCCGTCTTGGACGGGTTGAACGCAGCGTCCTTTTGCGCCGCGACATCGTCGTCTCGGCCCGATCTGGTGCCATTGTTGGATCTCGGCTTGAGAGATTCGCGGTCTTGGGAGTCCTTGTAGGGAAGACGAAGGGCGGCCGAGGTGTGATATAGGCGTGGGATGCCTGTCATGCATCGCCGCGAAGTTTGGGCAAGATTACGAATGGTAGATGCCATGATAATGATGACTGATGATTTTGTTTTCCATCTCTCTTGCAAATCGAATCTAACTGGATTTCTTGCAGCATATTTATTTTTAATTGTTCGAAATACCTGAGGTCATGGTGACGCTTCATGGAGCCCCTGATATACATCAACGCATATATACATCATGTACATGTATATTGACGTCATCAAGTTTCACAGAATTAAGGTCAACAACTTGCAAAGATGTAGCTTGACAAAGTGAATCCACGTTGTATTAACTGAGCGATCCTCCTGTAATTCTTCAGTATCATCATCTTTTCAACTTTAGACGAGGTTGCAGTAGGACTAGGTACATGTTAGTAGGCAAGTGTGGGACACTTGTATCAATCCACTGCTTCACATGTCCTGTGTTCGCCTGTCGCCTATTGATGCCATGTTTAGATTCTAGAGCGATATGTAATTATTTGTGATCACTTGCATTCATTCAGTAAATACATTAATGATATTCACCGCTTCTTGTCACTGAAAAAGGCTTACGGTGAGAGGATGTGATGTATGGATAGCTAAGCAACTTGGCTCATATAGCCTACAGCCTCTCCTGAAATCAACAATGAGAATGCTTCTATTCCAATTTGCATGAGAGTGAATAAAATTCGACTTGGAAGGCTATTCATATCCGATGCCAGGCTGCGTAACCTACGGTGAAGGAGAAAACTTTAATGACATGATCCATTCGCTACCAGAATATCTTCCCGTGCTGTACGCAGATTGTCTCCGCCAATGTTTCTCCTTTCCTTCCTTTATGAGCAATCACAAGCACGGTCCATGCAGTATCTCCCTAGTGCTCACGTCGCTTCCCTCAAGCCTCATCACGAGCATTCGCGCTGCAAACAATCGAAACGTAACGGCAGTACAGAAACAGTTGTTTTGTCGGAGCTCCCGTAATGGGAAAGGGGCTTCGGAGGTGCCGCCGGGAGAACAGGCAACATTTGAAGTTTGCTCTGTGCGTGTGCCGCATTCGATGGGGTCCTGCATGCCCATGTTGTACCACCAGTAATTTTATGGCCGTGAGCGAACAGACCGCTCAGACATCCGGGCGATTCAACATCGGAAATACCGGCCCACGCAAAATGTGAGATGATACAGGCGTGTAGGTAGAGCTGGGACATGCTTGGAATCCAAACGAGCGGCAGAATCCTTTGATTTGCGAGGGAACCGGAAGGGCATTTCTTTCAAACAAGTTGGCAAAATGTTCTGAAAACAGCGTGCTGCATCTTGAAATGCTCAAACTTCATTCCCAGAATCGGAGGAACTGGGAGATGAAACAAATCGGTAAAGCACAATCGACTCCCTATGCAAAGAAACCATGAGCACCGCGGATCGCGTTTGTTGTGCTGCCTGGATATTGCAAACAGTCCACTCACAAATCGTTCAGCCATCTCTGAAACAAGCCCAGTTGGGTATGCAATGTCAAAAGTTTTATCTGGAATTCATCGAGCTCGGCTCCATCAAGATCCACCCTGAGCTCTCCCTCTTCCCCAGCTATCAGCTCGAGTAGTTGGATTAATTCTTCAGTGATTGATGCGATTGGGTTATTTGCGAGTTCAAAAGGGTCAAACACTGGCTCCATAACTGGTGGTGACGCAAGTCTTGCTTTGGTTACCGACGTAGTATATAGTTGTGTATTTGTACTGGCATAATGGAGATGGAAATTGTTGATGTGGGCGTTTGCATCATGATCTCCCTCTGTCTCTCTCTCTTCAAGAAAAGGTTATTTGGCGAGAGAACAACTCTGCCCTTTCCCAGTGTGACCAGCTGTTGGACGAGAAAGGCCTTTCCTATCAAGTGAGCCAGAAAGCTAATATGAATTTTGGGCTGGCAACATGGAAGTTTTGTTTCAAGGCTATTGCTGCCCAAGCTTTGGACGCTCCTTCATTCCTTGTATATATTCTACATTCTCTTTCATAAGTTTCGAATTTGTTCTTCATGTTGCTTCGATCTTGCTTGATTCGCAGATGGGCAGTTAATTAATGGTATCGTATGCTGTGTAATTCAGCAACTCATGGAAAGTTTCCTCAGACGCATTCAAGTTGTACTTGCACAGCTCTAGCGTAGGTCCTCTGCACGAGTCAAACTTAACAGCAACGGCAGTCCAATACGGCCAGTGGTTATTTTATGTATTACGCTTCTAAATACTACTGTAGCATAGCCGTACATATATATACATGCTGCAGATCATATTATATATCCCATACGGCTCCGTTTATAATTGGGGAAATAGGGGGCCAGATCGGCTTCTCAGCTAGTCACGGCATTTGAGGCACCGGTTAGGAGAGTCCATATTTCACCACCACCTGCAGGTATATATAGAATAACTACAGGTGGGCATGCATGATCTAATGTTACAAAGTGATGGATATAGACTGGGTCCGCGAACATTTCCGGGGTAGAGTAGGGAGTAGGGAGTATGGAGACACCAATATCCTTCTTGGTGTCGTTGCCCCTGTCGAAAAGGGTATGATTGCCAACCAAGATGGGCAACTTTCTTGCTCGGCACATGCATTTATTTTGTCTGCTGTTGGAGACAGGAGCTAATGACTACAAAGTATGATTTCTTGTTGTTGTCCCTCCTTCTTTTTTCCCCTTCATTCTCTTTCTGTTTTACCTTGTCCCTTCTGCAAGTGGCTTTCTTGGCTGCTGAGCTTGTTGTGGTCAAAGCCACAGATGCGGCGGTAGTGGATGCGACGTAGCGACGGCTGCGTGAGCGACGCACGACAGCTTGCCTCAACCAGCCAGAGCGAGCCCCAGGCAAATCCGTGTTACGACGACTATGAGGACATGACATACTCGTAGTTACTCGACAATAGTATGGCCTTGAGTCCTCGGATACCGGCTTTCAGTGGCTGGAATCACGATAGTAATCGTGCAGTGCAGCTCAAAAGTCTAATACCTATGTACTTTGTTGTAAGCCCATTGGTGCATGTACGAGTATCAGATCCCATGCACAAGGAGGCCAGATTACACCAGTCATGAATGATTGATTGCAGTGACACTTGGGGCCCAGATAGCTGCTGCCAGTGCTCCGTACAGAGAGCTCAGCCTGCAAGGGACACTGCGATTTCTGTGTCGTCCGGCGCAAACCAACGCCCAAGGACAGACCTAGTGTGGCGCGGCGTCTGTGAGAGCGTCTCGTGACGCCTCAGATAGCGGCGTGTTTGCGAAGGGGATCGGCGCGACACGTGGGCTAGCAGGGATGCGAAGCAGACGCCAGCTAAATTGAAGAGAATGATTATTGGGAGGTTTGCGCCGAGGAAATAGTCCGGATAAAAGGGCTGGGCGAGCAGCGAATCTGACTGATGAGCTGGAAAAGTGGCTGGCTGGGCTTTCGTAAAATAGTACAAGTACGAGTTCCTGGTAGTAGCACTGTGCGAATTGGCTTGGCTGGGTACTCGTATGTTGTTGAAGCACGTCCATTCAATTTACAGCAACAGGCAAATCAGCTGCAAGCATCCGCAGGGCGAAGGATCAAACTTCAATTTTAGACTTTGTGCCAGCCTCCTGAGACCTGATCCGCGTCCAACTTGGCAGCGCCGCTCGCCGCTCTTTGCAGCGCGCGCAGGGGAGTTTTGCCCATGCCCAGATGGTGTACAGTAATGGACTCGTAAGAAGATGGAACAATTTGGCTGTTGATTGGCTGCTTCGTTCCAGGTGCACAGTGCAATTGAATAGTACACGCGCCTTTTTGAGCAGCACAGCAGTGGTTATTCAGCGAGCAATCAATTGCGATGGATGGAGATGGATGGAGATGCTGTATTGTATCCATTGTATTGCTAATCTAATCTACCTCTGACACGGTGGCCGAAACAGTGCAGCCAGCCAGCCCCAGCGCCCTGCATATGCATATGCATCTGTCGGTTTCCCTCTTGCATTTGCATCCATTTGCATGTGCAGCCCGCCACGACTCCCTCCCAGCCATCTGGTTCGCCAATTCAATGGATTCGACAATCCTTCTGTCTATTGATCCTTCCGTCCACTCTTTCTTCGACGTCTGGTCGGGCTCTTGTGCCCTCGCTCCCGTCAGCTCAGCTCACCACGTGTCAGAGGTCCATCGCCGGGAAAACGCAGCTAGGTTCCTTTGGTCCTCTGCTCCGAGCAACCGTCTTATCTAGCAGTTCTGCTACTTGGACTTGGTTAGATGGCTGCTGCTAGCTGGTCACTAATGCCTTCGCTTGGCGATTGGAGCCCCCCGACCGCGTTCAATACAGGCGTTGGTCAGCTCTGAATCCGCCGCCGGACTCGCCGACCAGGCGGCTGTTGACACTCCCCACAGTGCAGAGCGGCTGGTACGGGACTGCGATTATTATACGATACGACGACATGGCCAGAGGGCCGGGCTCGCAATAGTGGCAGAGCGTGAAACCGGGCTACTGATGCTCTTTGCCCTATTGACTCGTTATTGTGCCATTGGTGGTTCACGGTAGCCGCTTCGACGGCGTTTGATATCGGCTGTGCGGATCTCGTTTGCCCTCTCTGTACGCTATTTGGCTATCTCTTCGTGTATCTCTCTGTGTATCTCTCCATGTATCTCTCCATCTCTCCATCTCCCCATTTCTCTTCCTCTGTCTCTTCCTCTGTCTCTCCCATGCCTTCGGAGCCGCTAGACAGCTAGCGGGTGGCAATTGATGGCAGCATCAGGTTTCCTCTGGGGCTAAAAAGCCAGAATGGAAAACCCCAAGAGTCCGAGTGTCAGCTTCCAAATGCCATTCCAGAAGTCCCGGGCGGTCCTTGGCCAGCTCTGACAACGTGGTACGCGCAGTAGTTCGTCTCCACCACACCAACCCATCCACGCCTCGGAGCAAAAGACAATGATTTGGCTATTGAGTGGCCATATTCACTCCCAAATAGACCGGGTCCCGCGTTGCATCGAATCACGGCTGGCCAGTCGCATACGTTTGCTTCCCCCCCAAAGC